TGGAGAATTCCAAACGAGGGGAGAAAATACGAAGGAAAAAACACACTTTAATGTCATATATGGACATCTCACTCATCTTGCGTGCCAGATCCTTGAGAGATTGTCTGATTTTAGACCAGAACATCTTGATGAGCTGTTCAAGGCACAAGAGACCAACGGGTCTCTGACTTCGGCATTATTTTCTGCAGACTTAAACACATACCAAGCGGCCGTAGACCTGATAAAATCCGTAAGTGGGCAGATGGGACGCAAGGAGGCAATTTCTCATCTTTTGCAGTCGTTCTGTGCCTCCACGATGTTTGGATTCAGCTGGTCTTTCCGTCGTATTTCCAACATGAAAACATTTGCGTCGGCTCCTAGAATGATTAAAACGGGTACAGATATTATCGAGGTATTATGCGATTCCCAGACCGGAATATTGAGAACTCGGAAACTCAATGATTCGAAAGAAGTATATTTCTTGCAGAGGCTTTGGGAGTATCAATGGCTGGCACTCTCTACTATCTTCACGCAAACGGAAAAATGGCATAGGATGGGCGTTGATAGGTCAACAATGTTGGAATTCTGCCGGGATAGCATCCAATTTGCCGAGCTTCTCTTTGACCAACTCCCAATCTTTGCTACTGCGGTTGGAGAAGCTGATCCTACCCAAGCTGACTCTGCCAAAAGCACTCTTCTCCGATACCCAACCACCACAATGAATGCCATGGTAAAATGGCTACGTCTGAAAGACGAGTATCTTGCGACTACTTTGGTTGGGATTGTTTCTAAGGTCCTTCGTAGACTCGGGGATCTCAATGCAACAGTTCAGGAGGAAGCTTTGGCTGTCATCAAGGATATCGCTCTAACCGCAAAAATCAAAACCATCCTAACGGATAGTGAGAAGGCAGAGCTTGTAAGATCATTGGAGGCATATTATAAGAAACCTCTAGTCACACCTGCTCCTGTTCCTGCTCCCAAAAAGAGACAGAGCACAATCACTTCTTTCGCCAAATCTGTGGATCCTTCAACTCTTGTCAAATCAGAATCGAAGACGATCAAGGAGGGGGAACATGACAGCGACCCTGATATCCCAGATGACGTTTTGATAGAGCTCTCTTCTTCTGTTGAACTTAATAAGGCTCGAATAGCTTCCCAGAAGAAGCCGACAACCCAACATGCCCTACCTTCTAAACTAACACCAGTGGCACCATTAGCCAAACCAACTCACAATGTACTTTCCTTCCGTGAGAAGCGAGAGAGGGAAAAGGAGGCTAAAAAGAAACGTGACATGATAGAACTTGCCAAGGTGAAGAAAAATTTGCCTCTGCGTGGTGTAGGTGAACAGACAGCTTCGCAAGGATCTGGCTTGAATGGCCTTAATATTGGTGTGATAGAACATAGACCCGCCGACAGTATGATGGTTTCTTCAGATTCAGACTCTGATTCTGATAGTGACGATAACGGAGAGGAAGAGGTCCTTGGAAAGAAAGTATCTTCGAAACCAGATGCTGTGAAGGCATATGAAGAAAGCCGAAAGAAACTCCTACAACGAGTACCGGTCAAGAAAACAAAGATTGTGCGGTCTGCAAAGGATATGCGAGCTCGTCTTGCTCCTGACCTATCGTCACTTCACAAGACTCTCCTGAGTTGGGATTTCTTTACAGAAAGCGTTCTACCTCCAAATTGTGGCCAAACAGACTACACTTTGGTTTCTAACAGTTTCGCAAATGCACTAGAATACCAAAAAACCTTTGAGCCGTTATTGATTCTCGAAGCCTGGCAAGGGTTCCAAACCGCTAGAGAGGACGCAACGTTTAAAGAATTTGAAATTAAAGTTGCAAATCGTCTTTCGGTTGACTCGTTTGTAGAAGTCAGCACGATCATGGATCCTTTACAAGTCAAAGACTTAGGTCTGGGAGAGGCTGATTTGGTTCTATTGTCTCGCTCAAACAAGCCTGCAACTGAGTCAAACGCTCCTCATTGTCTAGCTAGAATATCTAGTATTAAGAAAAAGAAAGGGGCAATGGAAATCTCTTATCGCATCAACCCCAATGGCTCAATGGCTAGCGGAATTGGACCCGGTGGTGGATTATTCGGTGTGAAGATTACATCCCTCACACCCCTGGAACGAGAATACGGGGCGTTGATGGCTCTTCAATATTATGACTTGAGCGAAGAAATTATTAAAGCGAAGCCGTCTCCAATACTCAACTACGGCCCGGAAAGCCTGAAAACTATTCTAGGCACATATGATCTTAATCCCGCACAGTCAAAGGCTGTAAAATCGGCCGTGGATAACGATGCATTCACATTAATCCAGGGGTAAGCTCAAGAGATATCAGTAGCTTCCCATTTTATCATCTATTAAAACGCTAACTTCCGCACTCTCAGGCCCCCTGGTTCAGGAAAGACAAAGACCATTGTCGCGATTGTTGGAGCTTTGTTAACACCTATACTGGCAGAGCGAAGAATATCTCAACCGAAACCAACCAGCGATCCAGCGCAGATGAGCAAGTCAACCCCATCAAAAAAACTCTTAGTCTGCGCACCTAGTAATGCTGCTGTCGATGAACTGGTGATGAGGTTTAAAGAAGGAATAAAGACAATTAGCGGGAAAATCCAGCCTATCTCTGTCATCCGACTTGGTCGAAGCGATGCTATCAATACTAATGTACTAGATGTTACATTAGACGAACTAGTCAATGCTAAATTGAACCAGACAGGCCAAAAGAAAAACGGGGAGGAGCGTGATTTACAGAGCTATTTTACTGAACACAAGGAGACTTCTACCAAATTCACAGAAATACGACAAAGGATTGACCAATGTCGAGCGAGGGGGGAACCGGTCTCAACTGAGCTCGAACGGGAATTTGATCTGTTGAAACGAAAGAAGGCTCAGCTAAGCCAGGCAATTGACAATGCTAGAGACAAGAATCATTCCGCAGCCCGGAATGCGGAGTTGACACGAAGGCGAATACAACAAGAAATAATTGACGGAGCCCATGTCATCTGCTCGACCCTTAGCGGTAGTGGTCACGAAATGTTCCAAAGTTTAAGCATTGAATTTGAGACCGTCATCATAGACGAAGCCGCCCAGTCCATTGAGCTGAGTGCTCTTATTCCTCTTAAATACGGATGCTCAAAGTGTGTTCTAGTCGGGGATCCCAAACAGCTACCGCCAACAGTGTTATCAAAGGAGGCATCTCGGTTCCAGTACGAGCAAAGTTTGTTCGTCCGGATGCAAGCAAATCATCCAAATGATGTTCATCTACTAGACACACAGTATCGAATGCATCCGGAAATTAGCAAGTTCCCCAGCCAGGCATTTTATGACGGAAAGTTGCAAGATGGCCCTGGAATGGGCCCGCTGCGGAAAAAGCCATGGCACGGAAGTGAACTACTTGGTCCCTACAGATTTTTTGATGTTCAAGGAATGCACTCTAATGCTGCTAAAGGTCACTCTTTAGTAAACATTGCAGAACTTACGGTCGCAATGCGCCTCTACGACCGACTTTTAGCTGATTATAAAAATTACGACTTCACGGGAAAAATTGGGATAATTACGCCGTATAAAGGCCAATTAAGAGAGCTCAAAGCTCGATTTGCAGCAAAGTACGGCGGTTCAATATTTACAGCTGTCGAGTTTAACACCACAGACGCGTTCCAGGGAAGAGAATGTGAAATTATTATCTTCTCATGTGTCCGAGCATCCAGCCGCGGAATAGGTTTCTTGTCTGATATTCGTCGAATGAACGTTGGTTTAACGCGAGCTAAATCGTCGCTTTGGGTGCTCGGGAACTCTCAATCCCTCGTACAAGGCGAATTTTGGAGGGCCCTGATTCACGATGCACAAGGGCGTGATCTCTATACAGAAGGAGATATCATACGGATCCTACAAAAACCCCAGATAAGTTTGGATATGGAGCTAAATAATGTTGAGATGGTGGATGCGCCAGTAGAATCCGGCGTTGTCTCGGACCCTTCGTCACGACCAGGCTCATCTTTGGCAGGCGGCAGCATCTCCCGGCCAGCGTCCAGAACATCAAACCCCCAGTCTGCAGAATCGTTACCAAGTGACCCATTATCAAGAAGTGCGGCTAGCACCCCTATTCCTTGCCTTCCAAACGGCCCTTCAGGTGGGAAGAGTGGGTTAAATGAATTGGCCATGTGTGGATATTGTGGAAACCATCAGCATATGACACACAACTGCGATAACATTGAGGCTAAGATAGCTTCTCAAGGGACTTGCAGAAGGTGCGGTGACGAAACCCATTCCATACGGGATTGCAAAGCATTACGCTGCATAGAATGCGGAGAAACAGGCCATATCGCGAAAGACTGCACGTCTGAGACGGTTCTACGCAAATGGGAGAAGAATAAGATCATGAGGGAGGAAGCGCATCACAAGAGCATGCAGCAAGCAAGGGTAGAAAGGCAAAAGCAGAAGGCCCTTGCTGCTCATGATCCAAAAATCCCCCTTATACAGGTTCCTGGAAAGAAACCCGCAGCGGAGAGCAACACAGACTCGCAGCGTAATGGCCCTGGGAAAAGGAAACGATCCGATTTAAGCGTTTCCCAAGCTTCGAGCGACCCTAAGATAATGCGACTTGACCAGAACACCGCATCTTCAACTCCTCTGAAAGAGCCTAGGGGAAAAAAGCAAGACGGCAGTTCCTCTGCAGCAGCACAGATACCGGCCATCAATTCGTCAAAAGTTCCGAGAGGACGAAAAGCAGATCCTCACAGTGTTGCGCCGCCCCCAAGTGTATGCTAAGTAAACTGCCTGCAAGTCTCCGATAAGTTACTGATATGACTTCCTTAGGACCTTGTAATACCGTCGAGAGACAGCCACGAGAATCGCCCAATATCTACCGAACCGGCGACCCAAATGACTAATAAGGTAAGTAGTCCAATATCCAGTATGCAACTATACACTACTTCCTCGAGAGCTACCCGCAGAAGCATTATGTGTGTGTGTGTGTGTGTGCAACGGGGAAAAATATATAGACTAACATGCCCATTACAGCCCGGAGATCCCAGCGGACACTCTTCAGGCCCTCCAATACGGCCAAGAGGCGATAGACGACCTCCTCCGCCTCCAATGCGCAAAAAAAAACCTGCGGACGTGTTTATTCGTCCAAAACGCAGGTAAATAGACATACATCACGAAGTAGTGTGAATGCCATACTTAACGATGAAGCGTCGAGATAGCTATCTCGCCTGTATCTTTTTTTTTTTTTCACTCAATTCTTGCATTGTATTCCTAGAGCTCTTTCTTTTCACTATCCTTGCATCTGCCACCTTATATTGTGATATTATTGCCGGTGCGCACTTTCACACAGTGACGCAGCTCTCTGTGCCTTCAGGTCAGGCACCTTGACTGGTACAGTGAAGGTTTTCTTCATGTTACTCGCCCTACGAGAGGCCTTGCATATTGAGCATAGCTTTCCGCCGCTCTCAAGAACGGAGTTTTGCCTCCACCATCATGTCCATGGCGAAATTGAAATTCTATATCATTCCGCCAATCAATCGCTGTCCGATTGGTCTCTTGACGTTTGACTCGATGCCTGTTCCTTGAGCACCGCCTGAAGGCTCTGTGTATACATCCGTACTCCGTCTGTTTCCCAGCCCCTTTTTTTACTCTTCTTTTTCCTACCCTGCCTTCGGCTATCTATTGTCTTCCCCCGGAATCTACTATCCAAATAGGGAAGTCACAGGAGTTCTCATGAGTTCCCATAGTGATAGGCCGCTAGCCATGTCCCACAGAATACGCAAGAAAGACACCGTAGGCGTTCGGGCCTAGAATGAGTGATCCCGGACGGTAGATGGCTGGCTGGCCTGTGCCTTTCCAAAATATAATAACTGGATTCCTATCAAGCGCGTAGAAGGAGGGCGGTAGGCAATAGATGAGCCGCGTTCATATGACTTGAGCATGATAAGTGTGATATTGACAATCAAGCTTCCAATTATACAAACCCCCCTTTAGCCAGACCATACCCGAGGAGATACGGCGATTCGCTCATCTCCTTATCCAGGCTATGCAGCCCCAGCTACATGGAGCTTTCCTTGAACTTTCTTGCACGAATTCCTTGGAGTTCTCTGCCGCAGGGATAAGCTGTGGACGATTGGCGCAGGGTATACAAGATGGTGTGAATGGTGGGAGGGTGAAATTTCTCACCTGCACGAGATGCTGCAGTCAGTTGGCCGCAGGAGACGGTGTACCGTCAGTCAGTCAGTCCGTGTACACCCTTTCCCCTAACTAACCAGCCATCCAGATATCTAGATCTAAACTGTTCCTGGTCTCTGCGCTCGGCCAGCCAGACGCAACCCTAGGAGCTCTTAATGCGAAGCACAGACGAGTGAAAAAGGCTTAATAAAGGCCTTGTGTCGCATCCTTGACCCAAGATAAGGTGTATGTAATATTTGCAGTCTTTTCAGGGAAGCTTTGATCATATCCGAGAGGGTGGTAGTATCGCCTATCCTGTTCTATAGAGGGATTTCTGAATATCCGTCATAACGGGAGGTAGTTACACTGGTTCACGTACGGTCTGTTTGGTACGCGCTCACCGGTATACGCGCCTAGATAGCTTCATCTCGAATCTATCATAATATTCAGAGGCACGCGCGCTTTTGTGCAAAGTTGAAGGTGCCAGGTTCTGTCTCTCTTGTCTCTCTCACTGGATGGATGTATGGATGAATGCCTGGTTGCGGAAGCCGTGAGAATATCGGCAACCCGTAGAGCAAATTTCGAAAGCCCGTTGATCGGGAATAACCCCTTCCCAGCCTCCTCTGTGCCTGTGGCCCCTTGGGTTGGTCCATCTCAGGCCTGGTGCGACAGAAACGGGCGTCATAGTCGGACAGAATGCGATTCACCGTGCTACCCCAACCACTCGACGTTCCAGCACGGCCTGGAACCTGGATGCTTAACTGAAGAGCTCTATAGACCAGGTAGAATCAGCAGCTGTCGTCATTGTAGACGCGGAAATGCGGACTTTGCGGCTATGTACAATGTTAGCATTCTCCTCCGTAGGACAGCTTGGGATAGCTTAAGACAGACTGTTATAGCTTGACTGTGCAGTAGTTGAAGCAGCAGTATGTAGTAGGGATGTCACACTGCCCCCAGTTAACTACATAACTGACCATCCTGACCATCCTGTACTCCGTAGATCGTAATAACGCTCATTTTATAGAGGGATCCAGGTTGGTTCCGGCGATGATGGACGGCCGGCCAGCGATTACTCTCACCCCTTATCATCAGAGCATACGATGGAAGCTTGGGAATGTGTAATTGATATGCAAGGACACGATTTTCTATCCTGTCGATGTGCGTTTCATGCTCTAATTCTCATGTTGTATACATATGCTCCGTACATGAATCGTGCATGTATGCAGGTCCAACGATGCAGTCCCTGGTCAAATTCAGGTTCACCTCTTCCTTCTGGACACTGAAGCCTGAATCACTACAATGTCTGTCTACTGTACTTTGGATATATCTTTCCACAGCCCTGAGAAGCGTTTCAGATGATCCCTGTTTTCATCCTTTTCATCTTTTTTATGGAGTAGTCAAAATATATAACCAACCACGTAGTAACGACCTCATTCGAGGAAGAGAGCACATACTAATTAATACCCACTATGAGACAGGTAACAGTTGCTAACATCCAAAGATACGAAGCAGATGTTGGTTAAAACAGCCTAGCAACATGCCATGAAAGAGACTCCGTGTCCTCCATACCAAGGACAACAAATACGAGCTGGATGCCGTTAAGTCTTCCTCCCGGACGATCTGCCTAGAAGTACATAAGTAATATGCAGCTAAGAAGCTCAAGTGCTCCATTATTGGCTGCGCCCTTGGAGGATTGAGATCAACGAGGACAAATCATAGCGTCTTCCGGCATTGACGTCAGCCTGGAGGAGTCAGTTTTTCGGTGCATGCAGAAACACTCCCAAGCCACCAGCCCAGGTTCTGTTTGGACCTTTACATGTTTTTGTTCACTGAGTCTGCAGGCAGTGGATATCTGCTATATCGTTATTAATATTAATGAGTTTCTGAGCCTTCTTTTTTGTTTCTTTTCCCGGGTGGTGGTTTGATATAATACGTTTTGCCTGAGAAAGATCGGTTCTATGGAGCCTTCTCGGCCATCATCAGCAGAATACCGTTACGACGCCGAAGACGTTGGACTTCTTTCATGGCGTGAACAGCCCAGTCACAGTCGAGGCGGCAGCCGGTTCCTGCAAGCCATCCACAGCTGGTCACCCAACGGCCTGAACTCGCTTCTGAGGCGAGCTGAGAAGACAGGCCATCACTTGCTCTCTTCGATAGGCTGCTGTTCTCCGGCAAGACGAGGAGGTGCCAGACTATCGAGAACCCACCGCTTGTTACGGCTTGTTGGGTTTCTGGTCTGGTTGTTCATTGTTGTATCTGCGGCCGAGTCGGTCTTCTTGCCTTCGTATCAGACTCCGCCAAAGCACTACGCTGATTTGCGTGAGAAGATCCTCAGCAGCACGCAGCCTGGCCGAGGGAACCCAGGGAACGAGAAAATTTTCATAGCCAGTAATATCGTGCAGGAGGGGATGATTCGAGGCCCCTGGGGGAGCTCACTCATCGAATTAGTCGATATCCTCGGTGAAGATAATGTTTTTGTCAGTATCTATGAGAACGATAGCGGGAATGGGACAGGAGATGCCCTGAGAGAGCTGGCCGCACAACTACCATGTCCGTACACCTTTGTCTGTGATTTAAAAGAGTATATTAAGGCTAAAAAAAGGAGTAAAATGATTACAGGTAATTCATCAGTCGTCACAGGAGACCATGTATCCCTTGATGGCTTCCCCAAGACCATCCTCCCTTCTGGGGACGAGCGGGTAAAGCGTATAGCCTACCTGGCTCAGATCCGCAACCAAATGCTGGAACCGCTTAATTCATCATATATGCTATCTGGAGGCCATGCTGAGAGCGGGTTTAATCACGTTAAAGTGAGATTTGATCGTGTCTTGTTTCTGAACGACATCTACTTCTCCGCCATCGACGCAGCTCAGCTACTATTTTCAACCAACGTAGACGAGAGTGGGCACGCTCAATACCGAGCAGCATGTGCCGTCGACTTTGTGTCCAAGGTCATGTTCTACGACACCTTTGTGGTTAGAGATGCTGAAGGCTACAGCACTGGCCTGATGTTCTTTCCCTGGTTTGCACCTGTTGGACAGGCAAGGAGCAGAAACCAGGTGCTGGAAGGGTCTGACGCAGTTCAGGTCCGGAGCTGCTGGGGAGGGATGGTCGTTTTCCAGGCAGAGATGTTTCAGGATTTCTCAACGGCCGACTCGACAAGCCGCCTTGTCAGCCAGTTTAGGCACGAGCCCGAGCCATTCTGGGAATCCTCCGAGTGCTGTTTAATCTTTGCAGATTTGGAAGATCAGTTTGGGGAGCCAGACGTTGCGAACCGGACTGGGGTCTTCTTGAACCCGTTCATTCGAGTGGCCTACTCGCAGAATACTTGGAAGTGGCTTGCGTTCTTTAGGAGATATGAACGTATCTTTGCAAATATGCAGTATATTGTCAGCAAGCTGGCCTATCCAGAGCATAACCCACGACGAACTCATGTTGCCGGACAGAGAGTGAAGGATAGTGTGTGGCAGAGTAACGCAGACGGTCAGCCGGGAGGTTCGTTCCAGACGATCCAGCGAAGGGCAGCTCCCGGAGGCTATTGTGGGCAGAGACGGATGTTTGTCATGGACGAGGACGTAGAGAAGGCAAACAAGAATGGAGCAAAGAACTGGGAGAAAATACCTGTTCCATGATGGTCATACTCGAATTTACCTAATAATACATACGAAGTACTCAGTCAATTAATCATAGAAGGTAGTAAATAATAAATAACAACAATAATAATTTTAAATTAATCTTCACAAAGCTTGGTCACGCTGCAGGATGTTTTGGCTATGTGCCTTGAACTTTGCTCTTCTACTCACAGCAAACCAGGCGATAATCCATAATCTAGAACTTTCGCGTCCAGCCTCCGTCTCTCTCTCTGTGTCTGTTTCCGTCTCTGTCTATCTCTGGTTAAAGATCATGTGTCTCCCATGACCAGAGAGTGGACGCTTATGGCTCGATGACACGCGTACCAGCTAACCATCGTCTATCGTCTGGCTCCCAGTGCTAAAGATAGCTTTGTTTCTAGGAAGGAGGCGCAACACTGTGACCTCCTGCTCGCCTCTTCCCTCTCGGCTTTTGCTTTTTTCCTTTTCCTTTTTTCTTTTTTATTTGCTTCTTCCTATATTTCCCACCGGGCTTTTCACCCCTGGATGCACCGTTTTGAGGCGTTGCACGGGTATCTAAATATTGGTTCGTACACTTTGGATCGTGTCGGAATGTACCACACTGCGCTGCGTGTCAACAACACGCAAAGGTAGAGGGAAACGAAGAAGCAAAAAAAAAAGGGGGTAAGATACAGCCTTTAACCTGCCATGGTATCCATCCCATTGGGTAACGCAGAGCTTCGAAGTTCTATATACGCAGATCTGAGCGTTCTTCTTCTTCTTTTCTTCGATCTGAGGGCCACCCAAAAGGCCAATCAAGGTCTGTCTCTGTGAGTGCTTAGCATCCGTCCCTATCTCTCGATCTCTTTCTTCTCCTCTCTTCCTTACACGATCGTGTTCAACCAGAAGCGAGATGTGATAAGTCGCAACTTCAAATCCAAAATGAGAGTAAAAAAAAAGAAGAGCAGTGGCTGACTCAGCCCTGCGACGCCCAAAGCGGCAACTTTTACTTTACACCATCGAAAAACTCCCAACTCGGCCAACCTTCGTCTCCAGAACGACAAGCAGAGGAGAAAGAAACACCAGAACAAGAATAGCTATCACTATTTAGAAAGATATATATATATATATCAGAGCCAAAAGAAGAAAAACAAGACCGTCGCTTGGTTTCTTTGTGATATGATCCTCGGTTGCAAGGCAATGATGCTCGTCACCCCCCCAAGTGGCCGGTATCAGCTGGGCCTCCTGAATTAAACGGCCTTCGGGTTGCTGTTGAGTAGGAGTAACTATGTTAATCCTTTTCTTCCCCTGTCCTCTGGACCTTTTCCCGTACTCCGTTATGTACAGGAGTGGGCTCTTCTTAAACCCACGGTGATTGTGCGTCCAAGGGTTACTCCAGTGGGATGGATTCACTCGCTGGAAGGCGTTGATAGATCCAATTCACTGCTTGTGCCATGTAACTAACAGTCGAAATCGCAGGCTTGCTTTTTTTCCTCTCCGTCACTTTTTTTTCTCGCCTTGATTTGTCGAACCCTTCAGCTTTTACAGGGTTCATCGAGTTAGCTCTGTGAATCAGTTGAAATAGCCTTGGATTATACTGCATCCCATAGTCTGGCTCATATTTCCTTTTTTTTTTTTTCCCTTCTCCCTCTTCCTCGACTGTGTGCTCACTTTCTCTCTTGTCTTCAATTCCTTCAAGTCCACACTTGAAGGTTCCTTTTTTTTTTTTCTTGCTTTTTTTCTTCTTTTGCCTGGCTCTTTGTTTTTTCTTCTCTTTGCTTTTTGGCTTCTCTTCCCAAGTGGGAGGTTCACATTCGTATAAAGATACAACATGAAGCTTTCGACCTGATCTCCTGTCTCTTCGACGCCCAAAATGCAGCTTCCCGCAGTTGCTCACCTGTTCTGATGCTGTGCTGCTCTTTTTCTTTCCATCCCGTTGCTCTCTCACTCTGTGGGATGTTCTCTCCCCCTGTGATATCTCTTCTGGTCGTTCTAGTTTAATGAACTTGCTATTAAACGACCATCCGCAGCCATCTCTCTCGAAGTGGCATTCCCAGTACTGCACATTACACGAAATATCCCTTGCCCATAGCTCATCGACAGCGTGCTGCTTGGGAATGTCTTCACTTTGAACCACATTGAGCTCGAGCCCCGTACGATGACTGGCATATAACCGAGGTGATTTATTTTTGATATCGGCTTTCGGTGCTCGGGCTGCGCCCATTTTGTGACAAAGTGCCTGCTATATCATTGTGTGGTCCAGAGAGACAAACAAAAGGTGCATACCTAGCGAGAATGTTGCGCTCAAGCACGCCCTCAAGGTCCTCAGAAGAGAGCTTCTGTTTCTCTGCCTGGGAGACACCGAGGCTGTCTGTAGCTGAATCGATTGGGGGGAATAACCGCCCTAGACCGGTCTCCAGTCGAACTCTTACAAGCAAGAAAGCCACCAAGAAAAACAAGAATGCTCTTCAGTATAGCCCCAGGTCTGCTGGATCAGCACGTCGACCTCAAAGATCAGAACATGTTACCGAGCTCATCAAATTCTTCAAAGGCCGCGAGCTTCCCATATCGGACCCATACGACTTTGATCTTGACAGCCTTGATCCAAAGGGGCAGCTACGACAACTGAAGCAGCGCCAAAATGACTATGGGGGACAAGATGACTCCCATGTTCGAAGGAAAAAATCACCCGTTAAGCTGTTTGCCCCCGATCTGTGGAGCCGTGCTCCTGCTCGTATGGACAAACAGAAAAATGACCGTTTGAACCCTGCCACAAGCATGGAGAGTCTGCAGTACTCTCCTCGCACCAGAAGCCCTCGGGCCTCACATGACAGCAACATTGACCGGCCTATTGCAACTCCCAAGACAGAGGTGGACGGCGAATGCGCATACCCGGGCATTTCGGTCTTGCCATCCTCCAGAGAAGGCCCTTCAAACGATCTTCCGGCTCCAGAGCCCTTCCCATCACTGGCTACTATGGGGCAGTTGTATGACCTGTCTTCAGCAACTCTCACCGGAGATATGTATGCCAACGAAAAGATGGAATGGACAGATACTTCAGTTGGCCGCGAGATACTATCCGGGATAGATACCGACTCTGGAATACCGATACAGCCCATGCCGGTATACCCTAACGCGTTGAAGAAAAATGCTGACTACAAACCTCAGCCTCCAGCCAAACCTGCAGTGCCACATAATTGTGCCAAGGGCTCCATTTATTGGCCTCAGGATAAGCCACTCCCTGACACTCCCGAGAACCCCAGCCAGCAGACAAGACAGCAGATTCAAATTTACAAGCGAGATTCTATCCGGGTCACAAGGTCCACTACCACAAGCTCTGGCTTCGGTAAACGACACTCAATCTCGACTACCTGTGAGTCGACCTTCATTGACGTTCAATGTCTCCCGGAAAGAACGTCAAGCCGAAAGGAGCGAAGGGCGGGACGGACTGATTTCAGCAGCCTTTGCTGCCGATTATCCCGCCCTATATCGGAGGATCATGCTTTCAACTACCCAGGTAGCCTTGAGAGTTTGGACAAGCCTGCAGTGATGGACCCAGTTGACAACAGCGAAAACCTAGATTCAGCAGCGGCCTGGTCCCAATCGAAATCCCGAGCATTGATCCCTGCTCCAATCGATAGCTCCAGAAAGTATTCCGTTTCCTCGGAGCCGTCACTAACCCCGTCGTCGAACATCTTCTCAATCGCTGCACTGTCTGGATCTGCGAGCAGCAGCACCCTCACCTCCCCTCTCACCTGCCAAACCCCTTCTCTAAAGGTCGAGGAGAGTGACCGGTTTTGCCCTGGAAACTCAGAGCTTGCGTCATCTACACCAGCACCTACGGTCTGTAACGGTGCAACATGCGGTCAATCCAGCTCTGAAGGGTCCTCCAAATTCTCAACGAATAATGTTCCAGAAATATGTATTGAGAAAAAAGGAAGCCTGGATACGTCACCCATACTCCCGTCCCATTTCCCTCCAGTTCCTGTCAGAAATTCCAGCAGATTAGAAAGTATCCACGCCCTACGGATGAAAGATGTTGCCGCTGCTCGAGCTGCACTTAAAATATCTAATAAAAGTCTAACTGCGCCGGGAAACACTGATGTTAGGGGACGGCAGGCCAGTTCGCCAGCAATCATCAGTTACCAGCCTACAACAGATGACAGCTCAAGAAACAGCGAGGAGTCGGTGACTTCTCCCACGAGTTTTACTACACCAGCATTCCAACCTGCTCTGTCGAAGGATACGGCGGAAGGGTCTAATTTTGATTCTACTGCTAAACCTTCCATGGGTGGATTACCTCCAAAGACGATTATGCCAGATGGCTCGGTCTTCACTGACCGAGCTATGCAAGAACGGTCGTTTAGGCATAAACACAATGCATTTTCTTTGTTAGCCGGTGGATCTTTACCAAGCAGCCCCCGAAATTCGCAGTCATTTCCCACGCCCGCACCTCAAAGACCTTCATTGATGAGCCCACGAAGTGTTGCCGGACTACGACATTTAGAGAGCGTATCTCGCCCTGTTTCGCCATCATTACCCTCGTCAGACGACGAGGGGATGGGAACCAGAGCCCATAGCGGTAAATCAAGGCGGTCTACACGATCAAATCATCGCAGAAACAGACAAAATCCAACCCTTACAATCGACAATACCAAAACCCGTAACTTTTCTCGCGATGAGCCACTACCGCTCACACCTCCAAGCGCAACTACAACTCGTCCCAACGACCCTGATTCGCTTCTATCTCCATACACTCCCACAGCTTTCAAATACTTCCCAACCTCGGACTCTTCTCTATCTAGCCAATCACACCAACAAAAGTTTCTGCAAGACCGGGTTTTCTACCTCGAACGCCAGAATAAGATGCTTCAATCTGCCTTACTCTCCGCACTTGAAGTCGGTGCTAAATGTGATGCTCAACGGGACTACAAGGGCAGCCCCCGCACATCGACTGCCAACACCTTCCGTGATGACATTATTGACATGCTCAATCTATACCGCAGTTCATATGATGACAGTTGTGGCATAACTACTGCTTCGGCTTCCGCCACTAGCAGAGAGATCAGATGCTCAGGTGCCTTCTCTAATCCTGGAGATACTGAAATTTCCTGCTCATCTACTACAGCCTCTAGGCTATCAGTGCAAGGCGGATTTTTAGCACGCCCGTCTACATCTCCCAGCACTGCCAAAGAGAGGGCTCATCGGCGGCTTATTGAGCCACACAACCGCGTTAGAGAGGCCATAGCCTTGAGATAACTTTTACACTCTTTATATTTCCTACTTTACCCACCATATTTATTATTCACTGCCGCTATACTGCACATCATACAGTATCGGAGTTTAGAACTCCAACTTCACCGTCATTATCTACAATTAAACTGGCAACAACGCCGTTTTCTTTTTCCTTGTCGGGGCCTTCCAAGAATCCGCTTGATATTACCTATATGATTGAATGATTGAATGAACCTTGTCTACAATATTATTTTTGGTAGCTAGCTATCTTGCTTGTCGAACAGTTTAAGATATAAATCTAGTATATTATTGTATATTCTTCTATATCATTAAATGCAACCAGTGATCCAAACCCCTGGAGCGCCAATACGCTTCTGCCGTACCCAAAGTAGCCGTTAAAAAAAAAGGAGAGAGATCTAAAATAGTGAACAGAGCACAAACATAATGTTTTGTAGAGAGGCGATACCTGTGAACGCTGAATAACAAGCAAGGTATAAAAAAACGGAGGTCAGTTACAGTAGAATACAAGGATGATAGGTAGTATGAGACATGCTAGCGGGCAGCTGAGCTAAGGGGTGATGAATCCTGGACAACATCTTCCTGTATAGGTTCTTGAACTACAGGCTTCTTGCGATCCAGTTCTTTCTTTGGCCTTGGGCTCTTCATCTTGTTTGGAGCAGCCGCTACTGGGGATGCGGTAGGTGCTGAGGGAGCCGATGCACCTCGTAGCCGGCGCAGTCTTTGCGTACGCTCTTCGCCAGGAAAGACAGGGCTGATGGAATCAGATCTCCAGTTACTCTGAGGAGCAGGCGGAGGGCAGCTGCGTACAGCTAAACCTCCCCTATAGGATTCCTGTATACCGTTTTCTCCCCACATCCGAACCCGTTGAACTTTTCGTAGCTTTATAAGTCCATAGGTGCAGACGAATGCGGTCAGGGCGAAACAAGTGACAGAAACAGCTCCAAACCCTATATCGGACTCTTCGATGAAGTTTTTCAAATTCATCCCGTATAACGCTGAAAATAACGTGCCTGCTGCCATTCCTAGAGTACCAATGCTAAATTTAAGTTCCAGCAACATGAGAGAGTTGCGGTTGGCGTCAAGAATCGCCTTCACACTATTTTTATGCTTAGAAATGCAGTCTCAGCAGAATACCGTTTTGGGCAAACACTTACATTTCCTCCGTGTTTCTGATGTTGGTTACCAGGTTTCCACTGGCCTGAACAATCTCGTCACAGACCTTATGATAAGATTCCAACAACATCTCAACTTCTTGGTGGTCGTGTTCAGCTCGATGTATCCCTTTCGACCTCTCCGAGAGATACATTGCCGTGAGATCGTCGTCTGCTTCAAGTAGATCATCGATCGCATCACGGACCAGTCTTGCCTTCTGCTCGAATGTTCCGAGGCGTTTAGAATAGACTAAAAGGTGTCTAAGCTTGTCTCTGTCGATATCTTCTTCAAGTGCTCGGAGAACTCTGGAAACTGGCTCTCTTACACCTTCAAATTCTGCCTCAAGCCCACTGGTAATGCTTACAAGCACTGCTTCAAGGGCCCGGAACTCGTAAGGCAAAGCGCCTGAAGTCCACGCTGCTCGTGATGCAGGCTCTTTCTGTCGTAACTTTCCTTCAAGGTCATACATGAACAAAGATTGGGTATAAGTATCTGTTGAACCATAGGCATCAAACACCAGGACTCTATCAGATTTTATGAGAACTCTCAAATGGAGGAGGCTGATAAGTATTGCGCTGTGACGAATGAGAATATGCGGTAGAACCGAGGAGTCAATCTTCCTCAAGTCTCGAGGGAGAAGACCATACTACAAAATGGGAGGAACAATCAGAACATGTTTTTATGCCAATGTAGCATTGGAGCTCACAGCTGTAAAGTAAACACTCACCTTAGCGATCAGCTCACTCTTCTTGAACTCTCCATTCACAAGAGTAACATTCCCGGCTCCATCAAACTCCGTACATCTAAGACGAGGTTCATTCGATACCTTCAGCGCCAAGTTGCGCCCTACATTGAACGGATTACTCTCATTCCCGTCATCGAAGTTTGGTATATTTTGAGGAAGATCATCCGGCTTCAGATGTGGGTTAGTAGTTGGTCGTGAGAAGCCTAGAAGTCGCCGTAGGAAGTGTCGACATTTTATAGCAGTAACACTGAAAGATCGGATATTATTTGAATCTAGGAAGGGATGTCGGTTGGTATAAAGAGGACGTCTGCGTGGGATTGGTGTACTTGTGATAAGCGACGGTTTAACTGAGGAGATATAGGATCTTGTTGCAAATGATGACCGTGTATATGCCGCATTAGACGAATTCAGCGGCAACGTGGACCGTACTTGGCTCGAACAGGCCTGGTTGGAGTTCCATCGACGGGGGTTGGAAACACTTGGGCGGCATAGCGAAGAGTTGAATTGGCAGCGGAGATAGCGAAGGAGGTTTAAGGATGGAGCTACTCTCTTCACGGAAGACGGAGAAACCATCTCTCAGCCTGATCACCCAGGTTCCGCAGGCCCAGACGTAAGATATAATGCGGTGGTCTTGATCGTAAACTCATCGTTCGTTCTTGTATTTTATTAGAAGATTCACGCATAATGCAGATTTTTGGAGGAGTCTCGGAGCGGCAGAATTATTGTTCCGAGAAGTGGAAGACGTGACGTCCATTTAAACACCGCGCGTTAATAATATCTGCGTCTAGGCGGCTAGTAGTCAACCCCTTATCATATTTAATACTATATATAGCACCTCCCAGCATATTCACAATCCCGAATCTCAAGCTCCATACTCCCTCGAAAATTCGGGGGTTTCTTTACGACGTCACTTTAATAAAAAAAGCCTAAAGGTGCCACCGAAATAAAAGTCTATAGATACTTACGAATCCACTCGTCCTCAGCTAGTTCTTTGGCAGAGCCACGCTTGCTCGGCTCCCACTGCAACATCTTTTGTACCAAACGTAAAAACCTTGCTTTATCCTCCCCCTCGAGGGCAGTTTCTCTTTCTTCGATCCTAACCCGATCTTGTATTGGAACTCCAGGGCAAAATTCCCCTGGAAGGTTCGCAGATAGTTAGCAGATATCAGGTTTCCCACGATAAATAATCTTACCATCATTGGAGAAGAATTTATGGCTTAGCTTCCCTTGTGCAAGAAGACTGTGTGGGGGAGTGCCAAGGAGACTTATCATTTCCGCTAGATGGGCCCGGCTTCGGTATGTCTGGAACTCGTTGTCATGGCCTGTGAACAGTGACGTACCTTCGAATATATCCCAGATCTTTTGACGCAAATTTAGAACTTTTTAGGCCTGTCCGATCGGGTTTATCGACTTACCATGCATCCCACATTCCATATATCGACACTGTACGTCCACGGGGCTTCAAGAATCACCTCTGGTGCGCGGTAAATATTAGGCTGAATATCTTCAGAGTGTTCAATGTCACCAGGCATGGCTGAGCCAAAGTCGCACAGGACTGGCGGCCCCATCTCCTTAGGCATCCTAAGTTCTCGGGACACATAGATGGTGTTGCCATCTACCTCTTTTCTTGGAGATGGTGTTTGAAGCTCCCTCTCTTCAAAGTCACTAAAAACCGAATCATCGGCGATGTTAAACATGATATTGTTCGCCTTAATGTCTGAGAGAGAGTCCCTAAGTAAGTGATAGGAGAAAGAAGACATTAACCCGAGCACATACCAGTGTGTATGATCTGGCATTCTGTGTGTAGGTAGTCTAGTCCTAAAAATAGTCGGTGAAGTACAACAGCCAGGATTGGAGAAGGTAATCTCCGTATAGGATTGCGATGCAAGAAGGTCAATACATTCTCCCATAATGGAGGATGGACGAGGCATCGATGTTTCTCTTCCGGTCCATCGATATTAAACGAATCAAGCAATGACCTGACGGCATTGCGACCTGGGTGATATTTCGAAGCTCTCTCCATGCGTTTGTACATTTTAAGCTCGTCATCCACTTGTTGTCCCATAGACGTAGACTTAATGAAGATTTTGAGGGTAACGTAACGACGGTATCTGTGATTGTAGAATGTGAGTGGCTCAATTCAGGTTATTTTTGGTGACATAGGGCCCCACTCCATGTCCCGCGCAAGCCACACTGTAGAGGTAGCTCCAAACCCTAGTTTCCCTACAACTTGATACCGATCTTCGAAAATTTCTCCTATTCGAGTAGGGTAATATCGAGAAGCAATATAATTGGGGATGGTCTCTTCTTCGATTTTCTGATTTGTGGGTATCCGGACAAAATTGTGGTTAGAGAACTTGAGTGGCTCCCATCTCCGCCGTCCAAGCCGGGACATGGACGAGAGAAATGAAGGCATTGTAATGGACTTAAATGTTTAGCCGGACAAAAAAAGAAGAAATAAAAAGAAATATAATCGAACCATGATACCTCAATAGTTAACAGTTAGTACGGCGACTTCCAAGCGATGGAAAGTGCAAGGTTAGTTACTAACTGAGTCATGTGATCTATGAGGCTCCCGCTAAGCTTAAACTAAATTCTAAAATAGTTCTCGGTAGCCGAGAGACTATAAATATTGAATGTTGTTCTGCCAAATCGCTTTGGTAAAAGATTGCTAAGTTACACACGGAATAACCAGTGGCGGCGGGAACAGGCTTATTCCAGTAAAGCATTGTCAAAGATACTGCTAGCCGAATCTTGGTCCTTAGTGTCTAGCAAAGATTTCGCACGCATGGTATGACTACTTAAGATGACATCTGATAGGGGCCCCGTATTTTATTGTCAGCGATAGGAATCAGAATTAGTTGAGGTTGTATTAGAACCGCTGGACCATAAGGGACAAAAGGGCCTGATGATAAGGATCCAATAAGTTGTTAAGCGCTGCCCCTGGGTTTCACGTTTGATCGTGTGTTTTACTCCTACTCCAGCGTGGTGAATTTCCGTATATCGACGGAAGGGACGCGATGCCAGAGTTGGTTATACATGCTGGTACTCGCACCGCAACGGAGTCTCAGTTCTGTCATGATACTGGGGCGCATTTTTTGGTAGATTTATCCGGATTAATATTCCTATTTTACCGGTATTCGGCTTTGGAATCCCGGAAGAGCCTTTGGATAACACAAGGAGAGATTTTATTATAGAAAGGGGTAAGGCGGTGATATTGAATTGTATTGCGGTTCATCTGCAAAACAGTTGGCCGGTAGTGACGGGTAAGCTTCATAGGTGATCTTATGTACAAGGTGATAGATGAAATGCTGGGAGTGACGCCCCGCTCTTTTTCCTGGATGTCGAATGCCTGACACAATCACCACTCGTCGTCTGATTTCTCGTCATCTATAACCAGTTAGTCTACCTATTATTAGGGTAAAGGACCAAGAGGATAGCTTACCGCTCGCGCTGACTTTCTTCTTCCGCTTAGCTAGAGCATCTTGTATCGCTCCCATCATGCCACCAGCAGGAGCAGGTGAAGCAGAGGATGTATCTGCTGCACTGCCTGGAACTATAGCTGCACTTCGATCGCGCTTCTCTGCCTCACTTACTTTTCGCAGACCACGTCCGCTGGAAGCCCGAATTGAAGCCATTAGATCATCCTTTCCTGGAGGGGCACCTGGTAGAGAAGGCATCGAGCCACCGGGTGGAGGCGGCGGCGGCGGAGGAGGAGCAGGTGGTCCACCTGATACAGGAAGAGGTGGAGGCGGAGGAGGAGGAGCAGGTGGTCCGCCTGACATTGGGGGTGGTGGAGGAGGGGGAGGAGGTGCTGCTGGTGCGGAAGCTGTATTTGTAGGTGGAAGTGGCGGCGGAGGTGGTGGTGGTGGGACGGGCGCATTGATAGTAGGAAGCGGTGGAGGCGCAGGATGAGAGGGTGCTGATACTGAAGGGGCTTGTCGTGGTGGCGGGGAAGGAGGAGCTGGGCTCCGCTGTGGAGGAGGCGGAGGAGGGGGTGGTGGTGGTAGCATATGAGCATTTTGTGGTGTCTTTGGAGGTAATGGTGGCGGAGATACAGAGCTTGAATCGTTCCTGAGAGGTAGAGGAGCCGGCATTCGGCTTGGGGGAGGAACTGGCGCTGATACCTTGCGATTAGATTGGATTGAAGCACGGTTGTCTTCCGGAGTTTTCGGGGGTCTCGGGGGTGGTGGAGGCCCTGGGTTAGCTAAATTTGAGCCAGATGCTGCGCGGCTCCGTGATGGTAGGCTAGGGCCGGGAAGATGGGCATATTTCCCAGCATCCGCGATCGGAGGGGGAGCTCGGAACCTTGGTCGAGGAGGTGATGGTTCCCGTTTGGGAGAAGAGGCTGGAGATTGCTCCCTTGGTGGGGGCGGAGACGGAGGGGCATCTGGTCGACCCCGTCTGGCCGGCGGAGGGGGCGGAGGAGCCCCTCGTCGACCGGTATTCTGTGGACTGATGGGCTGAGATTTGGATATTTGCGGTGGCGGAGCTGAAGGAGGAGGTGGTGGAGGCGCCTTTGTTCTCTTCATGGTTTCTTGGGAGGCAGTTTCTGTGCTGGTCCCGTCGAGCTCGTTGGCTTGCTGCTTCTGTTCGATATATGCCTTGATAAAGTCTGAATTCTCCGCTATCTGTTCTTCTGTAATTCCCATTGCTTTTAGCTCATCAAGAAGGCCTCGCCACGACGGATCCACGGTATCCAGCGGAGAGGATGCCTTCTCATCAGTTGTGTGAGCAACAGGTGGGGTGGTATTGACCGATGGTTGTCTAGGAGGAATGATGGATTCAGGAGGATTTGGCGCTGACGAGGACCTGTGGCCATGTAGAAGGCTTCCTACTTTGCCAAAGCGCCCGTGGCTTTTGCCATTTGATACTGGCGTTGGTGTTTGGCCGCGAGCGGCGGAGAAGGGAGTGGCCTTGGTCTCCTTGCTGGCACTCTTCTCCCGTTCCAACACCTTTTTCATAAACGTCTTTGCCTCTTTTTCGTCTGCAAAGGATAGACCAGCAACGCAGTCTTCGAGCTCAAAAGTGTGGAAGAACGTTCTGTCCTGGTTATATGCGAAGCCATCGTAGATTTCCTGGTCCCACAGAATCCCTCTGCCTGCAGGCTGTACGGACACGCAAATATTAGTCAATCTCGCATTGCAGAGAATATAATCAGAGTAAGAGGAAAGGAAAGAGATAGACAAAGTCGTACCGAGACGTCAACCAGTTTTATCCAAAATGTATGCCCAACCAGATCATTTGCAAGCACCGCCGCGCCTTGAAGGCCAGTATATATCCATTTGTGAGTATTCGGAAGCGCAACGTAGAGTCTAGCTACCGCAACCGCAAGAATCTTGCTTGCCGGCTTCGGAACAGTTCGTCTGACTGTTTCTTTATCGGCGTCAGAGAGTATAGATGGCATGGTGGACGGCTAAGAAGCGCAAGGGAGTTTATCGGTCTTAAGATGGTCGTGTGTGTGTGAGGGATGCTGGCGGTCGTGAAGCAGGCTCAGGTATCCGGGCTCATTCTTAGTGCGAATAGTTCCCATAACAAGTTGACAGGTTTCTGATCTCTGTAGCTATCGCAACGTCAAGACGTAGACTTGCTTGTTTGCTGTGTGTCGCTTGTCAGGTTTTTGGAATCTTTGCCTTTTGGGTTGACGTTTTTGCCTTTTGATGGAGGCTTGGTGATGCCAAGCCACCGCGGCCTGTTGGAGCGCTTACGATTACGCAGTGATTACTCTCATGACAAGTAAGTCTACGGACGGCACGACAGCCAGGCTACAGAGGATTGTTATGTGAGGAGTTTGATTGGCGCGGATGTATATAACTCTTCGATGTATTTCTCTGGGAGAACTCACCCGGACTTGCACAATATAGGTAGAATCTGTATTCAGCATTCACAGATATTGCTAAAGCGTGTGCACCCAAGACGTATGTATGTAGACGAGCAATCCTTGCACACCCTGCTGCGATCGATGCCATACAGTTTCACGGGGATATCATGGTCGTAAGAATCTGCACGGCATGAGCTCGGAGGCCTAGGGAAGTAGACATCGCTCTGCTATGCCTTTTCGGTCTGGAAAGAAGGGTTTCGATTGGAGACATACTGGCAAAATCTACCCCGGTAGATGGAAATGGGGTAACAGCCCCAGGGTTGATGACGCCGTATCGTTAGAATGGCGTCTCGTTCTGAACGATTCGTCTGAGATCGGGATAAGTCACTTGGGATTCCGATTTCAGGAACGCTCTTTAGGATGGGTTATCCTGATGGTTTCTGCGTCTTCCGCGAGTTCTGCTTCTGGTTTGTGTTCTCCACCAGATGCGGCTTCCCCTGGACTCTCTCGAGCTCCTGAACTAGCCGCTCAGCCTCTGCGACAAGATTTTCCTGTTTGACAGTTTTGATCGGTGGGTTCAGGATCACTTGGATCGTACACGACAACCCCGGTTTCCGCTTTCCGACAACATTCCCTCCAGCGTCGAGGACGAGCCTTCTTCCTTCTTCGTCGAATCCACGCTTCCTTAAGGCTTCGTGGTAGGCGGACCGAAACATTCGAGCATACAGCGACCGGCCAACAGCCGCAGTATCTGCCGGGCTACCGAGGGATATGGACGTCCATATGATATCTTTCTCTCTCTGCTTGAGCTTGTAGTCGAACATTGGGTTGAGGATAGGCTTTGTCAGTCTGCATCTCTTCGTGAACGGAGACTCGATGTTGCCAGCTGCGTATTTTACCATAAAACAGCGCGTTTTGATGTTTAGTTTTTTCAACCCTAGGTTCCATTCGAACGGCTTAAGGTTCTTGGCCTTGCTCATGATGAGGAACTGGAAGATTCTCGGGCGTTGACAGTTGTTTGGCTCGAGCTCCAGATGAAATTTGGGATCGAGAGAGTTGGATTAATATTTCTCCGTCATTTTCACGGTCCTCGGACTGTTCAGCATAATCCCATTCCTTGCACAAGTATATGCTCACCTATGGAGTAAGATGTAATAGTTCATTCACAAGTTGCTCTCGAATTGTATGATATTGACTGGCTTCTTCATCGCAAGGCGTACTCGTTGCTTCGACTTTTTTTGAGTCGCTGATCCCGGCTGCTCTCTCCTCTCTGCTTTTCTCTCTCTTATTCTGTCCTCCCTCTCCCTTCTTCTCCCTCTTCTTCCTTTTCTCCTTCTCTCCTTTACTGTGTTTTTTCTTCACGACGTCGATGTCAAGCTGAGTCATCGAGGGCAAACTCACGTGACAAACTCTTCCCCCACTAAAAGCAACAAGAAAAAAAGCCATAAAATCGAATCATTTTTCTACGCAAGAAAAAAACCTCCTAAAAATCAACTTAAAAGCCCGGTCTCTACCACGAACTCGCCCCCGCCTACTAGCAAGTGTCTATACGCTTCATAATAGTCTACATTACTCAGTGATACGCTGTCAGAATGCCGAAGAATAAGGGAAAGGTATGACCGCTCTTTATCGTGTTTGCTTAGGACCCCGCAAAACCCGCCCACGATAAGCATCGGGCCCTGCCCATGTCCATCGACTTTCTCCAGATGTCTGGCTGGCGGATTATACATATCTACAGGATGTGTATAAGGGGGATATCTGGGTGTTGACCTTGATTTACCGATACTAACTCCTCGATAGGGTGGTAAAAACAGACGTCGTGGAAAGAACGAGAACGACAACGAGAAGCGTGAGCTGACCTTCAAGGAGGAAGGACAAGAATATGCCCAGGTTGTCAAGATGTTGGGTAACGGCCGACTAGAGGCTCTTTGTTTCGACGGAGAGAAACGCCTGGCTCATATCCGCGGAAAGCTCCGTAAGAAGGTCTGGATCAACCAGGGAGATATCATCCTTCTCTCGCTTCGTGACTACCAGGATGAAAAAGGAGATGTCATTCTCAAGTACAACGCCGATGAGGCCAGAAGCTTGAAGGCATACGGCGAACTCCCAGAGAGTGCCAAGATCAACGAAACAGATACGTATGTTTTCCCCTTCTACTCTTGCCATTGTCATATTACAGCACCGCTAACATCACCTCTAGCTATGGCCATGAGGGTGTTGACGACAACGTCGAGTTCGATGAGGATCGTGATGATAGCAGTGACGACAAGGACATCGATGTTGATGAAATTTGAACTACCACCCTCCAAAAGCGGCACGTCCTGGCTCGATGGATTGATTCTACTGTTCCACCAACAGCATCTATCCGGTCGCCACTGTCCATTAAGAAACATGAGGACGTATGGTTTTCTTTCCAGCGGCTTATATTCATAAACTGGATGATGAAGGCTCTTATTTATTGGATCCCAAGAGTATTACCCATCAAGAAAGGAGATCGATTTACCTGGCCGGACCTGAAGGCGCATAGCTCCCGAATATAGAATATTTATCACGGGGTTAATGAGTGTTTATGCTGTCCCCCTTCATGGCTCGTTTGTACGGTGAAGGCCCTCGAGTCTGTCCGGATGGAAGGGCCCTTGAGAATAGTCGACACATACGTGCTCGCATAGCTCACAACGGTTTTCGTCTATGATTTCCTTCCTTATCTTTACCTCTTGCTTCGTCATGATGCATCTCTCTCTTTCTTATATCATGTCCTCTGGAATACTGAAGCGTGGTGTCTTGTGGTTATGGCACTTTTCCCCATCGATGTTTTTGCGCTCTCTTCAACATTGCCTCGCTTTTCGTTTTATCTTCTTCCTACGTCCTGTTTTTTTTCAGTTGGGTCTTGCCATTCGATTAACCTTTTATTCGAAAACTGAAAATATAGATGAAAGTGATTAAAATTAAAATTAAAATAGCCAATAAAATCGGTGCCCATATATATTTAATCAAGATTCATATGCCATCTCATTGTCAAACACACTGCGGGTGAAAAACCTGAAAATCTTCCTTGCTGCTTCATTACCCACCAGCGGCTCGAGCTGCTCGATAGACATGTTCGCTACTTCATGGATATTCTTGGTCTCTAGAGTAAGACGCTCGAGGACCTTTGGCTCTACCCCCGGAACGGCACGTATCATATCTTGCGGCAGGAGAGAGAATACACGATGTTCTATCCCTGCTGCGGGAATCATACCTGCAGGCTGACCAGTTGGCGTATCTGAGCCGGAGATATTAAAGTCAAGGCCAATTTGAACCGCCCGTATCGGATCAGGCTCAGAGTTGTTCTTTTTTAGCTCCGCAAATATCTCCGCTGTCTGATAGGGTGAAGACGACCAGATGATTTTCAATCGAGGAAAAGCTAGCGTTAGTAATACCAGTAGATGCTGTGCTGACCTGGGGTTTGCTGGGTTAATCATATTACCAGAGCCAAAGCTAGTAGCGTTGTCTGCAACAAATGATGTGGGTGTAGCAGAAGAAGTAAACGCATCAAATGTGAAGGCTTTATTTTGGTCAAATTCGATTAGGAGCATCGGCTGAGAGTAGTGCTGTAGCATGGTTTCCGCCTGGGTGTACAGTCGGCCATTTTTTAGGGAACTAATCAAATCTCGTACTGATTTACGCTCGACGCAAATGTCTGGAGTTATGATGTAGTCTCCTACTGTCAGCTGGCACGGGACCACAACCATGCTGCGACCATGAAGCAGCGATGGAAGTGCACTTCTAAATTCTCGAACATCCACAACGACGGTGGGAGGTGCCGCTGTGGCTGCGAGGCGACCACCCCCTGCAATTCGCGTATTCACAGTCCGTAGGAATTGTTCTTGGGGATCTTCGAGGCTTTTGTCATGGACTAGCTTCAGAGCCATTGTCTAAACATCTTGTTAGCTAAGGACAACAGAAATAGTTGATAAAGCTGCACGTACCCCTTTTTCGTGAATTAACTTTGTGAAGGCGTCCTTCTCACGCCGAACGGCGCTCAAATACCTCTGTTCTTCCACAGACTCGCCGTAATACATGAAATAAACCCGGACGTTTCGGTCTTGGTGGGAACTGCGATATACTTCAACCCGCCGAATAAATGCTGCGTCAGGCTCATACATGATGATATACCTTGGCCTCAATTCCTCCAGAACATGTTCGTCCATATCTCCATCATAATGGTGGACGACTAACAAGTCATTGACATCATAAAGCTCATAATATTTATCCATATCTTCAAGATCATCTTCCAGGGTAATATGTTGTACTTCTTCTAGGATGGCCTGCTGTATAGCTTCTTCCGACAGGGTTGGAGCTTCCGAAAATTCTCCAGTGTCTACCTGGACACTTCCTTGGGCTTGTCTTCTAGCTCCAGCAGTACTCGCAGCAGAACTACCACCACGGACGCGTCGTCTTTTATTTGGGGGCCCTCTCCCGGTGTGGGTTTGAGCAGCACTGCTCATTGATGTATAGCCTGGTACTTCACCAATGCTTTTCCCTTTTGGTTTAACACCGTACAAGTGATCATTCACATTTGAGAGATTCCGTTTCCAGAAAAGGTAGTCTCGAAATTTTCTTCGCATCATGGCACCTGCCGATGGCTTATGGTCATCTTCATGAGTTACGCCTTCCTCATTACCCTCATTTTCGTCTTGGGATTTGTCCCTACAATGCATGGTGGAAAGATACTCGCGGATCTGTCGGCAAGTTTGTTGGTCACCACACATGATAAGAATAGCATTGTTGGAGGAGCCAGGTGCAGAAGGATTTAAATAGGTGTCCCGCTCGATTTCTTCGAGAACTTCCGCAAGTACGGCCCATTTAGGCTGCTCTTCAAGAATGGGTTCTATCCCATTGAAAATGTCAGAGGAAGATGCATTTTCCTTAACTGGAGTCTTTTTCCTGTAGACTCGTGACTTAGCACTCTCAAAAAGCACGTGGGCTGCATCAAGGAATAGCCAGGGAGAATAATTTTGTTTCGTAGACCCTGCAGGCGCAGAGTGAGCACTTATTACAGTGTCTAGATATTTATTCAACGAGACGGCGTCGAATGTTAATAGAGAACTAAAATTCCTTGTTAGATGGTTTCTTGGTAGACTAAGGGACCAAAAGGGGCAAGCTTACTGAAGAATAGATCTAAGAACTGTTAGATCACTAACGATCTGCCGTGTTCTAAAGGATACACGATGCCACACCGGGTCTAGTTGCCGACGAATCGCAACATCGAAATTTCTGTGAAGTGCGCTATCGACTGTCCAGTCATCCCCAAGATCAAGACCGGTATTGGCCCTTTTGAGTTCTCTGATGTTCACTTCAACGCATTCTAATACTGCGTTTTGAATTTCTCTCATCTTATCAGTCATTGGTACCTCTAGTTCTATTACTTCAGCTTTTCTGTGGCCTTCTAGGGACTCTGCAACAGTAACCTGGAATCTTGGCCACAAAGATGTCTTTTGGAGGAACAGGTTCCGTAGCATATTTGACAATGGTGCAAATCCAGTTGTGAAAGGTTCTGGGGTATCTGAGAATGCCTTGAGCATCCCATCCTTGTTAAATTGCCTATATATCCGTATAATAAAGGCTTCAAGGGCAGTAGCTACAACTCTGTAAAATACCTTTAGCAAAAATAGGACGCTCACTCTTTCCAGATATCAAACTTACTTCTCAGCATGAAGCACAATAATACCGGTGATCAGCTTTGAGTCAAGAAGTCCTAGCATGCAAAATTAGAATGTTGTAAATACGAAGAAAAATACCCATGGTACAAACTTACGGGAAAGCAGGTCAACAACCAAAATTCGCGATGTGACACTGATGATTCCCCCTTCAGAGTAGAGCTTATGCCTTAAAAGTATTAATGTTGTTAAGTCATAATAAGCATGAAGTCGTGTAATACCTCATTGAAACAGTAGCCCGGTCGGTATTGATGACCTTAAGGCCTCTAGCCAAAGGGGATTTATTGACGGCATAATGTTCCGCCAGTGCTGTCTAAAGTTAGCGTTGGCCATTATATATATTGGATGCCAACAATTCCTTCACGTCGACGAACCTTCACCAATCCACTCATTCTCGCGATCTGTAGCTCCGACTAGGAGGATCAGATTATTCCCAGCAGCATCATAGGTGTGGAGTAAATTGGTTATTATTCTGAGCAAGCCTAGGCCTTGGGCTAATATGACCAGCTCATCTTCAGATCGTAATTCATTAAGCAAGTTTTGTTGATATTGCTATGAAATAAAGGTTAGACTATCAAGATATATGCTCAACCAGGCAAATAAAAAATATACCAATGGCAGAGACAGTTTAACTAACGAACTCGGCTGTCCAGACGACATATGGGAGACTTTTCGCGTCAATATATTAGACACGGCTGTGACAGGAAGACACGTGATCTAAAGATATTATACACAAGACAGAGTGAATGTTGGTATCCTTTAGACTGAGAATATGAGTAGTGCAAAGGATCGTCTCAGCTTTAGCATATAGACGTAGTGAAATGGTATACTGAAGGGTATCAAAAGCTCTTAGTTACGCGCTAGAGCAGCAAGCGATTCAGTTTAAAGCGGCAACAAGCACCGCCACCTTAGGCCACAGGTCTTGATTACATAATAAATGTTGATCCCAAGACGATGATGAAGCTCTTTTTTATTTTTTTTGGATGTAACAAGTTGTTGTCCTTTGACGGGGAATGATAGATAGATACCCCAGGCTATACGTGAAAATTCGTGTGATTTGGCCGCTGGTGTCGCGTAAGCACTGCTTTTGCCCCGACGTGCGTTTGACGACCAAGGAGGTGGTAGACGATGTTGGTCTCCTTAACCGTTGGGAAGGTCGACGCTGGCGTTGCAGTCCTTCTCACAGAAGATAACCGACTGGTAGGCTTGCTATACACCCCCATATCGCATCGTTAATGAGTCCGTACCCATTGGTAGCCATACCCTATGAAGTTACTAAATCTGGCCTTCTTTAGATCGAGTTTCCGTCCGTCCTTCTTCCCAGGAATATCACATCCGGTAGCATAGTCGATATCACCGTATCACCAAACGAAGCTGCTGAAGCTGCAGATCAAGCTGCTTCCAAAGCACTACAGGACAAGATCCTTAATACTTACGGAATAAATACGCCTTCTCCTCCTGTTTTGCGGCTCAAGAATGCGACACAGACGTCCTTGGTTCTAGAGTGGGACCCTATACAGCTAGCTACTGCTTCCCTTAAATCCTTGTCTCTTTATCGCAATGGCTCAAAGGCAGGTTCTATCCCACGGCCACTCGAAATGCTTAGCACAAAGATTAGCGGTCTTGCGATTGATACTGAATACACCTTCCAACTCATCCTTCGAACCTCCGCTGGCATGTTTAGCTCTGAGAAACTTGTCTGTCGAACTCACAAGATGACAGATCTATCTGGTATTACGGTTACTGCCGGAATTCTTCCTGCTAATTTAAGAGAGTCTCTATCAAATGCTATGGATAGAATTGGGGGGAAGCTTATTGATACCATCCGTATCGATACTACGCACTTTGTCTGCACGGAGGGTAGAGGTCCAGCTTGGGAAAAAGCAGTCGAAATGAATATACCTGTTGTTCGTCCAGAATGGGTAGAAGGATGTGAGCGCGAAGGCACCATCGTGAGCGTGAGAGGGTACTATCTAAATGCCGATCCCAAATTAAGACAGATTGGCCCAGGAGTCGGTGCTCAGCAAAATAAGAAAAACTCGATTTTGAGTCTACCTACACACGGACGACAAAACAGCACGGCTAATGCCCGATCATCACCTGAGAACAATCAGCATCCGCCAGTTACACCATTCCCTGGTGGTCCTAGAAGCGAAGTTCCAGAGGGCCTGAGACCAGAGGGAGATTCCCCCCCACCTCCCCCACCAAAGGGCGAGGATAGTAGGCCATCAAAGGATCTCCCAAGTCCACCTATGTCCAAAGACCACGATGAAGAGGAGGATGAGGATGAAGAGGAGATAAAAGAAAACAACCATGAAACGCCAGATGACGATGTTGCGACTGACAATGATGACAAAGAGCCAATAAATGGACAGCTAGATAATAAAAATTCAACTTCTCATCCTAATTCAGATGAGGAAAAGGATGACATTGAATCTCAATTCCCGAGCTCAAAAGAGAAGGTATCCAAAACGGAGTCTGGGGGCGCAAAAGCTAAAGGAAGTAGTACAGATGAAGCAGATATGGAGGAAGTGACACTATGAACAAGTTCTCTTGTACTGTGCCCTGGTGATTATTGGTCGGGAGGATTGTCAGTGCCTATTATTCCAGCCATATGCTGCAAAGGGCGTCTATCAGATATAGCATATATTAAAGGCAGCGTTCTTCTGTTTTTGTTCTTTTTATTCGTTTCTACAAACTACCCAATTTTTACCTTTAAGCTGAACTTTTATAATGGATTGCGTGTATTGCTGCTCTGGGCACAGCTCATCTTCTTATGTGATTTATTAAGATTGCTGGGTTTTAATACTACCTATATATGATGGTGGCTATCAGATTTGTTACTACAGGCCATGAGTTTTCTTCTTACTCTTAATAGAACTTTTGGCCTTACTTTACAGGAGCTAGTCGAGCATTGCTCTTAATGAGCTGGATGATCCTCGATAAGATTGAACATATTTATATGTTAAACACAAATCCGTTTTTCATCTAAACGAGTGACCGAAACTACTTATTAACCAGGGGCTTCCATTCACCCCCATCTCTAAAATTCTATATACAGTAGGAAATTTGGATGGATCCCCTAGTGGGTTTCAGTCAAGCTGTTGACTCTTCCAAGCATGTATTCAAGGAGACGGTATCCAGCAGTAGGAGCGTATTGTGGGATTTCTAGTTAGAGTCCCAATGTTAGTGAGGTCCCAATGCTTATGTATGAATGTTATTGGTGTAACTTACCATGTCCAGCGAGATCAACGGTGGCCCATGTAAGGCCACGCTCACGATGTGTCTTTCCAACATATCCAGCTCCACCAGTACGGGTTTCATCCTTGTATGGAACGTAGAACTTGTCAGATGGTTCTTTCTGGAAGCCCTGGAGGCCACCCCAAGTCATGTTTTGGATAGAAGCCAAACTGCCTTCCACGAAAAGAAGGAAGTCAAGGTCGCCGTGGGCGATAATGGTGTTGTTCGTTCTCTCAATAACGCTGGCAAGAGGGCCAAATGTGCTAGGAACAGACCTATCGTTGCGGTGAGGGCCGAAGATTGGGGATTCTCCGCAGAGACGGTAGTCAGTTGGGTGGGCATGAAGGGCTTCCTGGATCTGCTTGTTGTTAAAGAAGTTATTTGGTCCGTCCATGGGATTAGACGGGCTTGGGCAGTTATCCTTGAGGTGATAGATGTTGAAGCATGGGTTAATCCTCTTCACGGCGGTGATTATTTCATCCCAGACATCACAGCCGGCAGTCTTTCCAGGAATGGTCAGTGGGCCAGCTGGGGGGAATTTCAGTGCATTATCCATAAACTCTTTGTATCCGCAGCTCTCCCATTTCTCGGTAATGTCGTTAACAAATGTTTCATTTAAGTCAAGAACGTTGTTGAAGCGGTGCATTGCTGGAACGGATGGGGCTAGAAGATAAGTCAGTTGAGAATCCTATTTCTAGGGAAATCGGTTAAGGCAAGACGTACCATCGATGATCACTTCGGTAGCGCCAATAGATGGGTCAATGATAGTGATACCTTGGACGTTGAAGAATTCGGAATCCTTTCTGTCCAGCATTTCGCTAGCAATGTAAGGAATGTATTGGCCAGCATAGCTCTCTCCGGCAAGGTATACGTTGCTGTGGTGGAGATCAAAGGTGTCCATGAATCTCTTCCAAAAGTCACTGAATTGGTTTGCAACATCGACCTCATCCTTGACGGTGGGCGGACCGGGAGAGAAGCCAGTTCCCGCAGGTTGGTCAATCCACACCATGTTCGTCAGTTTAGACCAGGCAAAAGGGTTTCGCACCGGGATCTCCGTGCCCGGCTGCCACAAGAATGGTCCATTCTCCTGAAGGAGTCCAATCATGGAGCTACAGCCGGGGCCACCGTTAAGCCAAATAGTGATTTCGTTCTTAGCATCAGGGTTCTCTGATGGGAAGTACCAGAAGAACAAGCTGGAGTTTCCAGCTGGAGTATTGGCGAGGTTTCCAGCGTACGACTCTCCAATGTCAAAAGGGACATTAGGAATGCTGGTTGGTTCAACATAGAATTCTGTTCCGGGGATGATGACATTAGTGCTTCGTCAAAAGGAACAAAAAAGCAATAAATAAATAACAGAAAGGAATGGTCAGTTTACTCTTATTTTTGCTAGTCAGATGCCTGGGTGCCCTTGGGGGCCCGCTGGTGGTATCACGTTTGTCAAAAACATGCTGGCTCCCTAGGACTTTGCGAGCTCTGTCTATGGGAGCCACAGTAGCTTCCGTGGCAGCCAGGAATAGGGCGGCTGCCACAATCTGGGTAAAACGCATGTTGGGTGCTGATTTTGTATGTCCTCCAGAGGTTCTCCGGGGTATGCAGAAGAGCAAATCTCTTTTTCGAGTCTGGGTTGTTGGTGATGAGTGAAGAAAAATGGGAGAAGAGAAGCAGGATAATCTATAGTTTTTATACTGAGTATTTGCTCCTCTTTGGAGACTCATATGGCCCATTGTTCAGATGAATTCGGAGTGTCCTCTCCTCCGGCCATGTCATAGCCGTATGTTTCCGTAGCACGGCCCGTAAAATGTATCCGTCTTGAGCAGTGGAATGAATATGGATTGATGGATCATGTTGACGGCTCCATTGCTTAAGTCCATGTTTGATTAAAAGATTGACAATGTAGATTCCCAGTTGGGAAATTGTGGTCTGTTTCCCATCAACACAGAATTGATATATCAAGACGGTATGGAGAACAGTGAATTGAGTCATGGACCATGAGTTGCGGGTCTTGTGTGACATAGAAACAGTTGTTCCCGCTCTTTTTGCACATCACTGGGCCTGATATCGATGAATTATATCGGGCGGAATCTCCGGTAACTCATCAAGAAGGGATTATTTATATATCCTTAATTCATGGGAGCTGATGAGCCTTTTAAATGAAAAGCTTGTCTACAGCCACTGTCTTATAACCACAAGTGCTTGTCGCAGTAGTTCAGCAGAGCGTTAGCTGGTTCTTTCCGGAGATTAATGCCATCTGCATCCGTTAAACCACAGGATATAGTATGGACTAAAGCCAATGGGGTGGGAACATGTCTGGAGCCATATGCAGAAGCCTGTGTCCATGCCTCTTAGCAGCGGCACTATCATATAAAAAACATTTGGCGCCTCTTAACTTTAGTCAGAAGATCAGCGACAGGTATCTCCCTCCGTCGTGCTATAGCAGACTCGCCTCGTCCTTATCCTTGACCCTGTAGTCTTATCTTGTTTCTCGCTCTGTGGAGTTTTTTTGGACTCTTTTATATCCGCAGCTCAGACAACATCCGTCACATGTTTTTGTCCCTCTCATTGGCTGTTCGTTGATCTCCCGCTCTAGGTTAAAATTCCGGTCGGAAGATACCGTGAGGCTTTTTCTGTGCGTCTGCCGAGTACGCCTCGCTGCATATTGAACCGAGCTCCCCGTCGGTGGGTTTTGTGCGTGTGCTTGTTCACTCGCAGGTTTCTGCGTGGAGCGGCAGTGCGGGTAACTATATCAGGGATTCATCCCTGTCTAACCCAAACCATAGCAACCGGACTTGTGTTTGTTCTTTCGGATATCATACAAACACTCAAGTGTACCTCGTTATGCATATGCAGCTGGGTAGCATTTCACATTGTCTCCTCGGATATATGTGTATGGTCCATGTATGCCAATTATTTGACCATTCTAAGTTGCTGCGCCCATAGTGTTGTCTTGCCCCCGGCATCCGGAGTCTTCACAAAGCTTGGATTCTTCATCATGGCCTCAAGCACATTTGCATCGCCTAGTTTAATCGTGTGGTGGGCCATTATCTGCTCATTAAGGCTGACATATCCCCCACGTCGTCGAGTTTAAGGAACGTCATTGTGCATCCAACACTGCCGTGACATAGAGCCGTGATGTATATGTGGTGTCACCTGCATCATGTTTCCGTTCGGGCTGATGGGATGTCTGGTATCAAATTGAACAAGAGCTTTAATGCCGGATATGGGTTTTGGATGCATGTGTGATGGAACAAGCTTTTGCCGGAGCTGTCTGCTTCTGGAGCCTCACCTCCATGTTTGACAATTGACAACCATCCTCATACGTCCGTGATCATCTAGCAAACAAGCCACGCCATACGACTATCCCTGTCTTTACCTTTAATATGATAACTACACCTTCCCAAGACAGCGAAACAGCTTTCGATTCTGCTTTTGCTCACGCTTGCGACCAACAGAGCGGATAGTGCCATGTTTATTCCGCCGTCGAATACTCTGGTTCACACCGGCACTCACGAGGGACTCAACAGGATCTGCATAGTAGTCTTAAGCGGCATGTCAGTGGTCGATTCGTTATAGAATTCTCCAAATAGGTCGTACGCTTTACTCATTCCATCAGGCCTTCTATATTGGAATACTGACATGGCCTTGTACTTGCGTAATCTCGTGCAATAAGAGCCTTACAAGAAGCAATACCCTGCTGAGCCCTCCATATCCCGTATTTTATCCATAGCTTCTAAGCGTTCTCAGAAATGCGATACTTTCAACATACTAGAATATAAGGGTTAGCATAGCCCGTTTCAACTTCTAATCAGCCAATCAAACAGAGAGATATGCGCCCTTCGACTTATTAATCTCGTTGCAAACATTTTGTGCACTTCCGCCTTCTTGTAATCAAATCAATCACTCTGCAACCTTTTGAGATGACGCTCAAAGGAATTTTAAAGCCTCCCATAGCGATTATGCTCAATAAATCAAAGCTTGTTCTACTTCCTGTATCCATGGATATCTACTGAAGCAGTACTATGTATGTATATGCAACCTTGAAGCTTGGGATGTGGTTAGTTATACGCCTATGAGACATCCATGGTGAGATTTCCCCACGGCGGATGCAATCCGATTTCTTAAAACGTTCTCCGACAATTCCAGGTAAAAATATATAACTACCAAGTAACCTCTTGGTATTGTAGATCATTCTTTCGAGTACCAATATCTCAAGTGATGCTTTGACGTCGTTACAAATACGGGACTGTGGGGAGTAAAGGCAAGCAAGAAGCTTGTCTAAATAAACGGACTATTTTAGATCTACTCAGGTAATTTGAGATGGATTCCTTGCCAGACGCACGATCTCCCAATCTACACCTCGCTCACCCAACACAAAGCGAGAATCTTTCGATATGGGTTGACTCATCGGAAGAATGGAAGGCAGCTCTGAGCGCTTCAGAGTACATCGATGAGTATCAATATCTCATGACTGTAACGTACCTCTCGAAGGGTGCTAATCGATAAAGCCCTCCCAGAAAACCAGCGAACTATTCTCGCTTCATGTGAAACGTTTCGGAAAAGCTCCCTTACCCAGGGTCTGGATGGGACTGTCAAAGATACAATCACTCATGGGGTTTCGAGTCTATGCTGCGAACCTAAATATCGAGGTCGAGGCTATGCTTCACGGCTGTTAGATGAACTGTCGCAGCTGCTTCCAAGCTGGCAGACTGATAGGAGGGAGTGCGTTGCAAGCATCCTGTTTTCCGACATTGGAGGAGACTTTTATGGGAATCGTGGATGGCGCCCTTACCCCAGTCACAATATTGGATTTGACCCGGCATTTGTGCAAATACCCTCTGCTAAGCCTATACTGATCACTGATCTTGATCCGCTATGCATACTCGATGAGCAGCTCGTGCGGAAATCCATGGCAGCTGCAGGTCCAGGGAGATTACGACATACAATCATACCGGATGTCGATCATATAATTGTGGCACGGGTGTAGGGAAAAGTTTGCATGCGAGAAGCTATATTTGGGAAAGTGCCCGATATAAAAGGGGCCATCATTGGAGACCTCGGAAATAGAGTATGGGTTCTCTGGAAGCACCGATTCGATGGGACTCCAGGAGATAAGGAAGCGGCAAACACTCTGTATATTTTGGTTGTGGAGAACCGAACGGTTCTCCGGAGTTTTTCCACAGTGCCCGCGCAATTGGTAGCTCTCCGTGAGGAGCAAGAACTTCTAGTCCGGTATGTTCGACTCTGTAGAGATATGGGACCCATCAGTTCAAGTCCAAAACTTGATACAGCGAGCCCAGATTCTACATAGGAAGGAAACGAGGCTAGATAAGGAAGCCACCGTTGAATGGGTTGCAATTGAAAAATATTGTTGATGTTGATCGTCATGACTTGTATATAATTGTAGCTAGAAATACCTAAATACAATAGACGCAGTAGATTAGGTTAGGAGACATAAGCCCACAGTCGTGATCCATATTGAGTGCATCTGTTCTTAATTTGCGGCCGGACTTGGTCTGAAGACAAACAAGCTTTCTTCGTAGAGTACCGATTCGCCTTTAGTCCCGACTCCGTTTAATTTCATCGATATCTTTCCTTCGTCTACGAACCCCAGTTTTTTGTAGAACAGTACAGCATCCATCGTACTCTCAAGGGCTGCCGAGACTTGCTCCTTATTGCAGTGCTCAAGACCCCATTTGACAAGTAAGCTTGCCGCGCCCTGGCGTTCATATTCGCGGTCAGTAGCTATGAAACTGAGGCCTGGGGGGTGGTTAACGTCAAGACTGCAGGGGGAAATCAAAAGAGGGTGGACAACATACGGTAGCATGGCGAATCCCCAATAATCTTTCGGTTCATATCATCGACTCTTGCACCCCATTCACCTAGAATGCCCAGGTTTGTTCCCTCAGGCCATTGCCACGGATGCTCTTCGCACTTTTCAGATATGTATATCGGACGACGCCATTTCGCAAAACTGATTGGGCGTCCCTGACCATGTCGGACAACTAATACCGCCCATCTGGGGTCTCGAATCTCCTCTCTGATCTTTCCAGCCAGACAATTCCTCAGACCATCTCGGGCAGCGGTAGTTGGGAATTGAGCAAGAAGCATGTAATTGGTGCCAAAGGCACTCATATGGAGGTCAGCAATGCGCTGGGCGTCCGACTCTTTTGCTTCCTCGAGAACAAGGCCCAGAGACGCTGAATTAACCATCATGTAGAAACAAGAACGTAAGAATGAAATTTTACTCATATGCATCAAGTATCTTCTCGGAATATTTTGAGGGAATCAACGCCTCGCGCACTGCTTTGGCTGCATCATGAAAAAGCTTTAACCCAACTGGGTATCGAGAAAACCAGTCCCCTAAATATTCCCATGGAGAACCGTGATGGGATTGTATTAACTTGAAGTCTCTAGAACTACCACGAAATATACGAATTTATCCCTGAGTAAGTTGCATATTGACAATTATACATTACGTAGTAGGCAAAGGGGCAGGCATGAGGCAGTGGAAGGGCAGTTATAGGACAACAAGTTAGACGGCCTATGCATAGACAAGTCTCCGTGGCACAACTGGTTAGCGCGTCAGACTGTTAGCAGCAATCTGCTGAGTCATCTGGAGGTTCACAGTTCGATCCTGTGCGGGGACGTCTTCTTTTTTTTCCTTTTCTTGACTGGCTTGCTTAGTCATCATATAAACCCTTCTCCCTCGGAAGATATTTTACCAAGACGGTGCAAATATCCACCCTCTAGACTTATTTTATGTTAATTTGATGCTCTTAACCATTGACCTGGTCCTTAGACCAAAGCTATATTAAACGTCTATATACTTAAAGTATGCGAATTGGCAGCAGCCTCAGTAAATATAAAGATTACCTTAATCATGGACTACTGTTTTCACAAAAGGCACGCAGTTATTGCTCTATAAAAATAAAATATCTTTAGTTTTTGGACGGCCGGTTATTATTGATGTCTTTCAAAATTGTAGCAGCTCCAGCCTCTAACAGTCGCGCAGCTAATTCTTGTCCGAGCGCGGTAGCCTCATCTTTGGTAGACACCGTCGCATCAATGCTATCTTCAACACTTCGGGAACCGTCAAGGCTAATAACTATTCCTCTTATTCTCAGGGTTAGGTAAACCTCCGAGTCACCAATCCACTCTGTTTCAACGCCAATTGGCACACTGCAACCACCCTCAAGCGTACGCATCAGAGCACGCTCGGCAAGGCATGCAAGGCTAGATTTGTGGTCTACCAATTGGTCCAGTAAATGTAGGATTTTGGTATCTCCTTTCCGAACCTCGAGGCCAATTGCACCTTGACCAACTGCGTGTAGAATCCCACCATCCTTAGAGCCTATCCGTTGGTTGATACGATAGCCAAGTCCAACACGTTCAAGCCCACAAGCAGACATTATTATGCAGGTATACTCACTCTGCGGATCATCAAGCTTTGCTAGGCGGGTTTCAACATTACCACGTATATTGATAAAACGTAAATTCGGAAATAGGCGGCAAAGCTGCGCAGAGCGACGTACTGAAGAAGTACCAACAACAGCACCTTCGGGTAGTGATTGTAAGCTTGTGTAAGGTAGACCAACCTTGACAATCAAAGCATCACGGGGATCATCGCGGAGAGGAATGGCAGCTAAATCACAACTGTCGGGGAGCTTTGTTGGCATATCTGGCCGAAAGTTAGATATTATTTGGATTTGAATGTAAGTTAGTTAGCACTTAGAGAATTTACCTTTAAGACAATGCACAACAACGTCTAGTTTGCCAGAAGTTAGCAATTCCTCCAACTCTGTCGTCCATAGATTCTTTGCACCGAAATTATAAAGAGAACTATTTTGGTCTTTATCTCCAATGGTATGGAGAGCTTCAATTTCAAAAGTGTGCTCCGGTGCAAGCTTCTGTAGCTGATCTTGGATAGCTTTCGCCTGGATAATAGCTAGATTGGATCTTCGTGTGCCAATTCGCAATGGTCTATTAGCGCCTGAGATTTCTGCCATGACGAAGGCGTGCTGTTGAGAAATATGAGTGTTTGCTCTTTGCTGGATTTTGGGATCCTTTCACAGGCAAGGCTTTTGCAGGTCTTGCGCGAGACGCTATCTTTCACGTGACTGTGCCCGGCTTCGCAGGTTATTTTGCTACTCCGTAACATCAAGACATTTACTTGCTTGGGTTTAACGGCGACTATTAAACAGCAAAATTATATATCAAGAGTGTATGCAGCATTTTCTACACGGAAGGACATCTTAATCCTCATCATCTCTCATCATTCCCAGAGCAATCCCCTTCCTTGCCCTCGGCATTGCTGTACCACCCCCTCTCACCAGTTGCTTGAACCACCCTATCCCCGAATCGTACCATGCCTGTCGAGTCGGGCAGGCAACTGCACTGCTCTGCTCGTCCATGCTACCTATCGTAATGTCCACCATCAAGCCGGTAGGGCTGGAACTAGGCCGTTTAGTAAAATAGGTGAAGTTGGTGCCGCATCGTGAGCAAAAAGTCCGAGTCACATCCTCTGATGATGAAAATTTGGCCAAACACGTCGGTACAGGAGAAAGGTTCGGCTCATCCTCGTAAAATCCCCGTCCGTCTTTCGAACAGGCTTGAAGGGCCGTTTGCTTCACGCGCTCTTCCCCATCCTTTGACGGAGACAGCAAAGCCACATCCCACTCCATCCATTCCTGGGGACAGATAAACCATGCTTGCACTGGAGCCCCGGCGGCATGGCGACAGTCGCTGCAGTGATCAAGAGAGAGTATGGGCAGGTTGATGCTGATATATTCTGTCTCTTCTTTGTTCTCTCTAGCATTTACTGGCACATCGGTTACTTTTGCTGGCGCCCTGAATTTGGCGGCACCGCGGTCTTCTGCACGAGGTACTCTTATTGTATACCGGACTGCCTTGCAGAGACACCCGCCTTGGAGGTTAAGGGCTTCAGATGGAAAACTGGCCATGATGAGTAGATATATGTAGAGCCTCCGTTAAAGATGATGTGCGTACGTACAGTGGAATATATATAACACACGATAGCAACCCCCGCAATTCTCGTATACAGACATTGAAGATATGTGGCGACGCCGATATTCACAACGCGTCGTATCAAGCCAGTGACCAATTAAACAAAATGTTCTGCGTATCTATAAAGTCTAGTGAGCAGTGGTTAATATCCGGCACTTGTCCGATCAACGAAGCTCTCCTAAACCACATATTCAGCCGCAGCAATTCACTCTTTAGCTGAAGTGCAACACCGGTGAAGACGGGATGCCCGCCATTCAAGAAAGCCAAAATCGTATGATAATTGAGCAGCAAGCTGACTATTCTAGTAGAACTAAAACAAAAGTGTATAGGGAGATTCTATGTGTAACGCCCTAATATGAGAATATCAAAGATCAAGGATATCAAGTACCAGCCGAAATAGAAAAAATAAGTAAAAATAAAAATAATGAAATAAAAATGAAGGGGAAACAGAGAGTAAACAACTCCCATGCTGATCAGACAACGAATGCGGCGGAACGTCTTAGAGATTAATAGCGAATCGTTTGCTCGTACGTATGCGTTCTCCATATACGTAGAAGACAACTGGAAGTGGTGCTAGGGCCAGGGCGACAAATCCAAGGAGGGAGTTACCCCATCCTAGACCGAGGGCACGGTACATCCTTTGACCACAAAGGGGTAGTACTGCACCAAAGATAGAACGAAGGACCGTGTTGGCGGCAAGTGCACTAGCAGAGTGAAGAGTAAATGCGTCAACTAGGTAAGTGGAGATGGTCATCTAGAATGAAATATATCAGTATCTTGTTATAGAAATGTGTCATGGAGAGCAAGGGATCTTACAAAGGTAAATATCATGCCAATTCCAACGAATGCAGTTCCGACGATAGGAATCATGTAGTGAACACCTTTCTCAGCAGTCCATCCATACCAGAAGAGGCCGATTGGCACAAAAAGACTGCCAGGGATGAGTGGCGGAAGACGGTACTCAGGCTTCATGACACCACCATTCTTAGCAGCTAGGGATTTGAGCAGACGGTCAGACATTGCGCCAAGAATGCCCAAGCCTAGTAGACATCCAATTCCCACGCCTAAGAATGAAAGACCAACGGTACCTGGATAAAATAACTAGTTAATATAGTTCCAAAACGTCGAGCTATACGGCAAAGGCGTCAAACTCACCCTGAGTAAAGTGGTATTTTCCGATAAAGACACCAGAGATGGTTGTGAACAGAAGGTAGAGATATCCATATACAACAGCTGCATAGAGAGAAAGTAGGAAAACAATGGGAGAGAATAAAAGCATCTTCGTCGGGCGGATGATTGAACGAATGAAGAGCTCCTTTGGCTGTAGCCCGGAGTCTAAAGCAGATTTGAGATTGGTGTTTCCAGTTTCCTTAATAAGTCGTTTGGTCTTGCGGGCCAGAATGGTTGGGTGATAAGACTCATTGAGCCAGATGAACGTGTTGATAGTAACAGCACCGGCCTATTATATTACTTGATTAGATGGAGTTATTCAGCTACTCATCGGCAGAATCACGCTTACCGCAATGGAAAGAACCCAGAAGGTCCATCGCCATCCCAACGCTTCAGTCAAGAATCCCCCAGCAACTGGTCCAATAACCGGTCCAAGTAACGGTCCAAGAGCCCACGCAGCAATAGCACCGCCTCGCTTCTCTTGTCGAATCATATCAGAAATGGTTCCAGCACCAATAGTTAGAGGTGCACTGCCTGCAGCACCAGCCAAAAAACGGAAGCCAATTAGCGAACCAAGAGAGTTGGCGACGGCGCAAGCAATGTTAAACACCACGAAGAGAATGTTGCAGACAGTATATAATGGAACCCGGCCGTACATCTCAGAGAGAGGTGCAATAATCAAAGGGCCAAAAGAAAATCCCAGTAGATAGACGGATACCACGAAAGATGCAAGCTCGGGACTGGAGTTATGGAACTCTTTCATCACTTCTCCGACTCCAGGTGCAAACATGGAGGATCCGAGAGGACTAAGAATAGCATATTAGCCAGCTGGTACATATCAAAACGATTGTTGAGAAGGTATAATTCTTACGTTAGTAGTGTAATAAGGCCAATGGAGGTGACAATGACGATCTTTTTCGTCGATGACCAATTTTCTGGATGTGCAGGGTCATCTGGACCATCCCAATACACAATATTAGGGTCATCATACTCCTTATACCCTTCTGGAACTCTTTTTGTCACTGAAGAAGCTGAAGTCCCCTTCTCAATGTCTGCATTGGCAATCGTAACTGGGGCAGTGGAAACATTCAATCCTTTGTTATCAGTCTTACTCTCAGGCCGGATGCTCTCTAAAGATGTGCTAGGCACTGAGCGTTTGTCTGAGAAAAATGCATTATCATTACCGTCAGAGGTCGAAGGGACAATAGTCGAGGCCTCTGTAAGAACAAATGCAACGTTAGGTAAGAAACGAAAACCGCTTGACTCTACTACAATCGCGTTCACGGCTACATACCGTCACTCTCTGCAAAGTTTGGGATTTGGGGGAGCGAGGAAGGCATCATCAATCTTCTCTCGTGAGCAGCTCTTCCTCGTATGCCTACCCAGCAGAATTTTGCTCAAAAGGAAGCGTAATATGTGTATACAGAAGAGCTCTGGAGTAACACTGTTGGCCAGCAACTGTTGAGCTTGTCTAATATATGGGAAAAAAAAGGAGAACAATATCGGATTTAACGTTACTACCAGTGGGGATAAGAGGAACTGGGTATCTTGACTGGGGCTCGGAGAAAAGGTTGGAAGGAAGATAAAAGCATAAGAGAAACCAGTTCTCAGATATATACCTAAGAGAAGGAAAAATAAACACACACATATATATATGTTATGTATATATAACCTGGTGGTCCCACACTAGGACTAAGCAACGTCCACTTGCCTGCATCTTGATGAGATCTGATTGCTTGACAGGGACTAGCCGTGTTGACTGTAAAGGTTGTGCTGAAGTTATGCATTCACAGCAGAGCTCAAGTCGGCATAAAGGAGGCAAAATTGGCATGATACTGCTTCTGCGGGCCGTTGTGCTTCCCTCGTGGCCAATCTCTGATCAGAACTGATGAAACAGTGGGAGAAGTATCGGGCAAGAAACTTGCCGATGATGTATCGTATATTTAGCGCAGAACTCTACAGGGACAAGAAGTCGGGAATCCGAACGAGGCCATGAAACCCGGTCAGAGCCTTCATGATAGAGTACATAATTTATGTACGAAGCCCTAACCAGCGAGTGAGGAACAGCAAGGCAAGGTAATATTCTGTTCTCTTCGTGCGGGTTATAGGCCCTCGATTGAAGCCATGACGTTATCATGCCCAGTGGATCGGTGAGACTATTATGCTGCTATTCATAGCAGTCATCGTCATCTACCACCCCTTTTTGTCCTCCATTGTGCCATTCTGCCGGAGAGCGTGGAGAAGACAGGGGCGGAAGGGTTGACCCGGAGCCCATAGCACCGAGATGACTCTGAGATCCAATGCACAAGGGGCTTTATGTGCACAAATCTAAGCACTGCACAAGCTTTAATGCGCCGAAACTCGTGGTGGCGGACGAGACGCGGACTTTAGTTCTCCATCCTCGAAGCCTTGCATGCGTGCTGGTTGCACGGTCACAGCGCGGTTATGCAAGGCTCTCTCTTCTCCGTACTCCCTCCTATCTCCGGCACAATGTGATGCCGTCATGAAGTATTCCGCATGTTGTAATACGAGGTCTGATATCCATGGTTGTTGATATCTAGTGGTTATTTTTTGGTAATATCGCTGAGTAAGCAGCCCTAACTTTGGGGAAAAACATTTATCCCAAAACTTAGTTTTGACCTGACGTGCCGAATACCCGAAAGAAGAAAAGGGGAGGATATTATACATCTGGATTATGGTATGGACATTATTATTTTGATGTGCAAGAAGAAGACGGACGACTAACTACGTTTTTGATTTGGCGGATAGAGGGAACCAGCAGTCAATAGATAAGGCGTGAACAATGAATGTGAATTCCAACTGCGATTGGTTAAACAATAGTTCCCTGGACCTGGTGGATGTTTTTGAGCTCGATATTCCTCCACATAATGACCGATGCCAAAGCTAGTGACAAGACACCGACTCCAGTAACCAACATCCAGCGCTGGCCTTCACCGTAGGCAGCGATAATAGCATTACGTATGGGCGTTCCCACCGGGTGGCCCAATTGAGTGGTCAGGGACGCATAGATCGCTGCAGCTTGATCCTTTGCACTATCAGGGAGTAAGATAGCAAGTTGCTCAGGGATTGTGTGGCTCCAGATAGCCCCCGTAACGGTTTGGCCAATGGCTCCACCGATATTGCTAAATAGGCCAAGCAGTGCAAGGACAATGGCGACTTCACTGTGGCTTGCTGCTGCCATGACCGCTATCTGTTCGCAGATCTGTAGTGTGCCAGCAGAGACAGCGATGATGCACTGACATATGATCACTGATGCAATATTAGAGCCTGGTTTGCGGTACAGTATCATAAGGCCAATTCCAAGAGCTTGAAACGGGACCGCGGCCAGAGCGAATGGTTTAAAGCGGCCGGTTACGCGGATGATACTAGAAAGGTTTCTTAGTTCAATAGCCAAAGGTAGAAACGTGAGATCGGGAGCAGAGACTCACGCTCCAATAACGAGGGCCCAGATACATCCTCCAATATTAAAGATGTTTGCAATATAGCCAGCATTCCGTACGCTTTGGTTGTGGACTACCTGTAGGTAGGATAGGAAGTATAGGTCCCAGCAGCTAGTTTACCATTAGCAAGGATACAAAAACAAGGCTGGTAGGAAGTCAAGTGTAAGCTTACTAGAAGCTGCAGAATAGAGTCGCACTCAGGAGACAACCGCCAAGTACAGTTCTGTCAGTCAACAGATGGAATGGCGCGAAGTGGACCTTGGCAAAACGGTATTCCCATATAAAAAATGCAGGCAAGCAGCAACCACCGATAGCAGCCATTAATATCATAGCGGGAGACTTCCATTTTTCAGCCTGGTACGTTGCGAGATTTATCGGGAGAAGCAAAAGAGTAAGTCCAGCAATGATGAGGACCATTCCAAAAACTATTTAATAAAGTCAGCTTCATGAGTCTCCTTAAAGGAGACAAGGGGTGTACATACCGTCAAACTCGATTGTATAATGAATAACAGTCTGCCATAATGTACGATCCGATCTGCGGTTTTTCAAGTATCCCATCTCAATAGCCTTGTTACTACTGCGAATGAAAATAACTACCATTGGCAGCGAAGCAAGCGGAATAACGACCGAAAAGGTGCCAAAAGCCCATCGCCAACCATATGACTTGAGAAAAGCTTGTGCCAATGCAGGGCCGGCGAAGGTAGTGGCAATGAACGGGCTATTAGAGAATGCAAGGAGCCAGCCTCGATTTTTGAGGCTAGACGTGTCTGCCAGGAACACGTCGAGGACATATGCGATACCATTGTTTCCAACCCAGTAGAAAACCTGTTAAACCTGTCAGTTTACATGTACATATTAATACCTAACTAACTATCGAGCTATTCACCTGGGCAGCAGCAAATGCCTCAATAGAATTGCTAGTAGCCATCATGATCATACCTATGGAAGACATGTTTAGTGTCATTCTCTTCTCAAGAGCTCATAGGCTACTTACCCAAAACACAAAAAGTGACCATTAATATATATCCCTCTGTACGACCCCAGATATCGATAATTTTAGAAACTGGAAGCTTCATAATAGCTCCAACAAGACTTGACACAACCGAGATAGTGGAGAGAAGAGAATGTTTGGCGAAAGCACTGGTAACATAAGGATTAAGGCTGCTAGCCATCTGTTGCTGTAGTGAATTAACGAAAAACACCAAAAAGACCCTGATTTAATATAATTTAGTCAAAGATTATTTTGAAATAGAAAAATTTTTTTTTTAAAGAGGCAACTAATAGACATACCCGACATAAGCTATGGTTAGTGGCTTTCGTGACCAGGCTGCAGCTACGGCTTCGGCCTGTTTGACTCCAAATTGAATACTGTCGGAACAAGAATCATCATCAACATACGCCTCGGAGACAACCACGTTATTGTCAGAGGGAGCAGGGTATTTCTCGGAAATTTGACCTGATCCAGTGGAGTTGCGTTTCGACTGTGGAAAAATAGTAGACTCTGAATTGAATAGCGTTGGTAGTCGTTGATTCCATCGTGCCTCCGAAAAGAATTGCTTAAATGGCAATTGCCGTGGTGATTGTACAGGTGGGGCCTCGAATATTGGTTGTGGGAGTGATGCAGGTTGCGGGACCGGTAGCATCCGCCTTAGCCTGGACCGCCAGGTGGCCGCCTCGGGATGTGGTTCCTGTCCATGGTGGTTGGGCGTAGAGGCCTGGTTGTCCAGCTTCTCTGGGCTGGAATTCTGTCCAATTTGGGTCTGCTGCTCTGCTCGTGGATTCGCATCACTTGGAGAAGACGTATCCATTTCGCGTCTCCTCTCCATCTTGAGTTGCTCGTCCGTCTTCCATCCCTGTTCAGTTTTCCATTCTAGTGTTATTTCATCTTGGATATCTCCAGGAGAAGGCCTAGAAGAAGAACAGAGACTATTGGCGCCAGGGATGCTGTTTTTGTCCGACATACTATACCAGAAAGCAATCTCCCAAACCGGGAGTTAGGGCATGTGGTATAAAACGGGGCGATGAGAGGGATAGATTGTAGAAAAGACTACGACCAACCTGCAACTAGGATTCTTTTTTCTCTTTAGATCAGATATTGAGAAGCCTTGGGGTGGGGTTTGGCTGCTCGTGAGATGCTATATTATCCCGGTCGAACGGGGAAGCCGGCTGTCCCAGCATGTTTTTCTGTACGTGATCAGATAAGAGTTGCAGTTCACGTCATGACCCGGGGCTCCAAGCCTATGTTGTGCCATTTTGGCTGGCTGGCCGTTCCCCGGAATCGACGGTAAGCCGATTATCAGATTTTGCGTTTATCTGGACCCGGTATATCTGATCCGTTTTCTCCCAGGGCCGGAACTCAGGTTAGACGACCGGATGGGCCGGTGGTAGTCTTGTTTGTAGGTCTAGGCATATTCCAACCTCATCTGGGGAAAGACATAAAATATGGGTATTCAACGGTTATTTCACACCATGACAGAGCAAGTCATGTCCATAGAGGCCAACCCGATGCTTCATGGCTTGGATAAGGTATCAACTTATTTCCGGCATAGACCCAAGCTAAGGACTTACCGGGCATGTCATTAACAACATCACCACCGCAACAAAATAATCTATTCACCGTCATCCGGCCATGACTTTGACGTTTGATATTAGTTTCACCTTTAGAAGAACTGGGAAAAGGGGCAAACCGGATGACTAAGCTCCAACTTCTGGCCACGAAGAAGTTCGTCGTCGCAAGAGAAGAAGAAGAAGAAGAAGCAAAGAGAGAGCAAGAGAGCAAAGACAAGAACTCTGGGCTCGTACTCGCCTCTTGACTTGTATTGGCAGGGAAGGATAAAGAAGGACACGCTGGCAGCCCTACCTTTTTCCCTTTCTTTATTCTCATTTATGTAGCATCTGCAACTGGGGGGCTCAATGCCGTTGTCACACCGTTAAAGACGTTATATACAAGAGACGAAAGATATACAGAGAAGCAGCTGGATTCCACGATGTTGTCCCACCGACCAGCGTCGCGATTCTTCATCCTGACCGGCCTGGCCGTGTTCTTCATCCTCACCATATCCTTCTTCCGGGTATCGCCCATGAGCCCCGAGACCCGAGCACCAGGCCATCTGGTGCAGCAGCCGAAACCCAAGGCGAAGGAAGTCGATATCACGCCGTCGATGCTGGCGGGGGAGTCGATCATGCCGACACTAGAGAATAAGACGGCCAAGTAGGTCATGCTTTTCCGCGACGGGTTTAGGGAGACAAGCAATGCTGATATGGAGATGAACTGTGTACAGGGCCGAGCTAGGACGGTCGTCCTGGCACCTCTTCCATACGGTGATGGCACGATACCCTGAGAAACCGACGGGCGAGGACCAGAGGGCGCTGAGTGCATACGTCTACCTCTTTGCGAGACTGTACCCGTGGTATGTTCAGGAGGAAAGTTTGAAGAGCCCATACAGACACTTACTTGCTACTTCTTCTAGCGGCGACTGCGCAGCACACTTCATCAAGCTGCTCAAGACATACCCTCCGCAGACCTCGTCACGAAACGCAGCAGCAGGCTGGGGCTGCCTGGTACACAACGAGGTGAACAGGCGACTGAAGAAAGATCCATTCGACTGTACCAAGATAGGAGACTTCTACGACTGTGGCTGTGGCGACAAAGCCAAAGACGACAAGAAGTCAGAAGACAAGAGCAAGGGCAAAGACGACAAGAAGAGTGGCCAAGACAGCGCAAAGGAAGCTGGCAAGACGGAGGAGAAGCCCAGGAAACCGAAAAAGCTGCTCTGGGGAGATAGCAACGGGCCGTTCCCTGGCGGGCCGGTGGAGATAACAGATGAGCCGTAAGTGATCTCGTCCACACACACACACACACACACATTCTCTCTCCCCCCCCTTTGGGCCACCTCTAACCATGAAATGATACTTGCAGACGCACGAATGGTTGATCTAAGCGCCGTGATATTATACCCACTCGCCTGCATCAGCAACCCAGCATCTTCCGCCCTCCGTGAACAAATGACAAGTGACCATGATCTCAGCCGGCGTTATCTGTATACTAAGGAAGTATAGAAGCGTGTATTTATTATTTATATATATCCCATGTCGATGTCGATTACCAAACTACACAACACGCCCATCCCCCATGTTTCCCCGAAACAAGGCATCCCCACCACCCCTATGGCTATCCGACCCTGCTCTTGTTACAGGATGCATGTCCGTAGTCAGCAGTATACAGCAGAACAGCGCAGAAGAGCGCAATAAAAGGGGGTGTCTGGTGTCGCGCATTAGACTTTGATGATCATGGGATGGAGGTCAGGAGGATGCGAGTCGTATAGATGCGCAGACTGCCTAGAGATCTTTTCATCTATACCATCTATATGCCATCTATAGCTTGTTGGTGCATCTGCATCTATGTATATAAATATCTTTGCTGGTCGTTTTATGCAAGGCCGGCGGCAAGCAACATCCAGGCGGTTTCGTGTCATGCGCATCAACATAACGTCTTCATCTTCTCTCATCGTATAGCATCTTCTTGTTCTTCTTCTTCTCTTCTCGTCTTCTCTTCTCGTCTGTTCTTTTAATCAGTCTAAATATAGTCAGTCAGCATCAACATCCGATTCGACCTTTTTCCCGATAGGCAGCAAGAACTTTTTTACCGTTTTTTCTTCTTCGCGAGGCTCGCAAAAAGCAACGAGAAGAAGTACGAAGCGAGCAAGAAGAAGAAAAAAGGGGCGCCTCTTGACTCTATTCTTCTCTTAAATTAAGAATAAGAATCTCTTATCGGCCTTATCAGGATTCATCGTCGTCGTCGTTATTTTTGCTGCTCGCATCCAACAGCGCATCGCCAAACGCCAAACCGTCCCGTATAACATACTGACCGGCCTTGGAGGACGCAGCTATGGTCTCGTTCCAATGCGAGGTGAGTTGTCCTTTTTGTCTAACGCACACTTTATCTGCTGGACTAACGGGATGTCTCTATCAGGGCTGCGGAGATGTTCTCACCAAGAAGAAACTTGACCCTCATCGCGGTCAGTGTCGCGGCGCCTCCTTCTCGTGTCTGGACTGCATGGTGCATTTCCAGGGCACAGAGTATAGATCCCACACTGTACGTCTTGCTCTCTTACGGCTACTCTATCATGTTTGGCCCCGTCGCGGTGCAGTTGCGCAGCTTTTTGCCTATTGGCCGCCCTATATCAGGCTTTTTTTTCTACGGAGCTTCAGCTGGGACTAACACGATGGACAGTCTTGCATGACCGAGGCGCAAAAGTATCAGGGCGCATTATATAAAGAGAAGCCAGCGAAGAACACGAAGAAGAAAGCTGTCACCATAGCTGAGGACGCTGTTGTCAAGTCTCTCAACCCATACGTCGAAGATGCGCCCGATGTAGACGACTATCGTGGAGCACCACCGCCAGCACCCAGCCCTCCTCAGGTTAAAAACACAGACACAACCGTGGCTAAACCAAGGTCTGAGAAGATCGATGTGTTCGACTTTCTCGACTCATCTACTACCCCCAACGCCTCCAAGACCGATCTCAATGAGTCCATGACCATGGTCGACCATGCCCCTCCCATCTTCAACTCGCCCAAGCAGCTTGCCCGGATAGATAGCGAGCGGGATGAGGAGGACGCAGGATACGATGTTGCCTATGAAGAGAACGGCTTCTCGTACGGGGCGGGCCCGATACCACCTGCGCCGCCGTACAGACAGGATTCCAACATGTCTCTCCTCTCCGCCGGATCGAGCGAGCTCATGACTCCTGCGCAGAAATGGGAGCGGGAGCGGCAGCAGTGGCTTCACGACCGGCGCGTAAGGCGAGACCGTCCTCCTCCGTCTCTCGAGCGCAGCAGGACCGACAGCAGTCTCACCACGAGTGACAAGAAGCGAAAACGCGGACAGCCTGGTCCCTCCGACTCAAACGCAGCTCCAGAGCACTCGCGCTATGACTACGAGGTTGACACTCCCATGATGGATGCCTCCGTATCAGGTCATCCCGCCCTCCACGACCGCCCTCCACCATTACTGCATTCAGGTCTGACCGGCAACCTCAGCCGTATGATGCGTTACTCGGTCTCACCAGACTACTCGGACGAGTACCGTAGCGACAACTCCAACGGCGAGTACGCGCGCGGACAGGACCACGAGCAGAGCTCGCCCATCAAACGCAGCAAACGCAACAAGGAGCCCGCTGGACCTGGAGAGAACGGCCTGGGAATATCGATGAAGGGGCAGGGTCGCACAGCAGGGAAGCTCATCTCGCTCCTCAGTGCTGGCGCCACTATCGACCCGACAACCAAGGCACTCGTGCGAACCAAGAGACGCACCTCAGAGGGGTCGTCTGCCGCAACCCCTGTGGCCTCCACATCACGCGAACTCATGCAGGCGAAGAAAACTAAACGGCCAAAGACACGCCAGCTGTCCGAGGTCGGCAGCTCCAGCAAGACTCGGCGCAGGATAAGCGGCAGCAACGCACCCGAGGACACCGACTCGGAACGAGCCGACAAGGACCAGCGCAAGATGAAGGCGATTGAGTATAAACGCCTCAACGACTCGGACGAAGGGGTCGCCAAACGCAGCAAGACGGACAACAGCCAGATGGTCCTCTATAAAACCGGCCACGGCGACGAGAGCGAGTTCGATGAGAAACTCCGTGTCGAGAAGGCCAGCGTCTTCTTGTCCCTGGTCAACAAGGGACCTGACAGCGAGCGCGGATGTTCAGTGCACAAGATCTTGAAGCGCTATCATCGTCTCGAGTCGCCGTCTCGCTCTGGTTCGCCGGAGGCCAGGGACAGGGACAAGGACGGTAAGGAAAGCTCCAAGTCGAGAGGACGAGGCCGGGGACGCAACCGAGCCGGCGAGAAGGAGAGAAAGGAAGAGGAAGAGCAGCAGCTTTGGCGCACGCTGAGAGTCAAGAGGAATGACAACGGCGAGATGGTCCTTTTCCTGCCGTGATGTTTTCATTATTTGCCTATCTACTAATGATCGATGTGTAATCTTTGACCGAAGCATGAGCGTCTTCCCATATGTTTCTATTTATCTTGTTCGTCCTTTATTTTATCTTCATTAATATATTTTCTTGCTATTCATCTTCTTCATCTCGTATAAAAAAAGGTGACTCAATATGAGTTTTCGATTCTCCACCAAGAAAAAGTTCAAACACAATAAAATACTTAATAAAAAGCTGCTATTTCACAACTTCGAGCTTCTTCTTCTTCTTCCTCTCTTTTCTTTATTATTTCTGTCTTTTTTTTTTTAGCATTTATTCAGCGTCCCCCGTTTTGACGGGATTTTTCTGCTTGCGTCCAGCTTCAAAAGGCATCAACCCGGAGTTAAACATCTTGAATCTGCTTTGTACAAGAAACCCCGAGCTTGAGAAGCTGATTCTTGATTCTTCTCGTGTTTCAGCGTATCTGGAGAGCTGGATATTTCATATACTCTGTTCTCTGGTGCAGACGGTGCTAGACAGAGCATGACGTCGGTAGATGTGCCCGCGCCTACGACAGCTTCGTCTTCGGTGGCTAATACAGCTAATGGACCTTTGCGGCCGCATGGAGGTCATAGAGGAGGTAGAGGCAGAGTCTCGCATCGTCGAGGAAGAGGACGAGGACGAGGCGATGGAGTTGCAGTTGTAGATGGAGCTCAGCAGCAGCAGCAGCCAGAAGGACAACCACAGCCACCACAGGAACAAGAACAGCAACGAAGGCCCAGACGCGGTCGAGGGAGAGGAAGAGGCGCCTCTCACGCCGGACGGTCAGAAGTAGTGACGACAAGGACGTTTCGTGGCAGGTTGACCCGGCCAAACGAGCCCGCATCCCCAAGCTCAGCTCATGGAAGCACCAGCAACCACACGTCTCAAGGCCAGAAACACAGTGACGGAGCCGAGTCTTCCTCCTTACGGCCAGATGCGTCGGTGTTTGTGCCTGGACGGCGTCACCAGGCTCTTCATCCTGCTCCTCCTTCATCCTCCACAGCATCTACTCCGAAACAGCCACGACGGCACCATAACAAACCTACCAGGTCTCTCACCAAATCGGTAGCAGACAACATCACCACGCGTATCCACGAGGATATCTCAAACGGGCTCTATGAGTGTCCAATCTGCACGTCTGAACTTGGCCCCAAGTCCAAGGTCTGGTCATGCAGACAGTGCTGGACCGTTTTCCATCTCCACTGTATCAAGAAATGGTCAACTAACGAGGGATCCGTACACACCAGGCCACGGGATCAGGAACAGCAGGATGACTCCCAGCTTCCCCCTGCCCGTCAGTGGAGGTGTCCTGGCTGCAATCTCCCACAAGACACTCTTCCGTCAGGGTATACTTGCTGGTGCGAAAAGGAGGTGGATATCAGATCTCTCCCTGGCCTCCCTCCTCACTCATGTGGCCAGTCCTGTTCTCGATCCAGAGAAGGATGCCCTCACCCTTGCGATTCTGTCTGCCATGCTGGACCCTGTGCCCCATGTCAAGCCATGGGCCCTGTGCAGAGCTGCTACTGCGGAAGGCATGAGGCCCAGAAGAAATGTGTAGACACAGACTATACCTCTGGATGGAGCTGTAGAGAAACATGCGAAGAAGTTCTTCCATGTCTACAACATACCTGCCAACGTGCATGCCACGAAGGCCTTTGTGGAGAGTGTGAAGAACTAGTTCCAGCAAGATGCTACTGCGGCAAAGTTTCTAACAAAATATTGTGCAATCTCAAGGAAGAAGAAAGAGAAAGCCGGAACCAGAAAGAATCTTGGATTGGTTCTTTCACCTGTCCCGATATTTGTGGCAGGCTATATGATTGTGGAATCCACCAGTGTGAAAAACTCTGCCATCCACAGGAATTACAACCTTCTCACTGCCCTACTGCCCCTGATATGATTTCATACTGTACCTGTGGGAAGACTAAGCTTGCTGATATGGACACTGAGCCGCGCAAGACCTGTACGGGCCCTGTTCCAAACTGCCAGAAGAGCTGCGACAAGCTCCTGAAATGTGGCCACACCTGCCCGAAGGCATGCCATACCGGCCCCTGTCCGCCATGTTTTGTCACCACGGATATCTCATGCATGTGTGGACGAAGTACCTCGAAGACACTGTGTCATCAGGGGAAGTTAGAGCCGCCCTCATGCATGCGCGTGTGCAAGGCGGCACTAAACTGCGGAAGGCATGTCTGCGGCGAACGATGCTGCACTGGCGAACGCAAGGCCATAGATCGACTCGCGACCAAGAAGAAACTCAAGTCTATGAATGTCAGACAAGCCGACGAGACCGATATCGAGGCAGAGCATATCTGTACCCGAGTGTGTGGCAGATTACTGAAATGTGGCACCCATGAATGTCAAGAGCTATGCCATCGGGGCCCCTGTGCTAGGTGTCCAGAGGCCATCTTCCACGAAATTACATGCAACTGCGGCAGATCAGTTCTCTACCCTCCCCTCCCATGCGGTACAGGGCCGCCTCCTTGCAACTTCAACTGCGGTCGAGCGAAACGATGTGGTCATCCTCAGACGCCACACAACTGCCATACCGATGACGAGGCTTGCCCCAAGTGTCCATTCTTGACAGAAAAGAGGTGTCTATGTGGCAAGAAAGTCCTCAAGAACCAGCCTTGCTGGCTGGTTGATGGTAGATGTGGACTTGTCTGCGGCCAGGAACTACAGTGTGGCTCTCACACATGCAAAAAGGAATGTCACCGCCCTGGTGATTGTGAGGATTCGACGACTGGATGCCAACAGCCATGCGGGAAGGTTAAGAAGCAATGCTCTCATATTTGCACTGAACCATGTCATGCGCCGTTCCCATGCCCTGAAAAGACCCCTTGCCAGTCAAAGATTATAATTACATGCCAGTGTGGACGGATGAAGCAGGAAAAACGCTGTGGTGCATCCAAGGACAAAGACCGTCAGGGCCATGAAGCTCCTTCCTCTCTACCCTGTGATGAAGAATGCGGTCGAATCCAGCGTAATCGCGCCATTGCCTCTGCCTTTGGGCTTTGTGTCGACCCCTCAGCCTCCAGCAACGCAGCAGCATCTGAGCCGCTCACTCTCGAGAATCTACCATACTCCAAGGGCACTCTTGATATGTACATGGAACTTGCTTCATCTTCTTCACTTTCAGCTATAGAAACCTGCGAATCCAAACTCTACGACCTAGCACTCAGCATGACTGACCGTTCGGCTCGCTTCCCACCTGCTCGCGCTAACTTCCGCGCATTTGTGCACTCTCTAGCCGAAGACTGGGGGTTCACGTCTGAGAGTTTCGACCCAGAGCCCCATCGGCATGTTGTTGTGTATAAAGCAGGAGGTTGGCTACCGCCATCCCTCGCCGGACCTGGAATAGGCATACGTGGAATGAGCGTCGCCGACTGCGCCAAGTTCCGTGACAGAGAGCGAATGAAAGAGAGAGTCGCAAAGCGTGAAGCTGCCGCCGAACGGACTAGGCTGGAAGCTGTTCTGAAAGACGCATCTTCCGCCAGTGCCAACGACGGATGGGCACAAGTCGTTTCGAGAAAACGCCCTGGAACGAGCAGCAGCCCAATTGAGGCTTCTCCATATGCCTTTGGAACCACCACGCCTAATGATCTGAAGGGAAAGCTGGTCCTGCGCAGCGGCATTGGAGCAGGACGAAATATCGGCTCTAACTCGCGATTCGGTGCACTGGGGATGACTGACGCTGATGAGGGAGTAGTTGAAGACTGGGAGGAAGAAGTAGCGCGCGAGGAGCGAGAGATGGAGGAGAAGATGGATATGCAGCATGACGGAAGCTCTCCAGCTGCTTAATGAATGAATGAATACCCTGCCCTTGCATTGGATGGCTGTCTACGACCACAAAAGCAATGAAACGAATGTGTATGAATACCAATGTTAAAGATAGAATTGCATAGCGAGATGAAGATACAAATCGGTTTAATGAGAGTGTTTAGGCGGTAATCGGTGCAAATAATACATCATAGTCCTGTATTATCTCCAATAAAAAGGCCTGACATGCAAACTTGGACTTGGATTGAGACCAAAGGACAGAAAAGAAATTGAAACCATGGTGCACTTGGGTCAAGTAGACGCTTTCAGTTCATGCTGTGCCGGTCTCTCCCAGCGGGTAACATAGTCTCCAGCCTTCTCTGCATCCTTTCTTGGCCGTATGGTTGTCTGATAGTCTCCATTGACTTCATCGTGCACCGTAACCGGCGTAGGAGGAATATACCCAGACAACGAAATCGGCTCTGTTGCCTCAGAGAAGTGCTTGATGGTCTTTGTGGTGCGACGGATCGCTGCCCATTCGCTCAGGTACTTCTTATAGGCCAAGATATCTATTCCATCTTCCAGGGGAATCTGTAGCTTCCATTCTTCCATCTTCTCAACCTGACTGACATCTCGTTCCACAATTTGTGTGCCTACAAACTGGTCGTCCTTGGTTAGCGCCGCGTACACGGTAAAAATAACCGAGTCAATGTCCCAGGCGGTTGTTGTCATACGCAGTTCGCCAACATTTGCCACCTTATTGAAGTTAAATAACTTCAGACCCTTTGTGCTGGGGTCAATTACGATGTTTCTCGGCGCAAGATCTAGGTGCAGGATACCATAACGTAGATTCAAATCGTCAATCGCATCGGTGATTTGCTTCAGCCAGTGAAAGTAGAAGATACCGCGGTAGTCTTGAAGCGTACCGCCTGAGATATATCGAGTGGTGAATCCGAGGATGTTCTGAGTCACGTCGTCGATAACTGTGCGATGGAAAGGGACGAACAGATCGTTGCCTCTCAGCCCCCTGAGCAGGTGTGCCTCCCGCCATATATACTCGACGCGCTGCATGATCACGGTATACTTGAAGACGACAATCTCTCCCTTCGTCTCGCCGTCAGGGGATTTGTACTCTACCAAATCCATAACACAATTAACTCTCTCGACTTCACGTAGTTCTGACCGGCGTACAACTTGATGCGTATCCAACGGCCCAGTATATTTGGGATACAGAACTTCCAGGGTGACGTCTTCATTAGTGACTCTTTCCAGCTCTCCATTCTTGTCGATGACCATGGTGTGGTCGTCTGGGCCAAGCTGGTCGACGTATCGGCTTATTATGCTGGTGAGCATTTCGTCGTCATCTGCACGTAGTGTCTTGCTGGGCCCGACGACCTGCAGCCATCGACGAGTGTCGCAATCTATGACGGTGCATCTAATAGTGACGAAATCATCAATGGCATAGGGTGAATAGAATCGCTCGTTGGGGTCAATCATTCTGAGGGTCAAGCAACTGCTTATTTGGCTATGTGGGATGAAAAGTAACCACCGCTACGAAAAACTTATTGTCTCTTTCCTATAACCATCCATGCAGGCTGGGCTGCATTACATGAGACTATCACTATCTCTATTGGACCAGACCTGCATACGCGCTTCGAGGATGGATGGCAAAGCCGTTTCTTTTGGGCTGTTTGGCTCTGCCTTTATACCTTTTCTCCTTGCCATACCCAAAAGACCAACGACACGGAGACCATTATTTTCCTTATTGTTATTCCACTATATATATCACGGTTGAGCCATGGCTGAGACCACAAAATGCAAACTCCGAGCCATGAGGAGCAAACCCGCAAACCACAGGATCACGAAATATAAAACAGCAAAGTCCAAACTCGCTAGGCTCAGAGAAGTCCAAGCGAGACAACTTAGATTAAAGGCGACTGAGCGTGAAGATGGGCCTGGGGATCGAGAAACAGCAGCACAAGATACGGAACCTGCTAAAACATTGGAAGGGATTAGCCCGGCCCCTCTTGGAGATGTGCATGTCGAGTCTCCAGAACCTCTACCACCTCTAGTCCTCGAAGATATAGAATCAGTAGAAGAAAGTTTCGAACCGGCCGTACGACATATCCAGCCGAAAGATATGAAACCCTACCTTCGCGACAACAAAAAGTACGAGGTAGACACGAGGACAGGGTGCAGATGTGGATGGTACATCTTCTATTCCGCAATATGCAACCATATATATTGGAAACACCGGGGTACGTGTGGACAGACGTTAACTCGCTCTGGAGTGAACGGCTTCTGTAAATCACCAGCGAAAATGAATCATATCGACGAGGTTAAAGTCACAAAGATGTGTATTGCATGTACAGAGAAGATGTCAAAGCCTATTCGTTAGTAGGAGCAATCACCACAACCCGAATTGTCAGCGAAACACCGGTTGGGTCTTGTTCTGAGGGTGTGATGGAATCTACATATATCTCCGGAACTTTGGGTATTTTTTTTTGCCAGTTGAGGCCATACCTGTCTGTCGATATTATAATAGTATCATTTGCAATCATTCTATGATTATTCATACTGCAGCAGAGTGACGGTGGTAGCCTATTTTCCATTTCTATGATATAGAGGATAAGAATCCTGGCATCCTGCGCGCAGAAAGATTTGCAGGCTAGAATTATGTTGTTGTTCCGACTGGTCTAAGAGGAGCAGGATCTTCTTACATTGCCAGTGAGTTTCATCTTTGCAATGATATTTTTGGAAATCAACATGTACATAGCCAATTCATGCCTCCAATTGACTACCCAACGAAGGCTACCAGAAACATAACTGGGTAGTGAGATATGCAATGTCAACTTTACCTGCATGGGCGGTTATGTATGTATGTATGTATACCCACAGAGGCCCTAAACAAGGAGCGTTTTGGGTAGACATTCTTCCTACCGGCCTCTTCCGTGATGCTGTGACGTCTATAAATATTGACTGGAAGTCCCCCGATATACTATCTCACATTCTCACCCATCTCTCACCCTATCGACTCACACGAACCAGCAAGCCAAATAAAGGGAGACCTTTGTTGGCCAGAACGAGGAACCACGAACATCCTGAGTTTGGCATTTTGCCATGACGGCCCTAGTCGAATATGTCAGCAGACGAGAATTAATCGACTATATGGACAAGAATTTAGTTATTGACAAGAGATCGGATTGCAAGTGTGGATGGTACATCTTCTATTCCGCAATATGCCACCACCAGTTTATGGGGATTCGGTATACATGCGGGGAAAGCGTATCCGGGGCGGGCGGAAGCGCATTTTGCAAGACACCTGCACAGTGCAATATTATGGATGCTCAAGTGCCTGAGAAGTGCAACCAGTGCCAGCATCGTTAGGCTGGCACATACATAGCTGTCGACCTCAACAACACTACCACGGTTTAAAACGATCGATCCAATCTACCGCCACTTGGCCGACAAATATATATGTGGGCCATAACGGACCAAATACCCGCCATCTGCTCATCGCTCATATCCATTTCTATCTTGTCGACTTTAAGCATGTTGAATCCACCGTAGAGAAAGTTTCAACGGATTTCATACCACGTGATAAATTCTTAGTCAGCATAAGAAGTCAGCAAAAAGGAAGAAGCAAAGAAAAGGAAGAAGAAGCAGAAGAAAGGAAGCCGACGAAAGACGGAAGACAGTTTCTCTCTCTCTTTATAACGTACTAGATATATCTTCTTATTATATATATTCATATATATCCACCTTCTTATACACCTATTAGTTATATATACATGTCTTTCAAGGGCTGACTGGGAACCTCCATGCATGCTCCGCCCGTTCCCGTCCGTCCCTGACGCTCTCTTCTCCTACTCGCCCTCCGTGTTGTTTCCCTCTTAGTGTAAGCCTGCCTCGGCCTCTTTCTTACTCGCGCCCTGGCACGAACCAGACGTTGACGTCGCTCGCCGCGGCTAGCGGGCGCTTATCACAGATGTCCATACACAGCATCGCAGCTACAGTCAGCACACTCACCCGTACAACCCTCTGGCCAACATCTCGTCTCTCCTCTGCTCTCTCCTTTTTCTGCTACTCTTTCTTCATGTACCCTCTACTTTGTCCGCTTCTCCTGTACTGCTTCTGCTCTTCCGTCTGCCACCACACTCTGCTGTCCTTCCCAGCCGCTTCTGGACGTCTCATGCTGACTCATCATTTGACAGGCCACGTGACACCTTCACCGCCCTCCCCTTTTAGGAAACTGCAGAAACATCCACAAGAAAGCGAGAAAAAAAAAAGCGAAACAAGATTTCAACGAAGCGCAGCAAAAAAAGGCAAAGCCAGACGCGGGATCGCGATTATATCAACTTCTCCTTGAGTCTCCCTTTCGACCGTCAGCTTGCCTGTCTCTCTCCTCGAGAGAGTGTGTGCACTGTAGAGGGAACGTCTCAGGGTCTACGCGTTGTCATCTTGCTCCATCTACCTTAGACCCTGGAACTCTCCTGCTACGCCCCCCCAGAAAACGCATTCCACAGGAGCTGTCCCACGACCAACTAGACGGGCACAAGTCGGATGGGTGTCTAACTCGCCATGAACGCCTGGCTCCACGATACGCCGCCCGCCATTCCATCGCCCCTTGACCCCGGCGCAGGCAACCCCAACGTCAATGGCCATGGAAACGGGACCGCGTTCGCCAATCCTCCTCCTCCGCCGGCCACCATAGATCCCTCCATGGCCTTCCTCCAGCCTCAATCGCAGCAGTCCCAGCCCCAGTCGCAGTCGCAGTCTCAGTCCCCCGTTCCTTCGGACACTCCCCAGTTCACGCGCATGTTCAATGGCACGACTCCATCCCCGGCATCGCGCATGTCTCCCGGCTTCCATCCGCCAAACTCTGTCGTTCCCTCCAAACGATCGCGGCCAGACGACGGCTTCCTCGTTTCTTCTCCTCGTCAGGTGCCCGGAGGCATCCCTCCAACCTCCGTCTCGCGCTCCCAGACGCCCCAGCATGGCGCCTACCCGGGGTATCAACCTACCGTAGGCGGCGGACCAGCTGTCGTTGGTGCCAATGGAACTTCCCACTTCCCTCCCCCTGCTCCTGGTGCGGCTCCTGGCGGCCCTGCTGCCGCCTTCCACCCCGGTTTTCAGCAACCGGCCTCTTCGACGGCCAGTCCGTCTCCCGTGCCTCAGGAGTTTGACGCGCAGCGGGTACAGACTGCCTCCCCCTCCCCTTTCCCCAATGCCGCTGTACAGCCGGGACAGCAGCCCGGTCAGCCTCCTTCAGATCACGGAAGCCGAGTCGCCACCCCTCAGGCCCCTACTTCTTACCCTCCCGGTCCGCCATACCCGGGTCAGAGTCAGCAGAACCCAGGCCAGAACCCGGCCATGATGCCGGGTTATGCAGCGCATGCTCAGCAGATGGCCGCGCGCCAACAGATGTATCAGATGCACATGGCTAACCAGGTGCGCCAGCAGCAACAGCAGCAGCAGCAACAACAACAACAGCCACCTCCCCAGATGCCGGGCCAGCCAATGTCCAGCCAACAACAGAGCCAGATGGCCGCTATGCGCCATATTCAGCAGCAGCAAGTGCAGCAGCAACAGGTTCAGCAACAGGTGGCTCAACAGCAGGCAGCTCAACAGGCAGCTCAACAGCAGGCACAGGTAGCAGCCCAGCAACAGGCTCAAGCTCAGGCCCAGGCCATGGCCAAACCAACTACACCAGAAGGCTTCCTTCGTGTGCTGCAGAAATTCATGATTCCTCGACGTCTTCCGCTGGACCCCACGCCTATTGTGTGTGGACGGCCAGTTGTGCTGATGCAGCTATATGCCACAGTCATAAAGCTAGGCGGCTCTCAAAAGGTTACCAACACCAATTCCTGGCCAGTTGTCGCTCAACAGCTGCAGTTTCCCGCTATGCAGTATCCCACAGCCGCGCGGGAGATACGGGACCATTATTACCGTAATCTGGCTGCATACGAGCAAGCATGGCTCTCCACGCACCAGAAACCTGGAGAGCAGCCGCCGCCACAGCAGCAGATGCAGATGCCGATACCGCCTCAGGGTGATATGATGTCTCCCGTCAAACCTTTGAACAGTCATTTTGATCCTCAAGCGCCGGCACAGGCGCAGGCACAGGGCTACATACAACCGCCAATGCAACAACCTCAAGCTATGAACGGCTACTCGACACCCAGTAAGCCCAAGCTACAGCAACATTCAAGCTTGAGCCACGCGGAGTCTCTGTCCATGTCTCCCCAATGGACAGAGCATAGCGTCTCCCTCCGTAAAAGAAGATGGCTTCGCTCCGTCAACATACAACTTCAAACAACCCACCCCGGCAGAGTACACGCCATTGACCTTGCCCGAGCCAGCCTTTCATGGTCCAATTGTAATAGACGAGGTATTCCCACTAGGCGAGGATATTCTACGTCTTAAACCATCTGCTCCACGGTTCCATGAGCTAGGCGTAATCGATATACACGCCCTCACTATGAGCCTCAAGTCAGGTCTCATATCCGAAACCCGTCTGGCTCTAGACACATTGACAACCCTCTCCTCCGAACCGGCCATCCATCTCTCTCTCGAAAATTGTGACGACCTACTCCCCACTCTCTTAGATACTGCAACAGACCACCTCGAACTACTTGCCGAACATTCGCCGGAAGTATCAGATGAGATACAGCTGGCTTCATACGAGGAATTACTACGTGGATGCCGCCAGGAGATTGAGTCATTGCTCGACGTTCCACCCTTTGGTAGCCTAGAACACTCCCTCGATCGCGCGGTCGATCGTCTAATCTGCATCACCACGATATTGCGCAACTTCAGCTTCTCGGAATCAAACTTCCCTCTCCTCTCTGCTCCGAGTGTTATACGTTTCCTTGCTCTCGCCATTCGATACATGGGCACCAGGCATCTTTTCCTTCGCACGCATCAGAATACCCTAGACTTCATGAAAGACGTTCTCATTTTCCTCAGTAATCTCGCACACGCCGTACATCTACCGGGTAGAGACGAGGCCCTTGCACTGCTCTATTTCCTCCTTTCATTCGCGCCGTTAACCTCTGCACCTACCTCAGACGACGAACCTCTTATCTTCCCTGCTTACCAGCCCAGCATCCACCGCTACCTTCCAGCGGCGGTAGACAGTCTAGCTAAACTGCTGGCTCGTGATGATCCAAACCGCACCCTCTACAAGTCTATCTTCTCCGACCCTTCTGTCAACGTATCAACAACTAGCACACATGTATCAACAAACCTTCTAACGCGCGCATTCGGCCTCTCCATCTCCATAATACCCGAATACACAAAAGGGAATGTCTTGCCTATAACCGAAACACGCAAGCCATTCCTCATGCAAGGCCTCTTGGCTGCTGAGGTATTATCCTCTCTCGCTGATGCTTCACTCGCCCGCGCCTGGCTAGGTTCCAGCGACGGCTTTGCAATTACTCTTGTCCATCTTGCGGGTCTTTTGAGTGCTGAACGGCCTCGTCAGCCTGTGCCACAACATCCACACCAACACCCACACGCTCTAAGTGCTAGACAAGATGATATGCAGGGATATTATACCATTGTCTCTCGGTCGTTAGGTATTCTAAACAGGCTGGGTTCGAAGGTACGGAGGGCAAACAAGGAGAAACGTGGCGGACTAGACGTGGGATTTAACGTCCTGCCCAAGAAGGAGAATATACTCGGCGCATTGGTTTCAAGGACAATCGATCCAGGCACGCTCAAGTTGCTCTGCGAGTACGAGGGACTATCGGGTTAGCGCCACCGTATCTTTCAATTATCTAGTCTAGCAGCCGATTCCACTAGCAGCTAGATGATTATTATATCATGGTGTGTCCGTGGATTTGGGCTTATGTGAAAAAGGGGTCGGCTACCGTTGAATTTGTCTTTCTATCTCTAACTATTTCCCCCCCTCTGTCTCTCTTTTTCGATTATGTTTTTATTTTACCTTTTCTCTTTGTGTCTTTCAACTTCTTTTCGCCGTCGTCTTCCTGTTGGAATTGGTTCATTCTCATTCAATTCATTCTAGGAAGATGACGATGTTTTCAGATTGGTTTGGACGAGGAGGGAATTGTATGTATGTATCTATGTATGGTATGGGGGAGTCGAGAAATCATCAAAAGCACACGGAAGAAAGCAGGCAGGCAAACCCGCCACAGGCGGATCAGATTAAAGAATCGCCTTTCATGCTTTCGCCCTTTTACTATCTATTGGCATTATTTCCCCTTGCATGTACAACTCATCTCACGCAGGGCGTCTGGGGGGGAAGGCAGAAAGTTACCATCATTTTTTGTACGACTTATTTGAAAGCATTTACTATCAAGGAAACATGCCATATCTTCATAAATAAGCGGAGTTGACCAAATTCAACACGGCACAGCTACAGTAAGTACACAAAAGGGGCAAGTTGATGATACATACTATACAGCTGCAGCTTTTCAGAGAGAGAGACGCACGATAGAAGAACCCAGACAACAATGATTCGCCTAAAACAGATGAATCGCAACCCATACCAAGCCAAGCGTGAAGGAAAACGTCAGCGTTACCAGATGATAGGAGGGAGAGAGGATTCGGAGAATATGCAGAGACTGGGAACAAAACTAAATAATAGAAATTTGAATGTCGCTAAACGCCCTTTGTGGAAAAAAGACAAAAAAAAAACGGAGGGGATAAAGAAGTGAACTATGTTCTGCAGCAGTTATAAACCGATGACTTGATAGCGGAAGGGAAGTAGGAAATAATACATCTGGGACTGGAGGAGAGGAGAATGAGTTCTCTTCGTTTAGAATCGTCGATCAAGGAGGAATTGCATGACTTCTGGTTTTCGCCATCCCTGATAATGCGTTAGAATATATTAATGGGTGTATATGGGTTATTTTGCGCAAACTATACCTTTATCGTAATGTGTCCATTTGTCTGGTTAATATATACCTCTGACGGCCTATTTTCAAGACCAAGATATTTGATCAGGTCGGCTCGGAGGGCATTAAGGTCTCCTTCTGTCTTCCGGACTCGAGTCTCCTGCTTGGTGCCGCCAGCCTTGGTGACTAGGTAGATTGGCAACTGGTTTGAAGGGGTACGACGGATGAAGTAGGGTAGATTAGTGAGAGGGAGAGAAGGAGCGGTTTCTGCTGGCGCAGGCTGCTGGGACTGCAGACTTGCTTGGCTTCGTGTAGATTTCGGGGCGGAGAAAGGTCGAGTGATGCGAGTGACGATGGTTCGTGAAGAAGTAGGGAACGATTGCGATACTATCTCTTCCATTAGTGACCTTCATATACATGTATAAAATATAGATGTTGCGTTTGCTGGTCTTCGTCTCGGTTATATAGATATGTGGTGTGATATCCCAATTGTAGGTTCGCGGGAAGGGCAATTTGACTTACGCGAACTTCTCGACTGTGCAACAGATGTTCGCAGCAAGCTGTTAAACGAAGCTGGAGAAGTGAAGCTGCGCTGAAGGCATTGGACTGTCGACCGCTGAGCAGGAAGCATGGAGGCCATCGTGGATTTGATAGCTAGCGAAGAATTGCTGGAGCTGTTGAAGCTGGTGGAACCGAGTTATCTCCGTTCCTGTAACGATACCAAGCTCTTCTCCTCTGTGTCTTTTCCCAAATCGACACCTTCAGAAAAAAGAGACTCCTGCTCTTCGTCTTTCTTCCTTTTCTTCTTCTTCTCTCGCTTTTTCTTCTTTTTCTTCTGGTTTTTTTGAAAAAAGTCGAAGTCGTTCGATGCTTTCCACGCTTAACCCGATCTGGCTCTAGCGCGTCTTCTTCCACCACACAAGAAAAAAACCATCAAAAAGTTCGTTTTTTCTTTGGCGGGATAAGAAGAGGAAGACAGAAGACGACGAAGAAGAGGAAGAAGAAAAGGACGGCTTCAAGAAGAACAGAAAGGTCCCACGGCTGGATATATACAAGAGGCTGACCGTGACCATGGCAGACAACGCCCCGACGTCAGCCAGCACGCTGCTCAAGGACGCCGCCGCACAGTCTGCAGCTACCGCCGACGAGGTCGCCAAAAAGCACGATCTGCTCCCCAAGCTCATCCCGTACCTCGATCGTCAGCTCATCTTCCCGCTGCTGGAGTTTGCGTCTAACCAGGAGGAGGACGAGGAAGCCATCAATCAGATCACAAAGTCCAAATATGAACTGCTCAAGCATACCAACATGGCGGACTATATCGCCAGTCTCTGGCAGGAGATCAACGACTCCGATACAGTGCCAGAGGAATTCGTCACCAAGCGAGAGGAAGTTATGCAGAAACTACAACATTACGTCGACGAGAGCAGCAAGATCACAGAGTTGCTACAGGATGACGCTGTAGTGGGCAATCTGCGCAGTGACAAGGCCGCCAACTTGAAGTTCCTCGAGGAGCAGCACGGAGCCACCATCGAGATGGTCAACACACTCTACGATTTCGGTCGTTTCCAGTATAGCTGTGGCAGCTACGGTAATGCGGCAGAGCTTCTGTACCAATTCCGCGTCCTCTCTACCGACAATGACAAGGTTGCGGCTGCTACGTGGGGGAAACTTGCCTGCGAGATCCTGACCACCAACTGGGAGGGCGCCATGGAAGAAATCACCAAGGTCAAGGACTCGATCGATACCCGTCTCTTCAACAATCCGCTCGGTCAGCTCCAGCACCGCTCGTGGCTCATCCACTGGTCCCTCTTCCCCTTCTTTAACCACGAACCCGCCCGCGATGTGCTCACAGATATGTTCTTCCACCCCGCCTACATCAACACCATACAAACCGCCTGCCCCTGGATCCTCCGCTACCTCACCGCCGCCGTCATTACCAACCGCAGTCGTGCACACAAGAACTCTGCTCTCTACCAGAAGCAGCTCAAAGACCTCATCCGTGTTGTTCGACAGGAAGAATACGAATACCAAGATCCCATCACCGAGTTTATCAAGGCTCTCTATATCGATTTTGACTTTGAAGAGGCTCAAAAGAAACTTGGTGAAGCCGAAGAAGTTCTACGGAGTGATTTCTTCCTCGTTGCCGCCGCAGATGCCTTTGTCGAGTCTGCCAGACATTTAATATCAGAGAGCTACTGCAAGATTCATCAGCGAATTGATATCAAGTATGTTATTTCCTCCTCTTTTTGTCTTGATACCACACATACTAACTAATCCCCGTAGCGATCTCTCCACCCGCCTTGGCTTAAGCCAGAACGAAGGCGAGAAGTGGATTGTCAACCTAATCCGAGACACTCGTGTTGACGCTAAGATCGATTACCAAGAAGGTACCGTCCTCATGAACCATCCTCCCCAGTCAGTCTATCAACAAGTCATCGAGAAGACCAAGGGAGGTTTCTTTAGAACACAAGTCTTAAGGTAAGCCTTTTCTCTTTCCTCATATTATGACATACAATCATACTAATCATACCTTAGCTCGGCTGTTGCCAAATAAGTTTTTTTATAATTTTAGATGTTAGACGTGACTTGGTTATCCGGTTCAAAAGCAATACTTACGAGGAACGGAGGAATGAACTAAAAGCCCCATCTTCTTTTCGTCACGACGCCGACACACTTCTCTTCTTTCTTCATCATTTCGTTTTCTTTGATCCCTTCGCCATGTGAGGAACGGCTACTCGGATCAATATGTTTGGGTGGGCGTTTTAAGTTAATAGTGTGTTCACGGTCTGCATACTCTTATCTATGCATAGGTTTTTTATGCCGTAGTTTCAATGTTGAACGAGATTTATGCCCTTTCTCTTTATTGCTTTGCTTTTCGATTGATCTCTAGAAAGTAACAAGAGGAACATATTTCACCGAACTACTTGTATCTATGATATTATCGCACGTATTTGAACACAGCAAGCCACCAAAAAGAAAAACACTATAGCAGTCCATAAGAAAAGTGACAAACGTATAAAAAGGGATATCCAGAAAAAAAAAATGGAAAAATAGGTTTGTACTGTATGCTCCGTACAGTAGTAGGCTGGGACGTAAGAATACATCGGAATCATCGTATCTTATTGTGCTATCATCGGTATCGTCTCGATCGTGAGCCACGATCATACGAACGATGTTCTCTCTCCCGTTCTCGCTCCCTGTGTCGTTCACGGCCTCTGGATGTAGACACTGGCACAGGTTTGTGGATAGATGTCTGAGTGGCTGGATCACCTGATTCTTCGTAGCTACTTGACATATGCATGGTCTTTATCGTCTGGTCCAGTTCAAACTTCTTAGACATGGATTTCAGGTCATCGATTTGTTGCTGTAAAAGAAGGATTTGGTCACATTAGGTTATTGGTCCAGTAGGTATTTCTTTGGCATAGCAGCAGGGAGCGGGACGTACTTGGGTGAGTCTGCTTCCAGTAACTAGATATCCGTCTCGGCCCTAGAATGACAGTGTCAGGGAAGGTGGAAAAGAAGAGGTAGAGAGCGAAAAAAGGTCTATCAGGAGATAGAAGTTCCATACATGATAGGTATATGGCCTTGCGGATGCCGTTGGGCCGAGGAAGATATGGATATTGCTGAGGATGACTTGTCGAGATAGCTCGTAGCCTGGTAGCCAGTACTGCTCGGACTGTGACATTTTTCTTTTGGTTCTTGACTGGGTGCCGGTGATATCAGGCAGGCAACTGGGAAGCGTTGAAAAAAAAATATAGAAGAAAACACCCCAAAAAAACAAAGAACGAAAAACGCAGCAAGAGTACAAGCAGGCGCAGGATACAAAGATATAGATATAGACTATCTATGAGCCAGCGACAACCAGGGGGCAGAGGAAGTGTGCGTATCGTGTATTGAGGATAGATGCTTCAACACACTCAGATTTTCATCTTCAGCAAAGATGAAGGATGTCAAGAGAGAGAAAAAATAAAACAAGAGTTTAGCTATTCATAACAAGGTCGCTTCGCACGTAACTGGCTGCTTATTCGTGTTTGTTTGCAAGAGACCCGAGGACGAGCTGACGGGCGCCTCCCGCTGGTTCTTATATGTGTATGTCGAGATACCATGGATGGCCCCTTTTATGCTTTCTTACGTCAGCCAAGGGTCGCCCAGGTCAGCTGACTCCTGCCGCTACTTCGGCCTTCGTCTTCTCTCAACCACAGCTTCGAAGTGAGGCTTCACTGCAGCGAGCACAAGGCTTTGGCACATCCACTCACGCTCGTACAGGCCCTCCGATCGTTGTGGGCTGCTTGCAGCTAATTTCATTTACCGCTGCACACCCTTGCTCCAGTCGTGGCGTGTCCAGATTCGCAAGATTCCTGCTTTTTGTGCAGTTGTTGAACTAACGCCCAACGCAATCTAGAGTCAGACGGATTGGCTGAAGGTTTTGGCGCCAGCGAGTCGGCAGGCATCCTGACGAAAACTTGTTGGATGTGGAAAAGGGGGAAAAGGAGACATCAACAAAAAATAACGAGAAGATTCTGACAGGCGCCTACCATGAACTGACCAGTGGCAACTGATACAATTACTGGGGGTGGTCTTATTTCCCTGGAGCCTGTGGCCTTGACTTGTTTCTCCTCGCCATTGTCACATTGGTAAAAAAAAAAAAGCTCTTGTGGGACTGGCGGGCTGAAATGCTGAGCTACAGTATTCTCCAGCTAATTGCCTTTCGGTGGAAGTGCCCTGACCTTGCCACCCACCGCCCCGAGTCGGTGAATATATCCCGATACAGCCTTATAAAATAACACGCTTCCAAAAGGGTTAATTAACTCTTCGAAGATAGTCAATAGAGCCCGCGTTCATCAATAGTATCGTCACGGACGGCCGGTTCATTGTGTCCATTACTCTCTTCAATTTACGTCAACGGCGCTGACGGTCTTGGCCATTTTCCTCACAAGCAAACCCTCATGCTTTGATTGCATATAAATAAAGGACCCGTTTTCTATAGGATCAGCCCTGCTTTATTTCAGCACATAATCCCTTGGGAAATGAGATCATATCTCAGTTTCCACTGGTATCAGCTGCTGCGGTGGGCTTTAAAATAAAATTCATAGCAATATATTGCTGGAATGAGAGTTCTACAAATGGTGATCCAAACCGACCATACGTCCTGGGCCAAATCACGCCTCAACAAATACATACATAGTATGTCCTCCTCGCCCGTACCCCGGCAGGCAACGTATCGTCCCTCTTGACCGTCATGCGTGTAGCGGGCCGCGTGAGCAGCATTTTAAGGAGGCTCCGGATGGATCCGGACATTCTGCTTCGCTTGAAGGATGTGGTTGCAGCTTTCTTGTGAGAGAAACCAGGCAGGGACACAACCTTCTGTCTATCGCAAGCCAATTGTTGCGCATATATTATATGAGAGGTTGGGCCAGTAAGGTTCCCGGCTCGGATATGCACCATTTCTAGCGTATGACTGCTGATTGCATCCTGATAGTTAGGAAGATAGGTTGTCATATCATATCTCATAGGATTATCAAGGTGCAGGTGCTCCGCCGGTCTATAGTCAAGCTTATTCTAAGCACAGTGGGTATATGTAAGTACGGAGTACTCCGTATGTGACTCTACCCTCCCACAACCCTATATATCGATCGACGTTCCCCCGTGCTAGGTATCATGAATGCACAGTACTGATGCAAGGCATACTTATCGTTGCACCTGGTTCATTTTATGATCATTGCGTTGTCGTCTTTTAACGGAGATATCTCTGGAAGCGGTGAGGTTTAAGCGAACAGCCACGATTGGTCAGTAAAAAAAGAACATTCATTGATTGACTGGTAAAGTTCTATTGAAATATATATTCTCCTCTACCATCTATGAATGGGGGAAACGCGCTTTTTGTTACCGCCGTCCTTGATTATGATGAGCCCTTTTCATTTTTTAAGATTCTTTTTCAGGGTTTTGTCGCATTAGTCTTCATGAGCCGGCTGGAAGGGGTGGACCAACATATCGCTGAAGCTACAGGGCGAATTAATTAGTTCCTATCCAGGTAAAATTAATTGATGGAACAGGGAAATCATACCTTTCGAGCTTTTCTCGTCCTCGGACTTCTTCGACGAGCAGTGGCATTCTGACAACGTTGAAGTCTTCATACAAATCCTTGATCTCATTCAAATATTTCTTTTGCATCTTCCGTCTTGCGCCACACTGTTGGCATGCGTTGTCTTTACCCGGGAACAACAGTTGATTCACCACAATACAATGGGTATCAATATGATAACTCGTTAGCTCCTGTATCATCCGCTCCGTCTCGTACAAGGACAAGAATTCAGCAATACACACGCATACGAACGTGGTCATGTCAGCGTCCTTGAATTGGGAGTTGACTTCCGCAATCGTTTCCCGCAGTGATTCCATTTTTGATAGTATGTCGTCAAGGTTTTGGCCGCCAGGAAGGCCGCCGCGAGCACCGAGGACGGAGTTAAGCATGGGGCCGAACTGCCCAGACAGCTGAGAAAGTTTCGAGAGTGCCTTCTCCAGCACAGTTGGGAATTGTAAAAATCGAAGAGTATGGCCGGTAGGGGCGGTGTCAAAGACAATAACTTCATAGGATAAGGATTTAACTTGTTTGAGAACTTCGGCGAAGGACATTGCTTCATCGACACCAGGTATCTGAAACGGCGTTTAGTAGGTATCAGTGAAATCTTATGGTCGGCAATACCTACACTGAAGGCCAAATCTTGCATCATTCCACCCAGCCCAAACCCACCCATGGCGTCGTCGTTACCGTCAGCACCTCCGCTAGCCATTAAATCCTGAATGCTCCCATTGGGATCAATCTCCATTGCACTCAAATTATCATATCCATCAATAAGCCTAGCCTCTTTGCCAAACTTCTGGCCGAACGCATCACTCAAATTATGGGCAGGGTCTGTGGATATCAGAAGCACAGACTTCCGTACTTTGGAAAGCTGTATAGCCAGGGAGCATGACGTAGTAGTTTTACCGACTCCACCCTTTCCGCCAACAAATATCCAACGAAGAGTCTTCTGATCTAAGAGGCATTGGAGCGTAGGCTCGAGAACGTCGTCGTCCCCTATGATGGCGGTCGAGGACATGGTGGGGAGAATAGGAGGTTGAGGGGTATTCGAGAGCAGCTAGTAGAAAGTACGTGTGGTATCAAGAACAGTTACCCGGCCGGTGAGTATGATACTGTATTGGCAAGTAGGTTTGGCTCCAGCTTATGCAGTCTAAACGAGTTGATATTGTCATATATGGTCGACTTGTTCGATCGCACACTTTTTGCTACCTAAAGACGCTCGGGCCAGTTGCTCTAGTCACATGATCTAAATGCCAAGCAAGCCGTTTTAGTCAAAGTGAACATCGTGAGATGTTGAACGATCACGAACTGCTCCTAATCATGCTGATATCTTTTCTTCAGGTATCCATTGCATACTGTCGGAGATCTGTTCGGATCCAGGCTTTGAGGCCCATTTTATACCTAACCTATCAGATCCTAGCAACAAAGACAGCTCTCCTTTCACATGTTATCACTCCATAGCTTATCGCAGAGCATCTAACAAGGGAGTAAAGAAGAATTTGGGCAGCAGAAGAAGCTAAGGAATCACTAAAAACAAAGTCAGTCTCAATATATTGCATCATGGCCTTTTAGAAAGTATACCATGAATTACCCACTGCTAATATCGTAGCCAACATCAGCTTCTTTACATTAGTTACTTCGCGTTATAACAGTACGCCTTGAAAAGCAATGAATCATAGCATGTCGTGCCTCAAGCAAACTCCACGATGCGAATATTTTGAAAGCAAATTGTACACAAAAATTGATGGCGGACAATTAAGAATGAAAGACTCTGAAACGCTCCAGTCTAGACCAAAGATACAAACAGCGAATACTCTTCTTCAACTACGGAATTAGGAATACTCTATAGAAGGTTTCCCGAGGCGAAGTTATACAAAAGAACCTCGCCGGAAGGATACCCTAAGAATCCACCTTACTGATTGATCATCTGGTCTGTGTTTTGCAATGGAAATTACATTGCGAAGCCGAGGGAAAGCGACTAGAAGAGCAGATCATAATGAACTCAGTAGCCTGACCCGCAGCCTACATTATGATGTCGCTAGCACCCCCAAGAATTTTTATTGCGGTTTACGGACTAGATAATTAAAATTTCCCCGAACAGTTGCCGCAAAGTGTATGACTAGAACGCTGCTCACCGTAGAAGAAATATTCACTACCTGCTCATATTTTGCCTTTTGGTTTTTACTTCGGTCATGGTTAGAATCAGCTTCATTGATTCTCAGGAGCTAACAATTTCCCCTCGCTTATCAGTAGAACCCTTGCTCCGGAACTTCTCCTTCAGTTGAGCTCAGTACAAAGGGCCACCCCTTTCTGCTCGTCTTAAAAGAATCTCTATGGTCTCTAGTTCCCAGCAGAAGGCTATGCTTACTGACGAAGCGATACGACAGGCCGTGCAATTGATGGATGGTACACCTGGTATCCTCGCTTCTCTATATTAAAATGATTATATGATGTGACCCATCTTCTTTATGATCTCTTATGTCTGTCATTTAACAGTTGGCTAGGTAACAGCGTATCTCGTGTTAGCTTCGGTTGTCCTACCATAATCGATGCAAGACAATTTCAAAATATCTAACTACGTGATTAAACCGCCCTGCCAGTACTCATATTGCCAAGAATAAGAAGAACATTTACCTTGTATGAAAGCTTGTACAAGCTTGTCCCTTCGGAAGGAATTGGCAGGATCTTAGTAAGAGGCGTAGTTGAAATCCCGTCAGTATTAATTTCTATCCTTGAAACCAGCGGTGTAATATGATAGTGGGTTAGTTGTCACGCATAGTATAGCTAGTGATACTACTGTCCATTCATTTTTAATAGTAACTTCGTGTCGAGTAATCCATGGGACATGGGCTTGAGATTGATTAGATTGATAAGATGTTCCGAGAAAAATTAGATAAAATAAATCTTATCTGATCATACTAACAAGTGGGAATAAAACCTTAATATGATGACCTCCAACTTCGTCCATTTTCCTGCCAACGTTCGCAGCCCAAATTAGTGTGAATACCCATTCAAACCACAGGCCAAAGTACTCGTGGTAATAATAATAACACATTTGATGGATAGTTATCCATTGTATTTGTTTTGAGTTCTCATATTGAGTGTTTTTGAGAAATGTCTGTTACCATGAACGCGCCTTACTACTTAGTGTCTTGGTGTGATAGTCCCCCGCCCCGGATGTGGACTGATTTGTGTAGCGAATACGATATCACAACCACCGTCCATAGGTGGGACCATTCCAGTATTTTGGCATGGAGAGAAACAAGCACTCCCTTCAACCGCTCAAATGAGGAAGACCTCCACCCCGAGCAGGATCGAGGCGGACCCAGTTATTCTGCTTTATTCGAGAGCTGTTGAAAATTTTATGATCTTGTCAGAGTGGGCCGATTTATTTTCGTCGAAAACTCGAAAGTAGAGAACACAAGGGGTTCTTCCGTTCACTCTTCTACACAGTATGGCCGCAGCGGAGGATCATACCGGGTCCTCAGTATCCCAGGCTAGGCGGGGACATTGCTGTATACACAACATATATATAGCATTGGACCTTACTTTTTAACCCACCGATGATGAGAGGAATCAATCCGCAAGGCTTTAAAGTGAATTCAACCTGTGATATTCTCTGCTGAAAATCCATACCATTTGTTTTATAGGAACACTTGAAAATTTCACCATGCTTCTATTCCATATTTTCTTGGGGGCTTTTCTTCTAAGCCTTGTTTCATCAGAGGAACTTGCCAGTACCCAAATATGTTTTTCGGCTGTCTATGGGGCATATAGGTCTATAACTTTTGCAGGGCCCCCTGGTGAGGAATACTGGATTACGCTCTGCCGAAACCCTCTGAAGGTGGGATCAATATACGCATCTGCAAAAGTCCACTGCAAGCCCGAAGAGATAGCCCCTGGAGCAGCTGTTCTCGAGGAGTATTGTGAGAAATATGCCTTTCAACCGTTGTTGCCGATGTCAGATTTTTCTGCCAATCTTACAAACGAAATTATTGCCAAAATGCGAGTCGTCGAAAACGGAGAAATACCTCTAACAGAAATTATTACTACACCAATTCTAATTTCAAAGAAATTTTTTGATCTCTCTTTAAAGACAATTGTAAGAAATATCTGGCCAGATTCGGTGTGGGGGACCTGCTGACTTCATACAGGTTGTATATGCCGGTGAAGTACGAACCCGCCACGCCCATGGGTAAGTATCTATAGTCACAACGGCTAGTCACTATATTATGACGGGTACATTGCTAACTTTCAAGTTAGATACGCAATGTATGGCATCTGGGGCATCATTCTTATCCTTGGGATGCTCAATAATTTTTGCTCTTGGGTTATTTTCAGGCAGTTGAAAAGAAATAGAGATGACTTGGAAGGCAATAACGCCATTACGCACAAAAATATATCTGGATTTCTTAAGCCACTACGATATATGTCCAGTTGGATCCGAACACACCTGACAATTCCTAGCGCCTTTGGTTCCTATCACTTGCGGACCCTATACGGGTGTGACATGCCGACAAGAATAGATTCAATTGTGATATTCTCCTATTGGCTGATAATTACCATCTTATGTTGTGTCAATTACGAACTATTCGCTGGTAATTTATAGTATGTTCTTTTAACATTTCTCCGTGAAAATTTACTAATAATTTCTTACACACAGTTGGCCAACCACAAATATACAACTGTGCCGCTACGTTGCAGATCGTACTGGAGTTCTATCCTTCGCAAATCTGCCTCTTATCTGGATTTTTGCAGGGAGAAACAACATATTTCTTTGGGCTACAGGATGGAGTTTCCGAACGTTTAGTATCTTCCATAGACAAGCCTCTCTCGCCACAACATTGCTAGCTATTGCTCACTCTGTTGCGTATACAGTGCTATATTTCCTTGAAGGTTAGCGTTCTTATATGTGGAACTTGCAGACAGCATGATGCTAACATTCTATTGCTCTAGGTGGCTCTGCGGGATATATAGCAGCATATAAAGAGCAATGGTTTTACATGGGAGTTGTTGTGAGTAACTCTTCAAACCTTGGCCTATAGATATCAAATGAAAAAAGAAACTTATTAACTATTTTCTAGGGAACTGTATCCATGAGTTTCTTGGTAATATTTTCGTGTCTATGGTTTCGGAGGAAAACATACGAAGTATTCCTACTCATTCACATTGCGTTATCTGTTGTGACAATTGTGTCCATGTTTTCGTAAGTTTTGACTGGTGTGAGGTGCCTTTTTAAGAATCCTACTTATTCTACGTTTCAGCCACATATCAATCTTTACTGGTGAATATGACCCTTATCTATGGCCCCTTGTCGCCATTTGGGGATTTGACAGAACTTTGCGCCTGGTTCGAATCGTATACTGCAATTTCCGCGTCCAATTCGCTGGGAAATACCTTCAATATACCAAGGCTGAGGCATGTTATGATAGAGTTTCGGATATCATTAGACTCGAAGTGATACCAGGTGCCACTGGCATCTCCCAAAAGCCTGGGCGATATTATTTTATCTATCAGCCTTTTAGATGGACTGGGTATGAGAGCCATCCGTTTACACTCGGAGCGTGGGCTGAGTCACCCGAATCAGTCAAGGAACAGTGCGCAAAATCGGACTCCTCTTCATCTTCACTCAACGAAAATAATAAAGGCAGGGAAATATATACTGCTACTGAGGCGTCAGGAATTCAGAAATCCTGCAATAGTCGACCCAAGGAGGTCAAATATATATTTTGGATAAGGCCGCTAAATGGGTGGACCCGTCAACTTCGCCAGCAATGCTTAAAATCAGGTGGCACTGCTGTCTCAAAACAATTTTTACTAGAGGGTCCATACGGTGAAACTACCCCTCTTTGGGCCTTTGAATCCGTACTCTTCATCGTTGGTGGTACCGGTATCGCCGCAGCTGTTCCTTATATCCAGGATCATATCCGACGCGCATCTTCAACCGGTGCAGGTACATGTACAAAAGACATAACGCTCATTTGGTCTGTTCGGCAGGCTTCTTTCATACATCAGGTAGCATCGAGGGAGCTACGGTCCGCATTCGGTCGAGAAGATTTTAATGCATCATTCCACTTGACCTCTCGTGACAAAAATACCACGCCAATTGTCTCTTTCTCCGCTTGCACTGAAGCAATCACGCCATTAGACACCCCTTCTGCTAATGTTAAAACAAGTGATGATAGCTCACAAGCTCTACCTACAGAGTTGAAATACAAAGTGAAATATGGCAGACCAAGCATGAAGACGGTCATTATAAACAGTGCAAAAAGTGCTAGCATGACTAGTTCAAAGCTTGCGGTGCTAGTTTGTGGACCTGATGCCCTAGCAGATGAAGCGAGAGAGGCAGTTCACTACGCTATGCTTCAGGGGTACCGACAGATAGAGTATATCGAGGATGCATACAGTTGGTAGCTATGAATGGCTCTACATTGAAGCCGTTATGATAAGATGACGTCCTGTTAGCAATACCTAAACTAGTGTTGTAAAGGTCGATTTATTGTTCTTTCATTAGGGAAAATAATCCTTCCTTAACTACTTGTCAGATTTTTGTTTGATTTTATTTATATATATCTGGAGGCTACGATCTTTTTATTAGAAACACTCTCCAAGTTAGTATTTCAATAAAAAGGGAGATATGGAAGGCAAGGGTGATACATACATAGAACTAAGAGTTTAGATCGGGTAATATCTCTGATATACAAAAACATCTGTTATTTAATCATGTTCTGGGGAGGCTTAGCAAGGGTCTATGATCTCGGAACAATGCTCTTTTACGCCGACCATGCATTACCCAATGAGGAAGACGAGTAGTGAATGAAAGCGAGTAACGTTAACAGGTGATTCATCCACATAGACAAGGTGGTAGGAAAAAAAAGTCAGCAAATTGTGTAGGTATATATATCCATCAAGTCCTAGCATTGCTCCTTCGCCAGTTGCATGACGGACTGTTTAGTTTAAAGTTGCCCTGCTATGGGATTATGAGGGCTTTAAACCTATCCTAAAGCAACAATAGCCATTTTGTCCAAATACTGATAAGTTTGACGGATGAAACAGCAAACTACTCCTTATATGCATGGCCAGTTAGTCAACTACTTGATATCACGTGGGTCGGCGAACTCCGATAGAAGAAGTTGATGTTTATCATCATCTAAAGGTCACATAGCTACAAGAGGCCGATAAGTTAGTTGATGGCAGGTCAGATTGAATCACATACCGGCGCTTGTGCTCATACAAGTGCTTCAAGAAGGCTCTCACAACTTCAGCAATACCTACAACCTGAAGATCCCGTGTATCAGGGCGGGCAGGGCAAACGAGGCGTGGAGGAACCGGAAACAAATCAAAAAACAACAATGGCAGACAAAGATCCGATCACCTGTCATGTTCTGAATACCTACACTGGCCTTCCAGGCGCAGGAATTTCCTGCTCGCTAACATTGACCAACTACGAGGGAAAACCAACCTCTACTTCAACCTCAACAACCAACAAGCAGCCGACATTCACAGCAATCACAGATGCTGATGGGCGGGTCAAAAACTGGTCGAGCGAGGGAGATTCTATATCTGTCTCCTCCGTTCTAGCACAATTGCCTGATCGACCGGCATCAAACACAGCACGCTCGACATGGAGTCTTAGACTATCTGGCGTTGACGAGTGGTACCGTGAGCAAGGGGTTCAGGACTGTTTCTGGCCGGAGGTGGAAGTGCGGTTTGCAGTCGACGGTAGGGACGGTGGAAAGGGATGGAGACACTACCATGTCCCTGTGCTGCTTGGGCCGTGGAATTATTCAACCTACCGCGGATCGTGATGCATGCAGGCTTGAACAAATCGATGGATTCTGTAATATGGTTCACACTGCATCATTGGTTTTATGTTGTTGAATAACATATCTTGGTTTATCCCGTTCATCCCCATTAATATTTTACAAGGCACCATGGTGATGCAATTTAGATAGCAGTTATCAAAACATGTAGGGAGCTGCGCTTGTTGGCCTCGATCTCACCATCTCCGAGCCATCATCAACTTATGATGAGAAGATGGACGGCGGAACCCACGGAACCGCTCTCTTCTGCACGTCTGCACATCTCTATGCCTCCCTTCTTCCTCCATCCCATCTAATCTCATCTAATCTCTTGACTTCGTCTTGTCCTTTTAAAGATTTTATGCTTAAGCGAACCGCCTCTGCCAAGACCGCCAAGATATCTTACTAAGCGAACGACATCATCAATGTCGTCAGAGTTTTTCCACCTTCGCTCGTTTTTTTTTCTTTTACTTCCTCCCAAGTCGCTTGCATCGTCATCCATCGTCATCTCCATCGTCATCGTTCAATGAACGGCGCGCAACCCTCAACAACTTCATTCCTAGGCGTGAACCCACAAGCTTGCGCCTCATTTTCGCAGTCTGTTTACCCTGTTTACCGTTAACCGCCCGAACCGTTATTTCTTTCGTCCCTTGACGGTCGCGAAGGACTCGAAGGGGATCGTCATCGGACGCCATCTCTGCGTTTTTCGTCCGACCTCTACATCATCGCAGACCCTCCCCCAAAGCTCGCTCCCTGATACGTTCTCCTTAATACCATGTCTGCTCCAGCTAGCAAGGCTGCCTCTCCGCAGGCTGGCCTACCTATCTCTCGCACGGATTCGCCAATGGATGCGAACGACTCGACTAAGGAGAGAACCAAGTCAGAAGGTCAGTATCCCTGTGTCACTCCCTCTCACCGTCGACTGATGAATTCCTTATTGTGGTCAATTCCCTCTCATCCTCACCCTCTTCTCCATTGTTGATGTGCGTTTAATCGACCTATAATACACTTGGCTGTTTCCGTCACCACTGACATCATCCCGTTTAGATCGTGGAACAACCCAAACAGACGTTCCTGAGCCCACAGTTACCACAGCAGCTTCAGATGCGCCGCAGACCCTGGCACCCCCACAGAAACCAGGTGATGACGCCAACGGGGATTATTTCTCGGGCATTCATAACACCACTCACCTATCTTTTGAACCCAACCCTTTTGAACAGTCTTTCGGGAACACGAGCGGTGACACTCCTGGGAAATCTCTCCTCCCCCCTGTCGCCTCATTGACCTCACCTGCGCTACCTGGCACATCGACAAGTGGAGGTTTCAATTGGCCAAACTCACTCCGTGCTGGCCCGTTGAGCCCGGCCATGCTTGCGGGCCCTGCAGGGTCAAATGACTACTTTGACGGCATCACTCGGGGATTCCCTACTCCCAATGAGTCGTCATTGCGTACTGGCCTGACTCCTGGCGGCGGAGGCTCTATGTTCCCAGCCCCTAGCCCAGGTCCTTCTGCGTTGCTCCAACAGCTCTCCAGCGGAGGTGCCACCCCTACGACACTAGATTTCCAGCGAACAGCCCTTACCGCAGCAGGGAAAAGCGGTGTCCTTCCTCCCACCTCGAACCCCCAGGATCCAAACTCGATTATCCAGCAGGTTGCTGCCTCAATGGAGAAGCCTTCGTCCCAAGCCTATCCTTTTGCTCATGCCGATGCTACTGACGCTGCCAATGGCCTCTTCATGCTAGCTAAGGGTGCCCAGGTTACCAGCAACCCATTCCCTGGCCCAACATCTCAACCTATGCAGATGTCACTTCGAAATGGCGGCAGCAGTAGCCCACCAATGAATGGCATCCTGCCCCAAACCAATGATCACCAGAACGGCGTAGTTCAGCCTTCTAATGGAAACACTTCGGATGGCCCTGATGCCTTGAGGATCAATACTCGGAGCAAGGGCAAGAAAGGTGCAGCTGCCAAGGGGGGTGCGGCAAACGGGCGACGGAAGGCAGATGATGCGCCTAAAGGCTCAAATAAAAAGCAGAAGGCCACAAATGGCGGCGCTGCCGACAAGGCACAGGCTGCCGACGATGAATCAGTTGATCTTGATAATCTCGATAATTTTGATAATACTGGTGAAGTTGAGCCTGCTGCTGCTGGCCCATCCACCTCCAAGAAGAACATGACTGACGAAGAAAAGAAGAAGAACTTCAAAGAGCGCAACAGGTACGTTGAAATCTGTTTCTAAACCCAGAAAACCATTCACCAATATCCTTTTCCATCTTGTTTTTCAAACTTCTAACCTTAATATAGGGTTGCCGCTCTCAAATGCCGTCAACGAAAGAAACAATGGGTAGCTACCCTCATGAGAAAAGCAGAAGCATTCTCCAGCGATAATGAGGCCTTGTCAGGTCTTCTAGAAAAAGCTCGAGAAGAAAATGCGATGCTAAGGTCATTGCTTGCCGCCCATAAAGACTGCCCCGTCGGCCAATCCCAAGGCCTTTCCATCCTATTGAATGGAGTGCAGGTTCAAATACCGAATAATGTACCCAACGGTCTGCCAAACGGTCCCCAGAATAGTCTACCTAACGGTATTCAAAACAGCATCCAGAATGGTATGCCAGTGCAGAATGAGCTCCTGGCGCCACAAAACTGGCAAATGCGACGATGATTCTTTGTCGATCGTCGCTTTTTTCCCTTTCATATCATTTTTCTCTTATATTCTCTGTTTATGATGTTATTGCTTTTACACGAGTTAACCTGATGGGCTGGGTGTTCTTCCATCTTTGAAATTTTCCAGGGTGTGGTGTGGTGGTATTTCTGTTTTTGTGGTTTTAATGAACCACAAAATGCAAATCCAAGAATATCATTTTCTTGCTTTCCTTCTTTTGCTTCTCTTTCTGTTCTTTTATAATCATTACCCCCCCCTTTTACCTGTACCTTTACCGCAGTAATTCTTCTTCCCCTTTCTTCTTTACATCCTTTTGTCTTAAAAAAAATACGGGGGAAAAAGGCTGGAGCACAACGGCGGAGTTCTCGGTGTTGGTAGTTTCGTTCTGTTATGTTTCTTTCTTACGTTGGTTTTCTCCTTTTGAATTTCATGTTCAATGTCTATCGCTGGTGGCATTGGTTTACGCGACTTATATATGATTCCAATGATAGGCAGGGAAGGGGAGGAGATTTTTCTTAATCAACGTTTGTTTTTGTTATACTAAGTCTTTTTTTTTTCAAAGTCCTTAATTTGTGCCTTCCAGTCTTTATGCGGGTAGATTATAACTCCGTCTACATACCCGTCTAGTTTGACTTGAGGAGCTCTGGAGCCGCATAGAGCTGATTTCTAACTAGAAGACCCCCTATCCAGACTTGATACAAAGTTCAATTCGATCCTTATGGGTTTTTTTTCGCTCTCTTTTCTCGTTTTAACGCCCATTCGCCTTCCACCTCACATCAGCTCTCCAGCCTGATCACCCAGTGTAGTAACTCAGCGAGGTACATGCTAAGGAATCGTCTCTGGAAAAGTTATCATAGACAGTGTCTGACTTGTAAATGTCTGTATTTAGGTCAAGGTAATTGGGTAAATAGAAAGACTAATTTCTATTTGATGGACCATCTGCGCGAACCCATCCGCCCTTGACCTCCCGCTCGAAGTCAGTAGGAACCTGCCAGTCGTGCATCTTACAGGCCCTGATAAACGCCTCCACGGCCTCTGCAACACCATACTCCAGTACCTTTCCTTTCAGTGAATTTTGACCAGGCGCTAACCTCGCCGGCCGAGGATCAGTGCTAGAGATTGCTATGCGAACTTGAAGCAACACACTTTCAATGCTCGACACGGCAGACCAGCCTGAGTTTGTCAAGAGTTCCATACAAAGTGCACCGCCTGCGGTAACATGGCCGCCTCCACCACTTTGAAAACCTAGGAACCGAGGGCGAATAACTCGGACAAAAGGCGGCGAAATTGGATATTGCTGGGGGAATCGGAGTTCGAGAATCACGGACTTGATACTAGCGTCTACCATATCCTTGGCCAAGGGCAGCGAAGGGTCGAAAGAATGCAGCTCAACAATCCATTGGTAGACATTATTGACGAGGCTTGGGTCAATGTACCAGCCTAGATCGGCGGGTGGTTCGTTATCTTGTATACGAAGAGCCGCTCGTAGGTCACGTTGGAGAGAGGCTGTGGCGGTTGGTGTAGCATATTTTGGAGCTGCCATCATAGGGAGAGTTGCCGGGTCGAGAGTTCCAGGGATAAAATCGGTTTTATTTTGAGCCTTGCCCTTACCCTTATCTCTCCCCTTGCCGTTATCTTCAGGAGCTTCAGGGAGTTGATGGCGACTTGCTCGCCTGGCTTTGATCTTGTCAGCTTGTATGACAAGATTGAGATCTTCAATGTCTGTTTCCTCGCTAAGGTAGCCATCAGCTTCCACAGAATGTGGATAACAAGATGGTACCTCAATAGGGGCCGGGTCAGGGACGTGCAGTTTTGTGGGACCGTCCTGGCCCCCATGATCCGGATCTACTACTTTCGGCCCACCATTCAATTTTTTAGATAAACTATTTCCAGCACTAGGATGTGTTGTCTGTTGTTTTGACAAAGGAGAAGTTGAAGCACCTGCCTCAGCCGATGAGCTTGCAGCATCTTTAACAGGGGTTGCTTTGCCTTGTTTTTTGGCGGCGGTAGTGTCCGACTCTGTGAGTGGAGGTTTGGCTGTTATTCCCAGGGCAAGGCGCCGCTGCTGGCTAAACGCAGACAAGGGAATGGTGATTTGTTTAAAATGTGGGCCATGCGCCACGTATCGAGGGTCTTGATGATAATATGGAGGCGATTTTGTCTCTTGAGTCGCACCGACATTCTTGTTTAGAGAACAACTCACGAATAGGTATCTCGTTTGAATCCAATCCAGCTGAGATACAACTAAATGTGGCGTGGTGCTCACAAAATCTCTAGGAGAATTCACCACTTCGTTCAATGATATTGCACTGATAACTCCTAGTTTACTGCTTGGCCAGGTTTCTGTTCCTGAATGGGGGCCAACAAGAGAGTCCCAGGTTGATGCAGTATTAAGGTAAGATGCAGAAGTATCAAAGTGTGGGCTCATGTAAACACCATGCCCAAATGCCCGCCCATGGAGGGTTTCCTTAAAATGCAATCCCTCGCGTAGAATACCGTGCCAGTTAGAGAGGTGGCTACCATGCCATGCAAAGAGAGTAGCGTGCGGTTTTTGAAGTCTTTCTTTTGCAGCCATGACAGCTTGAGAAAATCGTTCTTCTTTATCCGGAGCCCCTTGGGCAAAGCGAAATTGCATATAGCCAGCAACTCCCCTGACACGGTCATTGTTGGCTGGAGGGGAGACGGTATCATCCCCAATGGGGTCTGGGTCATCCTGAATAATGCAAGAACGATTTGATGCAACTATCCAGCGTAATATATCGAGAGCGGACTTTGAAATTTTATCTTTCCATTGTGCAAGTGTACGTTGAGAGCCTCTAGGGTTCTCCGTTAGGTACTCCTTCATCTCAACAACCGTTGGAAGGGTGTCAAGTAGAGACACAATCATTTGATGCTGGAACTTTCTGTCAAGATCGTCAAAATTTTGTTCATACCAGGCAACAGAGACTTTCCTAATATCTGATGTCGTCGAAACCTGCTTTGCCGCTGCATGTTTTAACACCTTAATAGGGTTTGAAAGATTAACTGAGGGCCATTCGCTGGTGTCAGTAACACGGCAATGAAGGTAGCACCCTTCATCAATGATGACAAGCCAGTCACCTACACATACTCGACGGTCTGGAAAGCACCCAGAAAACTTCATTGTCAACTTTGATTGATCGAACATTGCTTCGTAACGCAATTTTCGTTGACAATTAGAAGAAACATCATCAGTAGCATGGCAGAGATGGTGATACTTTGTATCTATTATACCTCCAGGAACCAGAATTCCAAGACCTGTTGGCGGATCAGCAATGCGGCTTCGATAGGCGCTAGAATAAGTGAAGCTGGCTAGCAAATCGACCACATAAGGCTGTGTAATGATCTCCCATTCAAGGCTAGGTCCAAATCCCAGAGCCATGTACTGAAACAGGCACAAGCTCTTAGAGCAAACGTAAGGCTTAATGGCCTCGAAGGTATCATTGGTTTTGCAATGACAAACAAGGCAAAATTCCGTACATCTTACAAAGTGACGAAGTGTAAACTGCATCGTTATAAGGGGGAAAGATGCTCCTAAGCCATTTTTTTCCATGAGATGGTCTGATTTAAGAAAGTGATGGAATGTGGCTGCCTTCTCTTTTGGTATGTCAGGCTCTTGGTAAGTGAAGGAAATTGGATCTGAAGCGCCGATGGGCTTGCCCATATAATCGTTGAAAAACTGCTCTGCTCCAGACCATGACTGACCAAAATTGTGTCTATAACGTAAGATCTTGATGAATCGTTCATTTAGCAAGGCATTTAAGGGGCCACTTATGAAGGAGTGTATCATCTCCCTATCCATGATGGGGTCCATAGAAGCTTTTACATTTGGGTTAGCTTGGTCAAACATGTCGAGAGCGCTTCCCAGGGAAGGTTTGTACATATCACAGAGGCCAATACGAAATTCGACGGAAGATTTTCCAGTTTGTTCATCCTCGAGGAGGAGGTGTTCCAAGGATTGGTATCTTCCGATATAACGAATCAGACAAATTAGGTATTGTTCCTCTTGGATATGCCACGCTTTCATCGCGTCCTCTGATATGCCAAGTTTCGAAATGCGGCAGGAAACGGACACTATGGGACATATCTTGTTTCCAACGTATCCAACACGGAAGCCGGCCAACTTTACTTCTTTTAAGTCTTCTGATATATTGTATAGGAGGTCCTCAATCTCCTGTTCTGCTTCTTCTCCCGTTTTTGTTGAAAGAGTTATTGGGGTATCTATTGGCTGTGAAGCTGAAGACCATTGATATTCGTCATCATTCAAGTCTGGAGGAGCGTTCTCGATCTCGGAAGTCATCGTATTCTCACCGCATAGGAAAATATCATCAATAACCGAGCTGTCTCCCACCCCACCCTTCAGTTCTATATTTCTCTGAAAAGTGTAGTCTAGTTGTGATAACATTTCCGGAATCTCCAGGCGGCAGATGCCCCGTTGAGTTTGTCTTAGGACGTCCGTAACGTAATGAGGGACATCCTCGGATGTAGTGTACATGAAAAACTCATGCTCGTCGGGATAAAGTGAGATATCTAGGTATATTCATTAGCATGTGGATACTTGCAAGATAACCATACATGTAAGATGCCTTACCTGTAACCATGAATTCAAGGTCCACCAGCCGCTTAGGGTCCTCACTGAGGACCAGAGAGCAAGACAACGTGCCATCGTCTCCGCCAGGCTTTATATCTACCAGCCTCGAAAAAGCCCCAGGCGTTGAAGCCTTGCAGAGATCGCGAATAAATGCCTTTCTAGGCATCCTCAAGGATAAGCGGGAGTATATGCAGTATTTTGCGCAACTACTGCACCCTTTTTCCAAGTAATATCAAAACAAGAGATGTGAAAAAAAAAGATAGTTCAGCCTGGGAGAAAAGATGAAAGCGAAGGAGCGGGAAAAGATGAAAAAGTAGAAGTAGTAAAAGGATTCAAGAAGAAAGGTGCCGATGCTGAGACGTTGATACTGTGAATACAAGCAGCTAAGTAAGGGTGAGAGGAGCACGCCCAGATGTCAAGAGAAGATGAATTTGTGAGGTGAATGAACATCCTAGAGAAATATATAAAGTTAACTCTCAGTTCATCTCGCTAGATTCCGGCACAAAGGGAATCAAATATCAAAGGAAATTTTTGCATACTAAAGAGGTCATGCTCTAGCTGATGTAGATATGAAGGTCTGGTGGGCTGTGGTACCCCCTGGAAGACTCCGAATAGTTCGCAGGTATAAAGAAACTGATCTTGAGAAGCAAACCAACCTGGATTTCCATCACGCCAGAAAAATCTGAGCCGGAGGCCACGGCATGAGAAGGCCAGCGGAAAGCCGGTTGAAGAGCGTCATCAACAAAGTGTTTTAACTTGCGGTTTGCCCTAAGAAGCTCTCAAGACGCAAGAGCCGCCTCACGTAAGCTCGTTTTGAAGCCTCAGGCTGCAACAGACAACGATAGTTGCTGTAGACCTCAAGACGTTGATCTAGCAACATGTTGATTGATCCGTAGCCTCCTTGATCGTTGAAAAGGCGTTATCAGTGCGTTATAATCCTGCGTCGCCTTTAGCAGGGCGCTTCTTTTTGAGTTGACGTCAAGGCCCACCCTTTTTTAAGCTTGAACTGACGAAAGCTAATCAGAGCCTGACCTTTTTTTTTTTATATCAACAACTTGTTCTGCAAACCGAGCATGATCGGTTGATTCCCCGTCTCTAGGCTTCTGGATATTCGTATAATACACTGGGGACATGGCTCAACGATCCAATACACAGGGCGAGGACGCTCAAAAAGTCTTGTTTTCCGCGGCTGACCCGTTGCTACCGCAATTCTCAGACCCCTCGTTCGACCCAGTGGACTTCCTTAATGACACTCTCCCGTCATTGAACATTTCGCAATCACGCTCAGTAGGCGGCAGTTCGATCGCAGAAGTCTCTACTCGGACTCAATCGCTATTATCCCAGCTTACTGCGCAAAATGCCCGATTATCGAACACGCTTAACCAGCTTACAGATGAGATAATACGAAGCAGTGGACGGCTGGCATATGAGGTAGAGGTCTTGCGTGGAGAGGCAATCAGTCTCTCAGACACCCTTACGGATACTCTACAGGACGATATTCGCAATATCCTTCCGCAGGGCCTGCCCGAACCAACTTCTACCACCTCATACACGCCAAACGAAGAACAAGAGGAAAAAGAGCTGGATAACAACACACAGCCGGAGGCTGCACAGGATGATCCAGAGTATATATCTCGCCTACGGACGTTGATGCAGGTTAGAAGTAGACTGGAAGAGGTGATACAGGTATTTGGCGAGGCTATGGAATGGCCTCTACCTCCATCAGAAGTCTCAATTACTTCCTCGTTCATATCAGTCTCGGCTCCAGAGGCTGGACCTGAGTCACGGAGCCTAGAAGAAAAGGGTCGGGAAGTAGCAAAAAAGTTTAGATCACAGGTCACCGGGCTGCTGGACAGCAACGGTGGAGGAGAAGCCGGTTTGGAAGCCGCAGCTCGTCGAGTTGAGGAATTACGGCTCCTCGCAAGCGTATGGAAAGGCACGGTAGAAGAGAAACCAAGACTCAAATTCGTTGACAGCCTTTCAAAGATTGTCGAGGACAGACGGAAGGTCCTAGAGGAGAAAGAGAATCGAAAAGCCAATGGGGCTTCTTCAAAGGGTAGGACGACTGAGCTATCTTCTCGAGAAAAGTCAGAGAGCAGCGGTGGTGGGCTAATGCGTAATTTACAACGCTTGAGAGACGAGATATACCTTGAATAGACTTAAAATTTTAATGTACCTTTCTTCGGCATAATGTTAGAAAGCCTAGAATGGAATAACGCCATGAAAGTGCCTTGATCATGCATTCTTTCTATTTGCTCGCCCTTTGGTAGATATATATATATTTTTACACGCTTCGTTAGAAAAGTAAAGAATGAGAGAAATTTGAGTTTATGTTAGAACGGCTGCGTATATAAATATGTACCTCGCATTGTCTATAATTTGGATCAAGTTTATTTCAATTGACACCATGATCTTCCGTCAAATAATTTGTACCACCAAGAATAAAATCGTGGAACGGTAGAAATTCTGAGCACGCCGGGCCACAGTTACTATTCCTGACAGTTAGGTTGCCGAAGCCTGTGCAACATTACCAGAGCGATCTGTGTCGGAGAGCCCAACCCATTTAATGAACTCTCAGGAGCAGGCTGTGGTGATATTGAGCACATAATCCATGTGTAATCATCCAACTAGGACATTTGCCACTTGATCGTGCTAATAGCAATGGCTAATGTTGATATTCGCCTTCCATCTATAGCTTGCCAGTAGGCAATGGATTTGTGGCAAAGACTCTTGCCGGTATGATGGCCCCGAATTGACTTCAAGGAGGACAAAAACAATAATGCTATCTATGCGGTTAGTGAGCGCAATAATTTACTCAGAGTTGAATGTGGCTTACCCATTTTCCATCCGGATCAAGGACACCTCATATCGTAAACTCACCTCCCTTAAAAGTACGGACGTATGTCTCTAATAATGTAAAGTATCAAGATGTCTGCGGGAGTACCCACTTAGCTTTCCCCAACGACCTCTTGTGGTTCTTCCCTTGCCGGTTCTTTCTTCCCCAGGGTCTCCCTCACAATTCTTAAAATCTCAGCAACATCTTCATCAGCCAACCGTTCCTCTCTGTCTTCTATAATCGTATCTAGAAGAGCCAATGCACCATAATCTACCCCTGCACCACCATCTTCACCTTCTGCGTCTTCCATGACGGTATCCTCTGCTGTTTCCCCCTCCGGCTTGGCCTCAAGGCCTACTCCCAGATTGATGATCATCAATACCTCCGCCTTCGTCAAATTGAATGGCTTCAAGTTCGAGATCAGTGTTCGCAAGGCAATATCAAGATCGGTTGTTGAGTTACCACTGGTATCTAACGAGGCGGTATTTTCGGGGGATATAGATGAAAAGCTAGGGTACGATAGGAGGTGCGGGGAGAGTCTAACTACATAATCGTTGAACTGGAGATATATTTAGCAATGACAAGCCTCTAATATTGCCCTAGGGAAATTCTAACCTCTTTTACTACCGTGTTGTAATCTCTCAAGTCTGGTTTGGGCACAAAGTTCTTTGTATTTGGAAAAGGAGCTTGTGGTGATAAGCGGGGAGGATTTGATTTCAAGTAGGCCAACACTTCTACATTCGAGAGTATGGCAGACTGGGGATCGAGGACCTATTATATATAATTAGTCCGCATGACTCGTAGCAGTGACTTCAATAGGTATTTACCTTCATATTTAACTGTATGTACTCTTTTCGGAGCTCTCGTCAGAGCTCTACAGTATTTTTTTGATATAGAATCAATTATGTAACCTTTAATACGCATTAGGATCATAGTTAATCCGTCTCCGGGATATAAACGCTTCTCATTGGTGGGTTTTTTAGGCCTTTCTATTTGATGTCTCTCTAGTTTATGTTGAATGTATTAAACGAGGCCTGAGGACCGCAACAGTCCACTAGTAGTCGGGGGTTACGAATAGCCCTGTGGCCATGTATGTGCACACCCAGCTTGGAGATAAACAGCTGGAAGATATTGCGGAGGTGATTCGATAACTACTCTATGAAAGCTACTCTTTCAGCCGCAAGCCAATTATACCAGGATGCCAGTCTTGCCCTAAAACATGTCGTCTTTGGCTAGGTGATCCTTCTGTTTGAGGGGTATGCAGACAAATACAGCTTACTCTTCCCATGAAGGCTGGTTAGAGCATTGTACCTCAGTGTACGAAGCTGTTTTTCTACTCCTCGGAATATTTATACCATCTCCAATATTTGATTTCAAAATGGTTCTCAAACTCTATGGATCCGCGATGTCCACGGCCCGCGTCCTGGTCGTGATTCTGGAGAAACAATTGCCATATGAGCACATCCTCGTAGATATTGCAAAAGGAGAACAGAAAACTGAAGAATACAAAAAGTTGCAGCCTTTTGGGAAAGTACCTGTGTTGGAGGATGATGGGTTTGTCATGTTTGAGAGTAGAGCTATCTGCAAATATCTTGCGAGGCAAGTATTTCAGTCGCATCTCCGTGTCCACAGCAGGGTACTATCCAGAATCATGGAGCCTGACAAATATCCTAATTTAGGAAATATACTTCTGGCTCCAAGTTAATCCCCGACGAGAGCGACCATAGGGCATACGGCCTCTTTGAACAGGCTTGTTCTATGGAGCAAAGTTATTTTGCAGCCGCTGCTGAAACGTTAGGGACTGAACTCGTCATCAAAAAGTGTGTATGAGCCGTCACTGTCCCTTGATATGTGCACGTAGAATGGTTGCTGATAAACGGTGGACAGAGTCAAGGGACTTGGGCCTCCAGACGAAGCCAGAGTCGCGCAAGCTGAAGCTGATCTTGATACGGCATTAGCCATATATGACAAGATTCTTGCCAGGCAGGAGTTTCTCGCGGGTAATGAGCTGACATTGGCTGATTTGTTTCACTTGCCCAATGCCTCTGCTCTATGGGCATTTGGGTATCAGGACACATTTAAAAAGTATGCGAATGTCGTCAAGTGGTTCGAAAGCTTACAGAGAAGAGAGACTTGGGTCAAAGCAACTGCATTGGCTGGATAGTGTTGATTTCGGCTGTCAGTGTTGGAGCAAGAACACTCGGGAAGGACTCCAAATGTGTGTTGTGTGGATATGAACACAAAAATTCAATGGAGTTTGATCAAAGACAAAAAGCTTCAATATTTTAAAAGTGAAAGTATCTGAACGCTTTTCCTTTTGTACTATTTTAAAAGAATCCAGGTCGAAAAGGTCCCCAAGCGCCGCCATTAGAAAATCCCAAAGGAGATAATAAGAGAGCAAATAAAAATTCAAAAATTCAAAGAAATAACATCTCGCCATAAGTGATGCCACCCTATCAAAGAAGACGAAAACCAAGACACCAGAAGCTGGATATGATACAGCAACAAAAAAGGATTTAGACAGCATCAAGGCACTGCGCGCGTCAATTAGGCCTTACTTTTCTTCTTTTTTCTTCTTCTCACTCCTGGACTCATCTGCCTCTTCGCCGGCATCTGAACGCTTTCGTTTTGTTCCGGCCTCTTTCTCGGCCTTTTTAGCCTCTTTCTTAGCCTTCTTCAGGTCCTTCTTGCTGATAGAAGATGGGTTACCGTCCTTGTCAAAGGAAATCTCGCCCCTCTCGAGTTTTCGGAGGTATCGCTTGACGCTGAGACCGGCTTTCTCGGCTAGCTCTTCAACGTTATCATCACCGTTGCTCTTCGACTTCTTCGACTTCTTTGATTTCTTCTCCTTCTTGGCCTTTTCTTCTTCGGACTCGTCTGATTCGTCATCTTCCTCCTCTCCCTGGTCGGCGTCCTTCATCTCCTCATCTTCAGGCTCAACCTCCTGGATCAGTTTACTCTTCTTGTCCTTCTTGGACTTCTTCTTATCGGCGGCGGCATCACCACCAGCCAGAGCATCTGCATCGGTGTTGTATCTCTTGGTTTCGTTGATTTCCCATTTCTTAGGGACGGCAGATTCAACACCATTAGGAGCAATGGCAATACCCCTAGCCTTGAGTGGTTTTCCCTCGAGGAACGCCAGCTTCTTCTCAAGGTAGTATCTCGACTCCATTCCGAGAGCAGACTTTTCTTCTTCGGTGGGTTCATTGCCATCGGCATCGGCGGTCCAGTCACTCAAGGCATCGACGCGGAGGCCGATTGCAGCTTTAGCAGCCAACACTCTAGCCATTTTACCCTTGTTCTTACCGGTAGCTTGACCGATGAGCGAGGCGTGGTAAATCAAACCGTACTTGGGGGTGTCATGCTTCGTCTTAAGAGCACGGAACAAGGCCTTCTCGGCACCAAGAATCTGAATGGTACTGGCGGGGCTCTTGGAGAGGTTCATCAAGCTGCCCGCATGTGCAATCAATCGAGCACCGACCAGATCACCAACCAGGGCGGTAAGGTTGGGAGCAATAGCAGCCATACGAGCGGAGAGGTAGTTGGCAAGTTGCTGACGATATTCTGAGAATGCGACGACCTGTTCGGCCAAAGACTGGATGTTCTCGAGGTCTTCGTTGCTGATTTCAGTTCCCATGGACTTGTTGGCAGCCATCTTGACAGCGGATTCCATCTCCTCGGGAAGAATTTCAGAGAGATCTGTGGTTTCAGAGTCGCTACGGATACCCATCTTAAGCACGACCTTGGCGTAGGCCATGTTATCGTTCAGGATCTTAGCCAGCTCAGGGAAATGCTGGTAAACCATTCTTTCACACGCATAGCATAGGTATTGAGCTCCTTATCAAGGTCGTCAAGCAAAGAGATTGCCTGAACAATCATGGTGTCAATCTTATCTGCGGAGAACTTGAGCTTGTGTCGAGCAAGGGAGTGGGATAGACCCAGGGACATGGTAGATATATCAGTGGGCACCAATCCAGGAATAAGGGTTGGAAGGTGGGCTCTGATAGCACGGTAAAGCTCAGCAGTGTTGCCATCAGCAACAGGCTGGATGGAGAGTCCCGGCAGCTTGCCAATTGCATTGCCTATAAGGGAACCGACGTGTCAGCAAGAGTTACAGTTATTAGAGCATTTTGCGCAGGGAATATCGCAATTGGACATAAGCCGTGCGCATCACGGGCTTCAACTCGAGGACATACCCAGCTTGGTGTCAGCAACGGCCAACGACACCTTCTTCTCGTCTTTAATAGTCTCTAGCAGGCTTGCAAGGCGTGGCGTAACTTTGCCGTCGATAACAGATGCGACCTCCTCCAAGGCAGTAGTGGCGCTGTCGAATTTCTGGAAGTTCTTCAATTTCATACTGCAGAGACATCGCCGTCAGTCCATCGAATTATCCAACATGATACAACATGAAGCTATCCAAAAGAAAAAAAGCTATCGAAAGGGGCTGTCCAAAATGATGGAAAATTTCTTCATATTGAGACATCACCACCCTTCTTCAACAACCCAGCGTCTTTCTTTCTATATCAAGGGCGAACAATGCCATTGCAAACGTACAGATTCGAGATTCCCTCTGCAGTCTCCGTCTCTGCTGCGAGATCGTCTCGCTTGAGGAGCTTCTTGTCTTTTGCCTTGAGCAAGGCATAGCCCGCACTGGTCTCGGTGAGGATAAAGAGGGTCATGGCGGCGGCTTCTCGGGATAGAATTAAAAATATATACGATCTTCGCGTAGCTTCACCAGAGCTAGAGCGCGAACAAAAATCCGTGGACGAGAGCTTTCCACGGCGTTGAGCACGAGAAAGACGCACAACTTTTTCCTTTGCTTTCTTTTTTTTTTTCGGCTCCAAATAATTTTCTTCTTCTTTTTTCTTCGAAGTCGCAAAAAAAAGCACACTATTATGTAATACAACACGTGACTCTCCAAGCTGCATGTTTTTGGTTTGCACGAAGTCGGTGATGTAAAGAGGAAGAAGACAGTAAAGAGACCCAGAAGATAGAATAGATAGATCCATACTGACCATGGAGGGCCTCTTCTTCAACGTGGACAACGGGTAGGTCGTCCTGGTGCTCGCTGGACATGATCAGACAGAAAGGCTAACCCCCGTCGCCCAGCTATGTCGAAGGAGTCGTTCGCGGATACCGCAACAACCTGCTGAACTCGCAGAACTACAGCAACCTGACACAATGCGATACCGTGGACGGTGTGTACATGTTATATCCATAGGATGCTCTGTGCATGGCTGGTTGACGGCGAGAGTCGTGAAAACCGAATAAACCGCAGTGTACAAAGGCTGACCTTGTATACAGACGTCAAGCTCCAGCTCGGCCCATCCTATGGCGACTTCCTGGCTGCTCTCCCTCCGAACCCTTCTACATCTGCGCTGGCCGGCAAGGCCACCGATAAGCTTGTTGCTGAGTTCCGTTATCTCCAAGCACAGGCCAGTGGCTCGACGGCCAAGTTCATGGAATACCTTACCTATGGTTACATGATTGATAACATCGCCCTCCTCATTACCGGTACCCTCCATGAGCGAGACACCCGAGAACTCCTGGACAGGTGTCACCCGCTCGGCTTCTTTGAAACCATGCCAGTCCTCTGCGTAGCGACCAATATCGAAGAGCTGTACAACTCTGTCCTCATCGAAACCCCTCTAGCGCCGTACTTCAAGGGCAGCCTGAGCCATCAGGATCTAGACGAGCTGAATATCGAGATCATCCGCAACACGCTGTACAAAAACTACCTGGAGGATTTCTACCGGTTCATCAACACCGATCCGGAGCTCAAAGACTCTCCTACCTCAGAAGTCATGTCTGAAGCCCTAGAGTTCGAGGCTGATCGTCGAGCGATCAACATCACCCTGAACTCGTTCGGCACCGAACTCTCCAAAGCCGAGAGAAAGAAGCTATATCCAGAATTCGGAAAACTATACCCGGAAGGCTCTCTGATGCTTTCTCGCGCAGATGATCTCGAGGGCGTCTCTCTCGCCGTGACGGTCGTGGCCGACTACAAGGCGTTCTTCGACACCGTTGGCCTAAACCAGTCCGGCTCCGGTGGCCCTGGTAGTGACGGTAGGAGCTTGGAAGACCTCTTCTACCAGAGAGAGATGGAGCTGTTGAAGCTGGCATTTACTCGCCAATTCACTCCTGCTATAATATACGCTTGGGTGAAGCTACGGGAGCAGGTTAGTCATTCCCCCTAACCATATTTCTCAGCCTTTTGCCGTCTTAATCTGACTCCCTATACAAACACAGGAAATTCGCAACATCACTTGGATCGCGGAGTGTATTGCCCAGAACCAGAAAGACAGGATAGGGAACTATATAAGTGTGCTTTAGGGAGTTTTTTCTTTTCGTTTATTTTCATCATTCCTATTCCGATACCGCTGGAGTTTTTGATATGCTGTCTGCCTACCATGGATGCCATATTGATTCGAAACGTATCTCTTCCGTGTTTCCATAATAAATCTTTCCTATCTTGTTTATAATATGACGAATTGCTACCGGCTGCTCAGCGTTTAGATAAATCACTACCTATTATTCCGGCAACGTTATATATCCTATGGTCCTATCCTATTATTATATGACGAGAGGAAGAAAGAAATCACCAACCGTAGCTCTCCCCGTCTATTCGTGACACATAAACCCCGTTTGCACGGTAAAATATTCTAACGTGAAGCCTCCCAGATCCCTCGTGCAACGATCCCCTTACAGGAGGGGGGCTTACACCAAAAATTCCGTAGTAACCTATACAAGGATCAAGAGACCTTCGCACAAAGAAACTACAGCATAGTAACTATGTAAAAGATATGTACCCAGCAATGAATGATAGATACTAAAAGTTCCAGCAAGCCCAACGCACCAACGCAGACAGGCTCGCTGGCAGAGGAAAAATCGGTTGCCAATCAACCAGTCAAGCAATTAAACGAAGCATCCGTCGCAATGAAGAAAAGAGTAAGAGAGAAAAGCGAGCCAAAAAAAATATGGAAAGGGAAATAAGAATAAAAACCTACCCCTTCGTCTTTATGAGCTTTTTTTTTTTCTGGATCTTCAAATTGGCCTGTTTTTATCTTTTTTTTTTTTTTGGTTGTCATGGATGGTATGGGATTTGAGAGAAGTAAAAGAGGAAGAAAAAGAGCTTCATCTGTGTGACCAAATAAAGACAAATACTTCACCACTTACCTTGCTAGTATTCGACGAATATAAGAGTAAAAAATAGGTAATCGGGACATTAATGAAAAAAAAGGAAGGGTTATGACCACGACATAGGCAGAGTCTTCTGAAATGACTGTCTTATAGGACTGGTTTTCTGAGGTATGGCTGGGCAGCATGCCTCAGAGCACCAGTCCAAGAAAAACAAAATTGGTTCAGAAACGAGACAGAGAGACACAGAGACACAGAGTGAAGGTAATGGCGGACTGTAGGATAGATATATGGAAGTTGATATGAGCTCTGATAGCAGGAGGTTGTGTGTTGAGTATCTTTATTCTTAGTCATATTGGAACAGCACACTGATACTTTCACCATGGTGGACACGACGGATTGCCTATGGAGATATAACCGGGTTAGTAAATATGTAAACATGCTTCTGAAACAAACAGTTTGCCGGTTCAAGGTGGGATGTTTTTAAGTACCTCAGCAAAGACCTGGCCAACTTCCAAGATCTCCAATTTAGGACATCGTTTTAGGTTATTTTCCTGAGCAACTGTATTTGTGACGACGACCTTGTCCAGGGCGCTCGCATTTATTCTGTCAATGGCATCGCCGCTGAAAATACCATGCGTGACCAAGGCATAGACTTTTGAAGCGCCTTCTTTCTTCAATAGCTTTGCTGCACGGGTTATAGTATTGGAGGTGTCGGCAAGGTCATCGATAAGGATGGCTGTCCGGTCTTTGATGTCTCCGACCAACATCATGGTGGCGTTCTGGCGATCGGTGATTTTGGTTGGACGTCGCTCCTGAAAAATAGTGAAAACAGGTCAGGACGAATTATAGGAAAGAAAGTTTGTACGGTTGGAAAACGGCCGTAGATTTACCTTGTGAATAAGAGCAAACTCCATGCCCAGAGAGTCTGCGATGGCAGTTGCTCGCTTAGCGCCTCCGGCATCGGGGCTGACGATCACTGCTTCGCGGAAATCTGGAATGTTTTGTTGAATGTATCTCTTGAGGAGAGGACGTCCGTAGAGGTTGTCGACAGGGATGTCGAAGAACCCTTGGTACTGTGGGTCGTGCAAATCCATAGTGATGATATGGTCTGCGCCGGCACAGGTGAGCAGGTCAGCCACCAAGGTTCCGGCCTGAGCAACCCACTGTCGGTAGCCAGGGCGGGGCTGAAATGAACTCATCTTCGAGGTATTGGAGGCATTGCTGGCCGTTTCATCACTGTGACTGGTGGGAATACGGTGGTGGCCGTTTTCAGACTTTAGAGAGTCCAAGGTATCACTACGTTTTATACCGTTAACATAGTGGGATAACCGCGCTGCCTTGTTGAGAGAGCCGGCATTCTCAAGATCGTTCAGCTGGACCTGAGCCAGTCCCTTGTGAAGGCCCTCTATTCCGTTCTGAAGCCCAACGCTTTCTATATTTCCAGCCGGCGGGGTAGGCGGGGTGCTTTCGAAGGTGTAGGCGTTGCTGGCTTCGGGTTTGGCGACAGTAGATGATTTTATAAGAGGTGCCCCAGCTTTGTTGTATGGGATATCGCTTTGGCGAGAGTAAGGGAAGAGAGGGAGGACGGCAGTGACTCGCTTAGCAGAGGCAGTCTTACACGCCGATATGGTGATAAAAAGCTCCATCAAGTGGTCGTTCACCTTCCCTCCACCAGATTGGATGATGTAGACATCTTTTCCTCGAATCGACTCGTTGATCTCCACGCGTGTCTCACCAACAGAAAATTTTGTCAACAAAACGTTGACTGGAGGAATACCCAGCTGTCTGCAGATGGTTGCGTTCAGCTGTGGATGCGAGCTGCCGCCCAAGACAACGAGGTTTCGGACCATATTGAAATAGCTGTAGTAAGAGATTTCCCAAGGGATGTAATGTGCTGAAGAGGTCCTAGATGGCTATGACATAAAATTCCAAGAAGTATATAATATCCGCCGATCGATGATGGTTTGTCAAACGGCCGCGGTTGGAGTAATTATTTTCGAAAGGCCAATCAACTTCATCAAGAAAAGAAGAGAGTAAGAAGGAAAAGAAGGTGTCACTGTTTCCACGAGGACAGCAATCACGATCTCGCTATCAGCATCATTGTTAGGGCAGCATGGAAGACGAGAGCAGAGTCAAGAGACGAGAGGCAAGCATGGTTGCAAGCGAGAGTTTTTTTTTGGTCCGGAACAAAAATGAGGCAAAAAGTCAGTCACGGAATTTGTGGATGTTTCGAAATTTCCCGTTTTTGCAGGTATTTTTTTCCGCCGAAGGTCACATGCAATGGAGCAAGATGATTGGCTGGAGCAAGCCCATTTCATGTCTAAAGTGGAAAGGTGCGGTTGTTAGTAAGCATGACGTTTCTGTGGTCGTTTTGGGCAAGACAGCACATGGGAAGAAGCAGAGAAGCAGAGATGAAGCAGAGAGGAAGAGAGAGATGATGAGAAGAAGAAGAAGAGGAGGAGGAGGAGAAACGGTGTTACCAAGCTATCTCTGCTGGAGTCTATCCATGATGCAGTAGATATAGTACACGAAGACGGTGTAGACCAAGGAGGAACCAGAAAATAGAGATTAAAACAAGATGTATTAATTGTCTTTGAGTTTTCGTTTCAAGAGCGCTCACAGCACCGGTGTGCAAGACCCAGGACGGTTCATTATAACATAACACCACAAAAGCTCATGACCGTAAGCTTTTCATCTCGAGCGTGTGCAAGGGAAAAATGTGTGCAACTATATCAATCTCCAGTGTCCACCTCCCTGCGCTAGAGTTAGTGCGTTCCATTGAGTATAACGGGAGAGGGAAGAACAGTCGACTTACAAGTCCAGTTGTACGCCATTACTGACACCATAATCCTCCAGGGTAAGCTGGTCTTTAAACGGCCGCTCCCCTTGCCGTTTGAGAAGTATTTCGTGAGGCTCTCGACCTATCCGGGCAGCTACCTGAGCTTTAAAGAGGCCTAGGCAGGAGAATGTTAGACTCGCTAGGGCATAAAACGAGGTACAGGCAGAGACTTACGGATAGGGTCTGAAGCAAGACATGGGATAGCAGCTTTGGTGCCTAGTCTGTCGTTGACGTTGACGATAATCATAGGCTCGTTGGACGGAGCAGCAGCAGGTTTCTTCTTCTTCTCCCTCTTCTCCTTCTCACCGCTTACATCGTCCTTTTCTGGCCTCCGTTCGCACTCACGGTCACGGCCACGGCCACGATCATGGTCACGATCTCTATCCCTCTCCCTATCTCGGTCTCTGAACGGTGACCTCCGCCTGTCACTATCACGATACCCACGCTCTAACCCTTTAGACCTCCCCGAATCTCTGCCCCTATCCCGATCGTCATCTCGTCGTTTCTCCTTCCACCGGAACCCAGACGCTTGTTTCTTCCTCCCTGCGTCTCTGTCTCTGTCTCTGTCTCTGTCGTCGTGACGTCTCGCAGGCGACCGGCTTCTTCGCTCGTCTCGACGCGGTGAAGGGCTCCGCGGCATTTGAAGCAAACGGGAACAACAGGAGGAAAAACAAAATAGAAAAAGCGAGGGTGGGAGGTCAGCCTCTTTTTAAAGTGCGTTGCCTGCACGTCCTGTCCCTTCCCGGCTCCGCCTTGGAGATTGTTGCCAGCAGCTTGACTTGGGCTCGCCTGTACCTCTGGTGGGTCTTGCGTTTCTACCTAAAAAAAAGCGTGTTTCTTTTAGTTGCAGCCTGAGTTCCTTTTTTTTTTTTTCGAGGCACAAACGCTTCTTGGCGCCCTCGACAGGCGCAAACGGCGGCTTTTTCAAGCAAGTTCTTCCTTTCGTTAGTTGCATCTATACGTGTCCATAAAGAATTGCTCGCCTGACCTGCGAGGAACCTCGAGGAAGTTCAAGTTCGTAAAAGTCGAAGAATGCAATATAAGAAGCGCCTGCAGATCTGCCTACACGTGCCGCGGAGTCGCTGTTCGATTAGCAGGACTCTTTTCCCCTTGTCATCCATCTCTTTCTTTTTTTTTCCTCCTTCGCCTGACGGAGCGTCGCGGCTTGGGCGGCCATGCTTCTGCAGGTAGATTAACTATATGACATGGAGTCCCATGTACTGCTACTCTACATAGTACATGTGCTAACGATGCGACAAGCTAGGTATCCTCCAGTTAGGCATAAGGTACGCTTTGTAACGACCTCTTCTTGGATTTACCCTGAGTACACCCTTCTATCCTGCCTTTCAAGCTGCTCTCCCATGGAAAGGCGACTTATATGTAAGAGCTATGGGGATGAGGATATTACATAATCCATGCATAATATGTCACATGATATCAATTTCGCAGTATCGAAACCGACGTTTGCAACCAGCTTGAACACTTTGTAATTCGACATCATTGATATTACTTTTAAAAATAAAAAGTTGCAAGTTTGAGGACGCTCTATGCATAGTGTGCGATTAAAGTAGCTATAAAGCACCTCCTATACATATAAACGGGAGCTATCAAGGGCAATGCCTCATCACCTGAGTACATATAGTCCTTCATCGACCACAGTCCAGTTCACCGTCTCCGATGCCTCCCCGAGGTCGACAATTGCCTCAAAACTTGTCTTTTACGTTGGAATCATCGTCAGAGCACTAATATTTGCGTTCGTTGTGCTGATCGATGTTGCTACCAGCCGCCATCACATACCAGACAGCTGGACAGCAGTTCCTTGGGAAACGATATGGTCGAGTAATATAGGCGTAATTGCATGCAACATTGCAGATACCTATATATGGCAGGTCATCGCCGCATGCAGTGCGGTATTGTTGTACCTTGTCGTTAGAAAGGGCTACACCGGTTTGTTCACCCATCTTCCCCGTTTAACCAGGTTAACCTAGATACTGACACCAAAAAAGAGGAGTCGCTTCTTGTTATTCGTGGATTGGGGGTGCAGACATCTACCTCTTCTGCTACCTACTTCCCCAGTGCGACAACTAGATTTATACCCACAACTCAAATCCAGGATATCGTCATTCACGAAGCATTTAGAGGGTTTGAAGTGAGATATTACCTGGCTATCATTGTGGATGGAGAGTCTGATGTTCTCGTTGTCTTCCCCGTATGTTATCCCATCTACCCTCCTTGTTTACTGATTTGCTCCAAGTCGGAGTGATTATTGGGGATTTAGCTGATACCGGGTTATAGAACCTGTTACCAAGGCGCATGATTGTTGAGGAAGTCTGGAAAGGTGCTCGAAAATGCCTCTATGAATCTGCTTCGTGATGGAAGGTCAACGGCAGCGTGGATCCCAACCTAAGCTATGAGTGATACCCTAACAGCTAGAAATGTCTATCTATCAGCCAAGGGAGATTCTCATTCAGCGTCGAGCGCTGCTTTCCGCTGTTCTTCTTGGTACTCCAACACTCTGTTCCAATACTTGTGCCCCTTTTTCGATAGGTACCGGGCATTCATGTCCTCGACAGGGTCAAGCCTTGTCCTTTCCAGAAGTGGCACGTACTTTCCAACTGGCTTCCCGTTATCCCCTCCGCTAAACACCCTAGGGCTTCGGGCTGCTTGTCCTAGATTGGATGGATGGTCGTCTCCTTTGGATAAGGCCGTCAGCTGACCTCGGTTCGCCATGGATTCCAACAGTGTGCCAGCTAGCAGCTCATCGATCTTCCGGTTTCTCCAAAGAGACCATAGATCTTCAACAATACCACCTTGACCAAAGTTACCATCAGTCCTTTGTGAATGTGATTTCCCAGCCCGCGGGTCGCCTGGGTAGACCCAATCTAACTCATCCTCCTCTTCCCCAAATATACAATCCCAGAGAACTAAAGGACTGTCCGATGCCATCTCATATACAGGACGGCGTGGGTTTTTTGTTACATCTAAAAGCTGGGGAACAATGGACGGGGGCTCGAGGCCTTGACCAACAAGAAACAGTATTCCGACCATATGACGAATTTGATGCCATAAAAATGCCGTGCCGTGAACCGTGAATGAGTATACCTTGGCCGCTGCAGGACTGGTATCACTGACGCTTTCGGAAACTCCAGTATTTCTTGGGCTGTTGTCGAATTGCTCAAACCCAGGCATTTGCACGAAGCCAAGGGGGGTTTTTTGAGGATCCACAAGCTCTATATCTGCACGTAGAATGCGGCGCACAAAATTCGTTATTTGCTTGCTCGTGTCAACTTTACAGAAATTCCGAAAGTCGTGGCTTCCAACAAAATGTTGTGCTGCCTCACGCATAGCTTCAATATCCAGCCAACCTTCTCTGAGTTTCGGTAAAGACAGGTCTTGCTTCAATTCAGGGGCTCTGACAATTCCTCGAGCCCCCGGCGCAGGGCAGAACGCTGGCTGTGTGAAGAAGTAACGGTACCGTCTCTGTCGGCAGGAAAACCGCGCATCAAAGTCTGGGGGTGGATGAGGGCACCAAGCTAAAACCCTTATATCATCCGGAAGTGCCCCGTTCAATATTTGTATATAAGGCAATTCATCTGCAATATCGTCCCAAACTGGTGCCTTAGCTTCTTCCTTATCAGAGACATCAAAACTGCCTAGTATATTTTCATCCCCAGGTTCTGATACTGCAGCAGCAGCAGAGCCTGTAGTTCGTTTCCCTTTTCCTTCAGCTGCGAGACTCGGTGCTGCTGGCTTTAAGCTTCGAACCCGTATCCCTATCACCTGTCCAAAGGCGCTGACACCTTTGTCCGTCCGACCGCATTTAGAGTACTGGCATCCATCCCAATGTATCGACTGTGGGCGTGAAGGGACAGCAAAATCATCGATACAGTCTTTATGGGTCGGGAATATAAGGCGGGTTTTCCGCAAAGCTTTCCACAGCTCCTCCTCAATTGTAGGCACCTCCGTGAAATTGCCATTCGCATGTTCTAAGCCATTATACCGTTTGCCCAGGTAAGCAAACTTAAGGGCAATATGACGAGTAGAATATTTAGAAGGATCTATTTTACGGCGTTTCTTCTCTGACTTTCGGGGAGGGTTCGAACTCGTGGATCGTTCGCGGGGTCGACTTTGAACTGTTGTTCTCTCCGTCTGTTCCGTCGTCTTTCTATTCTTTTCACTTTCAGAGGCATTTGTTGATGGAGCATTTTGGGAGTATTGGTGCAATTGTTGCTCTAGTTCGTGGATTCGACTTATGAGGCTGGTATTGCTCCAGTTGGAATATGGAGACTGGGAAGACTGTTCTGTCATCTTTTGCACAATGAGCAATCGTGACGTTGATGTAAACCGTTTTATATGTGTGGTTGTGCTTGTAACCCTGTTAGTATTAACGCAACGCCTCCAACACGTTGCTCTCATGCTTCTCCTCGTCTGTTTTTTTGATATCAAAATGTCTTTGGAGCCCAGCATACAAAAAAAGACGAAGTGAGCCTCTGACGGTCACGTGGATACACCCATGTTTAATTGTCAAATATGCCATTCGGCCAAAAAGGCGGGCTCGCGCTGATTGGAGGCAGAGAGACTTGTTATATTTTTGACACACCCCCCCAGCTTGATGAGGTACGAGGCAAGCTGAACTAGATATACGCGGAAAGATGATTGGTAGTGGCCGATGTCTGGCCGTGTAGTGGGAACCGCTCGCTGGCCGCTGATCTGGGCCGCTCTGGGTAATAAATGAATGATAAGGGCCGTACTAGGCTGCCTACTGGGCCGCTGACTGGCTACTTATATTGGTAATTAGATGGCCGTTATAGGCCGTAGAAAATCGATGGACGTACAGAGCTAGGTTCGAACGTAGAGCCTCGGGTGTTTGGCTTGGCGTAGAGGATGCAACGACCGGGCTCATAACTGTCAAATATGCCATTCGGCCAAAAAGGCGGGCTCGCGCTGATTGGAGGCAGAGAGACTTGTTATATTTTTGACATTAATTTTAGCCGCAAATTATCAAAAGCTTGTATCTCTTCTATTGCTAAGAGCGTTTCGAATATTTCACCTTGTCATTAAGCTTGCTTCTCTCTCTGCCAATTATCATACCAACAAGTCCGTTCTTGGAACACAGACCCATATAAAAACAAAAGTAGCAGTCGTTTAGGAGAGGCATATACAGTTAGATGTGTCTTTCATACATGACAATAGGTTCAGTCTTTGGTGAAGCATATGTAGTATAGAGTACACGAAATGACGCTGCAATGAGGAACGGAACCTATGTACTCCGTAGAAGACTCTCCAACAAGGAAAGTACTCGACTATATTCAAATATTCTTTCATCACCTAAAGGGCACTATTGAGAGGTAGACTAATACGATATCGAATTATATTTGATTCACACCCATTACAAGTCGTACGCAAATTCTTTGAGACTCTTTAGTTCCTTGGTCCAGCAGTCAGCATCTGATGTTTGACTTGGGAATTAAGATCGTTCCTTGCAGAAAAAGACCCGGCTAAGATTTGCGGCGGTTATATCACGTGGTTTTAAGCGCCAACGTACACCTGCTGGAAAAAGAGTAGTTGAAACAGCGCATTTATCGCTTGTTTCATCCGTTTGACAGCTTCTTTCTCGTTCTCGATCAATGCTTGACTAGTAAAATAAATTCACTGAGTTCACTTCTACTCTCTTGTTCTCTGATACCCCAGCGCATTCTGAAATGCATCAGGCTATTACTAGCAAAGATACGCACAATAATCTATTTTCTGTGCATGTTACATGATGAATGTCATCCTGTACAACGGAAATTGGCCTGCAAATTATTGTCTACTTTATGGCTGATCCCAATATTCTCTCTCCAAAGTACTATACACAAGCGGGAGAATGACCACAAAATTGTATCTAGTAAGTTGAAGAATAGTATGGCCGACGGAAATGGCCAGAATCCTACGTTGGGATATTCTATAGCGCTTGCAAAAGCCGAAGCTTTGTCCAAACCCCTTATATATCCTATATGATATCTCTACTTAGGCCTCTATATTAAAATATCATTATTCCTTGAAACTCATTTGGATACCCTCGCAAATATGGCTCGGTACTCTAAAAATTTCCCTGAAAATATTCGCACTTTGTACACTTTTGGAGTGGAGATTGAATTTATTGTCACCTTTAAAATTGTTGATTTTATTGAAGTTACTAAGGTGGGAAGTATTCACCACTCGTCACGTTGGAAGTTGCTACGGGCTGTATATGAACGGATTGTCAAGACAATGCAAGATAATGGATTCGCAGTGAACAGTTATCTTTCGCATTACATCGAGGCATCTTGCTGGACGGTTAAGCAAGCTCCCTCTCTCCACCTCGAGGAATTTAATACGAAGGTTGATCAATGGGGTGTCTGCCCCGTCAAGCTTATGACACCCGTTATGACCTATGCGTCACCTTCATTTGACTCAATCGACAGTGCTCTATCCCTGCTGAAGCAGGATTTTGATATTATCACAAATGACTCATGTTCGTTGAGTGTGCATGTAGGAAACATTGCTGCAGATACATACATGGCCACAGAGGGGAAGAGTTTACAGAGCCTTGGTTTCTCTCTTACGGCCCTTGAGAATCTCTTGTGCTTTATCTGGTTGTACCAATATCAATTAGAAGCAATTCACCCGCCAGCCCGCCTCTGTGAGTCCCTCTGCCTTAGTCCACGCGTCTTGCTATCCCACCTAAACTCATTCACTGTGAAACAACGAATTTCGAGCTGCACCAGCATGAAACAATTATGCTTTCTCTGGGCTGGGTCGGCCGTATACCACGGGCATAGGCCAGACACATTTGCATATAGCATTCATGATATGACTGCCCACTCTTCTGCGAATGGTGAGATTCTTGATTCAGGGAACCAGACTGTGCGGTTTGGACAGCACCGAAGTACCATGGATATATTAGAGATATACCACTGGGTGATGCTTGTGGGTCACTTGGTGAGGCTAGCAGATACGTGTGATCCCTGGTGTCGGCCGCTTGGTTTAGCCGTTGGGTTCGATAGAACACAACCAGTTAAGACTAGTGAGCTTATGACTGTGCAGTTGTTGGAGGAGATTGGTGCAGCGGAACATGCAAATTTCTATGGCCCAAGATTGTATAAGAACGATAGAACTATCGCTAAAGATTAAGCAAGAAATAACGAATGGGGTAATATTTCAGGGTTTAGAGCTGTGTGCGCATCAATGCTAGTCTTTTTATTTTATTGAATGTTTACATAGCGTATAACTTGGGTAGTAGTAGGCTCAAGTAATTGCATATATTTTTATTTGGAACTAGCTAATATGAGCGGGACAACGATTAAGTACGCCCCTTTTTGACAGCACAGGGCTTTCCCCCAAAGGGCCAGGGGCCGGATGGGTATCTTTCCCTCGTAAGCGCCGTCAATTGAAAGCCATAACATTTTAAAGCAAGAACCGTGGGGAGAATGGCGTCGATGAACTCGTTAAATCTTTCTTTTGTCGCTTTAACATGAATGATAGATGCAAAGGGACAAATAGAGGAGAATTAGGGCCAGCAATCGGGTGTGTTTTTATGTTTTGCATGAGTAAACAGCCGCATTTACCACTTGGGCTCGGTAGCAGCTGGGGCATCGGCAGCCCAGCTTTCACCACCGGCTGGAGCAGCAGTAGCCCAGTCAGCGCCGGAAGCCTCCCAGTTGCCAGCAGCAGGGGTACCGCCAAAGGTAGCAGGAGCAACAGCGCCGGCAGCATCCCAGTTGTCAGCAGGGTTGAGAGTATCGGGGGCAGCCTCCTCGGCCTCAGCGGCTTTGGCCTCCTCGATCTCCTTGGTCTCCTCAGCCTCGGGGTCACGGTAGAAGTACAGATCAACAACAATATCCCACTCAGTCTCACGGGAAGCGAGAGTGCCACGGAGGCGGAGGACTTCACGGGCAAGCATCCACCAAACGAGACCAATGGCGTGACGACCCTTGTTGTTGGTTGGGATAGCAACATCGACGAACTCAGTTGGAGAGTCAGCATCGCAGAGAGCAATGACAGGGATATTTACGTAGCTGGCCTCCTTGATAGCCTGGGCGTCGGTGCGAGGATCGGTAACAACGATGAGGCGGGGTTCCTTGAAAGAGCGGGTGATGTAGTTGGTGAAGCTACCGGGAGTGAAACGGCCGGCAATTGCAACGGCACCGGTGTGAGCAGCGAACTTGAGGACGGCACGCTGGCCGTATGGACGGGCAGAGATGACACAGATATCAGCTGGGTTGTCGATGGCTGCAATGATACGGGCAGCAAGAACAATCTTCTCCCTATACAAACTACATTAGCTTTGCGCGTCCGTTTTACACACCTTCACACGGAGATTTTCAATACTTACCAGGTCTTGCCGATATTGATAACGTTGACTCCATCTGGGCGAGTCTTCCAGAGGTAAGGCTCCATATGGGTTTGCATGTTCTTGGAGCCGAGATGACACTGAGCAGTGAGCATCATCTCCATGTCCTGGGAGGTGGCATTGAAAATAGGTGGGAGGTTGGAAGGAGCCATGATGGGCGACTGATATCTATCCTGTTGGAAGACGGCGTGGAAGGAAGAATATCAATCGGCGGCGGTTGTCTTGACGGGAATGAAGAGAGAGAGCGACGAAAAGATCGAAAATTGAAGCTCATGAAAGTCGAAATTTCGCCTATTTGGAATTCTTGGCGCAGTCGTTTCTTTGTGCGTGACTAAGAAATGACTAATATTTTAGGGCAGGAAGGATAAACATAGGGCCGAATATGAAGCTTGGCATGCCAAGATATGAAGATTTGATTAGGAAAAGAATTTGATGAAGCATAGAAGTGAAGGAGACCAAGGTAAAGACGGGAGGAAGCTGACCTGGTTAAGATAAGATGGCGCCTCGAGTGGGTTCAAGTGGTATGTATCAGTGTATTTTTGATTGAGGCTGAGCGGATAGTACTGATCAATTATTATATACAGGCCTTTGTAGCTGGTTTAACAGCCTGTCCCTGAGCCGAGTCGGCTCCCAGCCGTCGAGGACGGTGACAACGAAGAGCAATGTACGAAGACGACGAGACCCGTTTGCAATGGCACAGGCACGCCAACGGAAAGCAGCAAATATATCTCGCCAGCGCGAATTGACCCAGCAGCGTACCACAGCCTTTGGCGATCCGGTGGCCAGCGAGAAGACACCAATGATCGAAGCCATGCTCAACCCATCGCTCTACCCCACGCTGGGGTCCAAGGGAGTCCATGTCCCACCCAACGACGAGCAGTCTAGCTATGTGAACTTTTGTATCTCCAAGAACGACCTTGCGTCCGCGCTGGAGAAGTCAAAGCAGCTCACACGACCCGTCCCACCAATCGATGGCAGCACATTCGATCCCCAAGAGGCAGACGAAGCCCTCAAAAAACATGAAGAAGACCACAAGACCGCCGAAGAGGCCGTCCGTCGAATTTTAGCAATGAAGAATGGCAGCACTCGAAACCGAACAAAGCTGAACATCCAGCGATCAATCGATATACTTGGACGTCACAATACGGATAGAGTACTGCCTCCCAAGCCCGCTGTCGCTGGTCAAGATCCCGCAAGTCTGGAGGCATCTACTAAGCGGCCGCGTGCTGGACCAGACACAGGGTCTCCCGAGGTACAGGTGGCCATCCTGACATCCAAGATACTGGTGCTGGCCGAGCAGTTGAAGACGACCTCGCACAAAGATAAGCACAACAAACGTCGACTACGACTATACGTGCACAGAAGACAGAAACTGCTCAGCTACCTGCGGAGGAAGGAGAGAGGAGGACCCAGGTGGCAGAACCTGATGCAGACGCTTGGGCTGAGCGATGCAGCGTGGAAGGGTGAGATTACCTTACGATGAGGAGCGGACAGCAGGGCGAACTTTGTAATTGGGCGAACCGACTTGTTATGTATCAATACGGCCAACATGTTAGGCCGCTTCACTTTTTTTGTATTTCTAGGCGTAATCCAATAGATGTATCGATGTATCTACCTTGTGATCTCGACTTTTTCCTGTCCCTCGTCTGTCCTCTTGGTCACCGTCGACAGTCCTCCACCTGTCCTCCTCCTGTCTGCCCTATTTGACTGTTATCTCTCACTTTCTATTCACTTTCTACATCTAATTTCTGTGTTGCTGTTTTCTTTGTTCGTTGCTGTGGCTAACAACCATTACATAAGCAACGTCACTTTTTTTCACCCGCCAAAAAAAAATATCTTGATTAGTTCCAATTCGGGAAATTCTTAAGTCCTTCAACCTCGACTTTCTTCACACCGCGATGATATCTTGAGTGTTCTTGCTCTCGCGGCGCGCACGCCACCTTCAAGTGTCCAGTCTTTCTCTTCTTCTTCTTCTCTCGCTCTCTTCATCATCATCATCTTCTCCCTCTCGAGATCTCGTTTCCGTTCACAGCTTACGCTCGCAACAAGCACTCGAATCAAGTTGATACCCTTGCGTCTACTATCAGAAAGGCATTGCTGTTTACTCTTCGTGTTCAAGGTAAGTATTCAAGCTTGCATCGGCTTGATATCGTGTTTCTTTTGCCCTGTCTTGCTCGTTTATTATGATTTCTGCCTTCATCTTTCCCTACGCCCTGGAGCTTCACGGCTTCAAATGTTTCCCTATTAGGCCAAAGCTGCTCTCTCACACACAAATCTTCACTCATACTCACCAGTTTATCTGTTTTGTTTCTTTCCTTGACCGTGTCTGGGCTGGTCGGCTTGATACCCTCGCGTTTTCGAGCTTCTTATCCTCTTGAGTCTGGTACTATTCAGTCCTCTTCACATTCACTACTTTCAGTTCACTGTACTTTCCACTCTCGAGCTTCCACGACCCCTCTACAGCATCTCTTACAGCATCAGTTATTCCCTTTGAATGAGTGCTAACCGCTCCACAGTCCAGCAGAAGCAATGGCTCGCACTCGATCCCAACCTCTCTCGCCATCTGGCTACCAAATGTGGCAAACTCCACCCAGAACTCGCAAGCAGACTGCAGAAGCTGCTCCTACCTCTAAAGCTGCGCCCAAAGGTCCTAAACCGGCAACTACACGCGTCACAAAAAGCAAGGCCAAAAAGGGCAAGAAGGCAGCTCCAAAGAAGCGCGTTCCAGGAAGTTACGATGACTCGGATGACGATCACGAGCAAGCTCCTTCCGTTGAAGAGAGCAGCATCACCCATGGAAAGAACGACGATGATGTCAACAATAACGTTAACAACAAGCAGCATAGCAACGTCGCCACCAAGGACGATAAGACCACTAATCCTACTCAGAACCCTTCCCCATCTACTCCCCAAGTCCAGGTCCTCGTACCGATCCCATCGCCGGCCAATGGCCCTACTTCTACCCGCGCAACTCCTTCTACTCCAACCCCGAATACTCACACTGCAGCTCGCACCGGCGACGCATTGCATGTCTCCCCCGTGGTAGAGACCGCAGCTAATGTCGAAAATAACGACAACATCAAATCCAACATAAACGGCAAGCAAGCGCCATCTCAGAGTGAGCCTCAAAACCTTTCTTCCCGCCCTATCAAACCCTTTACCCGCCGGTTGCCTGCCAGGCACCAGCCCTTTTCACGTTTTGCACCAGTCGCCTCCTTGATTAGCCCTAGCAACCTGGAGGTTTCCCCAACCCCTATCATCGACCTGGAAGGTGGTGTGACTCGCAATGGTGAACGCACCAAACCTAAAGATATTTTCTTCTACCCTCCTCCCCTTACTGCAAACCCAGTTTTCCTTACTACCCCCCATGTATCCATTGAGCGCACACCACTGTGCCCATGCTGCAACAGGATACTGGTTTGCCTCAATGACCATACTACTTGGACTCATAAAGGGTTTTACTTCACGGAAAGAGCCAAGCAACTGACACCACCGCCAGCAGTCACCGGGAAACGACGACGAGAAGCAGGCGAGGACAAGGAGAATGAGAATGGCGATGGCCAACCTACTGCAAACCAACGTCCGGCAAAGAAAGTCCAGCGCAAACCTATCAAGTCTAGAGAAATACATCGTCGCCGCCAGGTTACGCCGTATGCCGATCGTCAACGTCGTCGTGCTCTTGAGAGCCAGGGGAAGATCCAGAGGACTTTGTTCAGAATTCCAGAGTTGATTGCACAGAAAAAGGCTGCTGAAGCCGCCTCTTTGAGCGAAGACAATAACAATGCTAATTACGATGAGCACTCAGATATTGATGCTATTTCTATCCCAGCAGATCCCACTGCAACGGAGGCTAGAGTAGTTTCGGCCCACAATATACAGTCGTCCCCACCTGAACTTCGGCCAAGCACACCAGCACGCGCCGGATGGAGCTTTGGTGGCTTACTTGGTTCAGTCCCTCGATCAATTTCAAGATTCCTACCCTCATTTGGCGCCGAAACAACTCAGAACGAGAGACACGATGAAGATTCGCCGAGTCAACGTCACAGACCAACTGTGCATCATGAAAACCTTTCCAAAAACCTTTCCAATGAAACAGCGCAGCTTAGCTACATGTCACGGACCCAGAAAAATGACGATGACCGCCATGATTACATACCAGTATCGCCTGCAGTTGGTCCTTCCACCTCGGAGGAGTGGAAGGACACTCCATCAGCATTGCCAGAGCCACCTGTTTCCATCCCAGTTCGAACACTTGTTACAACCCAGCAGGAAGATGACGAGGAAGACCTTTCCTACGATCTATTCCCCAGAAACCACAGGTTATCGAGTTATTCTAGAGAAGCTGCTCTTCGCCAGGCCGAAGAAGATGCTCGCCAGGCACGCGAAGAGGTCCGTCTTGCCCAGGAAGTTGCGCGTCAAGCGCAAGAAGAAGCTCGCCTTGCCAAGGAAGAAGCACGACAAGCCCAAGAGACGGTAAAGCTATACCAACCGACATCGTCAAAGGCGAACGCTAACAGAGTAACCAAGACGATAACTCGCAAGGAGAAGAAGCGCAAGCCCATTCCAAACCCACCAGGGTGCAGCTATGGAATGGATTTGCGCTACTTCGGGTCAACTTCCAGCTCCGAAGCTGACCCATCCGACAACGAACAACCCGAACCATCGGCGAGCGTTCGACCCGGTGTGCTGAAAACAACCGCCGGCGCAGACAGCCAAACCCCTGCGCGCGGCGCACTTCGACAGCGAAAACAGGTACGATTTGGCCCTAGCCCGCCAGACGTACCATCGAAGTCACGCACATCGGACGTGGTGGACGACATTCCAGAGTCTCCACCACAAATAACGGCGGCACCGGCAACTCCTGCTCCCCTCCCAGTCTCGACAATTCCGTCACCCGAAGATGTTGAGATGACAACGCCAAGCCCGCTAGGGGAGCGGGAGTCCGACAACCAAACCCGAGGGCAAAACACTTACGGGTTCACGTACGAAGAGTTGTACGGCGATGACTTCTTTGATGATATCGACGAGGATCCTGTCCCATCTGGGACTGGGCCCTCGTCGTCCTCCGGTATCGTCGAAGAAGTCGGGGTGCTCCCTCAGCCAATTCCAAGGGGAGTACTTCTTGGCCATTCCAACGGCCAAATCGCCGCTGCACCTCCTGCGCGACCCGCCCTCGCGACAATGCCAGTGCCGTCGTTTCGCCCCGCATCGATAGGAGCGGCGGCTGTTGAGAGGCAGATGGCGGACGTGGAAAGGTTCCGCCCTCGGCTTCCCAGCAGCCTGCGCACCGCGGAGCGATATTCGTCAAGCCCCGTGCCGGCTTCGTCACCGGCTCTCCAGGGGGTTGTAGGACAGGGACCTCTTTCCCACTCGTTTCAGTGGCCAGCGGCCACTGAAACTGGGTTCTCTTTGCAGGCCCGGCCGAGTCACGACCGGCTGAGGTTGGGATTCCGGCAGATTCTGAGGCATGAGTAACTCTGCCAATGAAGAAGGCGTGTCATAGATAAAGAGGCCCCCCTGTCCTACGTCCGTTCTTTTAGTTGCGGCTCCTGTCATCTTGGGCGTTCTGTGGTTTCCTGTTTCCCTATGCTCCCGGCCTTATGTTCCCCCCTTTCTGGGGTTGGGTGCCTGGCTAGCGGTGGAAGGGATTTGGTTCTGTATTTTAGCGCTCGAGGCTCCCTGGCTGTTCCTCCTACCTTGTGCCTACCTTCGGGATTAGGTGCATTGTTAGGTTGGTCAAAAAGGGTGTTTTCAATTGTCATTCATTTGGTGTTGGAGTTTGTACGTGGAGTTTGGGTCTGTATGCATTTGGGCGTTCTCGGAGTTTTTTCATCGTGTTTCAGACTGGGTATGTATTTAGAATGACGGGAGCCTGCATTTTGTTTTTCCAAGAAAGCATGAGAGAGCGAGTGCTGCATATATTACCAAGGCATAAAATGCCATTATGAATATGAATACAGAGTATATTTTACTGATCAATGTTTTATATCCCTTCAGTGAATTGTGCCTCTATTGTACAAGGTATTTAATCGAATCCTTCAAAGGGCTCGTCATCGTTCACGTCGTCAGCATCATGAGACTCTACCTTTTTCTTCGAGGATGCCGGGTTCACCTTTCGTGCCTCTATATTTGCCTTGCGAACCTTTTCCAACATCTCATTAGTGCGCCGTAATTCTGCTCTCTCATCTTCCGTCATGGCCTCGATCATAGTGTGTTCTCTCTTTACCCGCTTCCTCTCCCGCTTCCTCTCCTTCTCTCCTTTCTTGTCCAATTTCTTGCTCCAAGCCACTGTACTGTTATCTCCGGCTGCCGCAGACCGTTTCCGTGACATCCGTGGCCCTTCTCCCTTTTCTTTCGCCTCAGCTAGAGCAGCCAGCCTGCTCTTCTCCTTTTGTTTATCTTTATAAGCAAAAGAATCCCAATCCACATCCCCAGGGCCCAGTCCCAGCATCTTATCTCCCTTGAATTCCTTCAATTCTGGCATTTTAGGAAGATGAAGTAACCCCCATGAGCGGCCGGTTTCTTCCCAATCGATATCGGCCACCCGGAATATACTGCTGGTCTGATGCTTGCTGTAGCTTCGTACCCAGCTGACGAAAGCACGCTGTGCCTTATCATGGACCGCCCTATCAGCTAGCACAGAACGACGAATTGTGTCCGTTGTATTCTGTGCTTCAGCATCCGTGGTATTGATAGCTGGTGCTGAGAAGGGCATAGCTGGTGTCTTTCGTACCTCGAGAAACGGTATATAATCTTCCTCTCTGCCTGATGTGAGAAATAAAACGCTCAAGCCACGACGGCCTGCGCGGCCGGCCCGCCCACATCGGTGGATGTATACCTTTGGGTCTGTGGGGGGGTCAAGTTGCACCACCAGGTCGACCAGGGGTATATCGAGTCCTCGGGCAGCGACATCAGTGGTGAGAAGGATAGTTGGCGCCACCGATTGAGTGAAACGGCTGAAATTGCGTTGACGGACAGTAGGGGCGTGTTTGCCGTGCAGAGGTACGGTTGTGAATGAAGATGGTAGAAGTAAAGGGAGTATTAGGCTAAAGTAATCCACCGCAGCACAAGTGGAAAAATAAATGATAGATTTCTGGGGGACGGGAGATATAGATGACAGAAGTTTGGAGAGAGCAGGAATCCTATGAGACGGGCGAGTGGTAAGATATGTCATTTGGAGACTAATAGTGGGTTAGATCCATACGAATGCTATCGGAGGGTGAAAGGTAATAAATACCTGGCTGGAGTCCGTTTATCCTCAGCACCAGCTCCGCGGACTTTGACAGCAATCTTAACTGGGTTTCGCAGCCCGACACGCACTATCTGGTCTACGGCCTCGCTCACACTGGCGCTAAACAGCCCAGTTCGTCTCTGTTTTGGTAGTCGTCCAAGGATCTTCTGGAGGTCATCTTTAAACCCTAGATCTAGCAGGCGGTCCGCCTCGTCAAGGACCAGCACTTCAAACGATGATTGCGGACAATGGACATGTGGTGAAGAGAGCAGTTCTAGCAGCCTGCCAGGGGTGGATATGAGGAGGTTCGGCGAGCGCTTGAGGAAGACACTGAGATCCTGTGCTGGCGTAGTGGTCCCTCCTAGCAGCAACTGGGGGATGACTGTAAGTACAGAGGAACGGTATGGTTTACCCGTCTCTGGATCTAATCCGGGTTCCTTGCCCTCTAGCTGGGCGAGTTTCGACGCCGAGGGTCCATGGAAAGCGAGAAGCGAAAGGAGCACAGTATGAATTTGTTCCGCCAGTTCGCTACTATCAGTCAGTTATATACCACCGACAATAAATTATGTCAAATCATACCGAGTAGGCGACACTATTATAGCTCCAACATGGTGCTTCTTGACGGCGGAATCCAACCGTAATAGTTTCTCAATAACGGGTATCAGGAAAGACATGGTCTTCCCGCTGCCGGTCACAGCCTCCACAACCACATCCTTATTTCCCATAAACAGAGGTATGGCAGATGCCTGCACGGGCGTCATGCGACTGAAGCCCATGGCCGAAACAGCATCGAGGATCCATTGTGAGAGCGACGGAGTAAGAGCTTCCCATGCGCGGGGGTTTTTCGGCGGGTTGTTGCTGTTGGCCATTGGCGCAGCGGAGAGAGATACAAGGCGCGGATAGGGGAGTTATATCTAATTCCCGCTCGGTATTGCCTCCACTGGTATAATATCCTCACATCACCCTTTCAACTCCGTCTCATCGCATCTTTTTCTCTCTTTTTTTTTAGATTCATTTTTTTATATATAAAAAAGAAGCTTCAAAAAGTATAATTTTCTGAACAAACAATGCAAACATGGATATTAGGGTTTATATATCACGTGTCTATAATGAGTCAGCGATTTATCACGTGATTTTACTCATGACATAAACTTTCACGTGCTTTGTTATCACGTGTCAAAATCTAGTTTCGACTTTTTTTTATATATGAAATTTTTATACTTAAAAAAAAAGGAAGAAGAAAAAAGAGAGAGAGAAGAAGATGAGAAGGAGAAAGGAAGAAGAAGACGAGAGACGAGAGACTCAAAATCGAAAAAGCATTTCTTTCTGCGCGATCAGGCTGCCTTTTGGGTGACGATAAACCGCAGCGTCAACTCCGCCGCCTCCTTTCCAAGGTTCATTAGGCTCGAGTTTTCCCAGATCGAACAACTCACGGCCGGCGCAAGAAACAACTTAACGGCGATAAATAAAAGTCGGTCACCTTTTACCCACAGCAGAGACATCTTCTTCTCGCTTGGGACGCGTCTGTTATAGCTGCTCCGGCCTGCTTCGTTTCGTCTCGAGTGCGCCGTCGAGCGTTCTTATCAGGCTTCATCCAGATAACGATACAAGGTGGAGAGAGAACGAGAGCTTGCAGCCTCCAAGTGACCATCCAAGTTTTTGCCATTGCGATGCCACACCAAGATGACATTCCCACGACGCCGCGTGTGATCTCGCCCTCGCCAACGCCTTCAGATCTCTCGGATTCAAGAGAGCACCTGTCAGATAAACGGCTGCTTGCGTCCCCTCCGCCCATCCCGGAGGAGGAGGCCTTGAACGACGATGCATCCAGCTCAGATTCTAGCTCAAACAAACGATCTCGTGCCCGATCCCGGAGCCCGGTATTGCTCTCTTCCTCAGTTCAACGCAGACGAAAATCCAACTCGGGGGCTGGTGAAAAGGTTGCAGCCGTAGCAAACGGACATACATCGGCAAATGGCCATCTATCACCATATTCTGGAACTCAGAGCAACTGGCGTGTTATATCACGATCGCCCTCTCCTCTCGGCCTCATCCCCCTCCATTCTCATTACAGGACATTTATCCACCGCCATGAGATTCCGCGTAAACTGTTACACGTCTCCATCGGCTTTGTTGCCCTCGACCTTTTCCGCAGAGGCGTCCAAGCAAACCAGCTGACCCCTTGGCTCTTCTCCGCCTTCATCCCCATTTCTGCAACAGACTTCCTACGCCATCGCTTCCCGGCCATCAATAAGTTCTACATCCGCTGCCTTGGCGCTCTGATGCGTGAGACGGAAGTGTCGGGATTCAACGGTGTCATTTGGTACGTTTTGGGCGTCGTCATAGTCCTTTATTTCCTCCCCAAAGACGTCGCCATGGTCTCTATCCTTCTCCTCAGCTGGTGTGATACGGCTGCTTCTACGTTCGGCCGGTTGTACGGCCGTTATACCCCTCGTCTTCGACGCGGAAAGAGCTTGGCTGGCACACTCGCTGCATGGGTCGTTGGCGTGATGACCGCTGTCGCGTTTTGGGGATACATTGTTCCCGCAGTGGGTTCATTCCCTGATGACCCAGAAAATGCCAACATGTTCACTGGTTCTATCCGGCTTCTGCCTCCTGCTGCTACTAGACTACTAGAATGGATTGGTCTCCCAAGTTCCGCTTCTGAAGACTCTGTCATCTCTGGCCCACTTGCTCTTGGAATTGTCAGCTTGTGGACCGGTGTCGTTGGCGCCGGTAGTGAGTTGATCGATCTGTTTGGCTTTGATGATAACTTAACCATCCCACTATTGAGCGGGATTGGCTTGTGGGGTTTTTTCAAAGTCTTTGGTGCCTAGATCTCTCTTGATACTTCATATCTGATATACGACATTTACCTTCATCCTTACCCCTACTTCCCACTCCCTCATCCGCTATTGTTTATCCACCACTTATCCCTCCGACGTTGGTTCTTTTTTCTTCCAGAGACGCCCTTTCTTATGCCTGTCCCCCATTTGTATATTACATCTATGCCCATCTTTAAAACGCTGCCCATTGCATTTACGAATCCTGTTTCGTATTTCCCATTTCCTTTTTTGACGAGCAAGTAAATCTGCAAGAACGTTCAATGTTTATTTAACCCCATATCTATCCCTTTCATGTTTTTTAATAGTTCTCAATACCCCCTTTTTACCTCACTTTTTGTAATGACGAATACGTTTCACTCACTATCACGAGGCTTGACTTATTTGCACTAACTACTGGCCCAGGGTTTTTTTTTTTTTCATTTGTTCATGAGGATAGAATTTATTCGGATGATAATAAGTAGATTAGTATGGTGTTACATTGGTTAAATAAATCATTGTGCTATGTATACACTGGCAGCATCCAGCAACACGCCAGCGGTTCAGTTCTACTGAACAGAAAAAATGATCAAGTTGGCCATTTCCGCCGTGATTCATGGCTGTCAAAGTAGAAGGTTTTTTGTACGTATTCAAGTGAGGTCAATAATATCAACCCGCCCAAGGCATATTGGTTTGCCTGGTTGGCTATCAAAAAACGAGAGTTCATCAAAGCCTGGTGAACAGAGACAATCTGCACTACCCCCCTGGACACAATTCCAAAATCCATTGTTAATATTGACGTGCAAGGCAGGGCAGCATTTGCTACCTATCTCCCTGGATAGCGAAGGATCTGTGGTGGTTCCTAGTGTCGATGTGGTATGGCGATTGTTCGTATATATATTGTGTCTATTTGCTTTTTTTAATTGTATCTGGGAATCATTATGCCGAATACTATCCAGCTCGATCGATAACTGATTCAGCGATGGAAAGTCCGGTGATGTAGCTGGTGGTGGAAGTGGTGGAGACGCGGACAGGTTGTTCTCCGTGGGTACTTTTGGTTGATCTGGACGTCTGGACGAGACTGATTTGCGTACAATGCGTTGCGAAGCTGCTGATTTCCGCGTAGTTGAGTCAGCCGCGTCAGGCTGTGTATTGGCTTGGGACGGTTTATCTGAAATATGAACTTGGCTAAGTGCCAGTTCTACCTCGACGACTGATCTAGTAATGGAATCTTGTAAATTAGAATCAACTGTAGAGTGATAGAGGCTGAACGTCATGGGTTCATATCCTACCTATCTCATTATGCCCAGTGTCAGTTAGGTCGCCGAATGAATCACTGAAAATTGAATCCCAATAATCGGGGGAAGTAGGAAAACCGGCATTCTTCGCAGATGAAGTTGCAGGGGTTTTAGAAACAGCAGTACATAAAAGAACGTCTTCATTTCGGCCGTCGTTGCTTAATGAAGGAGTCTCTTTTTTGATCGAAGATGCAACCTTTGCCTGTCTAGCTGGTCCTTTGGTAACAGTTCCGTATTGGAGAATAGAGCCAGCCTTCATCCCTGGATCCACGACTTTGGGCTTTTTCCTTCTTGTTCCAGACTTCTTAACTGGCCGCTTTTTGGCGGCCTCCTTCTCTTTACATTCTACAAACCATTTCTCCACGGTATCTGGAATACCACGACGTACTAGTTCTTCGAATACCCATAAAGTTTGGGGGAGGTATGGGTTGTACTCAGCCAAAGTTCGTTTCGTACCCACAACATTGCCTTCCTTTTGGGTGTCATCATTATCGGATGAATCAATGGTGATAACTTCGTCTTCTTGGGGGCTTGTAGGGGCAGTTTCTAGGTTCAGCTTTAGCCTGACAATGTTCAGTGGCACATACTCGAGCTTTAACACTGGCAAAGCATCAAAGGAGTCCGCTGACTTGCTGGCTGTTATTTTCACTGACAGTTCATCCCCGGATGGTGCAAGATATCCATAAAGGAGTTCATAGCTCAGGAGGGAGGGTGCAAGTCTCCTTATAAAGTTTTTAGCCCCGATTAGATTCTTCCATCCTAGATGTTTACCAACAAATGCTCGAAGCTTGTCAACATTGATTCGTCTGCCCCAAATATCTGGCTTTCGAAACATATCAAGTTCTTTAGGCGTCGATGTGACCGGGTCAACACAGTTTCGTAAAACAGCCATATCCGGAAATTCATCTGGTATCCTGACAGCTTTATGTTTCGTTTTGAAATAACCACTATGGTTGGTCTCTAATTCATACTGAAGGCGTTCTCTCCATTCGCAAAGTGCTTCTGTGGCCTCTTTGTTTGGTCGCCCAGATAGAAGACCTTGCATTATTCCAAGTAAATCTTCGCCAAAGCCAGCTCTAGCAATCTCAGCTGCTAGTTTAGGGCCGCATAAAGGTACCCCTGCGGGGGAATAATCTCCACCACTTAGTAGTGCAACCAAAACCATGCCCCCAGTATCCAGAGTGACCTTACTATCTCCATCTTCTGCTTCCGTATCATATAAGTCAACATGAGTGGCGGCCCCTGACTGTTTGGCTGACCCTTTCGAGTAGTTGAGAAGGGTAACCTTAGAGCCGAACATGAGAGCGTCAACATCATTGCTCATGACAGCATCGACGACGCCTGTCCGTTGCAGTTTCGCACATTCTGCCTCTGCTTCTCCTGGAGCGGTGTGACATGGGTACGAAAACAATTCAATCAGTTTTCTTGAAAGCTCTATCTGCGCACCAGCAGCATTCTTGCTAATAAGTCGACCCCTTTTGTAATCTGGTCTATGCGGCCCATCAAAAACGAAAATGGGTTGGATAGGTAGAGAAATCAGCCTGGTGAGCCGGAAGAATAGTGTTCTAAGAGCCGGGTTTGCGCCCCCTTGCGCAGCCTGAACTTGGAAAAGCCATATCGAAACGTCAACGGCTAGGCGTAATGGTTTGTTCGTACGCTGGAGATGGCCAATTGAGAACCTGGCCAAGGAGACACGCTCCCCTGGGCCGAGCTCATCTTTCAGACTAACAAATTATATATTAATAAAATCTCTAATTCTTTGTGAGACAGACATGATGTTTTATACCCGGGAATCCCCATTCATGAGCCAACACAGCAAACGCCCAATTAGCCCTGCATAAACGGAAAATAGATTGTCGTAAACAATTTCTTCCCCTTGATGCAACGAGGTAAGCTCTCATATCACTGGAGCAGCTCGAAGAAGGCAGTGCGTCTTGCGCTCCATGGCATCAATTATCGTGTTTACATTTCGGTTGTCACAGCAAGAAAATAAACAGTGAACATCTTGGCGGCCAATTTGAAAATAGACTTTCTGGTCAACGGAGCCTCAAACCATCCATAGCTATTGACACCAACAGTCAAAAATATTCAGATTGAAAAGAGCACCGTTCATTGCCCTGCCCGCGCAGTTGATTTTGACGATGGAAAGACGCGAGAATTGACTCTCCATCAGGTAATTCGTTGTTATATTTCGGCCAATTAACCCGGAAGAACATACTCCCATCGACCAGCCAACGGCTACAGAAAGAGCCCAAGGATGGCGGCAGCTCCGTCATCTGCGATCGATTCGGAAAGGAGACAGTCTCTCTCAGGGGCCAATATACGAGGAAGCCTTCGTCAAACCCGTGGCTCCATCGTCTCTATCCCCGGGTCCCCTCATACGCCGCAGCAACAGCGCCAAATACTTTCCCCGTATACAGGCACCTCGTCTCCCGGCTCGTCATTCCGCCAGGAGGAAGATGCGGTAATAATAGAAATTGGATCAAGGTGGCTTCGCGCCGGGTTTGAAGGGAATAGTATGCCCACCTGCGTAGTTGGGTTCGGAACAGAAGAAGGAAGAAGGGTAGGCGATTATCGAGGCTGGATCAGAAGCAATAGTAATGCGGCAACGGCGAGGAAACGGCGTACTTATGATATACAAACATGGTCGAAAAACTATGAGTTATGGGTTCCGGATCTCCGGGGCTTTGATATCCAACTGTTCGAAGATAGAATTGAACGTGCTATTCGGGAGGTCTATAACAAGTATCTGCTTACGGATGCAGGTTCCTCAAGGCTAGTGCTTGTTATACCCTCGATTGTCCCTCACCCCCTGCTGGCATCGCTTCTGTCAACTATATTCCACCGTTGGAAATACCCCAGTATCACCCTCCTTCCAATTACAGCGATGGCGACTGTATCTGCTGGCCTCCGGTCGTCTCTCGTTGTTGATATCGGATGGGAAGAAACTGTTGTCACAGCTGTTTATGAATATCGAGAAGTCCGGTCAAAACGAAGCACACGCGCCATGAAGATGATGATGCAGGAAATGGCAAAAATGCTCACCAATATCGTGTATGAAGTAGAGGGATCCAACCCTGGCGGAAAAGAGGATACAGTATGTATCCCATTCGAGCTCTGCGAGGAGATTTTGGTACGACTTGCTTGGTGTGAGAAGAGTTCTCAACTCTCTGAGGACTCCGAGTTTATGAGCGCCCACTCTGCCCCGTCTACAACTTCAGGCGGTAATGGGGATATCTATTCTCGTTCTCTAGATTCGAAAGTGTCTGTTCCTCTGCCGGTTGGATCTGACTCAAAGTACACGGAAATTCCCTTTTTACAATTCTCCCAGCCCACCGAATCTACTTTATTCGGTGGGCCGTATGAAACCCGGGACTGGGATGATGAAGACATGCCGTTAGATATCTTGATATATTATTTTCTGCTCTCCCTACCACCAGATCTACGAGGCACCTGCATGTCGAGGATAGTTTTTACAGGCGGCGGCGCGAACATTCCAGGAGTACGGCAACGGATATTGGATGATGTGAATGCCCTAGTTGAAAAGAACCAGTGGTCTGTATCAAGAGGCAAATGGCTAAATAGGCGGAAAAGTCGACTATACCAACAAAGTGGCAGTGGGAATTCTACTACACCAAACACAGATATGTCCAGTCCTACTTTTCGTGAGCCACCAGAGCTGGAACCGAACTTTATTGATGAAAAAATGGACCTGAAGCGGAAAGACGATAGACATGTTCATGGAGTACTTCGTCAGGTTGAATCTATGGGGCCATGGACTGGGGCCAGTCTGCTGGCCAGCCTCAAGGTGAAGGGCCTAGTAGAGGTTGAGCGAGAAAAATACCTTCAGCATGGCCTGGCGGGTGCTAATCGTGATTACGATCTTCATCCTCCGGAAAGGAGATCTGGTCATGGACCAGGAGCTGCTCGGTCTGGAGGGGATAGGTCTAGCTGGACGCTTGGTGAATGGAGATAGTATATCATTTTTTTTATTTCTGCTCAGACTATCGAGTGTTTGCAACCTGGTCTGCATGTTATAAGATACCCTTAGAATACATTTTGCTAATCCTTACCGTACTTCTATACCCGTTTCCCCTGAATTATCATACCCTTACGGCTTGCGTCAGACAGTGTTACTTCTGGTATTGGACAGATGATATTTTGCCAGAGAGACATTATCCAGCTATTGCTGTTATTGCCCTTGATAAACACATAACCCAGGCCAGAGGCTGTCTGTCATCACCGACTCCTCGATACCAATTCTGAGAATGGTCAGAGAATGAGATTCACCAATACCCGGACGCTGCTGTCTGTATAACTCCACACTTTCATATTATATCCAGTCTTATCACCTGGTGAATATCTTCCCGGACAAGTTAATAGAACACTTACATGGTTGCTTCGACTTCCTGTCACTCCCATCGCAGTGTTCTGCTCACTTTTTATATTGATTCAGTGTTCGTCCTGTTGAAGTTACCGGAAACTTCCTTCTTTGACGACTCTTTCTCGCCCTTTTGTCATTCAAAAAGCAACACAATAACGAGCGAGTTCTCCTGCTTCTACACTTCTCTCGCCGTCAACCTCATTTGTCTGTCCGTAACCGTCCCAAGCAAGCAAGCAAGCAGAAAAGGACGAAGACATGGAGACACCACCACCACCTCGCCAGCCAGAAGAGCTACGCCGAAAGATCTCAACCAGCTCTCTTCTCAGGATCCCAACCACCGAAGAAGAAGCACCCATCTCAGTCCACTTCAGCACTGATGACGGCTCAAAGCCCTGCGTCACAACTCCTCCGCCTCAGGCTCGCGACGGCTCTCACTCCCCAACACCATCTTGTGCTCCGCCTTCTCCTCGAGATGAGCTCCCTAAGGACTTTGTTGCCCTCGACGGTCTGTTGAACTATCATCTGAGCCAGCTGGACCGCATCAAGAAGGAGATCAGAGAACACAATACCACTCTTGACCAGCTCGCTTATACACTAGCCAACATGTCTGCACCTGAGGTGCAGTGTGCTGCCATGTACATGAACTGGCGTCTTCAGGGGGTTAGAAACGCGAGGAACCTTCTGGCCAAATTTGTTGCCTTTCACCTGCAAGAGATTGACCGCATCTCTGCTCTGAAGCTGGAAATGGGTGGAAATGATGTCCTTGAAGTGTAAGTTTGCTTTCTTCGCCTTGGATGGATAATAGTGTCTTGTCCTTCTACATTGACGCGTGGCCCTACTGCTGTTCTTACTCTGTCTTTGCGTCCTTTATTCTTTTCAAGCAGGGCATATCTAACTTATTTCTTCTATAGCTGCCGAAACCTCCCATCCTCGCGTGAATGGAATGACATGTTCTCTTGTTAACCCACAAATCACCCATTCTAAAGAGCAGTACTGCACACAATGGATTTATTACAGACGCTGGGATAATGGATAGCTTGATTAACGTTTCTTTATGGCGACTTTTACTCATACAGTATCCGTCAAGATTTGTTCATCATGAAGTGCCAAGGGCTAATATTGCTTGATATTGTCTTATTCTATGTACAAGAATCAAGGGACCCCGTCTTTCACTTTCACTTTCACTGTCTTTGTCATTGCTACTGTTTAATATCCGCTTCCTAGGATCCAGCCTGCTGAAGGTACCTTTATTATTCACATTCCCATCAACTTGGCAAAGTTGCTCTCAACGCCAAATTAGGAGGCGTTGAACACATAAGTCGCCCAGTTTACCGCAGGGCCAGACTCGGGAGAGAATATTTGGAAAGGACCTTGGTCCCATTTCGGGTTGTTAATGCCATCGATCCAACCCTCTGTTTCAATGACAAGGCAGCCATACCGCTCAATCTTATCCACAACCGTGCCAGTTCCCCCTCCACTTGCCTTATTCCTTGTCACTTGTGATTTCTTGACAGGAATTGTACCGTTCTGGCCATTGCAGGAGTATATTTGGATTGCCTGCTGATTTGTTGTGACCAGCATGCTGATACCAGTAGTGGCGGAGGACATATTAAGGGCAGGGACCATGGTTTCTTGGGAAGATGTCCAGTTAGTCGTGCCGTTGGGTCGGTCTATGATGAAGCAATTATCGTATCCAGTACAATTTGCACCACAGATCCCATCAGCAGACTTGATATCTTTCCCGATTAATTTACCTTTCGTGAAATCGAGAGTACCATTTGGAGAGGATGAGACATTGCCTATTTCGCCTGTGGGGATGAGTCGTGAGTCCACCTTCACATATCGGCTAGATAGCGGCAGTTGAAGATGGGTGTCCTCCAGTACAGTGTCATTCTTGAAAACGTTTAGGTTCCAGTAAATATGAGGTGACAGCATGATAGGGGTCTTTTCTGTCAGGGAGAGAGAGACAGTTCGGGCACTAAACTGTGCCCGTGGATTGGAACTATTCGAGCCATACGAGGAATTGACGCTGAAAGTGGCATGATTGATGACATCTCCAGGGAAGTTCTCATAACCAGTATCTAATAAGCTGAAGGTTATGGAGTTACCCGAGAGAGCAGTTACAGTCCAATTTCGCTGGTCATAGCCAGTAACTCCGCCGTGTAACGATTGTGTGTTATTGAGCTCGTTTTTTGGTATATTATATGTAGTTCCATCCAGTTTGAATGTGCCGTTTTTGATTCTGTTGGCATATCTCCCGACAATGCACCCAAAGTAGGTATGATTTGTGAGTGTGTCTTTGACATAATCCCGGGGATCATCATAGCCAACAACAACATCTTGCATGTTACCATCGCGATCCGGAACTAAAAGGGATATTAAACGAGCACCATACGAGATGAATGATGCAGTGATGTTGTTTGCGGAAATTGTGTATACTTGGAGAGGATTAGGCGGCGATAATGTTCCATTAGTCGGAGGGCAGCTAAATGTGCCGTTCGTAGCTGTTCTGTTCTGGTGGTGAAGGCTCCATGCTGAGCTACTCGAGATAATACCGAGAATAGCTACCAGCTGTAGCATGAAGTTCCGATGTGTGTTCATGAAGAATATATGTAACATCATGTAATGGGTGTTCACTTGTTGTACTGTAAACGTATAACTATGTAAAGTACTGTAGGAAAGGAAAGGTTATCCTAACCGCTATGGGAGCTCACTGGGGTTTTAAATAATCACAACCCCGACCTAATATCAACGTCATTAGCTGCCCAGAGTAACATCAAAGACGAATATCATGATGCTGGTGCCAAAAGATGTTGTGCATCTGGTGGTAGTATGTGAACCCAAACAGTTGCAATCGGCTCCCCGGATGGGACATAGAAATGCAGGTTGACTATTTCTATTCGATAGAATGTAAGCCTTTCATGCATGGACGGGATGACCGGGGATGGCGATGCTTATCTCTCAAAGGCGAGAAAACAGTTTGGCCACACCTTCCCCCCGCTCATCCCCTCTACATGGTCAGGTGCCACATAGCCTCTAGACAATATATGATATCGAAGAAACACCCTTAGCTTCGTTGGCTTGGAGCCCAGACTGTGAAGTAGCCTGTTCCATCATCCTCTGGAGGTAGGGATTCGGATTGGATGTGCCCATGACGCAACTTTATGTGGGCAGATATTCCCTCTATCAGCATGACATGCAACCATGTCCGTTAGTTACATCGAAGGCCGTATTAGGATCAGCATGACTACCAACTCTTAGTTTATATCTTTCATCTAGAGACTCAGGGATACCATAGAGACAAGCAACTTGCCCATGGCTCATTCGCCTACCGAGGAAACGCATCGCTTCTTCTTCTTCTTTTCTTCTCTTCTCCCTCTCTTCTCCCCCTTCTTGTTGTTTTCAAGTTTTCATATATATTGAATGAAAGGATGACGTAAGAAGGAAAAAATAAGAAACTGATCTGCGCTAGTTACTTCTATATCAGGTTAGAGGATACACGCTCAGACCACCTTAACGTATAAAACTTTATCCGAGCCGAATAAACAAATTTCCCTTTTGGGACTAATTAAAATGATGACTAAAACCGTCAATCAACAAGATCGAAAGTTGAACGTTTAGGATGGAGAGAGAAATTATATAAGAGACGAGCAGTTGATTTGGTCATGATACGCTGTTGGAGTGCTCTATTTCATGGACATTTTACTCTTTTTCGAGGAGCAGTACATACAATATACGGAGGCTACAGCTAGCTGTTATTGCCTCGGGTCAAAAGCATGAATCTTTGGCTATGAAAGTGCTGCGATAAACTACCTTGCGACAACGCGCATGACACTGGTACAGACGGGACATATTAAGGGGCGTAAAAGATGGCCTCTCGAAGCAGTACCTCCTCTCCAGATCCTCTAGGATACCCAGGCGACCCCGAATACCTCTTGTCTTCCGCCAAAAAACCATTCCGCCAACGAAGCATGTCACCGTCGAAAGGCACAACCCCACGACGGGGAAGGCCACCGCTGCATCAAAAGAGCTACCAGTCTCCAAAGAAGAGTACTAAGAATAGTAGGCAAACAATACATTTAGAAGATATTATATTACCATCCACGCCGTCGGGAAATTCGAAAACAACGCGTTTTGACCGAAGATCGCTATCCCCCACTAAGGCTATTCTACAATCAGATGGCAATATTAGTCCGTGGCGCATACGGGTTACAGTCGAAGCTGAACAGGAAGATGAAGAAAATGGGAATCAAACCAATAAACAAAAGCGACTCGGGCCATGGGTGGGCGGTAAAACGGTAAAGGTCCCGTTAAAGGGGACATCGTCAACAGAACCAACACCAAAAAGACGCCGGCGCGGAAAGAGCAAGTCTGATACCTTAGAACGACCTCCTACTCCCAGACGTAAAAAGGGTGATACAGTTACCGAATCAACCTCGAGCATGGCTAAGAAGATGGAGATTGACGTTCAACAAGATACAGAGATGGTGGAGGACGTTATGCCAACTGTAGAAGTTAACCCCCATTCACAAGATTTCGACGAGCCAACACAAAATTTTGGAGACATATTCCTGGATATCGCAGCAGATGGAGACATGGACGATGATGATGGTGACGCGTTGACGGGAGAACAGGTAGAATTGGCCAATCCTGCACCACGACGGTCACCAACAAACAATACCGGAATTGCGCCATTAGACAGAAGGAAAGACCACATACCACGGGAAAATCCCCAAAGCTCGCCGATTCCTAGCGGCTTATCTCCAATCAATATCACCAACGCCGGCCGTACGCCTAGGCCCAAACGAATATATCCAACACCAACCTCATCTTCGCTAGTGGATGAAACACTAGAGAAGCCTATAAACCGTGCTGCTGGTACAGAACCTACTACGTCAAAAATCTCGGATCCCACCGAAGAACATCGTGAATTTGATTCGATAATGGAAAGCGAAGGATTCAGCATGGTATCGCTAGATACCTTACCCTCAGCAAGGCAGCGGCTGCGCCAACTATTTGAAAACCAGGCCAGCCGCATCAAATCGCCAAAATCCAATGCAATATCCCGGCCGCTGCAGCAAATATCCCCAAAACCTACCTCGACGGCCGCATTGTCACCTAATATATCCACTACCCGGTCATCTTCTAAACGTCCGCACAGCCAATTATATGAAGCAATCTCCTCTCTTCAACAATCATCACCAAGGGATATGACCTCTAGACCTCATCGCACACCACGGGCTAATCCCCGCTCATCCGCACGCCCTCCCGCTGCCCCGGCTCATGCACCTCAAACTGTACCCCCTAAAAGGCGTCCTTTGGCTCGGTTATGTCGTGTGATACGGGCTGGAATTGCTCTTCATGGCCTTCTAGATCGCAGGCGACAAAGTGGCAACCTCCAAACGCCATTTTCTAGCCCCAATACAGGCCATGTAGACGATATGGAGGCTACGCGACAGAGGTTGGACAATCTTTTTCAAGATTTCAATATGGAAACTCGGAGAGAACTGCGCGCAGGAGTACGGTTCGGGGAGGAGCTTGCTAAAAGACTTAGTCAGCCAAGCGAAAAGCGACGAGAATTACCCGTCACGCAGGAAAGCACTAGGCTGCAGGAGGTAACATCTATGCGGCCAAGCAAAAATGTAGCTTACCCAGAGCCAGGAGGCGCATCTCAAAGGCTAGAAACAGAGCCTGCCCCTGAAATAGAGAAAGAAAAACCTACGAAAAGCCCACGCCTGGAGCCTTTCCCTGCAGAGGAAATTACCGGGGATACGTCAATGGATTCATTGATGGTCAGGCGAGAAGCAGAATGGCGCCGTGAAAGACAAGCCATCAGTCGACAAATAGAAATGGCCAATGAGAGCCAAGTCATTGTTATTGGCAGCGATGATGGCGTATCGCAACCAGAAGTTGTCCCAGGTGCAAGCGATCATTCTGAGGAGCGGGAGGAAGAAGCTGTGGTGGACGATCAAGAGGAGCTACAGGAAGCTGATTACGGAGAGGAGACTGACATTTGGCAGCAGGCGGCTCGTGAACCTGAAGCCAACTCCCACCCACTGACGTTATCTGATACAGTGCACAAAGAGCAACCTCAACGGCGCAAACTTGGCTTCCCAAGTCCTCGGGCTGGGTCGGAGGAAGAGGCCTATAGCGCGACTGATGATTACGAGATTGTTACTCTTCCAGACGGATCCAGTGGCAAGGATGCCTTCCCCAAATTGGCTGTTGGTAAATCAAAGATGGCTCAATACAGGGATACGGATGCATCCCTGTCCCCCTTACTGGGGACACCAGACAGCGCCACGGTACGATTTTACGAAGGCAATTTCAAGCGGTCAAGTGTGGGAATTTCACAACATCATCGGCCTCAAGAGACGTTGGATTCTCTTCCTCAACGTAATAACCGTGCAGCAAGCCGTGAACCCGACGAGCCAACAAGAATACACAATAATTCCTCTAAAAGACGCCAACAACTCCAGGACAGCTTTGAACTGGAACAGGATGAAGACAACCAGCTATTGTATACCCAGTCACAGCCGTTGGCCAATTCTATCTTGGCGCCACCAGCCCAGGAAGATGTAATGCAGCGTACAAGCCCACGCTTACCCAAACATTCCCAGGATAATGTCCCTTCTGAAAGTGAAGTGTACGTAGAGGTACACGAAGAAGAGGAGCTGGAAGAAGGATTTGAGGATGATGTCGCGGAGAGCGAGATCACTAACCCTTCAATTCCAGAACCCCCAGAACAAACATCAACAATTACATGGTTCAATAAGTTGACCAGCAACCTCGCTCCGGCATGGTTAACCAGCACCCCTGCTCCAGCACATTCTTCGAAACGAAAACCTCCAAGTAAAATCAAGAATGGTGTTGGTCCTATTTCTACCACTGACGCTGCCCCTGCTGCACAGCCTCCCACAAGAAGTCAGAATTGTGCGAAAGGCAAAGAACCTGAAAGGCACTCCTTTGTCAAACGGCTTGCAATTTCGGGATACTTTACTGACGACCACTACGTGGAACTTCGCAAAATCTATCGAGAAGCGAAGATGCGACCAGACAGGTTCAAATACAATCCCACAGATGACCGGGATGAGATGATTGGCCAGTGGATGTGGTCTGCAGATGGGCAACATCGCCGGCAGGTCACTGAGATACAATTGATGATCGTTGAACGCTTTCGCCAGACCTTAATCGAAGACGACCTCCAACATGGGGGTGACGGAGCTATGGAGTGGAGTGAAGAAGATATTCTGTGGAGATTATTCAGTATTATTGTTGGAGAACAGATAAGGAGACAGAGAAAAGAACAGCAACGGCTGCACCACTGATTGGCTATTATTGGAATTTGACATTGACTTTCCTATCACTGTTTTTTATGTGCGGAGCAAACGTTTTGGATTGGGTGTTTTCGCTTTATTTTGATATCCTTGGGTTGGGCATGAATCACACCTTTTGCTGGGGCATAGCCGCTGGTGGCTGGGTCTTTGTTTATATATAATAACCAATAGTTTATCTCTTATTTTCTTTTACATTTTGATCTTGATAGCTATACCTACTCCATACTTGGTAGTGTTATGGTTGATCTGTTAAGAGATCAACTTGATATTCATATATAGTCTGCCACTGCTTGTTGGTTTATTGCTACATTTAGTGAGTGGTCGTACGACATCATCTCCATATTGACTAGCATTTTCGACGGTTGACTATGTGGAGAACAAACGGCTATCTTTGCAAACGGGGAAAAAAAGGAAGGACACCCAAAAGAATGACAAACGAAAGTCAAGATTTAGCCAGGGGGTCCCTGTCATCGATAGACGAGGCCATGTCGATATCCATTGGGCACGCAACCTCGTATTTATTGGCAGACACAACGGGAAGCAGAGCTCGGTTATCTAGGGGGTGATGACCACTGACATTTCGTTTTCGCCTCTCTGAGCGCCCTCGAAGGCCCGCGATCACAGATTTTGAGCCGTCCAGGATTCCCCACTGCTTGCGACAGTTACCGCCTTCTCCGGTGCCGCAGGATTCATATTTCCATGTTATTCCATAGGTCCGTATAATAGGCATGGCGCTATAGGGCGGAGAAAGAGTAGTACGAGAACACTATCGTGTCTTGTTAAACTCTTTTCTTCCTCTTCTCAACTTGGCCCGCTGTTTCATGACACACATGAGCAGTTCAATTCTAGAATAGTTCCCGTCTGTCTGTTCTGTTCTCGAACAACCCCTCTCCCTTTCTCCCCCCTTTGACGGGATGGAGTAATTAATCTCGACAATTTCCCGTCATGCATGCAAGGCGCCGCCAATGGGATGTTAGTTATCATGTTATTAAAAGCACCAGCAGGGGTAGAGAGAACAAACAAGGAAAAGCCCGGCAAGCCATAGCACGGATGGACAAGGTCCTTTCATGTGGCCAACACAGATCTCATGGGAAATCATCCACTTACCAGCCCTGACCCCTGTTCAGCCCGGTCGAAACCTCCAGAATTGGGCTAATCCCTGTGACACTAATGTCGCCCTTCCGATGCATCGAAGCAATTGGCTGACCACTCAACGAGCGTTTGCTCATACAAATGTGACTGTGGGGGAGATCACTCAGTGTATTGACTAGATATACAATGATGCTCCCCTATTTTCACTCCCCTTAGACATAGCTTCCTTCTTCCAACGGGAGATCTACTTCGGTCATTTATAACCATATTTTGGCATTTCTTTAAACATCTCAACGTTCAGTCAAGCAGCAGAAATTGAGCTATGGAAACGACAAGGATAATGCCCTTGATATACATCTACTATTAGAACTTCACAGTCAAGGCAAAAGGTGTTGAAATACAAAAACGAGGAATCATGGGTCCCGCAACGACTTTATGGACAGAGGCGAAGATAGATTTCACAGTCACGCGAGAATTTGTGCTGAAGCATGTGGACCCCATCCTCCATCAGCGCCTGAATAGTAAAATCGTGTTTGGTGAAGGATTGACGGACGACACATACATCGACTGGATCTTACAACGAGGTCGCAGGCTCTTTTTAATTTTGGTGGAAATCGAAGTCCCGAGCCGTATCTTTCGCCTCGTGGATGAAACCTACGATGATTCAGATCTACCCTTTGACTCCGACAAGGCCGAGCTCCTTCGACTTTCTCCCGATCGTGAGGACCTTTTCTTAAACTGGAAATTTGTTGAGGCCCAAAATCGTTTTTTGGCCAGAGGTATTGAATCAGGGCAGCATATTTCTTATGATGAGGATGAAACTATACCAGTTGAGGTCTGCAAGGAGCGGCCTCCTGTTGTGCTTTCAGACAGGCTACCTGTTGAAAAGGTTTCGCTTCCTGGTGTCGAGATCAAGGAATACCTCCGGTTGAAGATCACGATTGGCGAGGATACAGCATCTCACTTTCTAAGTGAGTCAGAGGTCTTGAGAGAAGTCAGGTCGTTAGAGCGTTTCTCTCACGACCACATTCTTTCAATATTCGGCACATACTCGGTGAACAACACAGTCAATGTCCTATTTCAACTTCCCGAATGCACTTTACGATCATTTATCAATGAAAGGTCGACGTCAGCACTCAGGAAATTCTCAAAATTAGAACAGAAGCGATGGCTTGTGAACTGGCCAAACTGTCTAGCCAATGGACTGGCTTGGTTGCATGATCAGGGCTACGCTCATGGGGCTATTCGGCCGTCAAATATCTTAATCAATGCCAAAATGCACATATCTCTCGGGCTTTTCGACGTTCATGACCTGCTGGTAGGGTTAAGGAAAGAAGAGTTTGCTGAAGCGTACGAGTACGCTGCGCCAGAACAATGGTCGAACCAACATTGTGCCTGGCAACAGCCTCCTGCTGGCACAAGGAATGTCCTTACACGTACTGATAATCTCTCATTTTCTCCCATAACACCACAGAAATCTTCCTACGACTCTAGAGGCAGGCTTACCTCCTGGGGGTCCTCCTCTGACTTCTCGAGCGTAGGCCCATCTAGAAAACGAGCATCTTATGCACATTCGACTTCCACTACCGGCACACACGGATCTAACCAAAATACCGACCACGCGCTTCGTACATTGCAGATAAATTTGCCATGGCCATTTTACAGATAGATTTTGGTTCTACTCAACCACATTGCCAAATTAAACAGTCCGGCGGCATAATTGGAAGTCTTCGCTCCTTTGACATGAGTGTGGAGAGCGATATACCGATACCTCCTATGCCAGCGTTCCCCGAGGATTACAGTTGCTACGTCAGTGATGATAAGGGCAGTACGCATAGCAATAAGCTTCCTAACAATACCTATAATGATTCCACCACGCAGCTGGGCAGAGCAGAGACCGACTCGTTTACCGATCTCAGCAACGGTTCTATTTCCCTTTACATGGACGACACTATCACTTGTTCCTCCTCCATATACAGTGCTCCATTAAATATAGCTACCCCTACAACTCCTGCGCCACCGAACTTTCCGCGGCCCTGGAATGTGCACATAGTCAATAACGGAGGTGAATTTGACGACAAGAATATGCACTCTGCCAATATATCTACGGAGATAATCGATGAGATGATGGAAGACATGCACGTCCAAGGTGAAAAAGGACTTCCACCGCTCCCGGTCCCCACATCTCATCCTTGGTATGTACCCAGCCGGGTATCATCATTATTCAACAATAATAAACCCTTACCATCTCACACATCCACGCCACTGCAACACTCCTATCCCGATAGACCATTTGAAGACAGCGGTTTAGGGAGCAAGCCAACGGTACCACCTCGGCATCCCAATCGCCCTCGTGCCAACACTAGCCCAAACCGGGACTCTGTGTCAACCCCTAGGAGTGCTCCTGATGATACCAATATCTGGAGGAGGAGCAACAGTAGCTTTGGCAGCAACAATGGTGGTAACAGCGACAATATATCCCCAGTTGAGGGAATAACTGGAAGATTTTCGCTGCTGACTTCCTCACGACCTTCTACAAGCTATGGTTCTTCAGTCTCGGGTCTCAGTTTTAAGAAGAAGGCTTTCATGAACTTTTCTCGCAACCGAACTGGTCTTAGAACCCCCCCACCGGTTTGAAACCGGTCTTCCTACGACTTCACCACCATTCTACGATTCCCTTTGTTTATATTTCTATACTACGACGGAGCATACTTGGCGAAGTGACACTTTCACGTACTGGTGTTTCACGGTTGGACATGCACTTATACTGGGAAGGTGTTTCTTTTTATCAATTGGGCACCTGGGGACTTAATTTTATCTAAGGCTTGCTCTTTAGAGAATATACCGATGCTTTTCTTTGTTATTCTCTTTCATATTCTCTTCTATGTGGTGAAAGATGAGTGTAATCACATGCGATACTTGGTTTTCGGTGATGATATTTTTTTGATACCCATACTATATAATAACTAGTTAAGCTACTATGCATCCTCCTTGCTCTCCTTGATAATCATATACATGTACGTCAATGTCTTATCTTCAAAACCTTCAGGTTCAAACTCTTCAGGGATGTCGTAATCTTGCAGAATCTCTTGATGTTGAGATTGTACCCCAGTCGACAAATAGTTCTTTGGCTATACTATGTACGGCGATCAACGCGTGGATATAACTATATATAAATATATATACTCGGCGCATACTCGGTGCACGGCAAGCCTATACTGATGCCGCATATTCCAAGGGCCTCTGAGAGTCTGCAGGATAAATATATTTGTCTAACCCTGGTTTAACCGAGGAAGAACTGTCGGCGTTCCCGGCTGCCAGCGAGAAACTACCTGGCCCGTTGGTTATGCGTTCTTCTCTTCCAGCCGCTAACAAGCTAGAGAGATACGCAGGTTGACGGCCCTTCTGCAGTCTCAAAACCTTTGCCTGTTAAGGACATAACTCCGGTGAACCCTGGTTCCCTTCCCCCGCAAGCTGCATGTTCAAAGATCGAGAAAACTATCGTTCGCATCACGATGACCCCGGGATGTTAGCAGCGGGAAGCGGCCGAGGTGAACGGACAACTGCCTGATGATAGGCTTTGATATGATGATCAACCACCCGTCGCTCGACTGGCCTCCGAGTTCTTCCTTGCTCTCTGATGAAGCCATCGGGCCGTCGCATCTGCTGGCATATCGGCCTCGACGTCATGATCTGTAGGCGTAGCTAGGGTGTATCATCCCTAGTCGCCCACCAGGCCGATCTCTCTATCCCTGTATACCGAGAACACGAAGTCACCGACTGTCCGAGAACTCGCTGGTTGAAGGATTAAGCAGGAATGATTCTGCCTTTTGGTGTTGCTCTGAGTGAGTAAGTAGTAAGTGACCTCCTTGATGCTCGATTCTTCGGCCACATTCTTGTGTGGAGAGAACTTGAAACGGTTCTTCTGTTGGTATAATTAGGTATCTTTACAAAAAAAATCAGACAGTGTCATAGATTGATGAAGTACTTACATATAATGGCGGATGGTGGCTAATCTTCAGTTTCTTCTCGATATTCCAAAAGTCGGCAACATCTATGGGTGGACCATAAATCGGTAAGGCGGCTCTGGACGATGGCATTTCTTGGGAGGCAGCCCTCGCAAACAGAGGATATTTAAACGTAAAGATTCATCAATCCTTGATTGATATGAAGTAGCTAGTATAACAAATATTCTTGAAAACAGACCGGCCGCCTACCCCCTAACAATAGAATAACCTCTATCTATCAACTCGCTGCTGGAAATAGACATACACCAATCAAGAAAATGCCCCGACTTTGGAGCATAACGAAAAAACCCGATAACATTTCCTTCATCGTTCCATATAGCAGATCCACAAACGCCATCTACGAGCGCGTTGCTTGACCCTTGGCCCATATAATCCCACCGTGTAGCAACCCAAACTTGTTTAGACTCATGAGGGTCATCTTCTAGTATACGACTAGTGGCCAGAACACTTTGTGTGCCCTCTATATAGCCAGTGAACGGACTGTCCATGTAGATAAACCGCCCTTGCGATACTCTATTTTCTTGCAGGGTAGCGAAACGTTGCAGTTGGACGGGTGGGCCTGGAGCTATCGTGTTTTGAAATAGCTCATTTCTGAAGGAGGATTTGTCGTCTAGCTCTATTAGAGCGACATCTGTATGTGCAATTTCCATGATCACGCGCCCAATCTCTTTTCCCTTGGAGTTTGGATGAAAAACTCTGTCTCCGCAAGGAAACCCATGGGATGCGGCGGCAAGGTAACGATGCCCATTTCTGTCCTGGATTAGTACGCCAGAAGAAGTAACGAGTTCCCATCCCTCGGTAGGGTGCTTTCCTGAGCTTAGCATGACACCTGGACGTAAAGTTTCATACTGGCTGGTATCAAGAGTTTCTGGAGATGGCTCAATCAGACGTAGAGCGGATAGATTCAGCGGGCGCCCCATTTCGTCATCATACAGATAAAAACAGCTACACCCAGTTACGGACTGGGGTAATGCTGATCTGTCTGTATTGCGGTGTTCAAGGACTATAACGATAAAATTTCCCCAATACTGGATTTCAGTAATGCTTATTCCCTTTGCGATGAAATGTTCCTTGGCCACGTTGAAAACTAGCTCCGCCTTTCCCTCGTCATTTCTATAGTTAAGTTCACGACATATGTGAATGTGGGAGAAGTTTGGGCGGTGAATTGGGGCGCTGGGACCGAGATCTCCAAACACTGTTGTGAAATAGCAAGGTACTCCAGCTATTCTTTTTGGCCAAGGCTGGTCTGGGAGAGCAGCTAGCGTAAATATGAGAAAACGCCCATCGAAAATCACAGATGTGGTAGTTGGAATAATGTCATAAAAGATATGACATTTCTCATCAAACACAGGTTCTTTGCTGATATCAAAGTCAAGTATAATATGACGCGGAAATGGTCTTCTAGAAAACTGATGTCTCCACGGAGGAATGCTAGGGTGGGCATGCCCGGGACATAATGATGCTCTTTCTTCTAGAGTATTATTAGTATTATGCGGTAGTAAAATGTTATATCTGGGTAACTGACCAATGATCGCTTCTCCGGCAGGAAAAAGTCGTCTTGATGGGGTAAATAAGTGGGAATTAACGTGTCCTGAGGAAGTTCTTGGAAATGAACCCAACGGAGAGACAACAGCAATATGTTTCGGAGTCTTCCGTTCTGAGAGTGGCGTGATAGTCCTGTCTTGGATATTTTGAAGTGGCGCTCCAGTCACCGTCGGAGAAACGACTATAATCTCGGAGGGAGTTTCTTCTGGAACGTTGATGGAAGACATATTCAATAGTTAAGCCTTTGATGCGAGCTGCGAGAAGCTTTCAACGACTAGAGAAAAATATGGGCGGAGGAGAGTGAGATGAAGAAACCTTCCGGCAGTTGCTAGAGAGGAAAAGCATGATGAAGAAGGGTGAAGGGAAGAAAAGTGAGAAAGGTCCAAGGACAAAAACGAGAAAAAGGTGGTTAACGGTTTATATTTTGTCATTCACTCACTATTTAGTGCTAACTGTATTAGGTAATGTCTGTGCTCCTCCCGCATCAAGAACATATTACATAATAAGCTTGTTTCGACCCACCACCCGTCTCATCCAAGACTACTCGGTATTCCTGGATGGGTTCGAATATTTCGACACCACCGTGTAGCAACAAGGTATCCTGGTACATTAGTGCCTCGCCGCTCTCTCTGGATGTGGTAACTATCAACGCGGTCAAGAAAGTGGTCAAGTACAATGCCGGATATACCCAAAACTCACCGGGCAGGGAGAATTTGTTGGAAATCGCAGCGGGTGACGCTGGGTGCGAAAGAAGCGAACTACGGAGTACATATGTCAAATATAACCAGTCTCTCTGCCACCAATTGGTGCGGGCTCGCATTTTTGGCCGAATGGCAGATTTTGACGGTATCTTGTTCCAACTCCAGCCAGCGGGGCTGTCCGGTAGCCTTGGAATTCCTATACTGCATGAACAGCTGCGTAGTGTTTGCTGTATCAAAGTCTGTCGGGCGTACAATCCTCGCGAAAATAGAACAGACAGGCCCGGGCGCTTAGAAGCCGTTTTGGGGGCGGTATTAGGTATATAGAAACCATCCAGTATTGTTGACAAGACTTGAGGCTTGAACAAAGAGAATGCGGGATGCCCTTTTGGTTGTGGTGTACGATTCCGATAGAAGACCTCACTACTAGAGAGCAACTCACGGGCTGCCTGGCTTAGCACAGTTTTGATGGTGACTGATACATAAGATGGTGAAAGGCAAGAATGTGATGCGGCTAGTTAGCTAGTTTTATATGTACTCCGTACTAATGGCCCGGTCTGCCAAGCGCCCAGTGGGCATGGGTAATGGATGACATAATCCAACGGATATAGTCACGTGTCAAGGCTGTGGCTGGAGTTAACTAGTTAGCTGCCTTATAGTAGGCACTATCCATTTGCAATCCATTACAACCCTTATAATTTGAAACCTGTTTCCGCACATTGCAACGGCTTATCCATACGTAATGGATTCCTTGACTCCAAAAGGTACCGTACAACAACCTATATATACATAGCTTCCAATCCTAACTCGAGTTAGATGGCTACGGTTGGGAATGCGGATACCCTTGAGTCAAAGGGGTGCATCCTATTCGCTTGGATGAGAACCGTGTTGTGAAAACAAAACTATTCGATTCTGGAGAGAGTTATGTAATGGAGTTTATTGCTAAGACAACAACTATCCCTGTCCCGAAAGTTTTTGAGGCAGGGTATGTCCAGAGGGAACGGGCCAACGATTCTGCATTGTGATGGAATATATACCCGGAAAACCATTAAATATAATATGGAAGGATCTAAGTGAGGATCAGAAAACAAATATCTGTCTCCAAATTGATGGATATCTTGCTCAGCTTCGAAAGTTAACCGGGGATCGAATTATGGCAGTAGATGGAGGTGCGTTGGACGTGGGTCTGTACCAAAAGCGCTGGTTAGGACCATTTAATAGTGTAAAAGAGTTCCATCACTCTTTAGCCCAGGGTGAGCCGAATAACCTAGGTGACGACCATACGATTCATTTTGCCCATGCCGACCTCGCCCCTAGGATTATTATAGTTGATGAGAATACCGGCCGTATCAATGCAATCGTCGATTGGGAGCGGGCGGGGTGGTATCCAGAATACTGGGATTTTGTCCAGATGGATTACGACCGGCCGACTATGCGCGAGATGGGAGGTTATACCAAGCTTTGGAAGTCCTTTTTTACTCACATATATGCAGACGAACGTTCTGCAATGATGGATCTTAACCAACGAACAGTAGTCCCATACCCAGATGGAAACCTGCTCGAACCGCTTCCCGACATTTTACCGTCGTTTGCCTCCCATGCGAAGCAGTTACAAAAGAGTTTTGAAATACTTAACTTATAGCATTATTAACTAGTTATAGTTACTAGTTACCGGAACTATTTGGAAACCAATAACTCTTTTAACCAGCTGTAAGAAATTGTCTACCACTATCGCTCATCAAAGTTCGTTTATAGATTGAAAGAGAATTGAGGTACCTTTTCTGAGGGCCGCGAAGGCCTGCAGAATATTTCACATTCTCGTATTTCGCACGGAAGCGGAAAGCATCTATATTCAGTCCTCCATAGTAAGGAGGCAGTAATGGTTGAGGATAGCTACGTATACTCTACCCTTTCAACCATTGCTTGTTTTGTAGCGTTATCACTCACTTTCCCAGTTCCCTGATGCTTCTCATTGGGAAATGTATTAAATCTGGTGACAAACACTGGCTTCCCTTTAAGAGAGTCAACATATTATCCCTCGGGGGTAATGTTTGTATGTCAGAATCTGCCATTCGACCAGAAAGGCGAGCCCGCACTAGTTAAGTGGCAGCAGAGAGACTGGTTATATTTGACATTGTATAAAAAAGAGGACTTGCGGGTCTACCTAGTTATTTTTGTGAGACGTTATTATTTTAATCCCTTCACTGGTTTTCTGATTGGATGTCGTTAAATACCCTGAAGAGTACGGAGTAGTAGGATAAAAAGTGTGCAGGGATGAGTGACGTACTACATATACACTGTTTTGTACTCCGTACTGGTTCAACATTTCAAACTATGGCCTTTATCGAAAGTCGACGGAAGATGCCTTGTATCCGCCATGGTACGTCGATGGAGACATGTCGACGGAGGCCACTAGCACAGTTCAATTCTGCTTCCTCCTCAGCCAGTCGTTTAGAAGTTTTTCCATGCGTCTGGTGGGGGCTTGTGGCTAAGTGACCGGGTTCTTATTCGACTCAGCCATTGTTGTGGCTAGTTGACGGCGCCTAAGTATGGTCTGGACAAGGCGATGGATTCAATAACTACCCCCAGCATGCCCCATCCAGAGAATGCAATGGAACATACCCAAAACTACGTCAATAGCAGAAAAAGCTGTGGCTATGTCGTGTATCCGGACATCGAACTGCAATAGAATGCCGCGCCCCAACCACTCTCAGTTCCCCGTATTCTCGTTGCTGGCTGCGAGCCCACCACTATCTATGACTGATAATTACTAGGCTATCCATGACTGATAACTACTAGGCGCCAGTCGATCATGAAACTAAATAGCTTGGCCCCATGCAGAATGATGCCTTGGGACTGCGGCGGCAACCAGCATATGATCCTATCCTATAATTATTATGCGGCTAATGTGGGAATCACATTGAGACCTATAAGTATCTTTAACTTCTTCCTCTTCTTCGTTCTGGGTTTACGCCTTATTTCAATCCCAACCAGCATAGTCGTCTAATCTTACATTTGTTATACCAATCCCACCTATTGTCAACAGTTACTACCCGGAGTTCACAAGATATTGATTAAGCCCAGCTGATTGAATACATTCATCCCGCACATATTCTCAACCCATCATTACGTGCAACACCGACACAGAAATCCACCCATACTACAAGGCCCATCCAATGTGCCAAGTTTGGATTACAACAAAGATGGAGACGCAACATTACAGGATCGAAAGACGTGAAGAACGGCCTTGTGGGAGGATGCACCCTCGGCCCTGGCCAGAAGTCCACTTCAAAGGTAGCCGCCCAAAAACTCAGCCTTCTCGAATACCACGTTTCAGCCGTAGGTCTAGTTATATCTACGAACTGGACTATACCCAACGACGATCTGGCATCTACCTAAGAAGAGGTTATTCATCACGCACAGAGTGTATGTAAATCTACCATACCCCCTCATCCATGGCACCCACTAATGCGGCTCTAGGGATTGAGATTCCCATCAGCTTCAAGAGTGCCATATGGCTATTATGAGGTGCGATGATGAGCGGAATGATTCCATAACTGTACCTAAAGAATATGGTCAGCAATGAAGTGAGCAATCACCAAGGAAGCCCCGCTTAACCTAGGCTGCGTTCAGATTGATTATATGATGTAGCTGTTTTGTTTTGAAGACGCATTGGAAATATTGGCAGGAGGGAGGTATTTTACTTTGTTCTAAAATGGGTTGAGAATTATGGCTACGGAGGGGGGAATAATGGTTGGAGTCGGTGTTGGGCTTTTGTATATTTATCCATATTAAAGTTTCTGTTACAGTTTTCTAAGAAAAAAGATTATGTCCTGAAGTTAAGCATAAGATAAAGAAGTAAAAAACTGGACGTTAGATTCTAAAACTAAAATTGATAACTTAGAAGTTTATTTTACAAAAGGAGACGGAAATAATAGTGATATATGCTTGAGCGCTAGAGATTTTGCATTGCCTTCTTTTGTACATTTCTTCACAGATAATATAGACTATATTTCATCCAAGTCTGCAAGATGACCTAACTGCTATGGTCGTCATTGTCATCGCTATCACTACGGCAATCCTCATTATTCCCTTCTGACTCATTATCTTGGCTATCATTATCATTATCGCTTCCGTAGACCTCGATCTTAGGTCTGAAGACAGTATCAGTCCACTCCCCAAACTTTTCAATATCCCACAGCTCCCCAACAGCTACAGATTTTGCTGAACTCTTCCTGCTGAGCTTATCTTTCCCAGCTTCAGCAATGGCATATGCTTCCAAAAACTCTTCGTAGAGTTGGATAACATTATCTTGCACGGCACTGACAAGGGTTTCTTTGGTTCGCTTATCTTCCAGATAGTCATCCAGTAAATGCCGTAAGTTGGGTATCTCCTCCTCGATCATTCGGCGCATAGCCAGAGCTCCCTTTTGAATTTGTTGAGACAATGCCGGAGTTATTGTTTTGTTTGCGGCCGACGGTAGCGTGGAAGTCATTTTGGTTGCGAATGTGTCGGTGAAATCGTTGATTACCGTTCGAAGTGTACCATCAAGTTCAACTTTGGCGTCTAACATATTTTCAACTACTTGGGGTAACAAACCGCCCCCAACAAGTTGCATCCAGGTCCGAGTATTAAAAAGGCCGCCGCGTTCTTGTAGCTCCCAGAAAGTGTTAGTTACACCAGAGAAGTCAAAGGACACGTCAGGCGACACAAATTCAATATCGAACGCAACAATTTGCTGCTTTAATACAAGCAAATGCTTTACAAGGAATAGAAGCCCATCCGGTTTAGACTTTTTGGAGGAGATCTCTGAACCAGCTTGTTGGATTGAAAGCGTTGTTTGATGGACAATTTGGTGGGCTAGATCATCAAATACCTTGGACTATAACGGAGAATTCGTTGGCTAAGGTCAAAATCGGGTAATAGTGGGAGAGAAGAAGAGTACTCACATTAACCAGCCGATATATGCGACTTAAAAGCCAGATCGCTTTCTTTAGAGTGGGATACCACCCTTCAAACATGGCTTGTGAAGTAAAGTCCCATTGGGAATCTTTATCTGCCAGGGAATCAGGATCCTCATCCACAGCCGTTGGCACCTTCGGCTCAATAAATGAAGATTTACTCCCTGAAACTGCTGGTGAAACATTGTTTTGCAAAGCTTGTTTATTCTTTGCAGGATAATCAAGATCTTCTGGGCGCGGCTTGAACCTTTCAATTTCGTCTCGTAGGATAGTCTGTGCGAGAAAAACAAGTCGTGTCTGTGCGTCTTGGAGCGCAGGTTGGATCAATACTGCAAAATCTAGCTGATTGGGATCCGCCACATATTCCCCATCTTCATCTGGATCGTTTAAATATCGAGTTTGGAGTAATATACACAACTGGCATAGCCTAACGAGCTTGTTGTCATGAATAATTCGAGGTCGCAGATGGTCATAGAGAGGCTCGCAGATAGCTTCAAGGCAATCATAGAGGCCGTACTGGCCATGGAACCATTCTCCCCACAGTTCAAATTCATCAAGACATATGCCACGAACGTAGCTGATACTTGTTCTCGCAAATGCAACTAAATCCTTTGACGTACTTGGTGCGTTTGCGATATCATTTAGTCTTTTTCTCACGAGCGGCACAACCAACTTCGCACGGGATGTTGCAAAATTTACGTGAAGTTCGTTCAGCAGGCTTTGGTATTCCGCTTCAGCACCTTGTTCGGGGTCCAAGGGAGGAACCGCTCTCTTTTGGATTTCTAGTCCCATATCTTTCATTTCAGGAGCACCAACACGAAATTTGGCATAGAGAAGAGCCGACATAGTGGTGTCATTAAGTTGACGATCAGCAATCCGCTTCGTAACACCTGATGAGATCTCCCGTACAGTTGAGACAAACTGGCCACGGATCAATGTAAGGGCACGAGTGAGTAGTAGGCGGTACCGCGCCCTATATACCTCTGCTTCCCTATGTTCTGGCTTTAAGAGAAAGAATATATTAGCAGGCAAGGCAACATATAACAACGGTGACGAGGAAGTCGACCCTACATGTGCATGCATATAATCTAGACACTCATCAAGGCGTCTTAACATATCCGAAAAATCTTTTGAGCGAACTGAGTTACTAGCCCCCGGTGCATTGAGCCTTCTAGAGATAGGATCCAGATAGTCATAGGGTATCAGATTCTCATGAATGTCATCTGCTAGTTTCGAGCTTTTGTTCTGGACAGAGAGGAGGCCTTCACATTGTTTCTGAAAGGCAGCCGTGCGGTTCTCTACTGATTCAAATGACTGAGAGAGAGAGGAGAGGATTTCTAGGGTTTGCGATGTATCTTGGAGGAGAGAGTCGAGGTGGTATGTCGACAACTCTAGGTCGTCAAGGCATGATCTAGATAATCCAACCGGTTAGTAACAAAAAGAGAAAGAAAGGAAACTTCGCCGCAAATAATATAGTAGCACGTACTGGTATTTTTCATAGCTTGCTTCTAGCAATTCGTCTTTAACATCGCCGTACCATTGCGTGAACTCGAGGTCATTCCTTATCCCACCCAGCGCATCCTCCGCAAGCAGGGAGGGCTCTTCAGTTCCCTCGCTGCTATTTGTAGGTTTGTGCATCTTCTAAATAAAGGGCATGGTGATATTAACTGGCTATTCTGGGCAGTGGACGGCCAAAACTTATCCCTTCAACATCGATGGTGTTGCATGTAATTAACTTGGTTTCTTTAACCCTTGAAGCCAGTTATGTCACGTGAGAGGTATCAACTCCTCCGGATTTGCTTTTCATTTGAACTTCTTCAACGTCCAACTCCGACGTTGAAAGGAGGATGAAAGCCACCATATAGTAATGCGGTTTGGATACTGTCCCGAGGGTCATGGAATGGCTAATTATGTGACTGATGTTGGATCCACCTAGCTACGGACGTTCCACGCTATTTGCAGCCATGGAAAATGATCATGGATTTGACAACATTCTGTGCCTTGGAATGACATTAAAAGCCCTTCGAGGACATCAATAATGTTCAATCAATCTACCGGGAAGGCTGATGGTAAATGACCAAAAAGAATGGATTTTACGGAAACACCACTGAATTCAGACAAATAAATGCAATGGCAGCATACCCGTCTCTTCCGGATCTCCGTCTATGAGAGATCTTTACCTGTGATAAGGGGCATATGAATTGTCAATGTCTACTGCTTAACGTACTCTGGGGAAGCTACAAATGAAGGTCAAATTGCTAATGGATGAGAGTGAACTTACATATTGCTTAGATGTTAAATGAAGATTCCGCTTGCAAATTTCAATATATTCATCCGAACCGAGCCTTTAATCCTTCCATCAAGGAAACCGAAAATATGCACAGAACCAACATGTTATCAACACCCAAAAGAATTAGCCAACCCAAAGAGAAAATCCCAGCAGTACCACTAGTTATTCGTTAATGAAAGGCCCTCGACTTTGCCTTCTTCCTTTCCTCTAACCTCCTCCTCCATCCAGCCATCAGGAGCGGCCCCAATTTCAACTGCCTTGCAACGTGCATCTGCTTCTCCACTTGTCCCTTGTACCGTTTCCAGCTGCGCTCACGTCCTTCGTCTGCCATCTGGGCTAACATGAAGTCCCAGTTTTGTGCTTCCTGAGCGCGTAAGACACTGTCACGGTCCACGAGAGATCTACGGTTGTATCTTGCAGCTGTACTCGGGCCGGGTCCAGGTCCTTCATTCGGCGCGATGGTTGCACTAGGTGCGGAAACGGGAGTCACTGTAGGTGCTGGTGTGAGGGCTGGAACGTTCACCTGCTGTGACTCTGGACTCCGTGACCTAGTTGGTTCAATGCGGTCTCTACTTGTCCTAGGACGAAGTAGCGAGTTATCTGAGGTGGGAGGAGAGCTGGTCATACGAGCTCGTCGCTGCTGTTCCGGAGAGGGCGTGAATTCAATCGACGTAGATGCCGGTGACACTAGGGAGCTATACTGATATACCAATCCTGGCGGGGCGGGTGGTTCCTGCTGCTGTGCGTGATTTCGAGACGGTGTTAAATATTGGGCCCGGCTGAGCTCCTGCTGTGAGGCCATGTAGAGCCGTTGCGATCGGAAGCGAGCCGCAGCTTCTTCACCGACTAGATCTGGATCCTCATGGGGAGATAGAGGGAGGTGTATGCCCGATTGTGTGGGTGATGATCGCTCGTTTGCTGTAGAAGTGGCAGATGGTTCTTCGGTTGGAGAACGAACTAGAGTTATGGTGGACGAATTATGAGCTTGTCCAAGAGAAAACGGCATCGCCGCATTTCTTGATGAAGAAGGTCGGTTCTCTATCTCTGAAATGCTAGACGTTGTGATATCTGTTGTGGTTTGGAAAAGCCCCGGGAAAATGAACCTTGAAATCGCATCAATTTCGTTGGATGAACTTGTTACACGCCTGTTTGCGACATTCCGGTAGTGACGTGACTGCAAGCTGCCCGTGACCGGTACCCATTCCGATGAGTTATACGCTGAGCGAAGGCTGGACGATGTGTTACGTATGGATCGTGCGGTGAAGTTAGATGAATTACTGAAGGGTGATATTGGGCCAATGCGGTTCTCGAAACCACGGGCGTACATTGGTGTAGGAGGGAGACCATTCCGGTCGGTGTTATTCTGTGCCCCTTGGGACTGAGTCGTCTGCCGTTCCTGTTGCTGCTGTGGCTCTGGACGTGGTTGGCGTTGCTGGTTCTCTGCTGGCGAGGGAGTATTAGGAAGTACATCGCTCGCCCGCCGGTGGGACGCTGGGACATAAGAGTGGTAGGACGGAGCAGCGGATACGTATGACGGTGCATCTGAATGTATAGACGCTGTTTCGGAGTCATTCAGAGGCACTCTACGGGGAGTGTACGGGGGCAGCTGTTCGACTCCATGGAGGAGGGAACGATGAGGCGGCAGTGGCAGGGTAGCCATACTCCCTTCTTCACGCCAAAGTATAGATTTGAGAAGAGACCAAGCGTTGCAATAGGGGATATATCTGGTATATATCAATAACTGTGTGATGTACTCTGTAAGACGAATGTGATGGCTCAAAAAGCCTAAGCGCCGAGAAGAGATATCAGCATTGACGAAGAATATACAGATACAACGGTACGATATGATGAGTACAAGAAGATGATGCTATACAGACGAAGATCGCCAGCTCGCCCGTTCTTGCTGGGCCCTAGAATGAGGTCCCAAAATGCAGCCGTGTGCGGCCGTCTGAGTAGGAAGAAGCCTGCTTTCTTCTACCAAGGCCCAGGTTATGAGGTCATCGATAACAGCGATAAGCATGCAGACAACAAACGGATAACTAGATTGCGACTTATGAACCGTTCAAACAGAACATGCAAAAAAAAGGAACATGCGAAGGCGATGAACAGAGAGAAAAGGAAAAAAAAAAAAAGCGTTCGAGCCCGTTTGTGAGGCACCTGATGCCGCTGTCCGCCCTGCATGAGGCTACGGAGCCAAGGGCTCGCAATCCTATGTCTATACTCGCTTGGTAACCAACAGATGTAACCACAACACAGCGAAAGAGCCATTTTTCCAGCCGGAGAGAGTACCTCACTGTGCGAAGGAAAAAAGCAAGTTAACTTGTTCGCTGGCGCTGACGCTGACGCCCTTTTTTTCGACTTTCTGCACCGCCCTCTGGGTCTCCTGCGAACCTTAGTCTGTGGCTGGAACGCTGAAGATGCTCGGTACGGACACAGTACAACGAGAACCAAGATTGAGAGTATGAACTATGTGGCAGCATTAGGAGTTGTCGTCCTTATCGCCGCGGAAAATGGACAGCTATAACAGAGCCGTTTAATACTATCATTCTCGAGTTCTAGCCCGGTTATTTCCAATCAATCTTCTGGCGCGGATATACCAGGCCATGGACAAGGTATACGGTCACGTAAGACTTTACCTTATGCAAGTGGCATCCCTGTCTATACCTCCATCCTCACTACCTTACATGCATAGAGGAACATGACCCTTCCTTGTCTCTGTCTTTCTCTTCCCTCTCTTCCTTTTTGGTCTTTTTATCCCGATGAGATTACATAATAACCCGAGAGTCGGCGATCTCTGAGTTTCGGATAAAATATTTACCGTAATATCACGTGAACGTAGACGACAACAGCTGAAGAAAACTTGAGAAGACGCAGAATATAAGGGATACAGCTTGTATTTTTTTATTGTTCGAGCTCGCTCATGGCGGCTTAACGAGTTACTTGTGTATCTCGTATCTAGCTAGCTAATCACTAACTTGTGTGTGAATGTGTGAACGCTGGCCTGGCTCCATTGTACGCCGACGCCCAGCCTGAGTCCGAAATTGAAAAAAAGGAAAGGAAAAGGAGGCATAATAAATACATCGTTAATTCATACTGAAGTGTTTGTGTTTTTTTTTCTTTTTGTTTCGTCTTTTATTTGTGTCTCATGGGCTTGGTCCGAATCCTCCAGTGGTTCCTGCTTGCTCCTTTTGAAGCTTTTCGTGAGGTCTAGTTGCAAATGCCGTGCACTGCTTTACAAGACAGATGGCATCATATCTCTGTAGGACGATGTTAGTCTCCAAAGAGGCCGTACACCATCATATCTTGCCCAAGGCCCGGACGTACCTAGATTCGTTCTGAACCTTTCTGACTCTCTCGACTACACGATCGTACAGGGGGTGGCCCGGCTCCAAACCAGTCAGCTTCTGGGTCGCGGATTCGCAATCCCTCTCACGAAGGATCTTGGCAAGCTCAGCGCTCTCGTCATCCCCGGGGACGTTCTGGAAACGCAAAGCCTGCTCGACAGCGCCGATGAGAGCATCGACCTTCTCGCCTCTCTCGGCCAGCTGAGCAGCAGGGCCAATGAAGCGTTCTTTTCTGCCAAGTTTGCGGATGGGAGCACGGCCAACACGCTCCACTACGTCCTCAAGGTATGGGTTGGAGATACGGTCGATGATAGCGCTGACGTACGCACGCTGTTCCTCCGCTGGGATGCCGTGCTTGTCAATGATCAGCCGTGAAGTCTCGCTAAGGGCATCATCGACTATCTTCCTGATGCGTGCGTCGGAGAGGGCGTCATAGATGGTCTTCTTTCCAGAGTTATACCCGTAGTATGCGGCAGTGGCGTGGCCGGTGTTGACGGTGTAGAGCTTACGCTCGATATAGGGCTCCAGGTTGTCGACCCAGTGGATGGCATCGATCTCCGGGTGTCCCCAGTGTCCGAAGGGGGTCTGGTCAACAGCCCATTCGTAGAACTTCTCGATCTTGACGTTCAGGCCCGAGTTGGGGTCCTGGGTTGGCACAATACGGTCAATGGCCGAGTTGGCAAAGCGAGCACGGTCAGAGAGGCTCTCGAGACGGCCCTTGTCTGTGTGTTCCTTGATGAAGTTGGCTAGAGTGTCGGTTGCTCCGATAGCATTCTCACACGCAATGACAGCGAGTGGGCGTTCGATGGTTCGTGCATCGATGCCCTTTGCAATAGGAGAGGCGATGAACTTGAGGATGTTAGGTCCCACGGCACAGGTGACGACGTCTGCGGTGGAGATTTCACGGATGACATCGTCGAGGTTGTGCTTCGAGTTGATGGCGCGGTAGTTTGTGATGGTCTTGACGTTTTCGCCCTCAGAGCTGATCTCGGTGACGGTGTAGGACTTGGTCTTCTGCAGGTTATCGATGACCTGGTCCATCACGTCGATGAAGACGACCTCATAGTCCGACTCATGGAGAAACTCGGCCACGAAGCCACGGCCGATGTTGCCGCCGCCAAAATGGATGGCTTTCTTGGGTGACATCTTGCTGGAGGTCGACGTGTGCGTGGACGAAGGTATCTTCTGCTTGGAGAGCGCGGAACTGGTAGACGGGGACGCGTGGAAAAGAGATATGGCCGACGAGAGGGCGGTGGTGATGGCCTTTAATAGTGAAGTGACCGATGTTGTGGGCAAAGCAAGGAGAGAAGAAAAGAAAAAGGAAAGGAAGTTGGGGGAAGAAGTTGACGACGCCAGCTTGACGGCTTTGCAAGGACGGCCCTTTTTTTTATCTATATTTCTTTCCTACTTCTTTTTTCCGTGCAACCAAACTATTGAGTATGGAACTTGGTTCAAGGCGAATGTTCGAATCTTTCAATTGGAGCAAGGTATCGAAAGCTAGTTAAAAAACAGAAAAACAGGGTAGCAGAGGTAGTTTCCAAGTACCAGAGATATACATTCTCCCTGCGCCTTGGGGAGACGAGCTCTATAAGTATTTTGCCTGGACCTTGAATTTCCCCAATGTACCAGAAAACCTGCGATGAAATCATCTCCCGCAACGCCCCCTCACCCCAGTGGCATAGACTGCGATATGACTGGCTTGCGGCCTGCACGCTGCTCTCCACTTGGTCTGCACCCCCTTGGCCTGCGTCATCACCTCGAATCAGAGCGCAGAGAACGAAATGATACGCTTGGGGATGGGAGATTTTGTTTTAGAAAAAAGATGGTGGCAGCGAAGCAGCTGATAGTCGCGAGCGTGTTACCGATAGGCAAAAGATAAGGAAGATGTCACTTTCTCTCTTGTTCGTTCCCTTTTTTTTTTTTTTTTTTTGAAACAACCTCGTGAGATAGGGTCATGACCTTCAGTGGTGGAGAGGGAGAGAGAGACAGAGAAACACTGCTTGTTTCCGATCCAGTTCGTTCCTCCCACTAGCTTCCGTTCCCTGGGCCTTCCATCCCACCGTCGCCAAGCAGGGTGAAGAGCAATCCCGAGTGAGGAATGCACGGTTGATATCCGGTATGTGATATGAAGCCTAGCGTCGGCGTGGACAGGAGGTTGGCTAGCAGGTCATGGTGCCAGCGATGCTACTTCGGGCTTTTCGTAGTCGTGATATTATTATTACCATCCTGACAGTGTTAAGTTGCTGCGCCAGTGGGGGTTCTTTTGCTGCCCAAAGCCCTTGTTCGGGAGTTGTCCGGGTGGCGTTCCCGCTAGTAACATCGCGAACGTTCCAGCTTCCGCAAATTATGGACAAGGGTGGTTCCGGGATGTTAGAGGTCGGACAGGACCAAGCTTCTTTTCTTGACAACATACACTTCGTCCATGCACCGACATTTTGGTTCTATTTCAACTGATAACGTATCGGAAGTTGAGGCCTTGGCCTCTTCGCTTAGTCAACTTCGTCTATATCGAGAAAAAGGGAGAAAAGCTATCCTACCTTTCTGCTTTTTCTTCATTTGTCTGCGTGAGGGATTTTATTGACTTTGCCCCCCCCCTTCTGTTCATTTCTAGCTAAGTTGGAGGTTAGTTGGGCCGACCAGGGGGGAGGGTTGAAGGGTTGTGTTAGGTATTAGAGACAGTTCCCCGGCCTGTCCTGGCGGTTCCTCTTGCCTGATCCTGCTTGCCCTGCCCTGCCCGTGGTAACTGTCCTTTTTCATTTCGAACGAAACGCTGCCACCTGAGGAACGTGGTGGGCTTCGCGATGCACCTCTACGCTTTTGGCTCAAACGGGTCGGGGCAGCTGGCGATCGGGCACATGGAAGATGTCGACAGGCCCGCGAGGTGTCTTTTCGCGGGGGACGAATGCCCTGTACCAGCCTCGGGTGACGGAGATAGCCTCAGTCCCATGCATCTCGTCGCTGGCGGGAATCACACTTTGATTCGACTACCTTCTGGGAGAGTGTACGCTGCTGGCTGCAACCTGCATGGCGAATGTGCCACGCACACCACAACCCAGAATCTCCTCCGCTTCCAGCGTGTGGTGATCACCAATGCCGATGTCACTCTTGACAGAGAGATCTCCGTCTTCTCCTCTATTTCTGCAACATGGTCTGCCTCTTTTTTTGTAACCGTCAACAAGGACTCTATTTATGTGGCCGGGCATGGTTCTAAGGGTGAACTTGGCCTAGGGGCAGGTTTGACGGAGATAAAAGTGCCAACAAGGCTGCCAAACTTCCCTCCAGACGGTAGGCAGATCATCTCCATTGCTAGCGGGATGGGCCACACTGTAGTTCTCCTAGACGATGGCGCGATATATGGCTGGGGGACAGCCAGAAAGGGTCAGCTGGGAGTTGACAAGGTTAGTGAGAAGGCCGTTTGGTCTCCACAAAGGATATCAGTGGGTGATAATCTGCGTGACCAAATTCGCGGGATCAGCTGTGGTAGAGAATTTACCGTACTCACCACCTCTTCGGCAATTTCTTCTTCTTGCAGTACTTCAGCAGAATCACTATACATCCTGGGCCCAGATAAATGGGCCATATCATCTGCTGCTCCTTCTATGGTAGCTCCATATAACTCACTAACTGCCAGCTGGCATGGCGTCTATTTACATCTCTGTGATGGAAAGGTGCTGGCTTGGGGCCGCAATGATCGAGGCCAGTTGCCGTCTAATGCAATGCCGGCCCTCGCTTACCTTGCCGTTGGAAGTGAGCATGTTGTCGGTGCAATCGACCGTAAGACGTTGATTGCATTTGGGTGGGGGGAGCATGGTAACTGCGGTCCAGTAACTGACGAGCAAGGTAATGTTACCGGCCGATGGAACGAAATCACAATACCTTTAGATGGCAGCAACATTGAGGCTGTTGGTGCTGGATGCGCAACGAGCTGGGTTATGCTATCAGAATCTAAATCCAGCTAGAGACATTGTCCAACAGAGCTATCAGTCGAATAGACCGCGTATCTAAATCTCCAATTAGTACTATATTCAAAGAAGATAGAAAAAAGCATGTCATCCCACCTGGGATATTCGCTGAGTTGGTGGAATTCTCATTTCGTCGTCCTTCTCCGTAGGGCTGGCATTGAGATCGTCTTCCCTAGAAACCGGTTCCACCCTTGATACATTATCTTGGATAGTCCCACCGAGGCTCTGCCGCAATGCCTCCTATACCACGTTAGATCAGCATAAATAACGTATATAAGAAAAACGCAGGGGATTAGTACTTGGTCTAGATTCGCATCCCATCGAAGCATGTCTTCCTGCTCCTCGTCGTAGTGGGGCTCATCCCATTGGCGGTCGTCGTCCGCTGCAACAAACAAGCTCTCATGATCTATCGGCGCAACGGGCGCAAGCGATGTGATCGGCTTCGCTCCCTGTCTTTGGGAGGCTGGTGGCGGCATCTGTGTTTGTGATTGGGGCTGTACCTGCTTATGTACCTGCGCCTGTTGCTGCTGTTCTCTACCAGATAATCGAATACTAGCACCTCTCTCTGCATTAGTATTGACAATAGGTTGTTCAATGGGTCGTGCTGAAAGCTCTCGTGCCGCATTGGCCTGTGGCGGAACGGACTCCGTCTCATCGGTGCCCTCGCCTCGTGTCATTAGTGTGATTTCACACGTCATCCCAGGTAAATCATAGGAAAACTGAAGTGGCCGACACGGCCGTGTATATCGAGCAGTAATATTTGCTTTGAGCGTATCCGCATGTAGAATAATTGCCCGAAAATCCCTCACACTGATAGCAACATGCAGCCCTTCTTCGACACTGAAGAAAGCAAAGTTCCGCGTCTCGATTGCCACTGATGTATGGACTGGCTGTTTCAGTATTTCTATAAGCTGTTAGATGTAGAAAATATATGTTGATACAATAATTAGCATCATACCTGTCCCAGCCATCACCTTCTCTGTAAAACTAGTAAACACGGCCCGCCCGTCCTCGGGGTAGATATCTAAATGCTCTGCACTACGACCAAAATGTTCTAGTGTTTCACGTAGGAGCTTTGAATCAACAACCCACCGATTCTGAGCACCTGATTTATCGAACAGTGCATGCTGAATGTCAGCTGGCTCGTAGGTAAGCTTGTATGTCTTGAGAACCCCTGAGATACTCTTGTTAGCATTATTTAGCACTAATATTAATTGAATGGCCATTTACCATGCTTGCAAATCATCTGAACGACCAGTCGACATTCCGACTCATCTGGGCTGTCAAACAACTGGGTCACACACCGCTCAATTGCTGTATCTTTATCTTTGAAGTCAATGGCCCGTCCCTTGAACACAGACAATAACGCCTTAAAAACGAAAATTAGTTCAGAAACACTAACATTATAGACAAGAAAAAGTGGCATACTTTGATGTATATTTGACAAGAAACCTTCTCCCGTCCATTTTTATCTTTATTCCCAGATGTGTTATAGGAGTATTCTGTAAAGAAGGGCGTTGCATCAAATTTGTATGATGCATAGCCGGATTTGGTAGCATTCAACGTCGACAAGCGCAGCTAGAGAATTTATCCCGGATATGATTAATAGCCCGTTTATCTACATAGCAAAGTAGATCTTCCTAGATCCATCTTTCTCATAAAACGGGTTATATGGGTATATCTTACGCAGTCAGGCTCTGCTTCAATTGAGACAGTTTCATTGAATTTAGACAGACATATTAGCACATCACGGAGCTGCATGAGAGCTTCTGGGAGTAACGTAAAGGATAAAGAAGCCATCTTTAAGTAGAATTACTTTCTTGATCCAACTTGTATACCACGAAGTTGATATCGCGTGGTTCACTTAAGAATTCAGCATATCGGCCTGCTGACTAATAAAAGAAGAACGCGTATCACGTGAAAGAGTAGAAGATGAAGATATCAATTACTATGTTGAGCAATTGTTTTTTAATCAGTTGTAGAATCCAAACAAAATAGATGTATGTATATACTATGCTACTCCATATAAACAACGCGACTTCTCATTAAAAAGGAGTAACCAAGCAAACCTGAAACGCCTATGCTTCACGTTCGCCTTAGCTTCATAACGGATATATAAGGCACGTATCGTAAATAAAGAAAATTGGGACGCTATCGAAAGAAAGCTTTGACTGGCGGCCGAATGGAAGGAGTAAAGAACAAATAGATAACAATCAACAAAAAAGAGAAAGTTTGGGCATATAAAACCGGGGGCGAGCCCTATTTTTCAAGATGGCGGTCTATACCAGTAAGACCTTTGTCAAAAGAATGGCCAATAATAGGCAAGACGATCAGTATTAAACGTCTTTCAGAGAGCTCTAAAGGACGTGTCTGATCTTGGCATGTAATTCAGTGTCAAGGAAATTAAAATTCGGGTCGACGGTGCAGAATGGGTGCTGTGACAAAAGCGTCTCTGCGGTCGGACGGTCGAAGGTATCACTAACAACAGTTGTCAGTAAAATGTGAGATATTACTCGTCAGGAATAAGATAATGAAAGAAAGTGATGACTTACATTGTAAAGCAGTCATACATAAAGGCAAGAGCGGCAGGTTCAATAGCAAGTGCCACATCCTCAGGAATAGGAGGCGCTTGGTTTAAGCTACCCAGTTTAAAGATTGCCCCAATAGCTTCTTCTTTACTCCATGGACGTCGACCTGCGAACATCTCAAGGACCACACAGCCGAGCGACCATATGTCCACTTTAGCGCTATACCCTTGGCCCTGCGATTGAACTACCTCAGGAGCCATCCAGAAGACCGAACCTTGCATGGAATTGGTAACATCATTTCCATAAATATTATCACTCTTCTTTGAGATACCAAAATCCGAGATTTTACAGGCACCGTCGAGGTCGAGTAGGATGTTATCTGCTTTGAGATCTCGATGAAGAATTCCTTGGTCGTGGAGGTATGCAAGGCCACTTAGCACTTGGCGGTTCAAGGATTTCACAACGCTTTCCTCAAATTTTCCGTGCTTTCGAAGACAACTGCCAATACTACCTCCAGGAATATATTCGAGATAAATCGATATTGAAAGATCGCCTCGCTCGCATCCGAGATACTGGACAATATTAGGGTGTTCCAGATGCTGCATAGTGTCAATTTCCTGATCCATAGCAGAAACCAGTTCCTTCACACGATCCTTGTCATAATTGGCAGCCTTCTGATTCACCTCAACTTGTTTCACGGCCAAGATCTCACCAGTATTCGCATTGATGCCCAGGTACACTCTGCCATATGTTCCTTTCCCAATAAGTTGACCCCTGATGATACGGAAAGTTGGTTGTCTCTGTGGAAGTTTTCCTTGTTGTATCATTGCTGATGGTTGCTGTGGCATTGGATCCAAGTCAATTAACCGTGTTCCTGGCTTTGGACTAATTTGCATAATCCTAGCGCCAAACATTTTGGTACTTTTCCTTCGAAGGATTCCAGATGCAGCCGCACCTTTGTTTTGTATACTCTGGTGTCGGTTTACTTGGTGAGCTCCCTTAGCCACTTCACGAATAGATTTCATCCTGTTCAATCCACCTGAACGTGATAAATTCCTGTGTGCCACTGTGCTTGGTACTCTCTTTGCCTTGAGTGTTGATTCAGCTGATCCTAACACGTCTGGAAGATCCTTCAAAGGCGGATATCCAGTTGTACCTGTAGCTTGACCCGCGGTACCACTAATATCTGTCGCTTCAGGCTCTGCTTCATCTCTAGATGATGGCCCAGAGGGTGATAACGGCGGAGATTGGACATTTCCATCTAAGTAAGGCTCGTCTAGATCGACACCCGGGAAGAAGTCGTCTAAATGGTCGATCATCCCTTCCACAGGAGGTCTACTTGCCCAAATATCATCTCTAACAAATGATTCACGTCGCCTGTCATAGTCACGATCATCCGTTGATGGGTTGCTGGTGTCGGCGTCAGTGGAGTTTCGATTTTCAGTCAGATCAAAAATAGCACTAGAAGGGAGATTTCCCGAGGCACCTGAGGTAGTCGGTGATTTAAATGCCACAGAGCGCCCCTTGATAGACCTAGATTCTGTATTAACCTTTAATGTTGGCTTGAGATCTTCACTTTTAGAGGTATCGGCAACTGGCTTCCTCTTAGCTTGGGGAGGAGCTGGACGAGCTATAGGCTTAGCGAAAAGACCAGAGTCCGAGTCATCATCCGAATCTTCTTGTAATGGAGATTTAGCAAATGGAACCGTGGATTCCTGGAAGTTGAAGTCAGGGCCATAAGACTTTCGAGATTGTAACGTTGGCTTCGATGGGAGCGAAGATTCTGAGGTTTCTGGTCTGCTACTCCATTCGCTGGCAGGGTTTCTAGGTGTTTGATTATTGTTAGATTCACCAATTTCGCTGTGGCCTGGCGTATTCAAGGGGAAACTCTCTTTTTCTGCGGACGTCGTTGTACCGGGAGATATAGCGCCGGATTCAGAGCGGCTCGATTCTGGTCTCCCTACATTCTCCGTTGACGGGAGGGTGGTGGTAGACGATCCCATTGGCGTTCCAATTACCCCCGACATCTTTCCAACACTGGCCAAGGCGGCTCCTAAGCCAAACCCAATACCCGGTGAATTTGACTTAGTATCCGATGAAGGTTGCCTATGGAAATCAGGCTGAAACTCCTTAGAATTCCTCATTCGGAGGTCTTCAGGCTTTTTGCTAAGAGAGTTGACTTTGGTAAGTGTGTTTGACTCCGACGGAGCCAGCGGTGGCTTGCGTAACGGTATCAGGGTATCTGATCGTTTATCCTCGTACGGCGAAGTGCGGGGGGCATTAAAATCAATTACCCGGTCACCCTTGATGCTAACGGCGGTGTTTCCGATGGAAATGTCAGTTCGTTGATTTCTGTCCTTCCTTGATTCAAGGTAGGCTTTCTGTTTACGTTCGGCTTCGCGTAGATGTTGCTCGTGTGCACGCTGTATCATAGCTTCTTTTTCTTGATCGGATGAGGGGCTCAATATGGTAGCCTGTCCTCCGCTAGGGGATGAGAAGACACCAGTATTTGAAAGGGTGTTCTGAGGTGGAGCAACTCGCCGTGCTGTAGAAACTTGACTTCCATGCTCTTCAGCCATATCCAGCGGGACTCTATAGCCATTCATTGACGTTTCAAATGTGACTCCCAGTCCCGCAGACGGTGGCATCGCAATACTCTGAATAAAGAATTTCAAGCTTCCTAAATGATCAGATCTAGCACGGCGATTAACTACCAACATAGTGTCACTGAGAGGCTCCTCGTGCATAATTTGTCCGGGCTCAGTGAGGTAAATCAAAGCACTTCCAGGATCTTTGATACCAACACTATTACAGATAAGAGCCCTGAGTGAATCAGCAGCATCAACATCGGAAACATCAATCAAGCGAAAGTTCCATCCATCAACGGTCCCAAAGACAAACTTCTTGGCGGGCGAAGGCGGTGGTATACCCCAAGGTTGGGCCCGGGGTTTATCATGATCGGATACCAAGGATGGTGTCTGTCCGGAAGTTGCAAATGAAGCATTATGGCGGACGCCTACTCCGGGGCCCACCCCAGGGCTTGTTGGAGAATCAAACATTTCATCAGAAGATTGATGAGGGTTGTCATGATTTGGTTTCTTCCTGAAAATATGGAATAAGCTTTTACCTTGGGTGTGTGGGTTATCGTTTGCCTGTTTCGGTTGCTCCTGGGGAGAGGAGTTGTGGCCGGCACGCCAGTCTCCTAGTGCAGCACCGATGCTGGTCCGGATAGAAGAATTGGGGCCGTTGGGGCCAGCTCCGCCCTGTGATGACAGGCCACGACTCATGGTCGAATCAGAACTATTTCGTTTATTATGGCCAGGAGAAGCAAGAGACGCAAATTGAGCCGCAGGGCTGCTGGCATGGGATTTGGTGTCAGAGTATGTAGGTGGTGGGAATCCTGTGTCGCTTGAAACTGACGGACTATTTCTTCGTCGGAGAGTAGCATCCTGTCCATTGGTATCATTCGTTGGAATGTCAGCGTTTGGAACGGTCATATATTGACTAGGGTGTTGTCTCTGAGCAGCACTTGACGCGTCTACTTCCGCAAATTGCGGTCCAGGGCTGCTTTCTGCAGTGATATTGTTAGACACTGCCGACATAGGTTCTCTGTTTAAATTTGGCGAGTTTTCTATCCCGCCATCCGTAGATGCACTGTGTGAAGCTTGATTTTCGTAAAACCGCCCAGTTCCACCAGTCTCAGGCCCAAGGGTACTAGAAATCCGTCGAATGAGCTTACACATGCGTTTTCCTGCTTCTCGTTCACGAGAATGATCCCACCCGGTCCCGCTTTTGACGCATTCCTTGGCTAGTTGGGGGTAAACCACCTGGTGCATCTTGCCGACATTTCCTCTAGAGCCCAGCTCGATAAATGCAGATCCTTTTAGGTCAAGTGCTTTGAAGGTTTCCTGCCAATCCTGCGAGAAACCATTGTTCGCTAGCCAGAGCAACACTCGGTCTAGAGGCCATCTTTCAGCATCGCCGTTAGGGGCCGTTCCATTCAATGAACCCGCATTATTACTGGGCGTTTGGTTTATATATTGTTGTGCATCAGAGGAAGGGATTGCTGTCTGGGGAACGGCGCTGTATGCTGTAGCAGTGGATGGTCCAGAAGAGAGAGAGTCTAGCTGTGTGGCCTGAGGTATAGATAGCTGATATGGTCTCTGGGCCAGGTGATGTTGAGCTATTCCTTCATTCGATTGCTGCTGTTTGTAGTATTGTTGTCTAAATGTTCCGAAATCTTGTTGTTGGTAGGCATACGGGTCTTGTCTCCCAAACGGGGGGTGAGACTCGTGCGTAACGAGCGGAGGAATTCCCACACCCGGGCCGAATGTCCCTCGTCCCGGAATGTAGGTAGCAGACGTGAGAGGTGCATCATCGGAACTCATAGTAGGTTGTATGGAAAGAGACCCTTGCTTCCGTTGTTGCTGCATGCTGTATGCTGCTAAATGCTGGTTTTGGTTTACCGGCATCATGGGAGGTGGAGGTAGGTATTGTTGGTTCATCCCCTGCCTTGCCCAGTTCTGCTGCATCCCCTGAAGCGCGTACAGCGAAGTCGGTGGAGGCCTCGGTGGCGGCGGTAGCGTTATGCCATGAGAGGCTTGGGTTCGTGGCGGAGGTGGAGGAAAGGGGATATGACCCTGCGGGAGCGATCCCATGGGAGCTCCAGGGATATATTGCTGACGTTGGCCATCCATTGTGAGTTCTGTCTACCGAATATCGACTGTTAAACCGGTGGGACCGAGTCCCCGAACACTTTGTTCTATCTTCGTTATCGTTTGCGCCCCCTAAGTCCCAAGGAGCGACAGGTTCAAGAATCGAGGACCTGCCAGCGATATTATGCTAATTCTCTGTCAGCCCAACATCCTCAGCACCTTCTTAACGCTTTCAGCCAGCATCAAAGTATCATGAAGGACAGTTTCCAGCCGCCTGTCCAGCCACAACGACGTACGCAGGAGCAGGATCGAAATGAGGGGGGTGCAGCGCAGTAATGATTGGCCTGGCCTGGCGTCTGTGGATGGAGTGGGCGGTAATCGGACGAATTGTCGGCCAGTGCTGGGAAAAAAAAAATCGAGAGGACTGAAGAATAAAACTTTGAACCTGCGATTCAGGGCGCTGGTCCTATTGTCTGGTTAACCGTCTACCGCTGGAAATGCAAAGGAGCAAAAGCTACCCTGGAACGATATCACGACCAGCGGCGCTAACTTGTACAGCAGCTGAGTTCCACAAACCAAAGGGCCCTGGAACGGCCTGATTGGTCCCAGCCCAGCTAGTTTGAACTGCCTAGAGAAAAACGAGAGAAAAGCACGAGCAGCAAAGCAGCAAGTTCCGGGCGCAAAGAGACAGACAAGAGACAGCGAGGACAAGAAGAAGTCGCCGTCGCGCTAAAAACCGACAAAACATTTTGATTCCTTCATCTTTTTTGTTTCTCTGCTTTTTTTTTCTTGCCGAGAAAGGAAAAAGTAAAGTTCGGGTCCGAGCGCCTTTTCTTTTTCTTGCACCAAAAAGTGGATAGTCACGTGCGTATTATATAATCACATTATATAATCAAGTCTTCTATTTTGATCATCGAAAAAAAAGAGTGAGAAAAGAAGCAAGAAGAAGAAGAGGAAGAAGAACAGCCAAAGAGAAAATGCTGAGCAGCTTTTCCTGTCGCTCTTCTCTGGGAAGAGTCAAAGAAACACGGGCGTAGAAGGGAAAAGGCAGACTGCCGCGGAATGTGGCTGAGATTCCTCGAGGTACAGCGAGATTCTTTCGTTGATTGACTGAACACTTCCATAACTAACATGATAACTATAGGTTTGGCTTACTGCCAGGGTAAATATTAACGACCGGCGGGTTTCTTTCCATCAAGGGATTATTTTTCACTGACCTCCATCCAGCTTCTGGCGAGCCCGACTTTTCATCGAGCCGTTCAGCGTATCCATAAATCCGTCCAAGAACTCAGACATGGCAAAGCTCCCGAAGATATGGGAGGCACAAATATAGATGGTACCCTGGCATTACATCTTATCGATAGCTCCCTTAGCTGGGCTAACCTGTCTATCGACCGTAGGACCAGGTCTCAAGAAGTATTTCGAGTATTTCCGAGAGGAGCTTCGAAACCAGTTAGGGAAGAAACCGCCTAGATCATGACTCAATTTATATACCCCCGCTTCCTCAATCATCAATCGGTGTTCCTATATCTCCCGCCCTCACGTCCTTCGCCTCCTTGAAGGTATCATCGTTATTTACCGGATATAAATTGGGCTGTCTCCTTATTCGCACCACGGAGTTCATTCCTCATTCCATCCGAAGAATAAGCTGTTCCCCGTCCTTTTCACAATCTAATTGTCCCGAAATTAATTCGCTGCAATATTTGTGACGAGAACAAACACGACGATTCAATGTACTTTATATATCATTTGCATATTTTGCCGGTTAGAATGTTTATGAACAGTTAATTAGAACTCAGGCGCGTTGAAACATCTCCGTCATTTTAAACCGAAAGTGCTTCATTCTTCTATTCGTGCTAATCAATATCAAACGGTACTAAAAGACCAGCCGTGCCTACTTTATTTATACACAACTTGAGGCTCTTGTCTTTATCAAAATGGGTATTGCGGATTGGGCCAGCGATGGCAACTATGCCCTGATCCTGTAGTTCTATATCCAGATACTAGGGGGAAGGACTACAGACGTATCACCATTTTATTCAAGTGGGTAAATTGGGATTCTTATGCTAGTAGAAGGAATATTGAGGCACGCTGAAGCTTAGTTGATCCGCGTTGATATGGGAAAATGTAAATATTGAGAGCTCATGGTGGTGCAAACATAGCCACCAAATCTATATAAGCCGTGCAAAACAAGATGGTTTTGGCCACACAAAGTTAAGTACATGCCATCCTCTAAGACAAGCACTGCTCATCTCCTCCATGATCCGCGGAAAACGGTTGCGAATAACTTCGGATTAAAACACCTGAGTTTCACTCAGTCCGATTATTAATATCAATATTCCTAGATACGGACGCCGGATGAAGAAATTGATTATCAGAGCTTGAGTTAATGGCAGCTGCGGTGTCACATATGGATGTCAACTGAGACTACAAAGTATATCCAGTTGTGCCTCAGGTACAGCGCTGATGGTTTGCTATCCACTCATTGAAATACAGAAGATATACCGCTTATAGTCTCGATGGGATACATAGTAGACTCTTAAAAGACATAGTACACGACCAATAAGTCGAAATAATCCGGGCCTAGAAAGGTTTAGGCCGTTTTCGAATGTAATGTTACATGGCGTGGGCACATTTTTTAGATACCAACATCATGCTCTAGGTTCTGCAATTACTGTTATAATCTGGGGTAGAGTTACAAGGGGGATGTGTTGCACCTTCACATACATAGTATTCCATTAAAAGCCCTAGTTCATCCCTATGGATGTCATCCTACCTTGTCCCACGCATAATGTATTTATATACACATTAAGCCAGCCCTACCAAAACGCTTCGGGTCGTAGATCTGCAGTGGTGTAAAGTCTATATTCAGACGCTCTGGTTTTCGGGAAATCTTCGACCTGGAAATCTAAGACACTTGACATTGACGCCGATGCCGCATGCCTAATAGCCGTTCTCCGGCCGAGCTATACCAGCCGTTCGACGGAAGATGCACTGTTACCTTGTGGCTTCCCAACGTCTCATTCGAATGTCACATATATCACGGAGTCTCCCCAGGCTTATCGAAGGTGTCAACTCACCCTTGCAAAAGTACTGTCTTCAAGCATTGCGCTGTCCGTATATGATGTCTCAGTTAATGTGCGGTATATCTGTCGATGGCAAGTATGTGAGCTCCCATAATCACGAAGGAGGATGTGAGTTACTTCATGAAGTATGAGAAATTGCTCAGAATCCAAATTTCGATGCGCTGGACCCGTAGGAAATGTATTGTGGACGCAAGAACTTGGCTGATGCTATTGAGATGGAAAAGAGCACATTCACAGAAACGGCCACCGTAAATAATTATGTTGTAGAAAGAGTGGTATAATGCGAAGATTCGATAGCGAAATTAAAAAAAAAAAAAAATGAGATGGAATCTGCCAATATGGAGAAACGAGCAGGAGAAAGTAAAGGGGGATATACCAGAGGGCAAAGAGGAGAACTACCAGGCCATTCGGATAGCTGAGGCGGATCTCGGTATCCGTGTAGATATGATTCAACAGTATATCAAGTAATAAGCATGAACACACTACTTACGGCTGAAGTAGGACAGCGGGTTTTGACAACTCCGCACGTTGATTAACTCATAGAATATGACCGATGTAAGACATACAGGGCCAAGATGCAGTCCAAGTTTGATAAGGCACGGATCCAAGTGGCAGAGAGCGTATCCTAAGAATAGAATATGACTTGGACGGTAAAATCTCTGAGGCTGTTCATTCAATGGCAAGCTTTCCCGAGGCCACGAGATGTCCATGCAAACTGCCATATAGGGTCGAACACGAGAAAGAGGGGAAAGGGGAATAAAGAGAAAAAGGAAGCATGAATATGAGCTGCAGTGAGCAAAAGGGCCAGCCACTGGGGGACAACTATACATAGTATATGCATAAAGGTCACCGAGGGAATACTATGTAGAGCCCGTAGAGTTCTGCAAGCAACGGAACAGAGAAAGGGAAAAAAAAGACATATCCCAAGAAGAATACGAGGTCAATGTTATGTGATCATTGGCAGCAAGTCCGAATTCCATCAATGCCGTCGGTATTTGCATCTGAGCACCGTTTGGATATCAGGTTTAGACCAGCGAGAACTCACTCTGATCCGAGAGGCGGTCTGCTCATCATAGACAAAAAAAAAAAAAAAGGGCCCTTTCAAACGGTCAAAGAGCTAGTTAACTCATGTATAGATGATAGGTGTATCGTTGATCAATTGTTATTTTATACTCTCCGCTCGAACGCACCGGTCGGTGTAGCTTTTTGAGGCATAGCTACCCGAGTGAAGAAGATATCTCTGATGGCTGGCGACTTAGCGAGAGAAGTCTTCGCCAAGAAGGGCAATGCCAGCCAGAGGTCAACGACAAGAAACGAAAGAAAAACAACATCGCCAGCAGCCAAAAAGTCGCCAGAGCTTGCATGCCGCCTTATCCAGAGCGATCCGGTGACGGTTTTGGGTTATAGCGAGGCGTTCTGGAGTCCCGATCCACTGGCTTGGTTGTCTGAGCAAATTAATTGAGTGCCAGGACTCTGCTCTCCACCGTCATAAACCATCCAGCCAGCGGCGTTCATCGAGGACAGCCAGTTACTCCATAGACCATCGTTAACTATGCTGCAGCTCCTCATTCTCCTTCGTTACCATGAATGAGAATATCACACTTGGCAAGACTGGTTCGGAACTCTCCTCCAGGTAACACGAACATCCTGTCTGTCTCCATCATCTGCCATCATGCACCTGCAGCAAGGTCTATTTACTTGGTTACACACCCCATCTGCCTACTCCTCTTTGGGTGGTACATGTGGATGGCGTACCTGTATTCGCTCGAGTCTCGGTTTGCCTTTGATGAGAAAGATTGGGTGAGAATCGAGGGGAACTGGGAAGCAAAAGCAGCCAGCCGCAGTCAAGGTTACAGAGATCACTACTGGATAAGGAAATGCCTTGCTGGCTCTATTCATAAATAACTCCTGCTATGCAATTGGAATGTCGACCGATTTAGATTAACTAGCAGGCAAATCAAGTTGTTTGATGGTAACTAGCTACTCAAGCAAGCCATCTACGGGTCCTTCAACTCGAACAACACACCACCAGCGGCGAAGCCTTAAGCGAGAGAAGCCAGCCGCTTCGCCAATCTAACCAAAACCGAAACACGGCGTCAAGCGTTGCTGTGAGCTCGAAATGCAAGCCAGAGCAGGCTAGAAGGGCATCCATCAGTCTGGACCTGCAGCCTCAAAACGCAAAACCCCGGAGCAGCCCAAAATATCGGAAACATCAATCTATCAACCTAAGCCAGCTTTAGCTCCAAGCTTGAGTTAGGCAAGGAAACTAGCTGCATTTTTTTTGCCACGAAAGCTTCAGCCAAAGACAAGGAGGCGTATCTATCTCCAATTGGAATTGGTCTCGAGAAGAGATTCTCTTTGATCAATTTCAGCCCATCAACCACGTCTCTATTCAATGTTTCTGGGCGAGGCTGATGGTACCCTCTCTTCTCTGGCAATGGCAGGATTGGATTCCTCTTTCGCTAATACCTGGCATTCAAGCTTGAAATTCTAATCCTCGCTAATATTTTACATTTTCGATTGATTCCAGAGCAGCCTGTGTTGATAGGAGTTGATACTATTCAATTACTTGCAGTTGAGGAACAGGAAAGTCTAATACCCCAAAATTGATCTCTATGAGCTGGTCTGGAGAGGATAAAAGGGATGGCAACCTCTCCAATTCTTCCAATCCTTCTTTGCAAGAATCCAAACATCTGAGATAACCAACTCAGAAGTGATTCAAGATGGCGAGGCTTCTGTTCATATTTGTGCTTTCTCTCCTGAGTAAGTTTACCCATATTCTCAACCCCTACTATATAGGCCTTCAAAAGCTCACTGAACTTTATAGCCGCTCTGTCTCTGGCCATCCCCGGCCATGATAACAGCGAGTGTGCGAGTTGGTGTAAAGACAACTTTTCTAAATGTGGATATAAGAATGTTGGGGCCTGCGTCTCGGAGGCTGCCCATAATGGATTCGAATGCTGTTGTGGACCAGTAAGTATTCTCAAATAGCCTCTTTTTTTTAAATCAATATCATGGCTATTTTTTGTTTATCTGCCTGAAACTAACTTGACCGAACCCTAGTGCAAATCTCCTATGTTCTGCAAGAACCATCAATGCACTTGCCCACCTAACACCTGCGGAAATGACTGCAAGGAGGTATGCGTGATCTCATATATCTTACTGTATTAAGTATACAGCTAACAAAATTGCAGTGCAAAGCTCCTAAGCAATGTATCTATGGCCAATGCTCCTGCCCACTAGGAACCTGTGGAAGTGACTGCAAGGAGTGCAAGGCACCTAAGCAATGCAAGGACGGCCAGTGTATCTGCCCAACGGATACCTGCGGAGATGACTGCAAGGAGTGCAAAGCACCTAAGCAGTGCAAGGACGGTCAATGTGTCTGCCCCAAAGATACTTGCGGAAGCGACTGCAAAGAGGTATGTTCTGGCCTTCTCTAGCTGCCTGGGTCAAACAGCTAATATTGTATGACTATAGTGCAAGGCTCCTAAGCAATGCAAGGATGGCCAGTGTGTCTGCCCCAAGGATACTTGCGGAGACGACTGCAAGGAATGCAAGTCCCCCAAGCAATGTATTTATGGCCAATGCTCTTGCCCACTTAATACATGTGGCAAAGACTGCAAAGAGGTATGTGTGATATATTTATAACCCCCCTCTGGAGTTAAGTATCTAATATCGATTAAATATAGTGCAAAGCTCCTAAACAATGCAAGGACGGCCAATGTGTTTGCCCGAAGGACACTTGTGGGGACAGCTGCAAGGAATGCAAGGCCCCCAAGCAATGCATTTACGGACAGTGCGTGTGTCCTAAGGGTACCTGTGGAGCCGATTGCAAGAAATGCGAGTATCCTAAGCAATGCATAAACGGCCAATGTGTATGCCCTAAGGACACATGTGGAAATGACTGCAAGAAATGCCAGTACCCCAAGCAATGTATTTACGGACAATGCACGTGCCCTAAAGACACTTGTGGAGCTGATTGCAAGAAGTGTCAATACCCGAAAGAATGCAGGAACGGCCAGTGTGTATGCCCAAAGGACACCTGCGGAAACGACTGCAAAAAGTGCCAGTATCCTAAACAATGCATTTACGGACAGTGCGTGTGTCCTAAGGGTACCTGTGGAGCCGATTGCAAGAAATGCGAGTATCCTAAGCAATGCATAAACGGCCAATGTGTATGCCCTAAGGACACGTGTGGAAATGACTGCAAGAAGTGCCAGTACCCTAAACAGTGCATCTATGGCCAGTGTGTTTGCCCAAAGGATACTTGCGGAAGTGACTGCAAGAAGTGTCAGTACCCTAGGGAGTGTAAGAATGGGCAATGTGTCTGTCCACAGGACACCTGCGGAAATGATTGCAAGAAGTGTCAGAACCCCCAGAAATGCCAATATGGTCAATGTGTCTGTCCACAAGGAACATGTGGCAAGGACTGCAGAAAGGTATGTGATAATCATTCTATAAGCTATGAGACATCTGAAAGCTAACCATATTTTTTTACAACTTCAGTGCCTCCCCCTCCAGCACTGTAGGGATGGTAGATGTGTGTGGTACTAAATGTTGACAAGGTATGACTTACTTTTTACAGCACTGATAATTCAATGAACATACGTGTTAAATGAATATAGCCCCAAGCCTCCCCGCTTGCCTGGGAATACCAGCGATTTCAAATGCTTCTCAAGAGAATCTTCTTAACGCCGAGTCCAAAAGAAGGTTTGAAACACCGATACTTGGTGAGATCAGTTTGTCTACGGGGGCAATAACATTTGATAACGAGGTAATGAATGGGATAAGGTTAAAATTCGGAAAAAACCCACTAAAAACAGTTCCTACCTTTAATAGTTTAATGGATGGATGTTGATTTTGAAATCTTTCTGATTGCTTGTGGTGTACTTATTGACAACCACCGATAATCCGTTTCGTTCAGAAATTCATCGTTAATAATCTAGCTGTCCCTGTTGTAAGGTGTAAAATGAAGGCTAACTCTAAAACCTTGCCTTTAACCTATCCAAACGCCTCACTCGGCATATTTTAGCGAACCAGTGTGTGAATATCAGTTACCTGCAGGGGAAGAAGCCTTATTATACATTATACATTCACTTAGTAGTGAAGGCATAACTTTCGCACCACACCATCGGCCTGCTGTGGGTGGGACTTTGATTCACTGCGAAAGTACTCCGTACCAGTATACTACTTCTAGCAAATAATAGTTATAATACGTTCTCCCCGATTATTCGTTCTTGCCGCAGAATACCTCAGATATAATTTTCAGACCGAAGAACTCAAAACCCACAGGCATTCCACTCTTTGGGATAGCCTACAAATTTCACAAGGATGGGGGAAAGCCCTGAGACACCTCTAGAATGGATTCATATATCATCATAACATCTATACAAGAAGTGCCATTTCCAATAACTATAACCTATTGGCTCATATTATGCCTTATACTTTAATTTACTAAGGTGGTAAGCTAAATGGTAACCTAGAATGGGATAGTTTTAGAGGAATCATATTCGATACTCTCAAGGAACTACCGTAGCAGTGGTGATAGACCTTCAATGTAAACCCACTGTGGCCACCATGAAGGGGGTTCTGTTACATGTGCTAAGACCTCTAGTCAGGGGTTTGCGCAGTATGGAATTCTACGTTACTTCTCCATAAGAAGGTGCTGGAAGTCCTCCCAGGGGTAGCATCTGGATGAATAATCTCCTACCATACACACCAGTTAAAAAGCCGACCAGGTCCTAGATATGCAAGGCTTTGTCGACAGAAAGACTACTACCTTTTGCGGAGCATATTTCCTTGATTTGAAGAGCTAATGAGAGGTATTTTTGAGGTAAGTATGAGATGCAGGAGTGATGAGGCTCCTAACTCCAGTAGTTCCGTACTACTTGTCGCAAAGAAGAAAGTCGAGTAGTAGACGATACATATTTAGCAAAAGGAGTAAGGAGACATTTGTAGCTGATATCGAGCAACAGCTGACCTCGTTGTGACTATAGATATTGGAACAATGAACCAGAGAGTGGGTATTGGTTGCCTATAGGGAAGAAATTCTTGCGGTTTTGCAAGCTATACGAAGAACAAACATCGTATATTGTAAGCACTTGGTAGACTAGGAATAGGTAAAGCGTAGCACTTATGAAGCTATCAATAAAACTGTAAGAATTAACTAAATAGTTCCGAAAAATAATAGTATTAACAAATGTAATTCAAGATTCAAGATTCGTTATGCAAAAACTTGAAGATGTCACGTGCCTATAGGATAAACTTCATTAGTCATCAATTGGTTATACATTTACAAACAGTACAAACATGAATGTATCCTGATTAGGTAATAGTTCAATGTTTGGATCGCGACTTCGATAAGATCTCGAGGCGAATTGAAGAGCACCCCAAGGCATCGATATTTGCCCAGATGCTACCCTTCTGTGCATCTGCGCGATGCCTCCTCATCCTAAATCCGCAAATCCCCGGAGTCGTCGTGTCGAAGACGCTCTTTCGCAACTAGTCGACTCCCTTCTACCTCCTAGTCCACATATTCTCGACGATGATACCGACTCAGAATCATATCGTGATGGCCACGCACGCGCAGAAGCCGCCGAGAGAGATGAGCTTCGGCATCAGCTTGCACTGGAGAATGCTTGGCGAATAATAAGGAATTACGGTAGTGGGAACAAGCATCAGCCCGGATCAAGTGTTGAGGTTTCCGCTGATGTTATCAACAATGCCCCTGACCTGATCAAACGCAGGCTACTTAAAACGAATGCAACGCCAGATAAAGCCGTCCGGTTTTCCAATTTATATTCGCGACTACTTACGCAGCCGGTTTTGAGCCAGAAGTGGGCTATCCTATACTTACTCTATCGCATTGGGGGGCGCAACAATAATGCAGACCAAAGGGACGGTAACCTCCTAAGGGAGGGAGCTCGAAGCCCGTTACTTGATGAACGTCAGCTGGATTACATGTCGATGAAAGAAAAACTTGGAGGAAGAAGACCAAATGCCCCCGAGAGCATTAACCCTGGATCTTCAGCTTCTGCTATTGGCAGGAATACCCCCCCTATGGAACTGAATCAATCCCAACGAGAATGGCGAGACTCAGATTTCTCTAAGCAACCGGAGCGTAAAAGGAAAATCGAAGATGAGACAAAGCCGTCGGGGTCAACCGTTAGGAACATGGAAGACTTCATTCCAGCTGAGAAGCCAAACCAAGAGCCAGAGCCTCCAGCGCAAGAAAAACTAATGGTAAAGCCATCTGAACCTGAAATCCTCCGCGATCTCCCCTTCTTCCTACAGGGGCTATCAACAACGAATCTAGAATTCTTGGCTCAATCCGTTCTTAAACTTCCAAAAACACTTCCTACGCCCATTGTCTCACTCCTTCACACACTCGCTGAGCCATGTCTATTATATCGGGGATTATCTAAGTTTGTGGAGCAATCAGAAGGTGGATTAATTGAGCAGAGCTTAAGAGCAGCAGTAGGGAGCGAACTTCGCTCATACCTTGGCTTGGTAGCGAGTTTGGAAGGAGAAATAAGGAGAGCTCTCACTGCTGTTTCCCAGGATTCTGCTGATCAGAAAACAGTCATGGGGGCCGGAGTGACTCTAAAGAGATGTATTATATGGACAAAAGATGCCACACTTGCACTACGGTTGATGAGCTTGATGGTAGAAGAAGCTCAAAATAAGAGAGGAGGACAGCTGATCTCCATGATTCACGAATTTTCGACTTCTCACGGCGACCCTTTTGTTGGTGCTTATGCTGAGAGACTCTTAACCCAGGTGACACGGCCTTTTTACAACATGCTTCGGCAGTGGATATATGATGGTGAACTATCCGACCCCTATAATGAGTTCTTTGTCGTGGAGCCAGAAACTCGACCAGATATAGACCCACGACGTGCGGCAACCAGCGTTTGGGACGAGAAATATAAATTGGACAATGACATGGTCCCAACTATCATGACACATGATTTCGCCAAAAAGGTGTTTTTGATCGGCAAATCACTTAACTTCATTAGATATGGTTGCGGCGATTCAGCTTGGGTCGTTGCATACTCTCGTGAATCATCAAAAGCATTGCAGTATGGTGACACTGCCACCCTTGAGACTTATATTGATGAAGCATACAAAACCACGATGGCTCGTCTTATCTTCCTGATGGACTCCAAATTCAAATTGTTTGATCACCTTAAGGCTCTAAAGAAGTACTTACTACTTGGCCAGGGAGACTTCATTGCCTTGCTCATGGAAAGTTTAGCTTCCAATCTTGACAGGCCTGCTAACTCCCAGTATCGCCATACATTGACTGCCCAGCTCGAACACGCCATCAGATCTTCTAATGCCCAGCATGATTCCCCCGAGGTACTAAGGCGTCTAGATGCCCGCATGTTAGAGCTTAGTCATGGTGAAATTGGCTGGGATTGCTTCACCCTGGAATATAAAATCGACGCTCCTGTCGATGTGATAATTACCCCATGGGCTTCAACTCAATACCTGAAGGTGTTCAATTTCCTTTGGAGGGTAAAGAGAGTCGAATTTGCACTTGGCAGTACATGGCGACGATGTATGACTGGAGCAAGAGGGGTGTTAGGTGGTGTCGACGATAAACTTGGAGCAGACTGGAAAAAAGCTCGTTGTGTTATTGCTGAGATGATACACTTTGTTTGTCAGCTTCAATATTATATTTTATTCGAAGTCATTGAAGCTAGCTGGGATCAGCTACAAATCGCCATCTCCAAGCCAGGGTGTACATTGGACGACCTCATCGAGGCGCACACCAAATATTTGAACTCGATTACCCACAAGGGCTTGCTAGGGTCTTCGTCATCCTCTTTCTCCCGCTCCACCGGAAACAAAGAGGACTCCTTCCTCTCCCAACTTCATCAAATACTCAAAGTGATGCTTGCGTACAAGGATGCCGTGGACGGTTTATATTCTTTTTCAGTCGCAGAATTCACACGCCGGCAGGAACTGAATGCAAAGATTGAACTTCGCACAGCACAGGGTCGATGGGGAGTAACTGAGAAAGATGTACAAGAGCCATCCACAAGGCCAAGCAGGTCTGGTTCAACTCGAAGGGTAGATCCGCCAGCTTTGGGAGGGTTTGATGTGCCACCAAATCAAAAGCGATGGTGGACGGCAGATCCAAATACCCCTGGAACACCCATTCCCAGTGGTGACGCGCTCTTTGGGGGCGAAGACCACCTATTACCATCTCTCCGTGAGCGTTTACTTGAACTGTCCTCTGACTTCCGTGTTCGCCTAGTTACTCTCCTTGGTGACTTGGCATATCAGCCCGACGTCGACATGCGTTTCCTAGGGGTAGTGATGAATTTTAATGATGTATATCAAGTTGCCAGGAGAAGGCGCGGAGTTTCAACGAAGGATAAAAGGAAATGCACGGGTGGCCCTGGTGGAGAGTCAACCGCAGACAGAGACCAAGAAAAAGCTGCGGGCATTTCATGATAGCTTCCATGTTCTCAGATACCTTTTTGGGAAGGATTTAATGTATTTCATTATATTGGTCAATCAAGTTGTCTTGCTGATTGATACCTTTATTCTTGACGGGACCCTATGTTTAATGAAAAGACTGTACTTTGATATGCCATCGCTGAGAGATAATAGATTAGCCAGATAATATTGAAATATTATCATCATCATATGCTTCACTTTTTCCACTAGCTTATATTCAAGTGGAGGGAGCTTTGGTTTCAACTTGATTCCGTTACCATTATTTATAGAGTCCCCATAAAAGGCGATATCTCGTAATAAGATATTAGACCTAGTTTTACCGTGGGTTAGGTACCGTAGACGCATTCGAACGAATGGATTCCGGTAATGTCCTGTACGTCTCTCTACGTAAGACTTACAACCTACTCATCAGGACATATGATGAGGTTTACTCTCTAGCAGAAAGTACGTCCAGTCGTCTCAATAACTAACTAGCAAAGCTTTTATGAGAGTAAATTTACAGGCTCGCAAACAGCTTTATCAAGTCAGAGGGCAAACAAGCCACATTATCGAGTGGTCTAACCATATACTGCAACTGATCTCTGAGGAGTTGTGGACTCTATAATCTAAGTATAGCTTGTGCGAAATAATGGAGTTTAAGGCCGCTCCTAATATATAATAGTAACGACTTGTTCATTGCCGGGGAAATAAAACCACGACTCCTCCGGCATATTTCTCATATTTCAATATCAAGGTTGGCGTCTCCCAATGCCAGCCAATCCCTTTCTACTTTCCATCGTCTCACCGCCCATGACCACCTGGTAAAGACTTTCTGACATTTCACAATCGCTAGATACTTGTTTTGTAGATTAAATCCCGTAGTCACGCCGGCGTAGCGTGATAGTAAGGTTAGTTGTAAGTTAATCCACATGACTCAACTTCTCCTCCCGATATAACTTGCTAGTCAGGAGGCAGCTTTAGATGAGCGCAGCTTATGTTACTTTTGATACAATCGCTGGGTGCCCTTTACCTCACTCCTTTGCTTTCATATGATCGTTACAAGACCGAAGCCAACCGTCGATGCCTTTTCGCCTCAGGATGAATCAGAGTCAGACCCAGAGGATGATGTATCCTCAGAGGCTTCTGCAGGACCTAGTTAGCACTGTTATTTGAAGTATTATTGCAGTTGCTAAGCGGATAAATAGAGTGAATATCCAACATACCTGAGCTGGATTCAGACTTGGAGTAATTTGCCAAGTTCTTGTGAACTACCAGATTGGAGCCGGATGAATCACTACTATCGCTGTCACTATCGCTCCCACTATCACTAGTACTGTCGCTATCACTATCAGTTTCACTATCACTAGTACTGTCGGTGTCGGTGCCACTTTCGCTGCTACTGCTCGAATCAGATACCACAGCCGTCCTGGTTTTCCGAGTGGGCTTCTTCGGAGGAGGCGGTTTCGGAATACTATCACGGAACAGGTAAAGGATCAACTCGGCACGTTTCCTTGTGCTCAGTCTCTTATGCCATGACGGACTTAGGTCAGCAGGTACTTCATCATCGTCTTGGCTACCATCCTGCTTTTCCAGCCGGTTCCTAAATGCATCTACAGCATCGTCGTATATAGACCTTTGGGCCTCAACATCTGCGGTCGTTGGGTCGCTGGTGCTCTTGTCGTCATTTGATATAGCTTCCTTGGCAGCCTCCACGATGCGTTTTTTAGCCGCCTCCCCTTTTAAGCTTGACAGATAAGCTCTAAGTGCAGAGTCGTAGCCAGGTGGTATCCGGTCTATGGAGAAACAATTCTTCAGAACAGCTGTATCTCGGTTCTTTTGGAATTTCCATTCGCTTCGTGAGTTTTGATATGTTGACAGGTATGCTAAAATTGGATCGGACGGTGTTTTAGGTTCCTCCGGTTTGGCTTGTGCTGAGGTATTGCGGTCCTTCCTGCGTTCCTCTCTTTTGCGCCGCTTAGCTGCTCTTCTATTTGCAAGCGAGTCAGGATCATCTTCAGGGTCCACGGTAAGTTCGGAATCAACCACGGCTATATCATCCTCCAGCTTTGTATCTTCTGAAAAAGTGACAGATTTCCGAGGTTTAGATCCGGAATTTGGGTTGCTTCCATTCAAGGGTATCAAAGGATCCTTTTGGTCGTCCTTCGCTATCTGGTTCTCAGGCTCCGGTGCAGCCTTTCGTTTCTTTGTCTTTCGCTGATTGGTTTCGCCATTCTCGTTAATGATTTCGATGCTTTTGCTGGATGAATGCTTAGAGGATGTTGATTTACTTCCAGCCTTCTTTGAGGCGGATAGTAAAGTCGAGCCCATTGCAGGCAAAGTCGTCTATCTCGTGCTCAAAAATAGAGGTTCATATGTAGCAGATTGCCAATTGATGTAGTTTATATTAAAAGTACCGAAATTTAATAAAACGAAAGGTACCAAGGAAGAATCAGAGAGAATAAAGCACAAGAAACCGATCCTCAATTTCGCTACTTTGAGAAAACGCAGAAAAATGTTTGATACCGGGGATATGGCGCTAAGCCTAATCGGGCGATAGGCCCAACCTGAGCTTTTGCTAGTTAACTTCAAGGCAGCTTCAAGCAAACGCGTTCAACAGACAGCGAAGAGCTTCTTAACTGGAACGACCATTCCTCATCTTTGATTCTCTAGACAGCCCGCATAGATAGAGCTTACAACTTGTTCCCATTTACCCTTTCACTACATCTGTCAGCAATCATGTCGGGTAAGCGTTCACCGATGAGGGATGTTGACATTTCCCACTCAGCTAATCAACAATGACCGTAGGAAGCGCGGGCTACGATAGGCATATCACTATATTCTCCGATCAGGGGAGGTTGTATCAAGTTGGTTAGTGATGTTATCTCTGGTACTGTTGTGTTGAGGCGGATGCTAATGTTCTGTTTTGATGTTTAGAATATGCTTTCAAAGCCATCACAGCCGCCAACATCACATCGCTCGGAGTTCGAGGCAAGAACTGTGCTGTAATTATATCGCAGAAGAAAGTTCCGGTACGTAATAGATGCCTTAGGATGATGAACTTACCAGCACTTACTGACTGACAGATTTTCCAATTTTTAGGATAAGCTCATCGAGCCGTCCTCCGTATCCCATGTCTTCAAGATTTCCCCGTCTGTTGGGTGTGTTGTGACTGGATCGATAGCAGATGGAAGAGCACAAGTTACCCGGGCACGAAGTGAGGCCGCGGAGTTCGAGTACAAGTTCGGATATGAGATGCCATGTGATGTTCTCGCAAAACGCCTTGCCAATATCAGCCAGGTGTACACACAAAGGGTTCGTTTGCCTGAACCTTGGTATCAGCTGGGGGAGGGCATACAATCATTTACATGATTGTCAAAAATAGCACTCAGCTAACACCAATCAATTGTTTTTAGGCCTATATGCGACCACTAGGTGTTGCAACGACTCTGATCTCGGTTGACTCTGAAAATGGCCCTCAGCTATTCAAATGTGATCCAGCAGGATATTACGTTGGATATCGTGCCACCGCCTCCGGGCCAAAGCAGCAGGAGATTATGAACCTATTGGAGAAGAAGCTGAAGAACAAAGAAGACGGAGGTGCAAACTGGGAGGAGGTGGTGGAGCTGGCAATAACGACATTGGGGACTGTGTTGAGTGTTGATTTCAAGAAAGGTGAGATAGAGGTTGGCATTGTGGGGGGCCCCCGTCCAGATGGAAAGGAAGGTACGCAAACTGCGTTCCGTACGCTGACGGAGGATGAGATTGAGGAGCGGCTACAGGCCATCAGTGAGAGGGATTGATTGTTCCAAATTTCATTTCTCCGTTTGATCCAATTGATAATGCAGGGTTACTACAAACGAACTCAATTCCCCTAGGTAATTTCTTCTTTATGTGGGAGAGCGACGCTAGTTCAGACTCCCCTAGTCAGCATCAAAACCGAGCGTTTCCAATCAATTCTAATCTATACAAGGCATTGTTGGCACCCTTACTTGTTCCTGTATAGATGTGCGAGTCGGCTTGATAATCGACCCGCGCGCCAGGAAACCTGAAAAGGCACCCTTCCCCCTGCATAAGACACAAGAACCTATGAAGAGCAGAAGCAGAGCAGCTTGAAGTCCTGCTTTTTCGCCTTCTGCTTGTCTCACTTAGCAGCAGACTATGCTTAACCTTCCCCATTCGGAGTTCGGCTCATTATTCATCCCTTGTTGTGATATGGAGGTCGGAGGCTGCTGCTTATCGCCATTTGCGCACGGATAGCGTCTGGTCTGTGCAACGACAAGCGGCTGTGATCAGGGGTCAGTAGACGCAGACAGGACAACGACATCCATTCAGCTTGGATGGACTATCAGATACCCCTGCGGACCTTACTCTCATGTTCTTCACCAAGGAAGAAGAAAAAGAAGCAAAGAAAAAGCCGCTTTGTAAGCGTGGCAACGACATAAAAAGTCAGCTGGCGGCGACGGGAGGCCGCGCTAGCCTCTTTCAGGCGTTTATGTGGCGTGTGTCGAACTGTGGCTGACGCAGGCGCGAGCTGGCCCCTGCAGGGCTTTTCTTGATCCCATCCGACGAAAGGGACGACAATGCCTGCTAGCTTTGAGAGGAGACCCATTTCTGGGCTCCTATCAATTCGTTCGCCAGCAGTATACCGTGATGATCTGGTCGTACGGAGCGTTGATGGTGACCTGGTTCCCATTTTTTATTCTTTCTCGGTGATCTGTCTGATGTCTTCATCTCCAGCGCCATTGGATGGCCAGGGGAGGGGGGAAGGGGGCCTTATTTAGATATCATCAAGTTCAACATGTTGGCCGGTCTTCCGCTTTTGTCCTTTTAAGCTCGGTTCTTCCCGTTGTTTTGAGATGTTCTATTCTTCTCAATCAACAGCATTTACTTCAACCAAGGCACTCCTTACTTTCTTCTCTATAGCCTTAACAATCCCAATTGAACAAAAGCAGAGCTTAAACATACCTGCTGCCGACCTCAATCTGTCTTATTTTAAACATTTAATACTCTAGTTCCCCAAATATGTCTGACGGATGTATGTGTTTTGACGTTCCCTCCTCCCCTTGACAACCCCGCGTTGCGGTGTAGCGCATTTTAGCTTACAGCCTCATAGATAACGAAGCACGCGCTCTACGGGTATCCGAGCTCATCAACGACTTTCGAACATTGCTTGTCCACATATCCCAACTGAAGCTTGATGCTACAGAAGTGTCAGAAGTGGCCCAAGGATATATTCTCATGAGACAATGCGTTGCCGAAGCTCAAGAGCTATTGGCTTCACAATTTGATATCCAGTCTATCCAAAACCTACAGGGTGATGGCGAGTTTGAGAAGGTCCAGCTTCAGAGGTAATTTTATTACACACTATAATAAAATCCGAACCGGTTTTTCTAAAGTATGACAGGATCATCCTCGACGCAAGTGCGCGCAGATTCCGAGCACACAAGATCTATCAGCGCATGGCAGCAGCTAGGCGGTGGGCAATGGGCCGAGCACAGGTGCTCCAGGGCCAACGACCCAGCTCTCGTCATACCACCGCCCTTGCCGGCCTAGACGACACCCTTCGTACCGTAAGAAAAATTTTCACCATCCCCCTTTTTTCATCCCTCCTTTCCGTCATATATTTGAGTTTCACTCTAATCGTTGCCATCAGGAGCTCTCAAGGATTACGGATAGTTATGTCTTGAGCACTCTTGCCTCTGCTGACGTTCGCGCAGGCTACTGGCTCGACGAAGATCCTTCCCTCAGCACGATCCTGAACTGGATTCGGTCGCATTCTTAGCGATACTGATAATTATATTCTTCGATCTTACTGCTACAGGAACTGGGTTCCTTTTTTCGGGAGTTGCCGGACAACTGACACGTATCTTTTCTCGTTTCTTTGGGCTTAATATTGTTCGTTCTGGAGGAACCTCATATCATCGGAATGGGCTTGGCCTCCGAATCTCTGACTACTGCCTACCCAATTGGCTCTTATCCGGCCCTGCATTGTTATTGGCTACCTCGTTCATTTATCTTTACCCGCTCTTTCCCCCTATGGTCTAAAAATGGACTTTTGGTACATTGGTATCGTGGAAGGCACGGGTTGGCACGGATGGATACCCATTCATTTTTTGTTTTTGGATGCAGGATTTAGCGACGGCATGGTTTTTTTTTCTCTTTTCTGGTCACGGGAATTATGGACTTGCATCGCAATGGCTTTTGACGTCTTTTTACTTTTCAGCATACATACAAACGCGCGCTGCAGGTTGGCGCCTCTGTCCTACCGTACCATCCATCTTTCTTTTCCTCGGGTCTTTAACTGCTTCACCATCTAGACAGGTTAAAATTCTACCTTTTGAATGAAAACTTTATTAGCTGCGTCCCATCGAAGTTCCAAGTACGCATATAGTGCAACCAAGTGGCTTACGTCCTCGTCGTCGGCATCGTGTCAATTACTTAAGAGAAAGACGCCCAGAACAGGAAGGTGGCGTTCAATTTTGGTGTCATTCTTCCGCTGTTCTTTGACGTGTACGGGATACTCGCCACCGTGGCTGGAGAATAATAATGTTCCTCTAGGAGCTTCCGGGCCCATATAAGTACACGGACTGCAGGCTGATGAAAGCCACCTTGGCCATACAATTGGTCAATCAAATGTTCAAAACAAATTGTGCTCAGGTTGTATGCACGTCGGACTCTTGGAGGACCCACCGGTTATCTCTACCGCCTAATCCGAGGAGACAGTCGACACCGAATATCCGTACAAGGAATGAAACTTGTAAATGTACTGATCAGTACCTATAGATAACTGTTCCCGGATTTACGCATAGCTGATAGTTGATATATGTTTGCCACAAACTCTGCCTCAACCCGGAGAAATTCAAAGGACCAGACACGAAGTCTTATGCAAGGTGAAGGAACACTAAGTAAGGATTTTCGCCGGCTCTTTCTACTGCCACCATTGACAGCAACCCTCGCGAGGGATATTGACAACATGACATCACCTAACGGCAGTGTGTTGTCCAAATAGGTGGCTGCAGTACTTGGTTTTCGTATATCGAGAAAAGAGGTGAGGAAGAAGTTGCCCAAAGAAGCCGAAGAGCGAAAATACCAGTCGTATCGGGATTAGCGCACGCCCTCCCCAAAATGGGAAAAAGGTTATTTTTAGGGTTATTTCCTTTATGAGACTAGCTTGGAGGCTCTTTCAGGTAGCCACATGGTCTTGGCATAAGTTTAAAGGAGGTACCTTGCATGGCCCGTGTGGAATTCTCTGTTCTGCGCTTGCGAGCTGTGGCTGTGCACACAATTTGTTTAACAAGTGGTTGATAACTTCCTGTTTCGGTGGAATGAGTAAACAACTAGTATCACCACATCCCGCTGGTGCTACGGCAAAGGTTTCCCGAGGTAGAAATGGGACGGTACTGCATATTTCCTGTGGTGGCTGTGAAAGAACGACTTCTTACTGTTTAATAAACATTGATTCGTGGCTGCTTGATAGTCGGGATCTTTCCGCGCTCCATACACGCAATTCTTTCTATCTGTTAGGTTTGATTGCTTAGTCTCGCAGTCCAAACTACAATGGACATCTTCAAAGCAAGCTGTTCCGGCGGATGGATACTTCATCCGCGCGTGGCGTGGAAACTAACACTTGTCAAACATCAGACAAGTTCACTAGATGCATGTTCTACTTATATAGTTAGTTGCAACGGTGCCATTATCTCTGGTCAGCATCCCTGCATATAGCTATTTAGTCTATGATCATCAAATGCAAGAGGCATCCTCCAAGCAGTCCCACCTAAAGATGCAGCTCTATATCAATCAATGATCGATGGTACTGGATACCAGCTTTCCCCCACTTATTTGATTAGGTTTTGTCCGGCATCCACAATGCTAAGCTTGGGGAGATCCAGAGATTAATCAGTATGCGTTGGCTTCTCCCGAGCCATTGAATGCCATATAACGAGATTTTGCATCCCTCACCCCCCATCGATCCTAACTTGAGGCAAACGGGCTCAGCCGGAGCCGCAATCCGCTACATGCGGCAAAAACGACACTAAGCAACCCTGTTACGATTATACTGGTGCTGAAGGAAAGGCATGCTAGTGGACGAGGCGAATTGGTCGTTGCAAGCTGAGGCTGAAGCCACTGCCGCGAATCCTTCTTGGCTAGAATGCTTTCCTTTGCAGCCTCAGGCAGCCATAACGACGAAAGATAATGAGGCTTCTTGAGTAATTTTTGCAGCCAATATAGCCGGTTGATTGGAGAGCTGCATGGCTGGCGGGCCATCACTACTCCACCTGTTTAGGGCCATGGAATGGTTTTAGAATACCCGGCATTAGCTGAATAGATAAAGCCTCATTTTTTTCTAAGCAGAGCAGGACAGATATAAACATGGACTTCCCACCGCGAAAATCTATGCGTGATGGGCTCTTTGAGTGCCACAGCCATATACCGCTCTCCAAGCAAGCTACATGGTACTTCCCATCTAGCCGGCTCTCTTCTTTCATTCTATGAGTGTTCATACATCTCAAGTGACTATTGACTTGGCCACTACCTTTCCTTTCCGCAATATCCCCCGCTTCCTACTGCAAGATGGTGTTGACCCGAAATATCTTGCTGTTGGCCAGTCAAATCCAGTCATGAGACCAAGAGTGAACCGTTCAGCTACCCTGAGTAATACTATTGTATTAAAGCAAAGAGAGCCTTGGGGATTTGCCATGTTCAATTCATTGCGTGTGAACGCGTGGAAAGGGCTAGGATTAGATGAGGATGGATCGATGGGCACCAACAAAGGAATTAGAAATCTCCTTGGCAAAGGACGAGATTCTATATATGGTACTCATATGGTACGATATCCGTACTTGGGTCATAAACCACACAAGTATGAGTATCCATTTTCTGGGGACGACGTCCTGATCGGCCGAAAAGGGATATGTAGATCGTGATGAAGAGACGCCTTTTGTCGCTTGCGATCCAACACGCATCCTATGTACGCATACTGCTGAGATGCTGTCGAAGGTATGGCCGTGACGCTAACACGACATCAGACCGGGAGAAGATATATTTGGCAATGGGTGTTTACACGGATGGGAAACTCTTGAGCTAAAAAGAGGATGTGTATATGCATGTCTACCGAGTAACCTGTGGAGGGCCTGTCATCGGGGGATAAACTACCCACTGACGTTCCTCTCAGCATGGATGCACAGCTCACTTAAAGTTCAAACTCGCACTACGTAATATTACGCTACGTAATTGGTTGAAGAGTAATTTTGTGTATTGTGACGATGACTGAGAAAACTAACCTAATGACAATAATAATTGCTTAGCAAGAGTTTATGTTCTTGAGACCTTGAAAGATGGCTCGTTGGTAAATAAGAGCGCCAGCCCGATTACAAGGGAAAGTGGACAAACCAGTAGCGGTTTGTAATAATTTGTTGATTGAGCTTATGACTCAACTTCCCTACATTTACTGATGCGCTGACTGTGCATCCAAATGCTTGACGAGGAAAGACAAACCACCTGCCTCTGGGGACAAGCTAAGGAAGCTAAGTAAGCATAAATACTTTATCATCCCATGATCTGCTTCAGGGACGGTTTGGGTCGGGTAAAAGGACGATAGGCTAAAGAGGAACTTGTTATCTCACCTGATACCCGCGTTCGAGAAGGGAAGAAAAAAAAAAAGAAAAACTTCCACAGTTTTCCGTCGACGACAGGCATCCAAATCACTTAGCCAGCGGGAAGACCTTCGTCCAAACTAAAATGTTGGGCTATACGTATTCTTCCATATTACAGAGATATCCATGAGCTATGGAGAAAGACCTGGGGGAGCAGCCCAATAAACGCAAAATGAGGACAGTTGGAAGGGGGCCTGACAGCAGCTGGGTGATTGGATGCCAGATTGTTGTCAGATCAACGCCAGCACACCATCACTGCTTTCTCCACGTCTCCGCAAGCCTATATATCCCTACAATGTATACATATGTATATAATAAGATAGTTATAGTGGGATGGTATTATATCCCCAGGCCGGAAACATATAGCTGGGAAAATGGATGCATAGCCGTTGACCACCAGTCAAATTCTCCACACCGGAGAACGGATTCACAACATACTATGTATTTACTCCGTCCTCTCTACCCCCATCTGTCGAGTCATGCGGAAGAGAAGAGAAAAAAAAGAAAGAAGGAGGAGGAGAAGAAGCTGAGCATGGCTGGCATGGTTGACCCTTGACGATGCCTGAACCCGAGAAAGCCCGCTTGCGCACTGATCGCGGAAAACCTAGGTGGTGATATGAGTTGATGTGTAATATAACAACATCTGGAACGGAAAAGAGAACAGAAATGAACAGAAAGGCCGGGGTAGGAGCTTCGGCAGAGCCCAATCAGCGTTGGGTGGTTGTGAATAGCTTGTTCCATGCTAGGGCTGGTACTCTGTTGAGACCGAAACCCCAAATTACCGCCCCCGTTTTGTGAGTAAAGTAACGGTAATACACCAGTTTCCTGTATGTTATATTAGACTTGTCTCCACGAACCAACCCCGGACGTTAAGGGCTGTCATGCTATTGTCTGGGATATTGTCATCCACCAGCCAGAAAGAGACGGCGCCGTCGAGGCTCATTGGCGAGACGACAGCTTTCACACTAAAATAAAGGCAGAAACATCTGATGGAACCCTTCCAGAAGAGAGGTCCTCCCTCGTACTCTCGTATACACGTAGTGTATACTCCGTATAATCCTCCGGAGAAGGTATTTTTCTTTTTTGTTCTGTTTGACATCCAGCTTTCTCCTCAGCTGTGCGTCCACACAAGCCTTTTCTCCAAGACTTCAGCGCGGTGCTTGAAGCTCATCTAAGCACCGCCTAAGCAGAAGCAACCGTCTTGGCGAGTGTCTCTTCGGTTCTTCGCAGCAAAGAAGGGGAAGAGTAGAGATGTGCGTACGCATGCGTGGGGATGTGTATCGATGTGAGTAAGGTGATCGCCTGCCCTTCTCGAAGGGCCCTTTTCGCCTGCCCCATGGGGAACGGCGCCGTCAGCCCGCGAAAAAGGATGCGTCTTGCTCGACTTTTTCCCTTGTCTGGTTTCCTTACGGGCTCGCCGTGTAAGATAAAAAGTGGTTACGACGGGGAAAATTACACAAAACACTCTACCGATGAAGTATCTCACGGATCGACCGGCACTTCGCCCCGAACTTGGCCACCTGGACGATGCGGCTTGATGGTCTCGACAGAAAGCAGACGTCGATGTGCTGTTTGTTGGCTTACGACTCTCCTCTGTCGAAAGGGAAGAAGAGGAGGAAGAAGAAGAAGAGCAAGAAAAACGGGACTCAAGGTCGACCTCGGCAGGTTTGCGTTTTTCTTATAATACAAAAACTCCACCGAGAAGGAACAGAAAAATACGAAACTTCCGGGATAAAAAAGAAAGAGGAAAAAGACACGCTCCGACTTTTTACATGCATAGTTTTTAGTCTCTGCATATGCAACGTGCGTGTGTGTGTGTGTGTGTGTGTACTATGTATGTACTCCAGAGAAGGCCAGCTCCGGTTCTTTATGCTGATCCTTTCTCTGGATGTGACCCTTCTCCCTATGTTGCATCAACATGGCCACAATAGTCGCTATCTCCGTCCGCCCCCCAAGAGGAGGGGGAGGTTTTCGTCCTGTTCTTCCCATCCTTGCCCCCTGGCCACTCCTCGAACTTCGTGGTATGTACCCGTACATACTAACTCTCTCTGTGCGTGTGGGTAACTGAAAAATGCCTGTTCCTGTATGGATGTATTTTTATTAATCTTATATATCCATAATACTGACTTATATCTCGGGCATGGGTTGACAGGTGGAGCCCCCGGGAATTTTCTGAAAGGCAGACGAAGACGAGCGAAAGAGAAGAGAGAGCAAGGAGATTGAGAGAGAGAGAGAGAGAGAGAAAAACTAATATATATCAGTCTTTTGCCGGCAGTTTCGAGTTTTCTTTCTCTTCCTCCTCTTTTCTCTCTCTTGCTCTTCCATCACTTTGACGCTGCTCGGGGCCCTTCAACTTCTTCCCCTCGACACATATTAATCAAAGGAAGATAAAAGGCTCGAAGACTTCACTGTCCGAGAGCATCTCTCGTCCTGTCGCCATGGCTGACAAGGAAACTGCGCCGGTTCAGTGAGTGACTCTTGATGGGCTTGCGTTGTAATAATGGGGGTGGTGATGCTAATGCCGGGAACTATAGGGCAACCCAGCATGTCAATGTTGATGAGAAGCACGAGGCAAAGGATATCCCCAGCGACGCCGTCCTAGACACCAAGGCCGGCTCTGACATCGACGCTGAGAAGGGCGAAGGCTTCGAGACCCCAGACGGCGAGGAGCCGACTGAGAGCGAAAAGTTCAACCTCAGGCACATCGGTGAAAACCTGCCGCTGTCTGCCTGGTTGGTCGCCGTCGTCGAACTCTGCGAGCGTTTCACCTACTATGGCATGAACGGCTTGTTCCAAAACTACATCCAGCGACCGTTCGACGGAAGTGAGGGTCGTGGTGCTCTCGGTGTGTAAATATCTTTTTGGCACATAAATATTCATTGCTAACTCGTTGAATAGGTCTCGGCCATCAGGGTGCTACTGGGTTGACCACCTTCTTCCAGTTCTGGTGCTATGGTAGGTCCTCACAAGAATATTAATGAAAGAGGCTCCTTGTTAACGATATATTTAGTTACTCCAATCTTCGGTGCTATCGTTGCTGATCAGTACCTTGGAAAGTACAAGGCCATCCTGTACTTCTGCTTCGTCTACATTGCCGGTCTTGTCATCCTCGTTGCTACCTCCGTTCACAGCTCTCTCGCCCATGGAGCTGGTCTCGGTGGCTTCATTGCCTCTATCATCATCATCGGTATCGGTACCGGTGGTATTAAGTCCAACGTCGCTCCTCTGATTGCTGATCAGTACAAGCGTCGTGTGCCTGCGGTTTCCACCCTCTCTACCGGAGAGCGTGTCATCATTGACCCGGCCATCACCATCCAGAGAATCTACATGATCTTCTACGCATGTATCAACCTTGGCTCTCTCTCTCTGCTGGCAACCCCATACATGGAGCTGTACGTTGGCTTCTGGTCCGCCTTTCTGCTCTGTCTCTGCGTGTTCGTTGTCGGAACCGTCACCCTCATCCTCGGACGCAATGCGTATGTTGTCCGACCACCAACCGGCTCCATCATCACCAACGCCTTCAGCGCCCTCTGGATCATGGCCACAAGCCGGAACATGGACGCTCCCAAGCCATCCTATCAGGCTGAACATGGCAACCGCCGCACCGTCGCCTGGGACGATCAGTTCGTCGAGGAACTCAAGCGTGCTCTCGTTGCCTGCAAGGTCTTCGCCTTCTACCCCATCTACTGGGTCGTCTACAACCAGTTCTCTGGTAACTTCGTCTCCCAAGCCGCTCAGATGGAAGGCCACGGCATCCCCAACGATCTTATGCAGAACTTCGACCCCATCGCCATTCTCGTCTTCATTCCCATCCTCGACCGTATCGTCTACCCCATCCTTCAGAAGCTTCATATCCCTTTCCCTCCAATCTCCCGTATCTCTCTCGGTTTCATCGTCGCATCCCTCGCCATGGCCTACGCTGCCATCGTCCAGACCCTCATCTACAACGCAGGACCATGCTACGATCAACCACTTGCCTGCCCCGCTGCCAAGGTCGATGGTGTTGCCCAGGGCAACCACGTCCACATTGCCATCCAGACTCCTGCATACATGCTCATCGGTATTTCCGAGATTTTCGCCTCCGTGTCTGGTCTCGAGTACGCCTACACTAAAGCCCCCGTCTCCATGAAGTCTTTCGTCCAGTCCATGTACCTGCTCACCACTGCCTTCGGATCTGCCATCGGTGAGGCCCTTGTCCCCGTTGCCTACGACCCTGCCATCAAGTGGATGTTCGTCGGTCTTGCCTGTGCTTCCTTCTCCACTGGTATCCTCTTCTTCATCATCTTCCGTGGCCTTAACGCTAAGGAAGAAGAGATGAACAGAATGGACAAGGACCAGGTCTAGACGTGGTGATGAGATAAAGACGACATGTCATGTATAGGAACCTTCTAATTATCATATTTTCTTTTCTACTTTTCTTTATCTGCTCATAACCCCATATTCCCACGTCTATATATATATATACCACTGGCCTAGATCGAGATTACCATCTAGGTCCCTGCAGTGTTCTAGTCTTGCCCTCACACCTTTCGAGGGATGTACATATAGAAGCATTAAATAATCGATTAACCGCTTCTCTCACTGTTCGCCTCATTTTTACCTTTTCGTATTCATTTGACCAACGTAACAGAGAGATCCTCCATTCCTCCTCATACTCACCTTTTTTTATTCGCTCGTGTGATCTTTTCTAGATGTAACGTTCAGCAGAAATGCTTATGTAATACATCTAAACCCTGGAAAGGCATTTGGATCTCCAACCTCACTTCAACAACTTGGTTGGTTACGACATAAGCCACCTTTGCTTTTTCTTTACGATCTATCAGATGCAAGCTTCCCAGCTATTTATCTTACTCGTTCGCCCAGAAAGGCGCCGGGAGGGGGCGAACTCAGGCTCTGTGTGACTCTCCCACGGCCTCTCCCTCAACGCCCGCGTGGTCCCTGGCGACAAGAGCAGTACATGTCAGGCCGTCTTAGCAGGGTTGTCAGCACCATCGTCAGGCCCAGTACTGCGCCGGTCCCATGGCAGAAAGCTCGAGAACTACTTGCATGGAGGAGGGGGTGGTGATGGTGACACTGACAGCGGCAAAGATGGGCACGATGACTTAACGCGTACGCAATATACCCTTCAATGTGGAAGACGGAGATGGAAAATGAGACAATTGGAGGGGCTCATATATTAATTATAGAACCTCGTGGGCTTTGTGAGATGCTGCCTGGGGTGCCACCCAATCCCACCCAATCCAGGAATGCGATGATGAGACGAAGCGAAGCGGGGGAGAGACGGACTTACCCCCATATCTACCTATAACTAAGCTAGGAGCTATGGACGCGATCCGAGCTGTGGTTAGCTGGTTCGCAAGCTCTAGGCGAGCAGATCCCCCGCGGGCTGTCGTTAAGGCCCTTATCCATACAGGCGCAATGATAAAGGGGATAAGCAGAACTAGTGCCTAAGCCACTTGTCCTTTCCTTGAATTATCTTCAATATACCACCTTTTTAGCCCCACGAGACTCATCTCTTTTTTCTCGAGCTACCCAGCCTTACAGGGGTTTCTTCCCCATCGTCTTCTAAGATGGCTGAGCCCGGGATTATAATATTGTCTATGATATCATGGGGCGTGATCACTTGCACGACCTGCCAGAACAGCGTGGCTGAGAAAATGGTATTCGGTCACTGTGCGACCTGAGCAATGTGCTTTGCCATAAAAAACAAAGCAAACCGTGGACGGGAAGCGAAGCAAGCAATACTGAATGAGAAGATGAAGAAAAAGCAAAGACGTATGAGTTGCGGGAAAGAAAGCGCGAGCCTTGTCACCCGTTATACACAGGAGATGCGGGTGTACGGGGTGTACGGGGTGTACGGGGTGTACGGGGTGTACGCAACAAACCCCAGCCTTGGAAGCTGATCGTGATCAAGATGTAGTCGAATTTTCAGTCGCCGTGACCTGCCATGGGTGTTCGTTATTGGTATGATGATCAGTATCATGGTACCTGGCCCGGAATCAGAGGCAGAAAAAGGAAAGACGAAAACGGGTATGGCCGCTGGATTTGATATCTATTTATACCCCTCGCTGTATACCGTGGTTGTGTTGATTCTTTTCTCTCTTCTTTCTTATATACAGTGCGCTACTTCCTTTGAACCAGCTTACCTGTTCTCAAGCCCAAATCGCAATTTCTATTATCTATACTGACTGTATTCTTTGCAGTTGGGAGTATCGTTTACTATTATCATTGTTAGACTATCTTTGAACTCTCTGCCACCATGGGAAATATTGTGGGATACCGCTCTGTGGTTTATTTCGTGAACTGGGTATGTGTTGATAGTGGTCTATTCCGTTTTAACATAAGCCTATTAGGAGGCCATGCTTTGCTAATCATTCTTGGGGCTGTTCAGGGTATATATGGACGAGCATACAACCCAGCCGACCTTCCAATCGACAAGCTGACTCACATTCTCTACGCATTTGCTAATATCCGTCCAGAGACTGGAGAAGTGTATGTCATTATCCAATATAACCACTTCGACTATCCCCGCAATATAAATTATTAACGGCGCATTCATAGATACCTCTCTGATACTTACGCTGATCTCGAGAAGCATTATCCCGGCGACTCCTGGAGTGAGCCAGGCCATAATGTCTACGGATGCACGAAGCAACTCTTCCTCTTGAAAAAGCAGAACCGTAACCTCAAAGTTATGCTTTCCATTGGTGGATGGACCTACTCCACGAACTTCGCCCAGCCCGCTAGCACCGATGCGGGAAGGAAGAAGTTCGCCGACTCAGCTACCAAACTCCTCCTTGACTTGGGCTTTGATGGTTCGTTACTACATAAGAATATGACAGATAGAGTGATATAGCTAACTTATGTATTCACCGCCTAGGCCTTGACATTGACTGGGAATACCCCAAGGGTGAGTGAGTCCTTCTCTACTATCGGATTACGGTTGCTAATCTTCAATAGATGAGAATGAGGCCAACAACCTTGTCTTGCTCCTAAAGGCTTGCCGAGAGGTATTTTTAATTCCCCCGGTCTACTAATACACGGACCTGTATAGCTTATTACCACACTATAGTCTCTCAACGCCGCTCAGAAGAACCGCAAGTTCCTCCTCACCGCTGCTGTTCCATGTGGTACGTTTACAACTTGCGCGAGTACATGGGCTATGAATTGTATATCTAACCTTAGTATATAGGCCCCGTTAACTACGAGAAGCTTAAGCTCAAGGATATGAGTGCTTATCTCGATTTCTTCAACCTTATGGCCTACGACTTTGCCGGCGCATGGGACAAGGATGCTGGACACCAGGCTAACTTGAGACCTTCCGGTTCAAACCCCACCAGCACTCCTTTCTCGACCTCTGCTGCAGTTGACTACTATAATAAGAATGGTAGTGTACCAAAGAGCCAGATTGTCTTGGGTATGCCTCTGTATGGCCGCGCATTTACCAACACTGACGGACCCGGCAAGCCCTTCCAGGGAGTTGGCCAGGGTAGCTGGGAGAATGGTATCTGGGACTATAAGGTTCTCCCCAAGGATGGAGCTAAAGAGGAGAAAAGTGATGAATGCGGCGCCTCCTGGAGTTACGACCAGGCCAGCCGCACCATGATTTCCTACGACACTGTTCCGATGGTTCAGGATAAAACCAAGTGGGTTATCGACAACGGTCTCGGAGGCGGAATGTGGTGGGAAGCTAGCGGTGACAGAGGTGGTAAAAATGCCACCAAGGCTGGTGGAAGTTTGATTGCTACCTTTGTCGAGGGTGTGACTGCCCAGGGCCAGAAGGGACTGGAGAAGTCCCAGAACTCCATCGAATATCCCGAGAGCCAGTACGATAATTTGAAGAAGGGGTTCTCTTGAGCTACGAGAACTCGAACAGTTTCCTACCGGTGTCTTACCATTCTCGTTAGTATTTTTTACTCTTTGATGTTTCGTTTATTCTAACACCCTTTGTGACAAGTTTCTGGCGTCTAGAGACCCTTCCGTCGGCTGCTTGTCATGCTAACTACGTGCTGCCTGACGGATTGATGTGGGCCTCTAGACTCCGTTCATACCCCTTCTGATGATGATTGTTTTTTATGCTGTAGTTATATATTTTTGATATTTGCGTGTATATAGTACGCGTCACTCGTTTAAACATACCACCCTCGAATGGATGTTTTATTTTATGACCAAGTTCATATCCTTTCATTGATGTTGATGAATCTAGCCTAGCTACTGAGAGTATAATCAACTCTGGACGGTAAATCACCCCATGCCTGACATCAAGCCAGCAGCTTCATAACATAGTTCGTACAATCACATCATTCGAGGCTTACTTGTCGATCACTAGCCCGCAAATCTACTTGGACTCATCGAAGACGTAGGTGAGATGGCACTTGCCGCAGTATTGACGGTTGTGCATAGCAGCCATGAAGATACCGGCACCGCACTAAGAGTTGCCGAATTAGTTCACATGATCATAGGTATATGATGCAAAGTGATGTTTGCTGAAACCACGGGATAAACTCACCTCGGGGGTAGGGCACTCGCGTCTCAAACGCTCGATCTTGCCATCGCCATCAACCTTGTAGTATTTGAGCACAGCGAGTTTGGTCTTCTTGCGCTTGTGCTTAATCTTCTTGGGGGTAGTGTAGGTCTTCTTCTTGCGCTTCTTTCCACCACCACGGAGTCGGAGCACGAGATGAAGGGTGGACTCCTTCTGGATGTTGTAGTCAGACAGAGTGCGGCCGTCCTCGAGCTGCTTTCCGGCGAAGATCAGGCGCTGCTGGTCTGGGGGAATTCCTTCCTTGTCTATGGAATAACTATTAACACTTTGCCTCGTCTTCGAACTTGGCGGGGGTAATAGCTTACCCTGAATCTTGGTCTTAACATTGTCGATGGTATCAGAAGACTCCACCTCAAGGGTGATAGTCTTACCCGTGAGGGTCTTGACGAAAATTTGCATCTTGACGAAAGGCCTGGTAGTCGCAATGAAATCAGCCGATCAGTCCATATTTTTCCATACATTGTAGAACACGCTGCACATCACTGCTGGTGTATAGGAGGAGATAAAGAAGAGACAAATCGACCCTCTGGCTTACCTAGACAAATTGTCTTCCTCAACCTTTCAATATGCAAATCGGTGGTGGACGAAGGAGAAGGTCAAGAAGCTCACCAAAAAAACAAAAATCTTTAAAAAGTCGAAAATTAATTTTCGCGAGTGTGGATCATGTGACGTGATTACTTAAGGTCAAGATTAGGTTATGGCGCTAGTCCAGATCTGGGGTTGCCTGGTCGACGCGCTTATTTACTTCCTCGACGGTCTTTTTTTCTTTCGGGCTTTCTATCAAAGCTTTCAAAGTCGCCGTGGACTAGATCAAGAGGATGTCATCGCCCATCATCCTGAATAAGTCTATCTATATATTACTTTTTCACAGACAAGCCATCTGGCGCCCTTCTTTTCCTCTCATCTGTTAATCTGAGCTCCTCTTTCGTTAGCTCAAAGAAACAGCTAGCTGCCAGCCCCCTCTGCAAGACGCTTTCATCTAAACCTCACTTTTGAAAGCCTCGTTAACGACCTTTCTTCGCTCTGGAACTTTTCCACCTCCTCCCCGTTTCATTGTTGAATACAAGCCAGGGACGCCCTCAAGAGGCAATGAACCACACTTGATATTTAATTTTGTTTCGGTAATTGTCATCTGACCCCAAACTAGATCAAGCTACTTGACCTTGTTCTTTTAGCAGATATCCAGTGAAGCTCTAGCCATGTTGCAGAATTTTTCATTTCCATCCGAGTCAGAGAGTTCGAGAGACGCATGTTCTCCCTCCAAGAGACACTTCACCCCAAGACCAATTGCGCCAGCGCCCCCTAGTGGACGGGCCTCACACCGTAGAGGCTTGAGCCTCGATCAGGGTGTGGCACTGCATCAGCAGAATACCTCGATATATGGACAGGAACCCTACGACTGGTCTCGATGGCTGGATATCGGAGACTATAACATCAACCTTGCTCCCGGAATTCAGCGCCCAATGACACCGCTCCAGCACACAGAGAACGGTAAGTTTGTTCTTCCCCGTCGTTTGCGCCAGATCATGGCTGACATTGTCATCCATAAGGGCAATCCTTCCCATTAACGCCAGCAACAACACCCTGTTGGAAACCCACGACTGTACCTCCACGAAACTGTAGGACTGCTCAATCATCTCCTACTAAACGAGCTCCTCCGCCCTTGCTCCCTCGAAATGGAGAACCAATGCAAAGAGCGAAGTCATTTCAAGGCTCAGAAGATGGATATGGTGTCCAGCAGCAGAGTCTTCAGAACATTCATATGTTCCAAGAACCACCGAAGTTTCAGTTGCCCGAAGATTTTGAGTCAAAATTACCCAAGACGGATGATGATATCTTTACAGACCTCACTTTCGAAACCAACAACTCAGACCCATTCGCTCTGGGGGGGTTACCATCACCAACCATGACCTCCTTCTCGTCACAGCCTGAACTTCCAAAAGAATCTTCAGACCTCGCTAATACAAGAAGTAAAAAAGTCCCAATTGCTCCCGCACCTGCACATGCCCTACCGACCAGATCCAGGCCAGCTACCTCTAGCGGATCTACTTCTCCCATAAAAGCAGCGTTGGCCCCTCGAGTGGTTACAATCGCCGACCTTAAACTTGATGCCAGCATTGACGCCTCCCTGGAGGAGACAGGGGTTACTCTCGAAGACATATGTGGCTACATCGAAGGCCCTGACCCAGTGGATAATAAGTGGATATGCACCTTCGATGGGTGTATGAAGAGGTTTGGGCGGAAAGAAAACATCAAATCTCATGTCCAAACACACCTCGGCGATAGGCAGTTTAAATGTAACCACTGCAACAAGAGCTTTGTTCGTGGTCACGATCTCAAGAGACACTCTAAAATCCACACTGGCGTCAAGCCATACCCCTGCGATTGTGGAAACAGTTTTGCACGACACGATGCTCTAACCAGACATAAGCAGCGTGGTATGTGTAGCGGCGCATTCGTTGGCGCTGTGAGACGAGCAGAACGACGTGGAAGACCTAGGAAGGAGAGGCCCAAATATGAAGAGAGAAGGGAGAAGGCGACGAGAGCACGACAACGAGAGCGGAAAAAGGCTCCTAGCCCACCATCCCAGGAGCTTTCGTCTAGTTCGTCGGCGCCATCTCCTGAAAGCGAAAATTTGGATGCACCAAGCACTAGAGAACACAGCCCTGCTAAGGAAATGCTCTTCCTTGACATGGGTTCGATTTCCCTGCCTCCTGATGTTTTTACTTTCACTCCTCCTGCATCCCCAAGCTACAGTACTGGAAATATCGGTTCCCCAGCCCGTAGCTACCATTCCACGTCCCAGGAACCCGAAGAAAACCAACTGTGTTTATCGCCCTCAAAACGGTACCTCGCTGACATCCCGGAAGAGCCTCTGGAGCCCCTGTCCCTTGGTTGTGGATCTCCCACACCCGTCAAACGTGAAAGCAAAAGGGACCTGACAGGCTCGCCTTGCCGAACTTTATGGCCAACAGATTCAAGGTCAACCTTCGCTGAGGATTCAAGTAGTACCGAATTTGATGATGTTTTCTCGAGCCATAGCCATGCAAGCACATCAGCATTTGATCCCGATCAGCTTCCTCTGGGTCCCCAATCAACAACAGGTCTTTCCGAATCTGGTTCATCGCAATATGATGATGATATTTTCCTAAACCACTTAAATGGCGATGGCCCTAATCTTGACAATGATTATTTCCCGCTATCCATGTCGCCAAATACCGATTCCTTTTTTGATTCATTCACGACCGAACTGAAATAATATGTGTTTCCGAAGTTTCTCCACGCCCCATTCTACTTTCTGTCCCTGCTTTTGCGAATTCTTTCCGTCTGTCGATTTGAAAGGGGCCACGGCGAAATGGTGTATATGTGGAATGTCTGATTTTTCTTGACTGAGGGTTATAGATATCCTTTTGCTGTTTCCTTGCTTTTTTGTAACGATTTCGATGTCACAGTTTTACCTGGTCTCCATTTTGATATGATTTTTTGGGATGGTTTTATGCGCGAAGTTGTATGATAATAGTCAAATCGTTTCCCTTGCTTTTGTTCATTGCCCGAATGAAGTCCTGATTTGTCAAAGTGTCTCTTTTTCTTTTGTACTTTTAGCACGAAGTTTTGGGTTTGGGTATATTTTTGAATGTGCAAAGCTGCCATGCTGTCTGTCATGCTGGGGTTTTCTAAGCCAGTATCCACCGCTTATGTAGAAATGTTGAATAAGTCTAGTGATAATGTTGTATATAAAGCATATAGCTATATATACCTATTATTCTATGATGAAAACGCTTAAAATCAAATGGTATCTGTACAAAAAGGGAATTGCTGGACGTACCCACTGAAGTAGCCCAACCGTTTACTTCGTCTAAGACGGGGAGTGGGAATAAAGAAGAGTAGAGAGGGATCAGGAAGAGTGGGAATCAGTAGCTGTTTCTCCATTCCCCTTAGCAGCAGCAGCTAATTCTTGTTTTCTTTCTTTCCAGAGTCTTAAAACTTCGAAACAAACCTCCACCGCAATCAAGAGAATGATAGTCCATTCCAGCCGGAGCCCATGAGTTTCACTCAGTCTCTCACGCAGCACACTGGCGATCTCTTGCGCGTAGTCCATTTTCTCGTTCAACACCTTGATCCGGATTCCAACATCTAGTGCTTTTCCGACTTGGTCATAGTTCCCTTCCAACCCAAGCTCGTGTCTGCTATCCCAGAAGATATCTGGTAGGGAGTCTGTTAATTCTGAATAAAGGTTCAACTGTGCCCTTAGACTTAGTAGTTGACCTGTTTTGCGTAATATGAAACTGCGTGTATACGGTAATCGAGATCCCTTTGATAGCTGTGTGGGTATATTTCGGGTAGAATCAAAATAATTTAGTAACAAGCTCTCCAGTACTGCCAACTTCGTACTCCGAGCAAGACCTGAGGAAAATGCGATCTTTGTGAGTACCGTGTCGACTGAAGATCGATTCGCGGATCGGCTGTCTTGCAGCCTCTGGTCTTCGGGGCCAGGATGTGTGCCCAAGATGATTACATCGCCTTTCATTAAGCTGTTGTCTCTCTGAGGATCTTCAACATAATCGAGATCTTCCGTCTCTATCCGTTCTATGTGCGGATTTTCGGCAGCTGGTAGTAGCACTGTGGTAGCTAGATATGACGCGAAATTCTCCGGAAGTGACCACGATACAACAGTCCCCGAGGGGAATACAAACACATCCCCAACCTCGTCAGGAGGTAGATCTGATGATGCTAAGCTTGTAGTCCGCCGTATTGAATCAAGCGGAACTTGGATATGGACAACTTGTGGGTAAAGCCCGGTTTCCAGAGGATCTGGCTCATATCCCTTCGCTAGAAGTATTTCCATAACTTTGGCAATATCGAACCGTTCGGCAACAGCGTATGCAGTGACAACCTATAAAGAATAACAAGGGAGTTAGCTCCTAAATCCATTTCAAAGTGGGTTATCGCTTCTTCATCTGCTAACCTTTGGCTCCGGTGAGAGTATTTCCGGTGATACCGGCTGCCGCCTGACATCTTTAGATATTTGCGCTTCAACAGCTGCACGTCGTAAAGATGTCTTCCCAGCAGGGGATCGTGATGTCCGTTTTCCCCTGGATGGCTCTATCTTTCCTTGTTGAGCCAACGGTTTCCCTAGCTCAGGGGATGCGGTTTGTTGTTCAAGCTTCCTATTGAAATAATGGAAGGCATTGCGACCCAAGGTAGTATCAAGAGGCCTCCCAAAAGGCGCTAAATAGATATTTCGGTGAACGGAGTTCTTGAGTAATGCACATTCTCTAGGTGCGAATAAAATTCGACGAACGAACATAACTGCCGGAATAGTAAGCGTATAGAAGGGTAATTAGCCCATTAATTGCGGTATAAGAGACATACCAGCTTCCAAGCTTGAATTTTCCCGGGAAGCCGTGATAGTACTGGTATATGCACAACTGATGATATATTGTAGATATTGAACGTTTCTTCCAAAAATGTTTAAAGGCTACCTAGAAAAAAGCGCCGGGAAGTCGGCGTTTCTGATAACCCGGCGTTTAAGCTTCCGCTTGCCGCCTGGGGAGCTTCCTTGCTCTTCATCCTCCTCCAACCCTGGATCTCAGGATTTTTTCTGTTTATATGTCATGTTACCTTTCGTTCGTGTTGGCGCCCATTGTTAGATAAGATATAAACCCGGCGGGATGGAGGCCGCGGGTCCCAGCGAGGTGAAAAGCGGCAAACGGAAGACACAGCCAGGCCAAACGACCCCCAATGCGATAGATAGAGATACCCCGAAAGATGAAGTCATGGATGAGGAAAGTGAGGAAGAGGAGGAAGAGGATAATGATGAGGGAGAGGAAGAAGACGACGATGTTGAAGATGAGGAACCGCGACTCAAATATGCCCCAATTACATCAGTCCTAAGTCCGCTCTATCGCAACAAGGATGCCACCAGTACTTTCATGACTGCTGGGAATAAAATGGTACGCTCTATGCCAATACGACAACTTAGGCTCAGATATGGTTTAACTAAGAGCTTTGTAGATCATTGGAACCCATAACGGAAATATTGTAGGCAATCGTGTGGTTCATCATCTCACTTACCGCCGACTAACGACTTGTAGCATATTTACTCCGTACCATTCTTCCAGCGCCTCCGAGTTTATCATGCCCATTCTGCCAGCATCGACTCCATCTCAGTTTCTCCCTTCCCACCGCCAGCACCTTCGAAAGCAGATTTCACTCCCATAGTACAGACTGCTGGATCAGGTGCATCTATATCTGAGAGCCCCAATGGGTCCAAAATCCAGCAGCATATCACAATCCCACCAACCCCGTCAAACTCGATATATATTGCAACCTCTTCTATGGATGGGAATGTTTGCGTTGCCTCGTTAGTTGACCCAAAAGACGTAACACTCCGGAACTTTGGAAGGCCAGTCAGTGCAGTTGCATTATCACCAGATTATAAAAGTGATAGGACATATGTTTCGGGAGGAAAGTCTGGAAATCTTGTTCTTACTATCGGGGGTCGTGTTGGAGCAAGCTCAAATGCAACACTGGGGAGCGCAAGCCCCGCAGGCTGGTTCGGCTCTCTAGGTCTTGGAGGGAACAATGGAAAAGACAGAGTACTGCACAGTGGAGAGGGAGCTATTAGTTGCATAAAATGGTCAAGATCTGGCAAATACGTTGCTTGGGTGAATGAAGAGGGTATTAAAATAATGCGCTCACATTTACACTTGGAACAGACAGAGGCGGAACATGCCTGGGAACGATTTGGTCATACTGATAGACCACGATCGCAAGCCTGGGACGAAATGGCTGGAGTTTGGAAGCCTCGAGTTGTATGGATCGACGAAGATTCACTGGAGAGCGATAATGCATCTGCAATGCAAGTGAGTGAGGGTGTATCCCAATCACAGCGACTAAAAAAACACGATCCAGAAAAACTCCTTGTTGGCTGGGGAGGGACGATATGGATCATAAAGGTGTCTCGCGGTGATCAATCAAAGGGTGTCGGGAAGAAGAGGATTGCTTCTGCTGAGATTACAACTAAGTTCGTTTTTTATACACTCTATTGGTTTCGTCAGATCCTAACACTACTGCAGACTACGAACAGATTGTATCATATCTGGTCTTTCGCTATATACCCAAAATTTATTACTTGTTTTGTCATATATCATCCCCGAAGATGATGAGCCTGGAACGCCCTCGAAGCAGGCTGGCCCTGCTCGTGGAATTCGACGAAGACAGAATGGCCTCCAACCAGAACTGCGCCTTATAGATATCGATACTGAGGAGGAGCTTAGCGGTGACATCCTGACTGTTCGAAACTATGAAAACCTTTCCGCATCCGATTACCATCTTGACACCCTCCCACTGAGTCGGATTGCTTCAACCACTCAACGAGGAGCCTTGGAATCTATCACAGCTGGGTTTATTGATGCTACACTTTATCCCAAGCGGCTATTTAGCTCCGGTACTAGCTCTCGCAGCATGACTAGTAGCGCGGACAGAGGATCTAGTTTCCAGGTGACTGGCATAGTCGACTCTACGGGCTTGCTTCATGGTGGGAAATACAACAAAGAGATCGAACTTGCTGCAACCCTAGGGGTCAGAGTCTTTGTTCATAGCCCTTATGATTGTATAATTGCTGTCAAAAGAGGGTTCGAGGACCGGCTAGCATGGCTTGATTCCCATGAACGGTATGAAGAAGCCTGGGAGCTCCTTGAACAGAACCCAGATCCTTTTGGCCTAGATTCCGGTGGTGGAGGAGAAAGTCGCCCGGCAACCCCGACTCCGAGCGCACCAGGGCCTTCAGTGATGTCTTTACTTGATAGCTCGTCCATTCGGACAACTAACCATTCTAGTAGCTCGAAGCTGGAACAAGAGAAACGTCGAATTGGCGAGTTATGGCTAAAACAGCTAGTTGGCCAGGGAGAATGGGAGAAAGCAGGGAATATTTGTAGTAAAGTTCTTCAGACTACTACAGCATGGGATCATTGGATCTGTGTTTTTGCACGGACAGGAAAATTTGACGAAATCACGCCTCATGTGCCTATTGACATTGATCCTCCATTACCGTCGTTTGTATACGAACTTATTCTCGGCCACTATGTCTCTCGTGACAGAGTCAGGTTTAATGAGCTAATAGAACTCTGGCCTCCGAGTCTTTTTGAGACCGATAGCGTTACTGCAGCTATACAAGACCAACTTGTCTCGACAGAAGAAGGAACTGAGGACTGGCGAAACCTCCTAAATTGCCTTGCTAAGCTTTTCTTAGTTGGAGGACATTATCGTGAAGCTTTACGATGCTATATACGACTTCAGGATGGAGATGCGGTTATGAATTTGATACGAGAGTACCATCTCCTCGACTCTGTTTCTGAGGATATACCTGGCTTTATCTTACTTCGGGTACCTAAGAATCGAATTAAGTCTACCCCAGTCTCCGAGCTGGAGGAGGCCACCTCGGAACCTATTAAGCTTCTCGTACGCGAGGCAGCTAACGGTATCGTTCGCCCTGAAACTGTAGTATCACAGCTACAGGAAGCAGATCTTGGTATTTTCCTATATTTCTACCTTCGTGCTCTCTGGAGAGGGGACTTTATGACCAAAGAGGGAGGGAAGCCTGCCATCAGAACTCGTGGGCACCACAGGACTGCGGCAGAGGCAGGAAAATTAGTTGCAGATGAAGGGAGAGTCTTGATTGACGGTTTTGCGAATACAGCCGTTGAACTTTTTGCCAGTTATGATCGTCCGCTACTCATGGAATTCTTGCAATCTAGTACATCGTACTCCTACGATACTGCCTGTACGATTTGTGAGAGCCGAAACTTTACACCAGAACTTATTTACCTCCTGTCAAAAACTGGACAAACGAAACGGGCACTTCAGCTTATCCTCTCTAGTTTGAAAGATATATCCCACGCTATCTCATTTGCTAAGACCCAGGATGATCCTGACCTGTGGGATGACTTGTTGTCATACTCGATGGACAAACCAGAGTATATACGCACATTACTCACTGAGGCAAGCACAGCCATTGACCCAATAAAGCTTGTTAGGAAAATACCGAGTGGGCTTGAGATCGAAGGCTTAAGAGAAGGTCTTACCAGAATGATTCGAGAGCATGATATTCAAGCCAGCATTAGCCTGGGAGTCGCAAAAGTTTTAGCTGGGGAAGTAGCTATTCGAATGGATGCCTTACGAAAAGCTCAACGACAAGGAATGAAGTTTGATATTCGGCACGATGAAGGAACTGCTGCAGAAGGTGCTGATGACCAAGATAATGTGATTCAAGCAGAGACAACCGGCGAGACTATCGAAGAAAAACAAGAGAGAGTTACAAAGGCCATTCCGCCAGGCAGATGCGCAGGGTGCAAGAAAGCATTTGTTGAGCAAGGTAAATGTTATCTTCAAATCAAGAGACACCATATTCTTCATTTCGCCATAGAATCCTAACAATCATTGACGTTTTAGAAACCGAAACTATCATCGTCTTCGCGTGTGGTCACATATATCATCTATCTCACCTCCATGGTCAGCCAACACCTCATGAACAGGAAGCACCACAAGAACAGCTTTTATCTTCACCAAGACTTCATCATCAACCATCCACTGTCCAATCCTCAGCGCTCTCTCGCGCCGTCGGCCTCAAGGTCACGAATGCTAGGCTTCTACGAGATAAAATTGGAAGTGGATGCAAAATATGCGCCGAATCACTCAACGACTCCTCACACTAATAATATATGGAGAGAATACGAACAGGAGATAAGGGAAGAAGAGAAGAAGAGGTATCATAATAATCGTCGCCAGCAATATTGACCTGAGCCCTAGCCATACTTTAATCACGTGACTATACCCTTTCCAAGGTTGTTTAATACCCAACCATCGAGTTTGTTTTATTATATTTATGGAGAAAGTTTGGATATCTATGCATTACGTACATTCATCAGAGCGATATGGCTTAGGTACATATTCATCTTCGTGTATGTTTAGAGAGCTGTTTTTATTTTTTTCTTTTATGGGAGGTAAGTTGTCAGCGTGTTGATGTTGTGTTTAACTCGATAATTGCATTAGTGCGGCTCAGCCTCACAAATCCCGAGGATTGTTTACCCTTAGCTCATAATATTAATACCAGCAAGGCCACTTGCCATCGATACCCAGGATTCTAATGAGCAAGTATAAGTAAGGGGCAAAGTCAGAAATGAGAGTTAGTCCATTGGAATTGTTGTCAGTACTGAAAGAATGGCTAGACCAGACTCTCCTAATTTTTGCTAACTAAAGATCCCCTGATAAACTGTCAAGAAAAGGCCGCCTTCGTTTCGTCAATTTTTACATTGCAGACCAGTCTTGAAACACATTGCTTTCGTCAAATCACCCCCAAGGATCATGATCACAGATAAAAAGAAAGAAAATGAAAGTGGTCAGAAGAGATGCAAGCCACTGAGAGTGGATACATGCTTTGAAGACGGAGCATCGGTTCAAGTTTGACATTGTGTGTTTCATAAGAAAAAGGGGAACCATTGAGAACACAGACGAATGCTTGTCCATATCTTCTGAACTGATTTACAAGGCAGCAAAGACTGCAGCGCCAAGGATACCGGCCAAGACGGCGTGGAAGCCAACATGGCGAGAAGCCATGGCAGAGGGAGTTGGCTTGGCCACAGTCTCAGATGGAGTGGGGTGGTTAGCAGTGGTCTCATGGGTAGCTGAAGTCGTAGTCTTGCGAGCTGAGGTGGACTCAGTAGCCATGGTGGTAGTCATGGCAGAAGATGGCACCTCAGTGGAAGCTCCAGAAGTAGGAACCTCAGCAGAAGAAGTAGGAACTCCAGTGGAGCCAGTCGGGACGGCAGTGGTGACGTCTGGAACCGAGGCGCTGGCTGAGGTAGCAGATGGGACCGGAACTGAAGCCGATGGAGTGGGTGCGGGTCCACAGTCAGTCATGGTGACAGTGACGGTCATGGCGCCTTCGATACCAGTTAGCATGGCCTTTTATGGACGCGTTTTTCTTTCAATACTGAGGAAGGGAAACCCAAATCAAACTTACCATCACGTTCGATTATTTTGTTGATATGGTCAACGTTGGCTTCGTCACGCTCGACGATGGCTGATATATGGCAAGTCAGGAGTTTGTTCATCAACTGGGGGCGTGATGCAAGATTGAATGAGATCAACGCTTGTACTTACCAACACCTGCATTGATGGCATTTGGAACGCCGGCTACAAGATACAGTCAGCCATATAGCAAGTAAAAATATGCAATGACCGCCTCCAAGAATGCAAAGGCCAATGAGGAAGTGCAATTGAACGTGTCGAGCAGAGCAGGGAGTGTACTGCAGGAGGCGAACGAAGGAGATACCACTTACCAGCAGCTGCAATAGCAGCGTCGTAGGCCAAAACGGCCAAGATGAGCTTGGTAGAAACCATCACGCTGGATTCGAAGTATGAGTCAATGAAGACTTGAGAGATAGAGACGGTGAATGAATGAAGGATGCTGGATCTGGTGAACGAGAGACGAGAACGAGTTTGATGAACCGTGGTGATGAAGAAGGAGAGGGGGAAGAAGAAGAAGGAAAGAAAACAAAAGGGGGGGGGAGGGGGTTTTTATAGTGCGCTCTGCCCTTGGTGGGTTACCGAGCAACAGGACAAGCGAGAGAGGGGCCTATACCTAAACAGGCAGTGTCCAACCTCCTGCTATCAGATTTTTCCGCGCTAATGAAGAGATTTCTGGCTCCGTTTTATCTGTCTTTGACCTGCCTTGAGCTGCCTGGACAGATGACGGAGGGTTTTACACCTGTCAAGCTCTACCCTTGACGCTACCGTCCTGTCTTTCGAGGACATCATGGACCAAAACGAAGCTACTTCCAGCTACCCTGAGCAATGCGGAGGGTCAGCACAATTTGAGATATTCCCAATAAGCTACAAAATACTCTATCCAAGGGACCTTTCTACTTCCCTGCAGCCATTTTATATGCTCTTTCCCCTTCCCCATACTCCCTTTGAGATGTATACTTAGCCTTGCCTCTACAGACTCAATTGCTTATTCCAAGCATCCTCGCCTCTTCCCCCCTTCCCTAGACGTATAGACAAGCAGCAACGGAACAGACAAGCTACGATATATCCCCCCAAATAGAACTACTACCTCTGTATACCCCCCTTTCTCACTCTGATATTAAAGAAAGCCAAGCAACGGGAGGTTAAAATTAACGTTATACGCTAACCTCCACACAACAAACCCACAGCCACGTGAGAAAAATGGCGCTAAGACGCACTAACAACGTCACTGTGCATGAAACCTCTTTCGAGAAGGCTTCTACCAGGTATTATTGTCTATATGGTCATGGCGTCTTCATGTGCTTGCAGCTTATGTATAGATTCATGTCCGTGTCTCAGCCTTTAGGCATAGTATCTGCACAAATTATAACTATTAAGGCATGGCTGGTGAAAAAACACTTATGCCTGAATGTCAAGAGAACCAGTCACAACAGGTCTGATAGACCGGGGGCTAGACACAGCCCTTGCCTCACTTTCTTATCTGATGTGTCTCCTGTACGATGCAAGACTTAGAAAATGGGGTATGTGAACGGGATAACGTCACCCCGGCCCAGCTGCACAGATTTACATGTCTAGGCCATTTTAGTCGGAGGATAGGACAAATGTAGTACTCTTTATAATTAACTTCTGTCTGTATTTTGATAGATTAACCTGTGTTTCTTTTCTTATTCTTACTATGTTGTTACCACCGAAAGATATCTATTGTGTGGGCGTCAGATCAACCATGCATCCCAACATTTGGGTGAAAACTCTGCATAAACGGGATATATCCCAACAGCAATGAAATATAAAAAACTGGCACAGAAGATGGCGGAAGGTAATGGTAATCTCTTATACACGTCATGGTCTGGCTCATGGTTCCTTTTGTCCTGGCTCTGTATCATTTCATTTTATGTGCATAAAAACAGGTATTACAACTTCATTAATCTCCCACTATTATTATAGTTGGGACTGTAAGCCTAATTTCAAAAGACTACTCATTTATTATAATAACTAGTAAGGAAAAGAAAGTCGAAAAAAAAAAGAATAAGGTGGAGTTTTTTTCAAAAAAATATAGACACAGAAGAGAAATAATTATTACTTTCAATATAGTTAAGGAACTTGAGTTGGCATAGAAGTAGAACACCGTCAGAATGGAAAGCAAGATAATAAAAAGGAAAGAAGAAATGAGAGAAACACCAGGCGAAACCGATACCAAGTCCAAACACACAAAAGAGAATAAAAGAAAGAAATCCGCCCCATCCGAATCCGCCGTATACAAAAGAGATTCGTCGAGGTCGTAATCAGCCGTCCCGTCTCGCTAAGCTGATAATATCTTTTTCTTTTCCAGGGCCGAAACCAACCGTGAGAAATGGGGCAAGGAAAGAAACAATGACAGAAGCTAGCCATAGTAAAAAAAAAAAAAAGTCGGCCGAATGGAGGTAAGCAATAGATAGAACAATATCAAAGTAAATCAGACAGCAATCCTTTTTTCTCTCCCCTTCCATCACAGATACATCAGCCACCGGAAGCGCGGGGTTTTTTTTTTTTAAAAAAAAAAGCCGTCTATGATGCTTGCGCCATAAACATTTTCTGGTGTCGTTGATCTTCATATTTTTGGTTTGACGTGAGGCAAGTTGGAAGACAAGCATTAAAGTGTTTGTTATGTGTTCAAGTGACGAGGATGCCAGCAAGGAAGGGTTGGCAAGGGAACTCGGAATAGAAGATAAATTAAAAGCCTCCATAATTAAGGATAAAAAGTTGAAGAAAAGAAGCCCCTCCCAGGCGATAGTTGAAGCTGTTTTGCCTTTTTTTTTAAATAATTTCGTATTTATTCCCTTTTTAATTTCCCAGTTTTATAGCCCAATTAGTTGTAAGGGGGGAAAGAATGGGTATTAAAACTTCAATCGGATTTCAACAGCGCCTCCAGCTCTGGGAGAGACGGGAGAGTCGACGTCCATGTTTGGTCCCTCTGATTCTTCACGAAGCTGGAGGAACTCAGCTATCATATCTTTGCCCTCGGGTAACTCCCGCACGACATCATCGTCGACGATGACATTTAATCCATCATCACGGACCTGGATGGTTCGGATGACGTTTGCGGGGTCGAGCTTCCATTTCCTGGCGAGAGCTTCGACGAATTCTTGGGTGTTGCGCTGCTGGATGTAAATGGCATGATGATAGTTTGCTGTTTTTTCGTCATCGTTCTGGCTGGCCTTGACGTAGAAGCAGTGCTCTAAGGTGGGGTATATTAGTATATTGCTATATATCATAATATAGAGAAAGATTACGACTTACTTGGAATGGTGATTGCGTCTGATGGAGGGTGGTAGTTAGGGTCGACGCCCATGGCTTCAAACCATCCATCATTCGCATCAGTAGCACCCTGTCGCTGGATTTTAATTGGATGATGATATATCTGGTTATGCTTGAGTTGTGGATGGATTTCAGGATCATGCGAAGCAAAACCCGACCAATCGACGGATCCATGACGAGAGTCTCCAAACATGGCACCGTTTGGAGCCATACTAGGCTTCACGTCGAACGAGTGGCCGGAGGAGGTGATGGAGCGATGACTGCTTGCTGGCGAGAAAGAATGCGAGATTGCTCCATCATTGGTGGTAGGAGCAGTTGTTGTTTGGGAGGGGTCCCAGTCTAAGGTGGTGGTGACGATGTTGTTGGTCTCTAGAGGTAAGTCTAGCCTCACAGGGTATGCGTCTGGGTCATCTTCGGGATCACCCTTAAGATTGAGAACGCTAGCATGTCGCACAGAGCGGAACATTTCCATGAAGCTCTGGAGCCGTAACTGTAGGTCGTCCTCAAACGGCGCCTTCTCACCCTGTCCCTGAGACCAGGACCTCTTCGACTTGGGCGTCTTACTGACCTTGTTTCCGCTTCCCCCCCTGGAGATCGAGCCACTTCTTTTCCTCTTCTCGCCACTAGTGGAACCCGACTCAGCCTGGATCATCTGGCTTCTTGTCTTCTCTATTTGCTTCTTCACATGAGTGGCGTCATTGGACAGTTTTCGTTCTGCCCCATGGTCACGGAACAACTTGACCTTGCAATATGCAACCTCTGCGTACTCTGGCACTGGAATCTCTGAGATGCCGGACACAACCTGAGTTTTGGCACACAGCCTGACCGGAATACCCTTCACACCCTTGGAGTGACTGAAGTCGGTCGAGAGGAAGTTGAATCGCACAGATATGGCACACTCGTGCCGTCCGTTGATCCGGCTTGGAGTCCAAAGTACCGAGAAGCCATCAAAGTTCTCGCTCTCGAGCTGAACTTGCTGATGACGAAGGTCACCATCGCCCCCTTGGTTAGGATCAACATGTTCGACGGCAAGCAGTTTGCCATCGCGATGGTGAGCTTCGTTCGCCCCGCGTCCTTCCTGCCAGAGCTGCCAGCAGCTAGCAGGCTTGGATCTCTGCTCCTCCTCTTCGAAGGAGACTCTGATGTAAGTACGGTATTTTGTGGGGCGACGAGGAGAGCTTAGGGCAGCGGAGTCGGAGATAGTTAAAGTATATGCTTGGCCCTTGTTGAGGTATGTGATTGGTATTTCGTCTGGGTCTCTGACCATAGCCGTAGCTGCCCGAAGAACAGCATGAAATCGAAAGCTGGGTTTTGTGTCAGTAAACAAACGAAAAAAAAAGCAAAAGCTGTGCCAGCTGGTATGACCCTCGCCTTGGGAACTGGACTACTGAACTACTTACTCTGAATTGTAAAATTCTTGCTCCTTGAGCTGTTGCTGTTTCTGATCTGTGGCTACACTGGCTGATCCGCGACGGAGCTGAAGCTGAGCAAAGGAATTATTATCTTGAGTTAGAGGACCCAAGTCTGAGTTTCTGTGAAGCATCGCAGTCGGGGGGAAGGCATGGGGTTGCCCGTACGCCTCGAGGTGCTCTCCTCCCATGGCCTGGGCACTCATCTGATGTCCCAAGGGCTGGACGTAGGGTTGTTGCATAGCGGCCATGCTGATGGGTTGATTCGAGATGACCGAAGGGTCCACGGAAGTAGTAGCAGTAGGTAGCAACGGACTAAGCATGTCGTCTAGTGGGCTGGTCATATCCTGATGCATTCCCATTCCGGGGACTGTGGAATAAAAGGACGATTGGCCGTTTAGACCGGCGAACATGTTGTGGCTGTGATCCATTCCGACCTGAGCGGATAAAGCCCAGGGAATATCTTGAGTTCTTGAAGGGTCGTGATGGTCGAGAACACCTCTATAAATGTACCAAAGGAAGGTTGAGAAGACGATAGTTAGCAAAAATCTGCAGTTTCATGACGCTCTCGTGACGCACGCCAGGGTGGTCTTCAACAAGGCAAAGAACAAAGTCTCCCCACCCATGATCAATCCTTGTGAAACCGAAGAAAGAAGAACTGCTTGGACTCTCAACGCCCCCATGATGCGGGTGAATTGATGACCAACCTATGAACGAGTGACTGGCCCATTATTGGGCGTTCACTTGCAGGTAACTGAGAAGATAGAGCTATGTTTGGGCGAGCAAAGGCGCTGGTGTTGTTTTCGACGAAACCCCTTCTAAAATTGGCGTAGAAGGCTTCGTCCGGTTTCCGGGTGTTGTTTCTATAAGACTGAGTCAGTATACCTGAAGCTGTATCATGCAGAAAGAAAAGATGAGAGGTGATGAAGCCGATAGGGGGTGTGTATATATATATATAGATATCTCCAAACTCCTGACTCTTTCTTCCTGTACATACCGATTTTGAAACATGCCAGTCGACGGGAGAGAGAGAGAAGGATAAGGGAAAGAGAGAAAGAGACAAGCTCTCTGATATGATCAACAAGCAGTCTCTTTCCCCCTTGACAAGATATGTATATATATATAAGGGCAATCAACAGGAGTTACCCAGCCAGGCTCTTCCACTCAAGCCTACCCGCGAATGAGGGTTTCCTGCGTATATGAAGAGAGGGTATAAGGGGGATGGAAGTAGAATGTGATAAGGTGATGATAGGCAAGGAAATGTATAGATATTACATTCAAAGGCCCGATTCTCCCTCTTCTTCTGCAGGATAGGATAGGGAGAACGAGAATGAGAGAAGAAAAGGGGAGAGATTGCCGGTTAGATAGAAGATACCGTTTCTGGAACCCTTAGTAGGACGCAAGTAAGAACCGGGATGGCACGAAGCTGGGAGGATAAGACGGCAAGTAAGAGAAGTCTAGCTCTTGAAAAAAAGTCCACCAGCTGATGACAGGTTTTGAAGGCGAAGATGTAGAAAAAAAGACGGAGACGAAGAGCGAGATTCGGTATACCATATAATGGGCGAGATAGTCTGTCTGGGATGGCGCCAGGGGTTCAGGTTCATCCAACCGCGGGAGCCGGTTTTTGATAGCTAACTCTCTTGATCAAAGACAACGACGGTAGAGAGAGTGAGGGACGGAGACGAAGAGAGAAGAAGACGAGATGTAGAGAAGGAAGAGCTTAAAAATAAAGATTTTAAGGAACCTCTTCCCCGACGGTTTCTAATATAGCTTTCTCTCTTTTTTTTTTTTTGGCTCTCTCGTCCTGGTCAGGGCTTGCTGATGATGTATCTGGCCGTGGGGTGGAGGAATTGGGGGGGGGGGGAGATGAAGCAGGGAGAGAACTGAATAAATATCAACAAGCTTCCTCTCTCGACTCGTAGTTCGAACGTAAAAAAGAGAAAAGAATAATAATAATAATGACGATAGCAAGCGGGAAGGGAAAGGAAAAAAAGCAACCGGTGGGGCCACAGCTATGTCATTGACGGAGCTCCGTCCTCTGGTTCTCTCTCGTCTGTTCTCGTTCCTCTCTCCATCTCTATCTCTGCGCTTCTTCTCTTTCTTTTTTGCATTTTCGTTTCTTTTTCTATCTGCAAAAAGACCGAGAGGAGAAAAAGCAAAGAGGAGAAGATGCTTCGGGGTGCATCCACCAGGCCGTGACGTTCCTTTTTCCTTCCTGTGCGAGAGAGACGATCCGAGGAGCAAGCCACCATGATGCTATAATTCCATCATTCCAGACCGGGGAGAGGGCAGGATGGGTTCGGGGATGATTGGCCGAGCCAGACGGGGGCAGAGAAGCTTGGCTCCTAGCCCTTTTTTTTTTCGCCGCTCAAAGGTACCTCTCTCTGTGTGTGTGGGTTCTACTGCGGTTTGTTGATGTTGATATAAAAATATACAGTTGTTGGTGGTTGGTGGTTTTGCCCCTGAGTCGGTGATCTGATATTGCCAGAACCACGAAGGAGACAAAACCTCCCCGTGAACTAAACTACCAGCCAGAGAGGAGAATAAAAAAAAAAAGAAAGACGGGATTGGCCGGTGTTTAACTTTTGTAACCCTGGTTCCTGGTAGGATATTAGGGACAAGTAATGGAGGGGGGGTGGCAGATAGAGACAGAGAAGAGAAGAAGCAGAGAGAGAGAGAACAGGGTACATCAGAGCAGCTGTACCAGGTACTGACATAGTGCACTTGTCGATTACCTGGGCCTTTTTTCGATAACCTTCCCAGTTAACTAACATAAGAAAAAGAATAAGAAAAAAAGGGCCGAGATGGGATTAAGTGAACCTCCCTGGGAAGACGGGGTAGTACAGCTTCGTACGCAGTATTGTTCTCGAATGGTTCTTCCCATATCTCCATCTCAGGGAAAAGAATAATAGAAGAGTCGATCGGTTTTGTCTCCCTCTCTCTCGTCTCTGTTTCTCTACTTTGCTCCGTCCCGTCGACTAGTTAACGATGAAATGAATAGGCTAGTTACTTCTGTCTCCCTCTGGTTCGCCACATTTTCCTCTTCTCTTGTACTCTGTACTTCACTCCTCCGTACCACGTCCTCCACTGCCTTCAGAGTCAATTCTCCTCCTCTTTCCCCCCCTCCCTCCTCCAGAAGCCCAATAGTGTTCTCTATCTCCTACTCGCTCTGCTTGGTATCTTCTTTTCTCTCTCCCGCACTGCCACACGCCACATATATTCGATACTTTTTAAGGTGGAGAGCCAGATTCGTATATAGATAATAAAGGGAGGAAAGGAAGAGAGGTTGTGGAGATGAACGCCACAGACCTCGTAGGGCCGGGCGAACCACTGCAGAAGAGCTATTTTTTCTTTTCTTCTTTTAAAATGACGAAGGTTAGTAAATAATTTATTGTATGCAAAAAGAAGAGCCCATAGCGTCGATGGTGGACATCTCTGTGGGGGGAGGAAAGGAAAGACTCGACGCCATCTCGTCTCTTCTATCATCTCTGTATATTCTTTCTCTTGTGTATATTCTCGCTCGCTCTCCCCCTGCTGCAGCTCTAGCTTTTTACCTCGGCGTGGATTGCATGGGTGTGGATGAAGCATTATACGGGGGAAAGCAGCTAATATCGAGCACATCCCGGGCTCTGCTTCTCCTATAGATATTACATGCATCCCACCCCCATCTGCATATATTCTTAGCTACGGAATAACATCTCTATCTTAAGTAGGTATACAATTACGACGTATCCTTGACATATAATAGGGACAAGCTATCATAATAGAGCCCCAACGGTCAAAGTCTGCCCTTTCAGGCTTTCGCCACACCATTCATCCCCCTTCCCTCCCCCCCCCTTTTTTTTCCTTCATCCCCCCCCTAGTTAGAGACACACACACACGCACAAACCTTTCTTGTCGATCGATCGTTGACAAGAGGCTGACAAGACGAACGGGCAACGTCATGACCTCTTGCACGGGATATTAACTCTGTGGCCATTCATCTCTCTTAACTGCTGCAAAGTTCAACTTCTAGGCCTTATACTCGCTACTGCTAACCGTGCGCCGAACCGAATCTCAGATCGGTTTGGAATTTCTCCGGGACAGTTCCAACAGTTGGATGTCAGACCAAGAAGGAGGAATAACACATAAGAATAATATGGACCTTCCAGCAAATGAGACGAGGGAGAGGTATCGAGGTCCTGCTGGCTATGATGATGCAAGTTTAGTCACTTACTTTCTCACTTACCACGCAGTTAAGGCTAATATTATAGGCAAATGATAGAGTTGGTTGGTGGATAAAAGAGAATTACTATTTTTTTACAAATTTTATTATATATAGTTATAACTTGTCAGGGGGGTGGAGAGTTGAAGAGGAGATCCATGTCGATAATCGGGCTTGTGAAGAGGTAAAAAAAAGGGATACTCCATCCGCATCCCTCATCTTATGTACGTACTGTGGTATATATATCTACATGTAGAGAGTACTCCCAGCTGCATGTTTACTGCTGTACACCGTTGGATATCTGGTGTAAAATTACACGTGTGCCATGGCTACTCGACCTCCCTTTGCATCTAGATATATTAAAAAGACGGGATTGACAGACGTGATGACTAGTCAATTGAACGAGAACGAGAGACAACATAAACGCCATTGACACGGAGAGAAAGGCTGAAACAGCCGATGATAGGATACTCGTACGTTTATAGATATAATATGCTGATATCAAAAATATTATACATGCATCTTAAGCGAATTCGATCTGATCGACCACCGGCCCTTCTTAACATACCAACCCAACAGATCGCAGCCACTCGAGTCTTACATACGTCTACTAGCAGTGGCACCGTCGTTTCATCGCTGTCTATCATCCGTCCATCGACAGCTGTCCATCGTCATCCATCTATAAAAAGCTGTGGAACACCCGATGCATTTCGCCATCCTGAACCCTTCTGATTCTCCCCGATCATGCAGAGGGAAAAAGAGGACACACAACACGCAAACCTCGAAAGCCCTAAAGCCTAACCTTTTTTATATCCCTGACCCTTGACCCTTGGCCGACGTTTATGTAAGTGTGTGTTCTTGTATATTGTCTTGTCCAGCCCATGCATCGGGGAGGCCAGGCGGCCAGTAGCGAAGAAGTAGATGCAGAAGCCATGACGTCAGGCCGCATCGAGCGCGCGGGAGAGAAACGCCGGCTCCACCAGAACGAGTTTACAAAAAAAAAAAAAAGGGATAGAAGGGTGGGTTTCACATCTATCATTCCCCATGCAATTAAAGTGTTTACTATTTCGTCATGGGGAAACAGAGTCGAAGGGGAAAGAGAGAGAAAGAGATAGAGATCTCGGTGTTTCGTGTTGCCTGCGGTTATTCGTTCTCGTTCACGAACGTTCGAGATAACAGCATTACGAGTCCGAGAGGAGGACTCTGAACCATGCTCCGGACTTCATACTCCATTCTCCATGCTTGCTCCGTACATCTATAATCCGAACAACTATACGTATATCCATAACGGAGTACGCTATACGCTCACATAACAACACCTTGAGAGCAGATCGATCGGAGACGACCGTATCTCCCCGAGTCAAGCGGAGTGCAGCAAACTGCATAGCAAACTGCGAACAGCCCAATTGAACTGAGTAGAGC